ATAATTAAATAATTATATTTTATCTTTTGCTGTAAAAATGATAATAATTAACTTTTGAGATTTTTGAAAATGTTGATGATGGATTAATAAAATCTATTTAATGAATTATAATTACAACAATGATCGAGAGAATATAAATATCTTTTTATTTCTTTAATATTGAATACATAGAATGATATAGCAGTAAGACTTTAGTTTTGATTTAAGAAAGCTATTTATTTTTGTATATATTCATTCTGTCAATTCTAAATCATAAAGTATCAGTTATAGATCTTTTTAACTTCCCTTAATTCTGAAATTTAGTTTGCCATATCTTTTATGATTCGAATAGCTTAATTTTTGTTTGCCAAATATATGAAATTTATTTAATAAAATTTAAAGATTTTTAGAATTTAATAATCAAAAAACAGAACAACAACTATTTTTAGCTTGCTAAACTGCCAAGATCTGAGCTCTAAATAGTTGACCTTAAAGCTAAATACCTCTATAATTTGTGAATTCCCATTCATTGTAAATCATGAAATGAATCAAACACATGATTATAGCTAATTTTCTAATTTTGTGACATTTTTGAAAGTAATTTAATAATTAGGATAATCAGCATATCTGCAAGAATCACAATTAAATTCATCTTTACATTCACAAGTTTTATAACATGCTTAATTTTTTATTCTAGTGTTTATAATTTAACAATCTCCTTAAGTTAAACCGATGATTTCAAATCTTCTTTCTAATTTATTACAATTACATATTATATTTCTCTATTTGAAACTTTCTATAAGATTTCATTCAATTGATTCTGACTCTTTTTTTTCGAATATTAGGATTTTAATTAAAATTATATCTTGAAGTATTGAAAAATAATTAAGCATATTATAAGTAAATATTTTATTATAAAGATTGATAAATAAAGTACTTGATTTCTATAAAGCTTCTAAATTATTTTTTTATAATTTAATACCTAACAAATGATTATCTATTTCTGTCCCCTACCTTTATCCGAAATGTTAAGTTTGAGTGGTCATAAATGCAAAAGCTATGAAATATATGATTAACCTTAACCAATATTAAATAAAGCTGGCTCTAGAAATAATGTAAGTATATTTGTATATCAACAATGCTTTCAAATAAAGAATATCTAAAAAATTTCATCCAAAGTTTATCCTAAATCATTTTCTTTTATTATTGATCTAAAATTGTGTCTCATTCTCTAATATGTAAAATAAAACATTCTCTGCCTCGTAATTATCTTTAACTGAATTAAATCTATCATGGCATGGTTTTTATAACAATAATTAAATAATTGTTCTCCTTATATTTATACTAAAGATTGCTCGTGAATTAGAGATTAACCAAATTAATCCTTTTTAATGATTCATTTTAGGAGATTCTTAAAAAATTCTTGCAAATATTTTTTTAGCATTTGATAATTTACAAAATATTGATAATTTAATTAATAAATATTTTCATTTATTTGTCTTATCAAGTTTATAATTAAATTCAAACTGAACAAATTCTTTTATAAAAAATTACATATAATTTTTGTAATTAAAAAAAATATAAATCTAATCGATCAACTCAAAATAACTAAGTACCTATTGATAGCTTTTTATTAAAATTTAAGAAGATTTATTATTGTTTCCAAAAGATAAAAACTATATGAAAAAATGGATTCTTTCAATAGAGTAATCAATAGCTGCTTTAAATCTTCTATTTATTTAAAATGATGAATTTAAGTCTTCTTTCAATTCAAGATCATTAATTAAAAAATAATTATATGCTTTATTTATAATTATTAATACTTAATCATTTGAATTCAATACAACCCTCAAAATATTATATTTTGATACTTTTATTTTTTATAATATATGAGTGAATTAACAACCAAAAATATAAAGCAATTAAATTTTCCTTGACTTTATAAATTCAAAATTGTAAATCTATTATTCTGGAAGATTGAAAGAAATTATTTCTTAATTTCTTTATTTATAAAATAAATTTAAAATTATGTTTATTTTTGTTCTAACCAAATCAACTAAAGCTAATTAATCACTTTAGATTAAAATGATTGATTTTATATATTTTATGGTTCTTGTAAGTTCATCAATTCTTATATTTTTAAAATTAAGTATCCACAATCTCAAAATAGTCATCAATAAAATTAAATAGAAATTAAAATTAATCAAAAATTATCAAAATATAAAAAAAAGTTAGAATAAGTAAATTGAACAAAGCGATAATTTAAAAGAATTGGATACAAGATCATTGTTCTCATTTGTGTTTCTAAAAAATTCTATTTGACAAATGACATTTGCTTGTCCTTTTCTTTTTAAAAAGTTAAAGATCAAGAGAATAAGTCTTCTACTTATTAAACTTAAATTATAAACATGATTATTTATTGAATATGATAATTTTAATCAATATAATTCATATAATAATTATCTAAAGATCGAGATTTTAATATTAATGGTTCTATTTATTCTCTAAAAGTATTATTTGGTTGTATAAATGTTAATGGTATGAATTCAAGAAGTATTTTTATGAAGATATATTTGCATTCATAATTAAAAAAAATAAACAATGTAGAAATTATTAATCTTAGTCCTGTTACTAGTTTCAAGATAAGTAAATTGTTAAGAGCCAACACCATAATCTACTGAAAATAGAGGTATCTATAGTTCTATTTAAGTATTTCAATGCGTATTCATTATTGTTTTTGTGTTAATAGTGATTATGATAATCCGTGCTATAATTAATAGAAGACGACAAATAATATTGGTGGGATTGGTAGAGGAAGTTCCACCTTAAAATATTGTTGTTATTAATTAAATTCCAGCAAATCCAAACTAGTCTTCTGCTCCTGCTTAAAATCAATAATTTTATGAGTTGGCTAAATAATCATAATTGAATTAGATCCTGCCATAACAATAATAATAATAACTTCCTCCTTAATATCCTCCATAAATGAATTAAAACTATACTTAATAACCAATTCAATATCAATAGAATATGTAATGTTATTCAGAAAATACAATTTATCTTCAATAAGGTATACCAATAAGTTAACCTTAAGGATAACCAAAATGATCTAATGAAAAGATTTGTTATATTTATATCAGAATTAATTTATAATTTATTATGAGTATTTGATAACTAAAAAATTATAGTCCTATTTAAGTATTTCCAGGTATTAAACAGCAGAAAACTTATTGTCTTTTTTATAAATCATTATCTAAAAAATAATGTTAGAAATCTAAATCTATGAATATTTAGGAAGTTGAATGTATTTAAAAAAATATTTTAACTAGCTAGAGACATTTATGATCAAATGAGTGTGAGAGGGAAAATAAATAAATTTTATTCATTTAAAGATGTTGTATATGGTCATTTTAGTTCTTAAAATCATAAAAGCCTTTATTTCAACTTTAATTTAAGTAATTGTCCACTTATTTGAAGCAAAAGATTTTTAAAACATATTGTCATATTTATGGTTTCTACTCATATCATTACTTTCGAAATTAATTGTTTAAATCGATATAAACTGGTTGGAATGATTCTGAGCTATTTAATATTAAGTCCTTATATGTAGTAATATAATAGCTCTTCAATCCTGCTAGATGATTAAATTACGAAGAATTTCATTATTGTTTCTAGAAAATATTAATATTTGCAATTTGTCTGTAAAGATTTTTAAATTAATAGATTTTTCTTTAAAATAGAAAAAATAACATTATTAGAAAGAAAATAGTTTTAAACTGCAAATAATATTAATCTATGAGTTATGCAATTTTAGAATGATAATTTTTATTCAAATAATATAACAATTTTTATAATTGTTGTTATTGATAAAAAATAAATGAAGTATATTTTAATAAATTTTTTAAAATATTTTGAATAACTTTAATATTAAATATTACTTATAATAGAATAGGAAGGCCTTTTGGCAGCTTCACAATTTGATTCATATTTTTTTTATTGATAACATTAAAAATGAAATCATTCAAAAAATCATTTCTTCGATTATTTTAGATAATTCCTCAATATAACTGGCTATATTTGAATTTGATTTGAAGTGAAGATTTAAAAGTTAATTTTATTGAAAACTTGAATGTAATTTCACAAAATAAACAAGATAAAAAATTGCATTTTTAATTAGTGAGAATAAAATTAGTATGATTAAAATTTAATTTTAATACATTAATGAAAATTTGATTACTTATTTGGAATTGATAATTATTTTTGAGAAAACAAAAAGGAATCGTTCAATAAATAGAGTTTATAAGTAAAATTTTGCTAGATATCCCTAATAAGATTATAATTTGCTCGTATCAAACCAGTTTTATCAGACTACCATTGAAAATTTAGAAGGAGAGTATGTTACAAAATATAGAATGAGCTTTTAGTCTTTATTATTAATTTTCTATCAAAAATATTCCTCTCTTTTACCTAAATAGATATATTTAATGAACCTTTAATTATTTTTTTTTTATCTCTTATCTTATGTAAAATATTTTGATCCAACCAAATTCATATTCAAAAAAGCTTATTTTGTTATATAAAATACTCTTCTAAGTAAACAAAAAATTGAATGATTGTTATTTAAGCTACTTCGGCTTGAGATTAATAAATTAATTTAGTAAAGGATGCTTACTTCATATATTTTAAAGGTTGATTTTATTAGAATGGAAAATTTATATTATATTTTTATAAAATTCACTATAAAATTATAAAGATTAAATTAAAATCAAGTTTTGCTTGTAGATAAATTATATTGAATAAAACAAAAATTTACAAATCCGAACCAATTTCAACATTTACAGGAAATTAATTTTATGGAACCAATAAATAGATTCTGGATTGAATTCAACTTAATTTTCAAAATTAAATTGCAGAGAGATGCTTTTAAATTTTATCAAAATATTTTAAATTCCAATAAATATTTCTTTTTGCTATTTTTGATATAACCATTAGATTATAATACAATTTTTTAGAATATTGATTTTGTATTATAATAGAAAATGATAGATTAGAATAATATTATAAATTTTAATTAATTATTCGATTAAAATGAATTCAAATACTATAAACATAAAGAAAATTTAAATTCCATAAAATTTAAACAAAAAACATTTTTTAAATCGATTCAAGTGAATAAAGAAATTTAATTATAATTGTTGATCAAAAAGTGTCTAACTTTGGTTGGGTTCCCTAAAATTATTTTAATATGTTTTGAATTTGTTCAGATATTTTTTTCAAAACTTATTTATCTAAGAAAATGTTAACTTTCACTTCTTGGAAGGGTTTCAACTTTTGTCTTTTAAATTCTTTGATATTTTTAAGGCAAAAAAGTTTAAGTTACTTAAACTTACTTTTTATAAAAATCTTTGATTTGATATTTCTAAACTAATTTTGATCTCTGTTGAATAAGCATAAATATGTAGAACAATATCTTGATAAGCATATATAGATTAAAAATAATTAGTGTAATGAATAAAAAAGTTGATATATTTTATAATTAATATTTCTTATGTAAATAAAATTTGATTATCAATTCAAATTAGATTCTCAAATAAGATTATAATTTATTAATAAATTAATAGAAAAGAGATTAATTATTAACGAAAAAATTTTAAAGGCATTAAATTTATAAAAAAAATAAATGTTTTCGAAATGACTATTTATAATTAATATTGTGATAATGATTGCTAATAATGAAATGATGATTTTAGCTATTCTTAATTTAAAAATTTTTCTTGACTATTTTATAAAAGACTTATAATATTATTAAATTAGTTTTTATTTTTAGGTTAACATTTGAAGAAAAAATTTAAAACTAGTGTTGATGGTTTCATGGTAAATTAATATCAAATCTAATTTTCTTAATTTTTTAGACTTCAGAGATTTGTATTAAATAATTTTATTAAATTTTCTTAGCAATATATTAATATTTACATTTTTATAGCAAACAAGTGTTTATTAATGCTAAGAGATTGTCCTAATAACACTATCCAGTAAACTTAATCCTTTAGTTATTAATCTCAAAAAAATAGAAATTCTGATTAACAATCTTTGGTAAAACAAAGATAAATATTATAATTATGAACAATTTATTAAAAATTCCAAGAATAGTTTAAAAATATCTAATTCGAAAATTAACTAAATTAATTTTGAAATTATGAAATATTTTTAAAGGCTTAAGTCTTGAATTTTATTAAATATTAAACTTATTTGGATAATCATAAAAATTAATATAATTTATTTAAAAAAAATGAATTTAAATACACTTTTAATAAAAGTACTAAATAGTAATATAACCAATTATTTTTAAAGAATCAAATAGAAGTGGAAATCAAATTGATCACGGGTAACAATTTAAAAGAAAAATAGGTAGAATTAAAGAAAATCACCTGTATAATATTTACTATGGTTTATACTGGAAGGTTCGAAAATAGTTTTTTTTAAATCCATAGAAATAATAAGAAACTTGATTTATTAAGAAAGCTTATTAAAAATCGAATTTTTAACAAAAATAACTAGTAGTAGAATAATAGCCAAATTAAATTGTCAGAAAAATACAAAATTAGAATTGAATCATTATAAAACTCATATAATTCTTATTAACTTTATAATAAATTATTTAAATAATAAAAATACTATTGAAAGATTATTAAAAAGACTGATTGAACATTAATTCACTTGTAATTGTGTTTGATTAAAGCACAAATTTAAGAATTTACATTATCAAAATAACTAAATTGAAGGATTAAGATCAAATTATTGAATAATTAGTATTTACATTAAATTAATATTATTTTCTTTTAATAATTTTGAGTAAAAGAATACATGATGCGGATCTTGTTAAGAGATTTAATATAGAAAGAAGCCCTTCAAAGTCAGATTTATTTTAAATAACAATATGTTCATTCTTTACATGAAGTAATTTAACTATCAAATTGATTTTCAAATTTACTTTCTAAAAAAAACATTATTTTATAGTTCAATTAAAATTAAAATAGCTAATTCTCTCTAAATCTTCAATTTAAATAGTCACTTTCTTTTAGAACATAATTATTTGGCTATTAATCATATTTATTTAATTTTTATTATATTTTAGCTTGTATTAACAATTCAATATTTTCCATTTAATATTATAATAATTATTTATTATAAATCTTCATCTTTAAGTCTAAATTAGAAGATGTGCTTAGTTTATGTTATAACACAATTATTTTAAAATTATGTCTACATCATTATTTGATTTATCCAAAAGAGTTGTGCAAATTAAACTTAAAATTAAGTTATATTTATAATGATTTCCATTTTATTATGAAGTTCTTTGATAATTAAATTATTTTTATCATTTATCTAAATTTTAGGTATTTTAAATATAAGAAAATTGTTGATAATAAAGGTAAAAAATTGAAGTATGTGTGGAGCATAAATGAGTAAAATAAAGTAGATGAAATAATCCACTGAATGCTTAAATTTTCTAAATATATTTTTGAAGATCACTTGATTTTCAACTCAAATTAACACACAATAATAAAAATACTATTTAATCAGTTTTGATAGATTGATAATCAAACATCAAATATATTATCTGAAAATAAATTTTATAATTTATAAATTAGGATAACAGATATAACAACAAATAATTTAGGCGATTTAAGTTTATTACTTTATAGAATGACTAATAAAAAGACTTATGATGGGATGATTTAGATATCATACAGGATATTATTAATTTAAAATCTTTAAATTGTAAATCTTTAATTTATAAATGATTATTAATAAAAATAAAAGTATACATATTTTTATTCAGTTTGATTGTTTTGAAGTTTTTAAGGAAAATTATTGAGTGGAATTATTTAAAAATTAATTAAAATAGAGAAAATTTGCCAAAGTGTGTTATTCTTTTGCAATTACATAGATTATTCAGATTTAAAAGGGAATAAGTTGAATTCTTAGAATCGGAAATTCATCAAAAATATTAGCTAATCATTTAAGTAAAGACTTATTATATTTAATAATCAATAGTGATTCAATTACATAGTTTAAATTATTTTCAGATGAATTTCTAACCTGAAAATTTTATATGTTGTTATGATAAAGAAAATAATAATATTTTAAAGTTAAAAGATTTTGGTTGTGCAAAAGATAAAAACTTAGGAATTAAAAACAACCTCTAATCTTGGAACTGATATCAACATGACGCCTAAAGGAAAGTAATAAAGAAAAAATGTCATGATAAATTTATTGATGTATGATATATGATTTGTAATTTGTTTGATATTTCTTTATTTAATTAAGACATTATAAAATAATTTGATAAATTTAAAAAGGATAAAAATAATAGATTTGGATATTTATAAACATATTCAAAACCTAAAAACATCTAAAATATAAGTCTAAAAGTTGATTATATGCAGTTATCAAAATAACAATTAGAGGTTTTGGAGATAAAGTGATAAAATGAAAGTATTAAAGAATAAATTTTATAAATCAAAAAATTAGAAACTGAGATAAATTGTGATGAAGCTATGTATAGAGTTATATTAACTTAAATGTTGATCTATATTATAATAAAGGTAAAAAATAATATTTGATGAAATATATGCCTATAATGGGGCAGAATAAATTAAATTATTGTATAAAAAAATTATTTCAAAGAAATTATTACAATATGATTTATTTAATTATTTTTTTTCATAGTGTTCTAAATTTGATTTGAATATCGCTCTCTTTAACAGAAAAACTTTTTTTTTCTATTCTAATTAATCATTTCTGATCTATTGAAGAAATTTTTCTTGAAGATGATTAATAATTTCATCAAACATTTTTGATGAAAAAGAATGATATTAATAATAAACTTATAAAAAAATTTTAAACTAGTTAAGTAGAACAATTAAATTTAATAAAAAACTTAATGAATAAGATTACTTGAAATTCAGAAGTTGGAAAAAAGTGAATGTTGTGATATCATGAGATATTCAACATTTTGTTAACGAAACATCTTGTTCCTACTATATAATCGTTACTTATTGAATATACAATTAATTTGCTCCTAAATTATTTAATTTGATCTTAGTAGTATTGATTAGCTCTCTTTTGCCATATCTATATATATACAGAGCTCAACTATTTAAAAAAAAAATGGTTTGACTTTTTTTTTTAAATATAAAATAAAATTGGAAAATTGGCATTATGAAACTAAAGTGGATTAAAAAAAGCTAAGTATCTTTAACTTCATTTATATTCAGATTGTATTAAATATACTTTATAATATTTTAAATTGTAGAGCTATTTAAGATTTATTATCAAAACTTCTTTAAGGAGCTTTTTTGTCATCTAGTTGTGATAATTAACTCTTTAGATTAACTTTAATTTAAAGACTTTCTTACTCAAATAATTCTTTAATTATAAAATTAATTAGTTATTTATTTTTGAAATTTAAATAATCCAAAATACTACATAATTATTTTTAAATACATTGTTTTGATCATGTCTTTCACCATTTTTATATTTCTTTTAGAAGCCTACAATCATACTTTCAAGTATTCATTTCTTATTACAAACTAAAGTTTTCTCTTTTTGTAAATCCACTTCATATTTTCAGTAGAACTTATATTTAAATTTAAAATTTTTCGAAAATAAAAATTAATATCTAGATGTATATTTTATTTTTTTTTTCTATGTTATAAGATCATCAATTCAAAACACAGTATAACAAAAAATGGTTTAGATAAAATTTTTTAATCATTCAAGTCTGTTAAATGAGAATAATATAATATAATTAATCATTCACTTTCTCATAGAAATTTATGAAAAATGATAAAAAAGGAGAAAGTAAAGGCACTAAAATGAAAAAGGAAATAAATTTTCTTTAAAATAATTACATGAAAGAGAAGTGATAAAAAATAATTTAACAACAAAAATCAAAAGAAGCTTAATGATTGAATGGATTATGTTTTAATAAATCAGAATTTGATAAAGCAATAAAAAAACATCTGCTTTCATTTTTGAGACCAAAAGAATTGATTAAAATTGTTTTTGATAAATTTGTGCTATTTTAGTCTTTAATATTAAATCTGATTAAAATTAGATATATTTTGAAATTTAAAAAAAAATAAATTGCTGAAATCAAAATTAATTTAAAAGCTAAAATATTAAAAGATGCATTGAGAAGATTGACTATATAAAAGTTGATTATGTCCTATTAGATTTGCAACAAAATTAAAAGGACGTCTTTTTTAGCAAAAATAGTAGGCATAAATTTATGACTAAAAAATTTGATTTTTAAAATTAGAAAAAAGAAGCTATTTATATAAAGAAAAAAATGGACTTTGGAATAACTTGAAGAGGGAAAACTACAATAAATTTTTTGAAAATTTTTTTAATAATTTTAATCATAAATTTATCAAAACCTTATTATTTAGCTAAACAAAAAGAGAGATTAAAAATGAAATACATTTATTTTACATTTTTTTTCTATAAAATTATATATATTTTAAACTGTGTTAATTAAATAATTAATATTAGATATATGTTAAATTAAAAAGTATATAATTTATCACTTTTTCTTAATGTTTTTCTTAATGCTATGATATTTTTGATTAATTCTCTGTTTGCTTTTTTTATGTATTTATTTAGAACTATGCAAAGTAACTTTTTCTAGAAAATATATTAATATGATACACCTGTTAAATTTTAGGATGTTTTAGATTCAAGTGCTTGTGCATTTTACTTTTCTTCCTCAAATTTTGATTGTTATCTTTCATTAATTGGATTCGGGAAATTAATATTAAGCTATTACTTTGTCTTTTCATAATAATTTCTAATTGATTTAAATATTTACTATGATTTTTCAAATACATCTTGAATATTAGGCTTATTGTATATTTTCTATTCTCTAAATTCTTTAGTTGTTTAATCAACAGACTATATTGAACTGATAATTGATTGTAAAACATCTTAATTGAATTTTGCATCAAGATTAGTTTATTCCAAATTTTATGAACATATTTGAATATTCTAATTTAAACTATTTGTTTTGTATATATCAAAATAATTTTTAAACTCTTCTTTTAACTCTGGTGAAAGTTGCTCTAATAATTATTATGCATTTTATTTTTCTTATTGTAATATCTAGTTTAATTTAGAATCTGATTAATATTAATATTATTAGTCATATTGTATACAATTTGATAAATTTAACTATAGCACAATTTTATTTCTAGCTATTATTTTCATTGGATGTTGAGGATCATTGATAAAATGTTCATTTACTGCTTTTAATGATGATATTAAATTAATGAGAAATTAAAAGTTCTCATAAATGTAAAATCGAATGAGTTTTACTTCTTCTTATTGTTTTTGAGTAAGTTTTAGGCTCTAAACTTATAATTATTACTCATATGCTGAGTTATTGTGCAAAGACTTTTGAGGTTTTTAACTCTAATAAGCATAATTATTCATTATTTATAATTTAATGATGATTTTTGTTAATAGATTAACTATAAAAATTACATCAATAGAATTAAAATAATATTCTATTGAGATAAAAATAAAAAAGAGAATTTTTGGAGAATTCATTATAGAATCAATTTTAAATTAATATTAACAAATATAATAGTTTTTAGATTCAAATAAAAAATATTATATATCAAGAGGATTTAGAGTTTCTTTTTTATAAAAAATTTTAAATAAATTTTTGATTCTTAATCAAACTCAGATGAATATTATTTTAATATTTCCTCTAACTATTTAATTTAATTGTTTTAATTTTCATAAGCACACTTTCATAATAAAATTCATTATTTAATAGATTTACAATCAGACATATATTTTATAATTTTAAATAAAATAATCAAATGCTGTTATTAAAGATATAAACTAATGAAGACTTCTTAAATGACTTAAACATTAACTTAAAACCAATAATAATAAGGATTAAATCATAATATTTAAAGTTTCAATGATTAAGAAATTGCTAAAAATTCTATAAAGAAAAGAAAAATTAAAGACTAACATCAAACAGGATTCTTTTCAAAGTCTCAATGTGAATATATTTGGAAAGAATAATAATTAAAATAATTAGTTTTATAAATTTTACTCTTGCATATTTCAAAGAATAAGAAGAACTCAATAGACATTTAAAAATTCATAATAAAAAGGACAATAAAAAGATTAGAATAAATTATTAAAGATGTTTAAAGAATACAAAGCTTTGCTTTTAAGAAAATAAATTTAATTATTTTAACTTCAGAATCTTAAATATAATTGTTTATGTCACTTTTAAAGTCAAGTTTGTTACATCAATGAAAATAAGATCCCATTTCATTTTTAGCATAGATATTTTTAACTCAAACATATTATTATATGCATGAAAGCTGAAGTGAGTTAAAATTAAATAATCAACAATTGAAATAACACTATAAATTCAAAGATTGATAGCAATTGAAAGCTTATAAATAGTAAAATTTTTTATAAATTTAACAATTATTTCTTAGATTATTTTTCAACATTTTAAATAATTTGTTACAATTAAAAGTAATTACTCTCTAAAATTAGACAAGTATACGTCGTAAAAATGATATCCTTTTATTAAGTTGTATATCATAACTCCAAAAAATCTATTTCTACTTTTTACAAGTTATCTATATCCCTTAATTGATGTTCCCTAGTTGATTAAATATTTATATAATCTGAATATATTCATAATTTGGAACATCAAACTTTCCAAATGAATTCTAATCATAATCATCATTGAGTAAGTATGTCTATTTTGTTATTTTTTTATTGAATATATAAATTGGTATGCTATTGTTTTTGCTTTATAATATATTTTCTATAATAAAATATGCAAAATAAAATTAGATTAAAAATTACATGAATTTAGACCATATCAAAAACATTAAACTAAAATTATACTTTTTATTAATCATTCAATATTATATCCTATGATGGTTATCGGAATCATCGGTCATTAGTTGGAAATAATATGTTAGATTACTTTAAATGAATGCAAATTTCTTTATTTTATTAACATTTATTAAATGAAAATTTGTATACTAGTACTAGTTGATTCGTGATTGAAAAAAATAAAATATGCTTGTTCTGCATCAGATTTAAAGACAAAAGTAGAAATGTAATTTCATGTTACTTTTTTTAAATAAATCCTAAAGAAATATTTAAATGCTTCTCGGATGTTGGAATAAGTAGCAATGAATAAAAACTATATGCAATGAATTTGTATACCTTCAATAAATCAATAAAATCTAAAATAAATATTGAAAAATAGATTTATGCATAAATTAATATTTATCGAAGTTTATAATAAAATCTGACAGCAAGAATGAAACAACACATAAAATTTTTATACAATTTTTAGATAAACATATCATTATGCAAAAAAAAGTGAAAATAAAATTACTAAAAATGTTTATTTTACATTTTATTTGAATCATTTAATAAATTCTTTATAAATATCTTCGAATCTCTTATTAAATGTATCTAATATTCTTTTAAAACTATTCTATGTTGATTAGACAATAGATCTTGGAATATTAAATAACAAAGGGCATCCCTTTAAATTTCTGTCTTGATATTTAGATTTCAATTCATTTCCAATTTTAGTATTTAATTAGGATCCAATGGTTAAATATATGATTTAAAATGAATAATGAAACTTTAAGACTTTAAAAGATTTGTGTATTGATTAATAATCAGTCAAACCATCAGTTATCATACAGATTCTATTTCTTTTAATTGATAAATCATATTATTTATCAAGAGCTTTAAATTATTCTAATAAGCTATCATACAATAACTATTCTTATTATTATTGCTATAATTATAATTCTTATTTTAATGAGTATTATTAAAATTTAGAATTTTTCCAAGTTAATATTATTTTTTTGTTTTCAGGAATGTTTTAAAATTGTATTTAAAATGATTCAATGGCTATTTATGATTCATTAATCATTGAATCATTTGTATCAACAATAAGAACGAATGATTTTTCAGCATCTTCACATTCTATTCCTTCTTTTAATAATATTTATAATTCATTTGGCAAATATTTATAATCATCATTAGAAGAAAATAGAGTAGTTGAGGTATCTGTCTAAGCTATTACTTAAGTTTTTTATTGATATTTCTTAACTAAAACAAGAAAATTTTAAATGTTAATGATTTTTTTAATAGTTTAATCTATAAGTTAGAATAAAGAATTCATTTATTTAAAGGAAACAATTTATTCATCAAATTCAACTTTAAAATCTGAGGCAGAAAATACTTTAATAAGTGATTCTTATGTAGAACTTATAAAATCTTATAAAAGTTAAGTATGATCATTATTAATATTTTGTTCAATATAAGCTATGTGATTATTGAGAGTTTCTATAATTATAAGTTCAGTGTTTTAAAGTAAAGTTACTTTTTAATTGTTGACATAAATTGGTTCTTGAAAGCATTCTGGATTAATTAACTATTAATATTTTTCTTCTAGTCTTTCATTTAAAATTTCTGGCGTAACAGTATTCTTTTAAATATTAACTGAATTAACATTAATAATTTAATTTAAAGAGACTTAATGATCAAATAAACCTTTTTATAATTAAGTGAGTTGATTTTCACTCATTTATTTTAATTATAAATTAGATGATTGTAATTCTTCTAGTAGTACAAGAACTTCATGGTTTTTCTTTTATTCTTCTGGAGAAGATTAGATTTATGCAATTTATTGTAAAAGATGTGGAACCTCTTTAGAAATAATTTAGAATGCAGTATTATCTGATTTATTATTTGCAATTTAATCATTAATGGCTTAAGAAATTGAACCAATAATAAATTAGTTAACTTCTTTGTCTGTACTTTTAGGTTCCAATTAAATATTACCTCCCCATATTCCTTCATTTTGTTAAGAATCTGTTTTTGCACAGAAATAACTTCCTGAGATGACTAAATTAGAAGGAGGAGATACAAGGGTTTATAAAACAGGTTTATTAATTTAAACTATTCCATCCTAAACTTATATTAATGGTTTGATTTATTAAAAACATAAAAGAAATTCTTAATATATCTTATTCTTAGAATTTTTAGGATTTCGTTTAACTTTGAATAATGATTAAAAGTTAGGATCATGATTATGAATCTTATTTCTTAAAATATTACTAATTTAATTAGGAAATCTATCTCCTATAGCTAAACTAATAAATTGAATCATAAATTAATCTTTCATCTTTTTAATAAATGGGAGAAGAACTTTAATCTCAAATGGTTCTTTACCATCACTTACAAATAAGATTGTAATATTTTTTGGATATTTATTACTTAATAAAATCTAAAATAATTCTTTAAAAGTATTAGTTATGTTTCCTCCTCTACCGTTTACCCCAGCATAAGGAAGGATTGGTTAAAGTTATAATTAGAATTAATATTCTAATTTTTCATTTCCTAAATAAGAGAATACCTCTGTATATGCTTTTACAACTTATTCATATTCCATACACATAGATCCAGTGCCATCGAGTAAAGTGATTAAAAAGGAATTAATTGACTAAGATTATGGAGCTTAATAAACTCTTATACTCATTTTTTATATTTCTATTAATCAAAAAAATAACTCTTATGAATTAATTAAGCATAATATAATAATCAATAGACTTATTTCAATTAATTATGATGTATAAAATTTTATTATACACATTCTAATAATATATTGTTAATTAAATAACTTCAAGCTAATAGTTTACTTTTTTTTTTTAAATGAGGAATAGATTATGATAATAATGAAATAATATATATACTTATTAATTTAAACAGTAATCAGCTTTAATTAGATCAAATTTTAATACTTCAATCCCATAAACTTTGTTTCCAGGATCATTTTTCCAGTAAAGGCTATTTGAAAAATTATTTAAACTTCTTTATTTACGACCTACTATTTAAAATATGAAGTTTCAAAATCGATGCTTCATTAATATAATCTTATCGTATTATTGTTTATTAAAAATTAATTTATAAATTTATATATTTTATAGATCAAACTAAAGTAATCATTACAAAAATTATAATTTTTACAGTGATTGATTAATGAAAAAAGTATTCAGAACTAAATTATTCATTTCTTCTTTTCTTCTTAATTTAAAAAGCTTTTCCTATTTCTTCCAGAATCAGTCTGAAAATTATAATATTTGAAGAATTTCAAGTTTGCTCTGTTAATAAATTAAATTATCTGAACAGATTTCTGAAAAAGAATTGTATTTCTAAACAAATCCTTTTAGACATTATATCTATCATTATTAGAATAATATTGTAATGGCAGTAAATTATTAATTGCTAATTTTCATTAATTAGCTGAATAATAATTTGTTCATTCAAATGCTCATAATAATAAGAATTCAAAAACAGCTAAAATCTAAATGATTATTAAGAAAGTATTTTAAGAATCATAAGACAATTCAAAAAGAATTATCATGATCATATTTTAAGGACTTCCTTCTTAATTGAATAGAAATTCTGCTATTTTATAAAATAAATTTTGGTTAAACTTGTTCATTTTTTCATTTGAGATGTTAATCACAATTTTTAACTTGTATTAATATAATTATAATATTAAATGATTAATTTAGAAATTTCTAAATCTATTTCAGAAAAAAAAATAAATTACTCAAAACCAAATATACATATTGTTATTTGAAAATCTTAAACAAAAAAAATTTAGAAAAATAAATCTAAGGTCTTTAATAAGATGAAGCAGACATTATGTTTTCAACAAAATAAAACAACCAATATATTGAGATTTATATTCTACATTTGCCTATTGATTAAAAATTACACTTTAAATTTCTGTTAAAGCGAATAAAATTAAGAAAATTTAATTAGTTTTGGTTTTGTCAATAACAAAATTATTGGTTTATAAACTTCTAAATTTAAGCTTGTGTATAAAAAGTAAAGGCTGATTTAACATTATGTTATAAAATTTAAAAAAATTATATATTAAATTGTAGTTGAAGGTTATATAATTTTTGCTTTTTTGTCTGATTGATTTTATAAAATAATTAGATATTTATTTTAATAATAAATCTCCATAAATTAAGAAAAGGTATGGGGTTATCTAAATTTGAATTTGAATTTTAAAATGAAGTTTTATAGGAAAATTCAAATTAATTATTTTTTAATTATAATTCTCATTCATAAAAAGCATCTGCAATTAAAATATGTTTTGAGATAGTTTTAGAGTAAGAAAATATTTTGGTTTCCTTAAATTAAAAAAAATTTGTATTTTTAATTATAATATTATTCTTATATAAAAAAACATGCTGAGTGAAAAATATACAAATCTATCATGATCTTATTATGTAATTCGACTTATGAAATATGATTGTCTTAAGCATCCAGCAATATTGATTATATAATTTTCTTTTATAAATTTCTATAGATTAGTTTAATAAAGATATATATCAAATACGCAATTCATATATTAATATTGAAAATTAAAATTTTTCTTCTCTCAAGAATGTAGCTTCAATAAAACAAATTAATTTCAACCGGAAAATCCATGATTAATTCAACATTCAAGACAAACTTTGTATAATTTTTTTTCTTTGTATTGTTTTCTTTAGATTAAACTGAATAATCAACAGTGTATGAAAATCTTTTTGGAACAACCGCAATAAATGGTATATTATTGAATATATAATAGATTGGCAATTCACAGTTTATAATTAATATTGTAATATTGGACTAGAAACGTGTGACACTTCAACTATTCTTTCAATCAATTAATGCTAGAATTTGATGTATGACGTGTTTTTATATAAAACATTTTAACTATAAGCTCATTATGAATTAAGTATTTCTTTTAAGTTTTGGAGGTAACTAAAGATCTTTTAATTTATAGAATAGATAATTGGCAGAATAAGAAATTCTTGCTCTATATAGATCTACAATTGGTTTATTCAGAAGAGTATTCAACATCATAAGGAATTTAAAATATTTGCTAAGATTCAAATTATAATGATGAAATTTATTAGATTTAAAAAACTATTGATCATTTTTATTCCAGTGCTACAATAATCATGATAGCAGAATAAGGATATTGGGGTATTTCTGAAATTGTAATATCTATTGCAGATTGCCCTTAAGGATGTGAATCTTGTAATTAAAATGGATGTATAAATGAAAATTTGTTCTTATCAATGTTGAATTACATATTAATAAATTCGATTAGTGATTCTGAGGGATGGATCACAGATGGAATCCTTCAAACTTACTTAGGATATTGTTTGGGTAATTCTTATATATATTATAAGATTTTAATTATCTAAGAAGTTAAGGGGATCATTTAATTAAAGAGTTCTAATTAGAATCCCATTCAGCAATCAGTTTTTAGTTTAAAGTTATAATTTTGAATTCTAATCCCACATTAATATAAATTGAAATAGATGATGTAATTGTAGAAACAATCTAATATTCCTAAAGTTGGGTAGAATATTCTGGTGTTTTGTGCTCCTATATTACTTTAAGATATGTAAAGATACAATCATATCAACATAATAATATAAATCTTAAATTAGCTGTAAAAGGGTCTTTGAATTTATTTAATATAAATTATTCAGGTCCAGGTATTCGTATTAGGGATTTTAAACTATTTTTATAATCTAATCAAAATAATGTGATTGAAAGTGCAATATATTTTTATGAATATTCAGATTCTCCAATAAATTTAGAAGGTTGCAGTGAGCTTATAAATAGTGTATGTTGGAATTGTTTTGAAGGTTGGTAATTTAATTAATTGGAATAAAGTTGTATACCAATATGTGGAGATCGTATTATAACTTAATTTGAAGAATGTGATGACGGGAATAATTTTCCTTATGATGGTTGTCATTTATGTAAATTTTCATGTCCTTTATTTTGTAATTAATGCTTATTTGGAAAATGCTTTAATTGTTAAATTCCATTTTTTTTATCAGAAAAGACTTGTTAATTGGATTATTTAGGATTGGATATCTTTAAAATTTTATAATATTAAGAACCTTATTTATAAAATTAAGTAACTTTTTTTCCAAAAGATGACATAAATGTTTAGAATCAATACCAAATTGATTATAGATAATAATTAAATGAAATTCAAAATTTGAATAAAAATATATCCTAATCTTAGAATTTAGATTAAAATGAATATCATTTTACTAAAATAGATAATTGTAGGAATTTTTAATTTGGAACTTGCTTGCAATGTCATGAATCATATGAATTTAATTTGAATAAAAAATAATGTTTACCTAAATGTAGTGATGGCATAATTATATAGTATGAAGAATGTGATGATTAAAATAACATTCAGTTTGATAGGTGTTACAAATGTTAAATGAGTTGTTAAATATAATGTATTACTTGTAAGAATAGTATATGTTTATAATGTTTAGATGGATGGTAACTATTAGAGGATACATGTTAATAAATTTGTGGAGATGGATAAATAGCCATATTATCAATAGAATAATGTGATGATGGCAACAATTAAGCTTATGATGGATGCTATGAATGTAAGTTTGAATGTGATTCTAATTGCTTATATTGTGTGGATAATTATTATTGTTTACTTTGTAAAACACATTTTGAACTAAATAATAATTATTACTGTTAACCTATATGTGGTGATGGTATTATTATATAAGGATTTGAAGATTGTGATAATTCAAATAATGATCAAAGTGATAGTGAATGTGATATAGGTTGTGAATAATGTGAATTAGGAAGTTGCAAATAATGTAATCTAGAATATTAACTAATCAATGGAAAATGTAATAACCATCAAATAATTAATAACATAAATTAAGAATTAGAAATTTACTAATCAATTGATAAGTGTGGAGATGGAATTCTAGGTTTAAATGAAGAATGTGATGATTAAAATAATAATGATAATGATGGATGCTCTAAACTATGTCAAATTGAAGCTAATTGGAATTGCTATGTATTCATTTATTAACCAAGTGATTGCTTTCAAAAAACTTCTCTATTTTTATCTTATTTAAATTAAACAAATCAATATTAATATGTTAAAATATCATTTACAAATAATATTGATTTTAATTAAATTCCTGATAATTTTAACAGTTCAATAAAATTTATTATTCAAGATGTCAAAAAAGAAGATTATGCAATAAACTTTTTGAATGTAATTGATACTAATTAAAAAATTAATCAAAGTAATTATGAATTAGAAATTGAAATGAAAAAATCTTTTTAGAGTTCATTAACATTAATTGTATGGATTGAATCTATTTTATTTGATGAAAACTTATTTATTGTTGATACTGGTAAGAAAAGTCTAAAATTAAAACCAATTAAAATATTAAGTCAAACTCAAATATCTATTTCTAATACTTTCAAAGAACTTGGGTTTGGAATGCTCCTTGGCTTAGGTTGTAGCAGTATTTTGTTATTTATATTTGGTAGTATTCAAGAATCAACAGATATATTAAATATCTTAGTATTTTAATCCAATTTAAGATTTATAAATGCAGACTTTCCATAAAACTTAGAAATTTACTTTTAATCTTCAGATTTTGTATCTCTTTAATTTATATTGTAAAAGTTTTAATTAATAGATATCTTCGATTATTTTATTGGTAAGGAGGAAATATATTGCATAGGCAAATTTTTAAAATATAATGTTAATGCAGAATTAATAACAAATTTATATGGACTAATTATTCAAATTATTCTATTATTTGGAGTGTTGATACTTATTAATTAATAAAGAAGATTATTATACAACTAAACGGTTGTCTAAAAAATTATAAACTATATTGAAGGAAGCAATTCAAAAATTTTGGTATATTTTGCCTTAAAATTATATCATTTAAATAAGGCCTTTTTAGACTTCTATCATTGCTTAAATAAACATAAGTTCTCTTATTTATTACATGCAAATACTTGGGATTTAAATTTGAAATTTTTACTTTTTGTTTCCTCAAACCATTAGATAAATACAAGATCAACTATTTCCTTAATTATCTGTCTAATTTATTTTATATTATTGATCAGATACTTCATTCAATATTTTATAAGACCCAATAACAAGATTATATTAATTAATTTGAGAAAATAATAACATGAAGGTGTCTTAGTATTGAAAACATTTGTATTTTTATTAATCTTGGTTAATTTTTAAACTTAACCAATAATGTAGTGCATTTTGTTAACATTCGTTATTATATTCTATTTAGTTTTCATAATACAAATAAAAATTATATTTGAAAATTACAATTTGATAACAACAATCTGGATAGAAGCTCCAGTAATGATATTTATATTTCTAAGTTTGGCACATTGTTAAATATTTTAAAGATATTTATCAGCCAATTAGTCTATTAATTTAGGCTTTATTTAAATTGGAATTCTTATTTTTGGATTAATTGGTCCTTTAATAAGATGTGGAACCTCATTACTTCAAAAGATTTAAGCATAAAAATAGTCTAAACCACAAGAGCTAAGCTAGATTTGTTAACTTATTGTAGTATAATAGGAACCTCAATAAAAATAATGAAAAATTATAATTTTAAGTTAATATCAATTATCATTAATCAAAAATTTATTGTAAGATTTATATATAAATAAAATTGTTTGAAAATCTTCATAAACAGTATGTAAAAAAATTGGTTAATATGAAGTGTTTCTGAATATTTAGAAATGAGATTTGATTATATTTTGTTTTTCGATTTTAGAAGTTAATAAAAAAAAGTAGAACCCTGCTCACAAGAACAAACCACAACAAAATTCAACTCTAAATTTCGTTATAGGCTGCTAGAGTAGATGGTGATGTTATTTTTTTATTATTTTATATTTTAAGTACAAAAAATTTATAAATAGAGAAATTTGAAATCACAGGTGTAAAGGAAAGAGATTTTTTTTAAATGAATTGTCGTGCATTATTGGAGATTAAGTATTCCCTTTTTCATGGCCCATTTTTTAATGGAAAAAAAAGTTTTTCATAATAATAAAAATTATTTTATAGAAATTTCATCAATTAGTATTATTAGGTATCAAGGCATATTCAAATATACTTTAATTTCTATTAAACAACTAATTGTTAGGAAGCCTAAATAATAGTTTCATATTGTGATTTTGGTAATTAATTACTTTTCAGCATAAAATTATGTTTTATTAAAGTTCATAAATATCATTTACAGCAATCGTTTCGGATTTAATTTAAATATTTGCAAAGAAGAATCTTTAAATTTTGATCTCCTGCTATAAAATATTCACAAGAACATTTGTTAAGAATAAGAGCACCAATAGTAATAAATAATAAAGCATTGAAATATCAGGAATTAACAAGCCAATAAAAGTAAACTAATTAATAAATAACTAAGTTATGCCATCTTAATTTTAAGCAATGATCCACATTAATAAAAATATAATTTTGTTAATTCTAAAACTTCATTGAAAAATATTAAAGAATTATCCTAAAATTTCATTTAAAAATAAAACAATATTCAAGTAAATTAGATTACTTTTAGTATGTTTTAGTTTTGGAATTTTCACTTTAAACCACACTAAAGATATAATGATTTAAAATGAAAAGATTTTAGATAAAGACTTCAAAAATATTTGAATTTAGAAAAAGAGATGAACTTTACACTAATGTATTTATCAATAATTTTTGGGCCATAAATTATTTTTTATTATTAAATTATATAACAATATGAAATATTATTGAAAATAATTAATGGTAAATAGCTGCATTATTAATTATTAAAAAGAGGTAAATGGAATGAGAGTTAAAGAATAAAGAAAAAAAGGAAATAATTAAGAATTTTTTCTTCTGATAAATTTAAGATCGAATATTTTTGAGATTTAAAACAACGTAATCCGTTTAAAAATGATGATTAATATAATTTCATGTTTTATTTTTAAATAAGAAGATTAATGTTGACTTAATTGATACTAATACTTGTGATTTAATCAAATAAGGTTGCTAGTTCTTCAGATGAATATGAAAGTAAACTTATAGATTTGACAAAATAATACGAAAACTATCCAATCGACTTAAGTTTTACAAATACTTTTGCTTTTTGGAGTTTTTGTATTCCTGCTTAATAAATGGGAAAATTTATTGAAGGGAATAAATAATAACTATTTTACATAACTGATATTAAGAAGACAATAATTGTAATGTTTGTTTCATTTAATATGAATTAATTAAAAGTAGAGCATGAGGTATGGTTAGCAGGTAGTGTAATAAGTAATTAAGAATTTGATCCACTTTAATATGAGGGTATTTGGATACTAACAATGATTACAATAACAAAAAAAGAAATTACAATTTAAACTTTAAATGCTAATGGTATCACCAAGAAATATACATTAGAAGAAGAATTATCTGATTCAAGTTTATCACTTGGAGGCGCAGGATTATAAGTTTAATTTAAATTAATATTTAGGTTACAAAAGAATTACAGCTTGGGGTATTTAAGGGTCGGATATCTAAACTAATGTAATTTTATGATTCTGAAACATATGAGAATATAAAAAATACTTAAACGATTCCTGCAAAAGTATTTGGTGAATAAAAAAAATCCTTAATTGATGGATTAAAAATATTTCAAGGAGATTCATTGAAATTTGAAATGGATTAGATTGGTGATAATTTTTGTATATCTGCATGGGTGAAATATGATGCTTCAGAAGCAAATAACTACATCAATTATTTATTGTTTAGATTAACTGCTTATAGAAGTTATGCAGATGAAATTAAAATTGGAGATGAATTAGTAAAAATAGTTGTGGAACTTGATCTTTAATAGCCTTTCAATTTTGGTTATTAAGTAGCATCTTTTCATTATGCTATTCCTATTGAATAAGTAATTCTAAATCGAGAAAGCTAAAAAATTTATATTAATAATCAAGAAGTATACCCTAAAATTTTAGTAAATTGGCATTTCATAGCATTTGAACATGCTCGAAATAAAAATCCAGCATCAAGATTTATAATTAGTTATTTTTTAGATTAAGTAGAAACACGTTTGGAATATACATTAGGAAACTCTCGATATAGAAATTTATTTATAAACACTAAATATTATTTACTTATAGGATAAGATAATGTTAGATATTTTTAAAAACTTAGAGGATCAATATATGATCTATAAATGGCGTATAATTTTGATTATTCCAAAGAAATTAATTTTGGTATTAGTAGATAATATTTATGAGTATGCCATTATAGTTGCCAAGAATGTTAGGGTCCTACATAAAATGATTGTATTAAATGTTTCAAAGATACAAACAGAATATATTTAAATGATTAAAATTAATGTTCTTGTATAAATGGATATTTAGAAATTGATAAAGTATGTAAATCAATCACAGAATTTTAATATGCTTTAACTTTAAAGGAAATAGATTTTGATTAGAATTTATTAAGATGTGATTTTGGATACTTTGCTTTACCTGAGTAATCAAGATGCATTAAATGGTATCTTTAATATTTTTATTTTTTAAAGTCCAAATGAATTCACCAAAAATTTTGATCTTAATTGTGCAGAATGTTTATTAAATCCTACAAGTTGGTATAATAAATTAACTTGTTAAAAGGATTTAATAATTTAAGCAAAATCAATATATGAATATACTTATGGCATTTATTAAAGGTCTCCAGAGAATTACGAATTATATTTAATTGATGATGACTATAATTTATAATTAGTACGAAATGCAGAAACATATTGTCAACCCTAAGAATAGAATAACTGTAAAGAAATAAAGACATTTTATCTTTTATCTAAAAAAATCTATGTGAATTGCAAATAGAATTATTTTATGAATACATTAACTTTTAGTTGTGAAATATTACCAAAAGGTTGTTTAATTATGGATATCCAAAATGGTTGCTAAAAATGTATTTCCGGATATTAATTGTAAGAATTTGCTAATTAACCTCATTGCATTTATGTGTGTAAAGAATTCTGCATAGAATGTAATACAGAAAAATGTTTAACCTGCATTTCAGGATATACACCAGATAACAATTATTGTATATAATGTGGTAAAAATTGTGAAATCTGTTAATTCTAGCATAAAGAAGGATTACTTCGATGCTTAAAATGTGTAGATCATAAAAAATATTACTTATCAATTAATTAAGTAGATTGCCTTGAAAATTAAATATCAAATTGCATTTACGCATTTGAGGCAACAAAAGATTTTATGAATAATTCTTTTGAATTTAATGGACTTCCAGACACGGTATCTGATTCAATTTCTGGATGTGCTAGATGTATGAATGGTTTTTAATATGACTAAGAAACTAATGAATGCATTGTATTAAATGATAATTCATGTACTCATGGTTATAAAAGTTCTAAATTAAAAATATGTTTTATTGGATAGTAAAATGTAGATTATTATACAATCTCCTTTAAAATGGACTGCTAATATAAAGTGTCTAATTGTTAATTATGTTTACTACGCTAGAATATGGCTGATCCAACATTTACATGTCTAACTTGTTAAGTAGGATACTATTCTGAAAGATAATCTGGTTACTGTATAGGTTGCCCTTAAGAACTTAACTGTTCTAGTTGCTATTAATAATAAAGGTTAGAAAAGGACTATTGGAAAAATGAAATTTAACCTTTCTATAGAGCTTTGATAGATGATTATAAATAATCACATTCTTTTATCTACTATGGAACATCTTAAGATCCTAATGATTATGAAATTCTATGTCATGATTGTTTGACAGGATTTGAACTTTTAAACGATATTTGTGTTAAAGGTTGCCCAAAATCATGTTTAGAATGTAAAATTATAAATAATTAATACGTTTGCGTCAATTGTCCATCAAATGATAAAGAATAAAATTATAGTATTCATGAAAATGAATGTATACTTTGTCCTTCAAATTGTGAATTATGTCGTAAAAGAGAATAGTAAGAAATTAAATCAATTAATCCTCTTTTTGATAATTAGGATTTCTGGAATTTTTCAAATTAATGCATTGGATTCTATGAATGTTTCGGTATGAATTAATTCACCTACAGTGATTGCAAGAAAGACGCAAAATTAAAACTAATTGAAATCACTTTAGAATTAGAATGCTACGGAGATAATCATATTTTAATATCAGATGAAATTAATTAGGTAAATATATTCTAATTTATTTCAGTTTAAAAGTAATGAATTTTATAAATTGTCAAATTAATTCTAAATTTAAACCTTTATCATTAAAATTATAAGTATTACATAATAGACTTGCAATTTCAACCAAATCGTCACTTAGAGTTATAGTTAAAACATTTTTACTGCTATGTAATTATTATTTAATTATTGTAGTGATATTTAATTGGAAATTTATGGAAACAATATTACCATTTTTAAGTACGAAAAATTATTGCAGTTTATAAACTTTTCTAAAATTAAAATAGTAGATGTAATCTTTGATATAATCGGATTGAATAAAAAACCAATATTATTTGAATCCGCCTTTGAATAAACAATTGAACTAAATAATATTAAAATCTTCAGAGCCTATGATACATAATAATAGACAATTATAATTAATAATGCTTCAAGAATATTTATTAATAACCTAAAATTTAATCAGATAAATTTAAATAGAGACCCTGGTTTTATTATATCATTCGGAGAAACTGTTTCAGATTAGTTAATTATCATTTCTAATTTTTTGATAGATTATACCAGTATAGCAAAATAAATCTTATTTGATTTTCACTTCAAAGAAACTGATTAGGTAGAAATTTCTAATTTAGAAATATTTAATTGCGTTTTATATTAAACTTCAATTTTAAATCTTAAATAGGGTAAATTAATTCTAAGTGATAGCAAATTTAATAATAATTATTTATTTGATATTAAAAATTTGATAGCAATAGAAGGATCTGCTAATTTTTATGCTAAATAACTTATTTTTGCATCTAATTAGATTTTTAACTCATCACTTATAGCCCTTTCTAAATTTTGTTCTTTTTCTCAAATTTAATTTGAATCCAATAAGCTGACTAATTTTTCAACATTAATTAATAATTCTTAAACTAGTATTCAATAAATAAAGCTGGAACAAATAAGAATGCAATTAAATGAATATGATGATAATTCAAAATTTATAGACATAAAAGGTGATGATAAGTATTAGAATTAGTAATTATTGATGACTGAAATAGAATTAATTGGAAGCAAATTCATATATGATGATATAAAAAAAATGATAGATTAATCGCTAATCTAATTATAAATAGAAAATGTATCTATTAATAAATTAAATATTGAAAGAGTTTATGGACATAGTGAAATTAATTTTTTTGGAGTCAAAAATTTGACATTAAATTCTATAACAATTAAGCACTACTACTATGAGCATGAATATGAATAATTAATATTAGCAAATGACTGTCTTTTTTTACTTGATTAAGACTTTCATTATTGTACTTCAATTTATCTCTATGATGTATCAAATATTATAATAAGTAACTTAAATATATCATCAGCTCACTCGCTTAATTGTCCTATAATTTATATTGATTCCTCTTAGACTGTCAAGGAAAAAACTTAAATTTTGAAATTAAATGAGCTCTATTTTAAGAGAAACTACTTGCTAGTTTTAAATAATTAAAAATAAACAGGATTAATATAATTTATATCATAGTTATATTATGAAATTATAATAACTGATTCATTCTTTGAAAGAAATCTATTACATTAAAATTAGGAAAATTTACTTTAGTATCAAGGTTTGATCTTAAATTTTGATTGCCCATTATGTACAATTTATTCTAAAGGATTAAGATTTTAAAATAATCTAGTTACAAACGCTTCAACAAATATTATTTAATTACGAGCTAATAAAATTTAGATTGAAAATTCAACTTTTGAATCTAATTGCATTTTCGATTATAACCATTTGTATCCTTATATTAAATTCAATTTTGAACCATATGAAAAAATTTCATTAGAAATTCTAGCAGAGATTCTCTAAATTAAAGTTTCAACTGCAAATGCAATTTTATTTGCTCAACAAATTATTATTAACTAAATTCTCATTAATAATTCTACTAGTACAGGATTATAAATTAAAATTGAAAATGAGGCAAATATACTTATAGAAAATTCTTCTTTCTTCAACATCAACTCTGGTTTTAATAAAGAGGAAAAAGCAAATGGAGGAGCTTTATTTATAGATTCATCCTAGGCTACTTCAGTAACTATCAATATCAAGAATGTATATGCAAAAAATATAAATAACAGAAATTCAGGTGGATTTATTTATTTTTTAAGTGGAAAAGGTACCACAATCTTAAATTTAAATGAAATCTATGTTGAAAATGTTTACTCTTTAGAAGGATCTCTATTTTATGGGTATTCTGCTACTCTAAATGCAATAGAAACATAATTTAAACTTACAAACTTAAAACTCAAGAATTCCTTATAAGGATAATTGTAATTTTTAAATTAATTTAAATTCAACTCAAGTTCTTAATCAGTTCTGTAATAACTTAATTCAAGAACAATTATTTAGATTTCTAATTTTTAAAATATTGATTTAATAAATTTGCAATTTTCAAATGTATTCTATGAATCAATATTAAATTTGCAAGCCGCAAAAACTCTAATTATTAGAGAAGTTGAAATCCTTCAATCTAAATTTTTAAACTTTGCATTATCATTAGATTAATTCATTGATAATTCATCATTGTTTTTAAATTAACTAAAATTATTGAATATTACTGTTGATAATACTATTGAAGCTCCTTCTAAATGTTCGATAAACAAAACAAAAAATATAAAAGTACCTAAATTTTAATGTAAAATATTGTTTGCATCTCCTTAGAAGATTGAATCAGAAATTGATAAAAATTCATTAGAATAAGCATATTGTGTCATAAATGCTTTAAATCAAATATTATATACAACTAATGTTAGTTTAATCTATATAAAACCTTAATAAACAATCCTTCGATTCTCGAAAATGAGCTTTTAAAATATTAATTGTTTTTCCTGTTAAAAAGGATTAATAGAGATTTAAACAGATGAAGATAATATTAATGCAGTGATTGAGCATTTATTAATTATGAAAAGTGTTTGTTGGTATGGTAGTTGTATGACACTTGTTAATGAAAGAAACTAATCCTAAAATTCTAGGGTTCTTTAGAATATAAAATCAGATCTTGAAAAAAAATAATATGATTTTCGAATAACAGATTATGTTTGTATGTCTAATAAAGGTTATGAGGGTACATGTTTGAGAGTGGTTAATTTAAGAATTTTGATCACATAATCTATTTTTAAAAATAATTTTGCAAATATTACTGGTGGTTCTATCTCGATTAAAGGGAATCAACAATTTGTTATAATAGAGTCTATAATTTCAAATAATGCTGCTTAATATGGAGGAGGGGTATCAATTAATGATCAATATACTAATCAATTCTATAAATCTTAAACTGTTATTACTTAAAACTTAGCTTAGAAATTTGGAAATGATACTGCTTAATTACCATCTCAATTATCCATCTCTGTTGATACATAATAAGTTCTCCCAAAAATTAAGATTATTGAGAATTAGAATTTAATTATAGAGTAGATTTAAATCAAACCTTATGAGATATTTAAAAATTAATTTTCAGATTCTCTTTTCTTACCAAATGGCTAACCATTATCATCTTATAAATATTTCAATATAATTGAGAGAAAATAATTTAAATATAATATCAATTTCAGAATTAAGGCTCTTGATTAGTTTAATATTATTTAATAGAATTTAGAAAATAGTACTTGTGATGTTGTAGGTAGAATACTTAATGAAGAAATTGAAAATAATTTTACAAAAAACTTTACTAATATGCCTAAAGTTAATTTTAGTTAATCAGATTATAATTTAGATGATATAATCATATAATTGGATGATCAATTAAATTTGACTTTACAACTCTAATTTAATTGTTCTTCTATATATGTTCCAATCTATAATGAAAAAAAAGAAATAATTAATTATCATAATAATTACTATCTTCGAATTAACGTAAAAGCTTTTCCTTGTTAAATTGGAGAAATAAAAAATTTAACTTCAAATATATGTGTACCTTGTAATTCTACTGAAGGGTGGTATTCCCTTAATATAAATTCGAATTAATGTTCATTAAAGGATGATCAAACCGTATTGACAGTAACATCAACTTCATTAAATTTAAAACCTGGATATTGGAGGCCGTATTTTGATAATGATAAAATTAGTGAATGTATCAATCTATTATAAAATTGTAATGGTGGTTGGTATGAAGGAGATACTTCTTGCACTTTAGGTCATATAGGAGCACTATGTGAAGAATGTGATTTATATGATTCCAGAGGGGAAGGACATTATTCTACTAGTAATAAATACTCTTGTGGACCTTGTGCTGATTAACAATTAAATTCAATATTAATATCAGCTATTAGTTTATGGTAAAAATATTATATTATCTATAGGGCATTAATTTCTGTTTTGATCTCAGTCAAAGGAACTGTTGCTCTTATTGAAGATATGGCATAAAAAATGTACTTTTTAAAATTTAAACTATTTATGACAATGTAAGATTCTTAATCTGGAATTCTGATTAAGATGTTAACAAGTCATTTATAAGTTCTATCTACTATAACAAGCTTCAAATTTAAATTACCATAAACTTTAAATAGCACTATAAATTCTACAGCAAATCCAATTCAAGCAGCATTATATTCACTTGATTGCTTTCTAATTGATATCTTTAGCTTTAATATTCATTATTCTCGAATGATTTGGCAATTAATTTTGCCCTTTTTTTATGTAATTGTATTTTTAGGATGCTTTTTTATTGGAGTACTAACTAAATTCTTAAAATATAGATTAAGTGTTATCACTACAACATTCATATATTTGTACATATTTATATAACCTAATATAATTGCAGGATTTCTATCTCTAATATCATATCGTAATATTTCTGATTTTAAATGGATTTAAGCCAATGTTGCTTATAGATATGATACTGAAGAACATATTTTTTGGCTTCTAACTTTCTGTTTACCAATTTTATTGGTATTTGCAGTTATTATCCCCTTTTTTTTATACTTTAGTCTCTACTTAAATAGAAATAATCTTAATTCAAAAGTAAGTAGACAACAATTAGGTTATCTATATAATGAATATAAAATTACAGCCTACTTTTGGGAAATAGTAAAAATATTAGAAAAGGAATTAATTATTATCTGCTTAACTTATTATGATGAAAATATCGTTAAAAAAGGTGTTTTAGTTTTATTGATTGTTTTTATTTACTATGAACTCAATATAAGATATCTACCATATAGCTCATCTAAACTAAATAATTTAGATTCATACTCAGCTAAGATTTGCTTAATTGCAATAGCATTTGGGATTATAATTTATATTGAATAATTTAATGAAGTAAGTGAATTCTAAATTCCTTTGTTAATTATTATTGTTATACTAAACATACAGTATTTTTTTTAAATGTTAAAGGAAATTATAAATTCCTATGAAAAAGCACTTGAAGTTTAACTAGATTCCATCCGAGATAAAGTTAGAGAAAAAGCTCCATGGACATTAAAATACTAATTTTTAAATTAATTGCTGAAAAATAAATAATAATAAAGAGCTAGAGTGTAAAAAAAGTTTTTCAAATTGAAAAAATTTTTATTTATCTAAGCAAAAAAAATAGTATTAATTAAAAGAAATTATAATATTTTTGATGATGGAAATATTAAAGCAATTATTCAGAATTTCTGTCAAAATAAGTAATTATTGGCATTATATTAGTAATCATAATATTGAAAGTATAATTGACATATCACCCAGTAATCAAAACATCCAGAACAACAGTCCATCAATTTAGATGTGATAATTATATAAATAACAGTTTATAAGATAGTATTTTTATTTGCATAAAAAATTATTATTTAATTTATTTGAGAAAAGTATTTGATAAAAGGTTGTTGATGTATTTTATAATGATAATTATTAATAACGCAAAAAAGTATCCATAAGAAGATAGAAATAATCTATAGAGTTTCAATTTTATCTGAATAATCATTAGAACAAACCAAAAGTACCCTATTTGCAATTATCAAACCCAGAAGGACACAACTCTTCTCATATTAATGATCCTAAATAATATAATTTAATCCAAAAATATTGATTATTTTTTAATTCATTCTAATAAAAATTATTTTTATTAAATGCTGTGAGAATGTAAGTTCTGAATAAAACTTTTGAGATAAATATTAAACATCTTTAAATTGAAATTAATGATTAAATATCTTCAACCATAAATTTGTTTAATTAACTTTTAATTAGTCTCAATTCTTTATTATTAGATATGCAAACTAGTTGTAATTCTCTGAAATAATATCATTTTAGAATCTGTTTTCTGATATTTGTATAAATAAGCAAAAAAATAAAGAAATTTTTTAAATAGAGATTTAAAAAATATACAATATTTTTACATCTCTATTTAAAAATTTGTTAAATAAATTTTGAAAATATATTATAATTATAAAATAAAATACTATTTAAATAAGGTTTAATGATATTAATCCTCATATTCAATTTCTATATATAGACATATAAGATTAATATCATGGAAAATATTCATTTCTAATAAATTTTTCCATAAATATTAAAGCTTCTTCTCTTTTATCTAATGGTACCATATGGCCAGCATTTCGAATGGTTAAAAATGTCAATCCATTTAAATCTTTGACATATCCAGCAATTTAGTTAGGATCAACTTCTCTTATTTGTGGTACATACCAAGATCTCCAAGGTTTTAGAGTGATTAAAGCTATAAATATACAATTAAAAAAAGATTACATAATTCTTATTACAACTTATCAATCCAAAACATAGTCCCAGTTACTGGAACAACAGCATCAACATCTCCACTATATATCAAAACTCTAATTTAATTTTTAATTATTTCTTCATATAAATAATAAGATCCTTTTGGATTTTCTTTATAGTTTACAAACTTTTTGGAACATACTTCCCATTCTGAGGATTATTCTTTCACATGTAATAACTAGACTATATATTTACATATACATCTCTAACTTCTTTTAATCTTAAGTGATGATATAACCCTTATATATCAGCACAAGCAGGTATATCTGCATCTTCAGTAAGGTTTCTCATTCCTAAAGATCTATCAGCCCTTTTACTACCTTCAGGAGTATAAGTATAACATGGTCCATATATATTATATTAATTAGCTTTTATATTTTTATCCTTTCCTGTTATTTATTCTTCAACTTCTTTTGATATTTTTTTACAAATCTCTAATTTTCCTTTTTCTTTAATGCATTTATCTTCCTCCTTCCTTATTTCTTCATATAATTCCTCACTTATAAAGTTATGTCTTCCAACTTAATGAAAAACATGAATTTAAAATGCCCATGCATCATGTGTACATTCACTTGGATCTGTACATCCATTTCCAATAGCCAATCCTTATAAATTTATACGATTTTCTATAGTTTATTAATCATTATAATTAATGATTTCTTTCGCTAAGGTTGGACCATATACTCCACCAAATGATTCTCCTGCAATATAAAATGGTAACTTTCTATAATCTTAGAATTTATTAAAAAAATCAATCATAGCTTTAAGATTATATTTAGCTGTTGATTCATCGGATTATTCTACTTATGAACCATATGAAAAACCTACAGAGATAGGTGATTCAAGATAAATCATATTAGCCTATAATTAGGTAGTAAACAACATATACAAAGTTTGTCCATGAATATTTGTTCAATTCAAACTCACTTGTGCCTGCTTTAAATACAAAAGGACCGTTCTCATTAAATGCACCTTAAATTGATGAACATCCAGGACCACCATTTAACCAAAGAATTACAGGTTTTTTTAAAGATTCTTTTAGAGATGGATAAAATAAATAATAAAATTCTGTTGTTCCTTCATCATCTACTTTTAAATAACCTGAATAGCTTAAAATTTTATTTTAATTTCTACATATCTCCTAAATAGTGTATATCAAATAACTATTCGAGTTTTTCATTATCAACTTTCTCTGTTTCATTAATCAAAATTTACATAGTTTAAGTAATTGTTAGCAAAATCAATAAACTAATCAATTTCTTCATTTTTTTTTATTTATTCAACTTTTCAATTAATTTTTATATTAAATAGTGTTGAGTTTGTGGAACATAGATTTTCTACATTATTATAATTCAATAAATTGATTTTGGAAAAAATCTTTCAATAATAACAACAATAATCTCAAATTTTAATATCATGAACTTTAAATTTCATATAAGGGATTATCTCTGATTAATTTGATCAAATCCTTAATATTTTTTTACTTACATCATTAATAAATGAGTAAAGCTCATTATTTTAATATATTTTTTCATTCTACTTTTAACTTTTTTTTGTTTAAAGTGCATTTTATATTTGCTGATATCATCCTACTTTTAATTTTCTATTAAAATTTATATATCCATAAATTTAATTGTAATTATAAACCTTTAAGAGATTGATGATTTAAATAAAAACTTTAAATAATGTAGTGTTTAAAAATACCCATATATATTTTATAATTTATTGATTTAATATAATATCAAATTCACATAGATGGATATTTACCAGGATTACTATTTAAACGTTGCATACTTAATTAAGGATCCTCAGAAATCACAATATCTGGTTTGTAGATAAATACTTATTCAGCTCTATTTTAAATTCTATTTTTACTACCACCTTATATGAGGTAGGTCGATCTCATTTTAATCTAATTTCTTGCCAAAGGTATGCAAATTTATTTAATTTTTTAAAATGCTAAAATAACTTTTTTTCTTTGTTCCATCTTGTTTTTCAAAATTTTTTTCAAACATAAAAATTTTTAAGTTTATGGAAAACTTTTTGTGATATATTCTTTAAATTTATCTAACATTTCCTCATGTTCTTTTTAATATTCCATTATAATCTTAGTTATAATCTGATTGAGAAATAAAAAGTTAAAAAATGCCATTGTAATAAAAAAAGGATAATTAAGTTCCTATACACTTGATTGTTAAGTTATATAAATTCCTATTGCTAATCCAATAGTAATCATACTAATATTAGCTGAATAATAATCTAAATTGTTTAAGTTATTTATTGAAAATGGTTTAAAATGAGAATTAAGTTCTTAATATACATAAGTTATAAGTAACACAAGAACTCCTTTCAATACAACATTATTTTAATAGTAAACAAGAAATAGAATTATTAATTCTTTTTCAAAAATTTTAATTAGTTCCCAAAAATATGCTTTTTTTTTATATTCATTATATAAGAAACCCCAATATAACCTTACCTCTTTTTTCTCAAGGTTTTCTCTGTTTTTGAATAGTCCAAAAATTAAGTAGAAAGGAATTAAAATTGTAATTAATAATATGAAAGGTAGACAAAATTAAAATACCCATTTTGTATGAGTAGGCGTATCATATCGTTATGAAACGTTTGCTTAAATCCATTAAAAACCAGAAATTTTTCTAAAAGAAACTAATTCTATTAATCCTTAAACTAAATTAGGTTAAAAATATATGTAGAGATAAATTAAGGTTGTTGGAGTAACACTTTAATTAAATTTAAGAAATTTTATTTAGCTTGCCAATAGATACAAGCCTAAAAAAGCTTAAATGTAAAATATAGGTAAAATTATTTGCCATATCATTCTCATGTACTAGATATCAATTTAAAAGGTATTTGCTAAAAAGCAATCTAAAGAATAAGTGGTTGTTTGTAGAGGATTTCCAACAATTTCTAATGTATTATTTAAACCATCAGAGAATTGCAACTAAAAAGTAGTTATGGATACAATAATTTGAAAATAATTAGTAAGCATTTTAATCAATACTCCTGATTAACTTTTATTCAAAGTGGCTGAGGTTTACAAAATTTTGAAGGGTTAAAATTTTGTACAATTCTCTACTGTTTTAATATTTCCTTATACTGAAATCAAGAGAAATAATAAGGTTAAAATAATGATTCCTATGATAAGAAAGACATTTCTTTAATTTTCAACACAAGGTCCACATGAAAACTTTTTAACTATTGAAAATTATCCCCATCCCTGTGTATCATATAAATCACATTACTCGCAAAGGGATCCTATATGTCCCTTATAACAAGAACTATCACCAACTTCTATTCCTCCTAAACAATTTAGTTGTAAATTAAGACAATAGCTTACTTCATTTGTATCGAAATATGGTCTCCAAAATCCTGTTCTTAAAATTAATTAATTTTAAAAAACGTTTAATGTAGTTAAATCATCTTTAATGTCACATTTTTCAGAATTTAAATTTAATGAATATTAACCTTGATTTGAATCACAAATTTCACAAGATTATGTTTTTGAATTTTTGATTTCACCAAATTAACATAAAAAAGTCTTTATGTTAATTCTTAAGGAATAATTTTAATGATAATCAATAATTTCATAAGGGTATTTATCATTATAAATAGGAACTTTGATAGAATTGCATTGAAACTATAATTATAATACAATCTCTTCAGGTACTTAGTTATCAAAATAAATAATTAAATCATCAGTTAAGTAGTTTTAGGATTTTATATTGAAATCAATAAATTAAACATTAGTATGATTATTTGTAAACTCTTAATTATCATTTTAAGATAAATTGAAACTTCTACTTTAAATTGTACAATAAGTATTTTTAAGATTTTTAATTTAATTTTTTCCCTCATCTAAAGCAATGATTTGAAATGTCAATTGAGGATCCCAAAATATTTTATTTTTCCAATCAAACAACATATAAGTTGATAATTTTTACCCTGTAGGAAACATGATGCAATTAATTGATTTTCCATTTGTTCCAATATATGGCTCGATATCAATCATATCTATTTTCTATTAAGAATTTTAAAATAAAGTTTTTGTTTTTAAAGGTAAAGTAATTTATTTCACCTTTATAGTAAGTTTTGAAGGAATTGATGTGGCATCATTACCATAATTTTCTGCAGTATTTTTAAGTATTTTAGTTTTTGTTTTTTCATAATTCATTGCTATTTAATCTTGAAAATACAATCCTCCTCCAATTGATGCTTTATTCATTTAAATTACACTATCTTCAATCATCAAATTCTTTTTTCCTTCCACATATATGCTACCTCCTTCCAAAAGTGCTGTATTATTCTTGAAAAAGCAATATTATAAAAGAATAATTGCAGAATTTATTCTAATACAAGTTCCTTAATTTCCAGAATTATTTTCACATACATATCGCCTTATTATAAATTCATAATTTTTTGAATATAGTTCTGATGTGCTCAGAATTCTATTATTGCTTGAACCCATTTTCTCAATATTTAAACAACCTTTTTCTCCACAATTTGAATTAAGTACATAAAGCGAATCAATTAATTATTGCTGAACGAAATTTTCACTAATTTAAAAATTAATTAAGCCATTTTTACATATTTTGCAATCAATATCAGCTATTGATATATACATAATAGAAATTTTATCTTTGTTAGTAAGATCATTAAGCATTATTAATCCCGAATTAGACAATTCTCTAGAATAAAAAAATAAAAATATCTATACATATTTGTCTATTTCTAAATACACACAAAATGCATTTTCGTATTGTTCCTAATTTTGATCTTCTATTTAAAGTGATGGAGCTCCTACTGAATGATTTAAACATTAGTATATTTAATTGTTTTCTTAAAGAGTTTTAGTTGTACAAGTAAAATTAGAGAAATGAAATCCCATATAGATTTAAACTATGTGAAAATTTTACATAATTAATTCTAGTTAATTACTTTTAAATGGAGTTATTGTAATCAAATTATTATTGATATGTGAATCTTCAATATAGATATTTGATAAAGATACTTCTCTTACTTAGGATAAAATAAGAAAGGATTCTAAAGTTAAAAAATAAACTTTAATATCCTAAATTTATATTAAAGATCCATATTCTAAGTAGATTAAAGTTCTATTATTAATTAGATTATATTTTTCTTATTGCTTATAAAATTCATTAAATTTATTTAAAAATTAAATATAACCATCATAGGAATTAATTACCTAGAGATTTGAGACTTATAGAATTTAAGGTTTTTCTAAAAATTACGAATAAGAAATATAAAAAGCAGATCCTTATTGAGCAAAGACATCCTTTAGAGTTAATTGTGAAATTATCAAATTTGTCTAGGATGTTTATGATTTCAAATATAGAAAACCTCCTATTTGTCGACAAAATATTTTTTAAGCAATTATATTCCTAATCTCTATATACAAAGTTGTAGATGATGAACCATCAATATAAATTCCAGCTCCTTATTCTGTTTCTGACTAAAATTATGTTGTAATTTGCTTATAAATATTATTAGCTATAATAATAGATGATTCTCCTTAAGAAAATAGCATAAAACAACCACATATATATCCTACTGAATTTTAGAATGTATTATTGTATATTAGAATCTAATCAGCTGAAATTTACCCAACACCTGATTAAGATTTTATCTAAAATATAGATTAGATAAGTTTTATGGTTACTTTTTCAGTAAAACCCCATAATATATGAGGTTATATAATTTCATAGTTAAATAAACCATTATTTATAAACAAAGAATCATTTATTTAAGCTGTTTTAGACTCAATATAAATAATATTTGAAGTGCTATTAATCACTAAATTGTTTTCAAATAATTATTTCATCAAATAAATTTCACTATTTGGACATTATATAAGAAATAAACCAGCAGATTTGATATGATCATTTTGGATATAAGCGTGTAAAATGTTATTGCTAAATTTTATATTTTCACATTAAATTTACACTTGCTAATATGATTAAATTGAAATTAGAGCTGTTTCAAATAGTATTTCAGTTTTTAATATTAAATTTGAGTTAAAGGTTAAATTTTTCAATATAATAAATTCAGTCTAGTTTAAGAGATTTAAATCAGCAGAAACTATAGAAATTATTGGAAAATTATAAGATAGAACTTTAGAAAAAGTTAAATTTTTTATATCTGTAATTTTAGATGAAAAAATTTTGATTGAAGTTGGATAATATTAATGATTTACCTATTTTAATTAACAATTTAAATATTGATGCAAACCAAAGAATCTAAATTTTTCTTACTATATTATTCCATTTTCTATTATTATCCTCTAACTGTCATAAAGTGAAATCTCATTTAAACCATACCCTCTTTAAATAATGAAATTAATAATATCCACTAAATCATATTGGATAGTTATTAAAGAAAAATCTATTTATTTTTTGTTATAATTTAAGAAATCCTTTAAGAAATAGTTGTTAATCAAATTTAAATAATTAATTGTAATTGTTTGGGTTGAACTTTAATGCTTTTTTAAATATATAAATTTTATTCGACTGTCATATTAATTATCTTGAAAAGATATATAAGAAAAGTTATGTTAAATAGGAAAATCACTTAGAAATTCACTATTTACAATCATAAATGATTCATTTAAAATTTAGCTTTCTTAAAATATTATATCTTCCAATTTGCTATATCTATTTAATAAAATTAAAGTGGAATTTTTAATAAGAGAAGAAATAATTGAAAATTTATATATACTTAAAAAAGCTATCTTTTGAAAACTGAAGAAGGATTCAGAGTCAAATATTTTTCCTATAAAAGCGACATTTTTCATATTAACAACACCTAATTCATTATTTTAACTTTCTTTTATAAATGTAGAATTCGTAAAATTGGAATTAATCTCAATAGCATCAAACTCAACCTAATCTTATTAATTCAGACTTAAATAAAAGAAAATCATATTTTAAATGTCACAATTCTTTAGATTTATATTAGTAAAAATTAAAGATTTTGGGAAGGGTGTCTCTTCAACTTTTAAAAAGTATCGTGTAAAATCCAATTTAACATTTTCAATTAATATATTACTAAATTAAAAAAGTTTAATATTTTCTAAAGTAATTTAAAAGTTAATATCTCGTTATTCTTGAGCTTCACTATATTTAATATAAATTTAATCCAGAATTATAATTTGAGGGAATAGACTTTTAAATAAAAATCCCAATACAAACTAATTTTACTTATCACCTTCTACAATTATATTTTTGAAAGTTATTTTGCTAAAATTAATTAGCTCTAAATTTGTTTAAAGTTTAATGGGTACCTAGTTCAAAAATATAAGTTCAAATTCAACCATCCTAAATAAATATAATAGAATAAAAATACGTAAGAGAAAATATATTTTCAGAAAAAATTTATTTAATTTATCCACCAGTATGGAAAGGATAATTTGTGGAAGCTTTTTGATATGTTATTTTAATCAATAGAGATTTAATAAATTTTGAATTTGCTAATGTGTAAAACTCTTCGTTCTCGAACTAAAATAAATTAATAATTTAACTTCTTTAAAGCTGCCTTCTGGTGAAACAATATTTGAAAATAATATATTATTTTTTTTAAATCTAACTTAATCTTGATCGTTCAAATTCCATAGATCATTATAATATTAAAATTAATTAACGTATAAATTTAACTCAATTGTTAATTGTTTTTAACAACCATTTTTTTGATTAGATTATACACATTAAATGTATAAACCTAAATCTTCATCATAATAATATTATTGATCTTAATAACTTTTTAAACATTAATAAGTATATTTCTAATAATTTTAATTGTTAAAAAGAGGATTAATTTAATGAATTTCCTCATTCGTTCGAACTCTACAAAAAGCACAATTTTCAGGACAATCAATACATTCATTATTTATGATAGTTTACCTTCTACCTCTTTATTCAGATTAACATTTAACACAAATATACTAATCATTATGTAACAAACATTATAAACAAGTCTTTGAGCAATATGGAATGCATTAGTTTAAATGTAATCTATAACCTTCTACACAACTTTCACATAAAGTTTCATAATCATTTATATTTTGACTTTAACCAAATATAGTATATTGATGTGAATTGATTACTTCTATATATTTTCTATAAAAAGGTCTTATAGAATTTTTCCATTAATCTTTTAAAATTGAATGCTATTAGTAACATGATCTGCATTTGAGTTCTGTTGGACATAATTTGCATTAACCTGATGTTTTTTCAAGATAGTAACCAATTTAACATTCTATACATAAGAAATAATTATGTATATCCGTTTATAAACAGATTTTACAATTTGCATTAAAATTAGAACAATTTTCTTGAAATTAAACAACTTCATTTTCATACTTATATGAACTTAAACAGTTAATTGATTCTAAGGATTAATCATTTGGATTTAGATTGCCTATTGCAATTAGGCAAATAGAATTAATAGTATTTGGAATACATGTATTAGTTTCAAATACAAAAACATAAGACTAATCACACATAGCACATAGAGTTAATATTTATTATTCATCAAAATTAGGTTAAAATTTGAAATCTAGGGTATTTGTAGTATAATCAGATTATAAAACTTGGAATGCATAGAGACAATTTGTAATTTAATTTAATTAACAATTTTGTCCATCTAAAGAAATAAAATATTTAGAATCCTCTACACATTTGAAGCATTTTTAATAATACTATTCTCTATTTTCATCATAAATAAATTCACAAGTTTCACAAAATTATCCACATGGGTAACATTGGCCATCTAAAAAACTATATGATTTAACACAAGAAATGCATATAGGTTCATCATTTCCATCATTATCACAAGTTATGCATTAGGATGGACAATCAAAACAGTAAAACCAAACCCAATACTTTCCTGGAATGCAGATTAAACAATTTCCCATACTATCATCAGATTAACAATTTTCTGGGAGTAATAAACAAGTTGTAGCATCATTTTATTAAGCTGGATAATAATTTGGTTTACAATTTAAATATGGTAATTTTCCTAAATGTTAATGTTATGTTGGATAGCATTATTAATTTATATATGGATGAAAAACACAAAAATCCAAAAATTATGGATATAATGTTAATTCTCGATCTAAACCTATCAAATAGACATCATAAAGTATAGGATTTCTCTTTACTATTTAAAATGGTTCATAATTGTCAATATTCATAATCTTTATTGCATCATATTTACAAACTGGTTTTATATACCATGTTTTATAATAATAATAACATTCTAAACACTATATAGAGTTAATTGATTATGGACTATATTAAATAATATTATTAATTACCATTATTTACATTCATAATTATTATCATCAATAGGAAGTCTAAAATATCCAATTGGACAAACGAAAGGATTTTCAATAATATCTTCACTTAGAGATATTGAAGAATAAAATTAATCAGTACATTTTCCTTATTCAAATTCAAAATATCCTTAAAGGCATCTACACTAAAAAGTATCAATTTAAAAATATCTATGTTAATTTTCATCACAACTTAAACAATTATTATATAATGGACCATCACAAGTCAAACAAGTATTATGACAATCTAAATATATTCAAAAATCATATACATTAAATAAATTCTTTATCTTCATTGTAATTAAAGCTTATCTTAAAATCATAAATTTCTGCTTGTAATAAATTATTATTAAAGTTGTCTCTACCAAAAAATAAATAAAATTTATAATTTGTAAATGAACCTCCAAAAATGTCATTTCCAAGACTTTCTGTAATTAATCCCAATTCATTATAAAATTGAGATTAAAAAAGCATTCTTTCTTATGAATTACTTCTTCCATATTCATATTAAATATAATGCCATTACTATAATCCTTCATAATACTATTTATTGTTTAAATTTTGAAATATTCTTTTGGATTAAACTATTTAATAATTTGAGTTCTAAGATCCTTAAAAAGTAGAATCAAACTAAGATTAAAAGGATTATTAAATTGGCATACTAAATGCATCTGCATTTACAATCATCTTAGTTTATTCAGGATTGCTATTTGATAAAAAAACTTCAATCATAAATAATTCATCTCCCAATTATATCTCATGTTCATAATTCAAAAAAGCGGTCATTCTCAATAATGTATATTATTTATCATCTCCATCTTTTATTATATATTTCGCCCATCCTGATAGAATGTATTTATTTCCATATTAGTCAATAGTTTGTTATTGAGCATAAGTTCCATCAAAAATATGCAATCCAAATACAATATTAATAATTTTTTCACCTTCTTTTTTTTAAGGAATTATATTGTTTTTAATTAAATCATCAAATGTAGTCTCAGTATAAAATAAAGATGGTATAAAAATTAATCTTGATAATACACCTTTAAATGTATTTAGATTCATATCATTAATCTTTATTATTATAAAATATTTACATATCCTCTTCCTCCTAAAATAAATTTTAAATTTAATTAAGTTTCTGAATTAAATTCTACAGTTTATTTTTCTTAATCACTCATCTAAACAAGAACCATTTGAAGCTTTGGTTATATTAAAATTAAATTAAATATCCATTTTCCTTCATATACTAAACCATCAAATTTAAATATTAACATTTATGTTGATAATTGATCAATAATTTATACCTTATGTTGAACTTTCAAATTTTCATAATCCAAGTATAAAGAAACCAGAATACTATTTGATTTTGTTTCAGAATCTTGCATTAACATTAACAATTATCCAAATTCTCCTTTACTAGAATCATAGGGATTATCAAAATCTATATTTTATTTATTATTCATTAAAGGTACACTCATACTCCAAAATCCAATTCCATAAGTATTTCCATCTACTGAATTATCCACGTTGACTGATTATTCCAAAACTTCTATACTTGATGATAGTATAGCTTCTTCATAACTTTAAAAACAAAAAATTTGAGATAAACAACCTAAAAATAATAAAATTATTATTAAGGCTATCCTTGAATTTGGGTGTTATTCCATTTGGATTGATTATTTTTTTATAATTAAATTATTCAAATAAGAAAAATTGCTTAAAATTAAAAATATTAAATTGATAGTTAATTAATTATTTTGTTTATATAAATGTAAAAAACACAATAAGCAATAAAAAAATTTATAATATCCTGTTATATTTATTCTTTTTAATATATTAAAAGTATTTTGTAAATAAAAAAACTGATTTGTTAATAACAAAAAAGATTATTTAATGGTAGAGATATCATAATTTAATAAAATCTTGAGTAAAGGATTACTTTATATTATTATTATACTGACTCATAAAATGCAGTTTAAAAATTTTAATCTTATTTGAAATTATGTTTTAAATGATATTTTAATTTCAATTCTAATAGTTTATTCATAACAATAGAATAAATTTAAATTCTGTATAAAATTTTGCTTTTAAAGTTTTCAAATTGGTATAACAAATTAATATAATTTCATAATATAATTTATTTTATAATAAAAGCTAATTATTCACTTAGTTAAATAAACATTAGGACATAAAAGATAAAATAATGTAGGACTCAATTAAACCCAATACCATGGCAGGTTTTTTTCTTCAAAATTTTAAACAATTATAATATTCAATATTATAAATTAGAATTATATAAATTACAGGCCATTCTTACTTATCAAATCTTGAGATTTTTAAAGAGCTTCTCATAAAAAATCATGGATAAAAGTAGTAATTATTCTGATTAAAATCTATCAAACATATTTTTAGCAATTTACAAGAAATTGATTATATTATAAATGCTGTAATATATGAAAAATTCTTTGTATATTATTTAATATTTCAAAATCATTAATAATTAAAACTAGATTTTTTTAAATTGAAAGTTAATTATCATTATGATTTTATATTAAACAAAAAATTTTGAAATTAAGGAATTGATAAATTTAAATAATGATAAAATAATTATTATATTATATTTTAATAAAAATTATAATTATGATAAAATTGTAAGATAACCTTTTCACATTAATAATTTATGAACTTTTGATATAAATTTAAAATGAAAATTAAGAGAACTAAATTATTTCGTATTTTGATATTTTATAATTCATCATATTTTAGCTCCTTTTTCGATAAATAGCTTGGCTAAATTTTCATTTTCTTTTGATTACAATACTGAATTCTGTAGTTTACAATAAGGAGCCATTAATAATGGAAATCTATTTAAACATTTAAAAAAAGTTGGCAAACCTTACTTATCTAAGGTTTCTTAATCTATTTTATAAAATAATATTGATCCATCTTTCATTCCTAAAATAATATTTCTACCACATGGAGAAAAGGAAGCTGAATTTAATTTTGAGCTAAATTAATTTATAATGCAAATTTAATTACCAGATTATTTTTCAATAATTTTGAGTTCATTTTCCTTATAATTGATTGTATATTAATTAATTTCTTTGATAACATAATCAAAATTTTCCTAGACTTCTTAAGATTAAAATATAAATTTGTCAGTGTAATTTGATATATGATCATGATATATTTAATAATTTAATCCCAATACAATAATATTTTCTTCGTCTTGATGAAAAATGAAGGAATTAATATTTAAGTGTTATTTTGTATTAACTTTTTATTATATACTTACTTTGGAATCTAAATCCCATAATGAAATAGTTTTATCTTAATTTAATGACAAAAGAAATCTGCCACTTTTTGAAAAAGATAATTGTTAAGTATAAGTTGTTCTTTCTAATTTATTGGGTTCTAAATTTACAAAGAGTTTCATAGAATTGGTTTCGAATAATTTAAACTCTCGGAACCATTAAAGAGCTAATAATTATTTTTTAGATGAAAATGCAGAATCAAAATGATAGGTATAATAATCTGAACTAATATCCCATTCTTTTTCATGATCTGGAATAATACATACCTTTAAGTAATCAGATTAAATAATATTAAACCCAATAGTCAAAGAATAAACAACAAAGAACTTTTCTTCATCTAGGGGATAAGCTACAGTTTTGTGCATCATTGGAGTAAATATTGGATCATCTATTATAGGAGCAATCGATATTTCTTTAATAATAGTGTACTTATCATTAACATCCCATAATTAAACAAGAAATTCATTATTTATTGAAAATAATACCTAATCATTATTAGAAAATGCCAAACATTAACTAATCTTTAGTCCTTTTCCAAATTGTATAATAATTTCCATCTTTTCAATTGACCATAAAAATATACAATTTTAATTTTGAATTGCCAATCTAAGATTATTGTGGGATATTGCCATACATTATACTTTTTCAATTAGAACTTCATCCTAAATTTATAATTTTTCTTTTTTTTCATCAAATAAATTTATAATTTGAATTGGACTAAAAGTTACTAAATATTGTGAATCATACGAAAATAATATTTAATTTGAACAAATTTCCTAATGTAAATTAATGTTAGAATCTTCAATTAATTATTCTGTCGATAAATTCCATAAAATTTTAATTCCATTTTCATATTTGGCAATTATTTTAGTATTCTCTAAATTGAATTTAATAGCTTAAGCATTATATTTATATTTAATGACATGACTACTTACTACTAAATATTTAGTATTTAATTTCCAAAGTCTAATATAATGCAAATCATCTAATGCTGCAAAGTAATTACAATCGTTCGAGAAACAAAAACATGGAGGCAATTTATTTCCTTTTAATAAAACATCTATCTTTTAAAAATTACTTAAATCCCATCTAATTATCTCTTAAATAGATCCTGAAGCCAATTATAATCCATCTTAGGATATTGAAATTAATGTTATCGATGTTTAATGGCCATCTATTTCTATTTATTATTATTTTAATGCATTTAAATTCCAAAGTTTAATAATTTCATTACCAACTTAAGCTAAAATACCTTTAGCTGATATTTAAATCTAATCTATACGTTCTGTGCTACTTTTAAAAGTAGATAAAAGCTTACAAGTTTTTAAGTCCCATAATTTTATTGTAACACTTGAATAAGCAGTTATTAAGTAAGAGCATTCTTCACAAAAAACTGCTTTTTGACAATAATGAATACCAGCGTTAAATTCTTCCAAAAATTAAATTGATTTCATTGATAAGAAGTCTATTAATTCTAATCTTTAAGTATTCATTTTTTTATTTTCAATATTCAATAATAATTTTGTTTATTATTGGTTCATATCTAAACGAAATATTTCTCCAAATTATATTAAATTTCCTTTATCAATTATACAATCTTGTTCAAGATTATATTAAAAAATACTATTATCATTTGTGATTAAAGTAATTGTATTTCCAGTTTATCCAAATTAATTATATTTAAATCCACCAATTTACTAAAATAATTTTATTGAAATTGAATCAGAATATGATGAAAAACTTATAGTTTTATTTTACCAACTAATTCCATAATAAATATTATTTTATGAAAATACTTAAGGTAAAATTTTATCTTGAAGTTATGATTAAACAATATTGCATTACTACAAATTATCTATATTTTAAAGTGTTATAAAATTTTTGTAAAACACAATTATTTAGTTAGTTGGTTCAAAAAATAAAACTTTTACTGGTTATCCGATTAAAACATAATTTTTAATTTTTTTTATTTATTAAAGATCCTAAATATCGTAGAATAACATTTTATTCCTCAAACAAATTATCAAGATTTAGTCTTACTTTGCAAACAAACCTATAAGTTTTTATCATAATCATTTTGAGCTTCATCTCTTATATAAAAAGCTTAAACATTATCACTAAAGTTTAAATTTCTTATTATTATACTATTTTCTAGAGGTAATGCTATCAAGGATTAATTGCTCGAAATTGAAAAATCATTAGCTTAATATTTCCAAATTTACTTAGATTCAATTAATTTGTCTATCAACTTGATTTCAATACCAATTGTTGTAATAGAAACTAAGAACTTTAAATTTGAGGATAATTCATATAATTTGGATTTACTTTACACCTTGATTTTATGAAAATGTAAACTATCAGTATCAATAATGAAAATGAAATCAAAATCATATATCAACAAATATTTATTATTTGGATAAAATTTAGAATATTGTCCTTTTATTTAAAAATTTTTACTTTCTTTAAAATTAATCTTATCACCATAACTATTGTAAATTCTACAACTTTCACCTAATGTAACCATAGAATATTAATTGATAAAGTATACATTTTGCACCATTTCATCCTTTGAAATTTAATCTAGAATTTTTTATTGTTACAAATCGAAGATTTAAATAATTGATGCTTCATTATTTTAACCAAATATTGCTATTATTGTATTATTCCAGAAATTTACTCCTTAGCAATTAAAATTGATATCAATTATTTTAAACTAATTCGAATAATTCATTTCAAAAACATCTGAGATTATTAATATCTAATTTAAACTACATGATATTAAAGTTTTTTGATCTTAAGAAATAATAATATCTATAATTTTATCTTATGGAACTACTATAGCATTTTACAATTATTACTAACTTACATTCCATATTAATATTTCCTTACTTTTACAGCAGATTAAAAATATGCCATCAAAAGAAAATCTCAATAATTATAATTATTCCATATTTTCAATTAAAACGCCAATCTGTTTTATATTTTATATATCTTAAATATCAAAAAGTTTTAAACTTGATTTGAAAGTTTCCTCAATACAAGCTAAAGTTTGGCTATTAGGAGATAATGCAATTTCTTTAAAATTTATAGAAAATTATTAGGAAATAGCTTCTTAATCTTCTAATAATTTTAATAAATCACATATAATTACTTAATATGTTCTAATAACAAAATATTTATTGTTCTCTAAGAATTCCATTTATGCTACTGGTTGAGAGTTACCAAAAGAATTTAGCCATACAATATTGTTTAAATCCTTAATTCTCCAAAATTGAATTGCATTATCATCTTCATCATAAGTAGCTAAAAGTTCATTGTTTGAAGAAAACTTAATTAAAGGCTTCTTTTTTAGTTCTATTTTTAAATCTGCTATTTTTTAGATATTAATTATATTTGTGACATTCCAAAATGAAATTTCCTAACCTCCTACGGCAAGGATTTTTTAATCATATGATAAAGCAATACATTATATAAGGCTTGAATTTTAGATTTAATGAATATCCCCTTAATTTTATATTTCTGTTAAATTTTTCATTTCCAAAATGAATAATACTTAATTTTTCCAAACTCCTTAAATTACTGCAATGTAATTAAAATCAGGAGACACATTAATCCTTTCATATTCGTAATTATAAAATTTTCGATGATTAAAGAAACTCAAATCTTTTGAGTTTAAAATTTTTAATTCATTATTTGTTAAACATGCTATTTTATTATGAGTTTCTACATAAGACAAAGAATAAATTTGCTCATTTTCAAAACTTAAACTTAATGGTTCTTAATCTTGATATATTGGCCAAATTTTTATCATTCCATCTATACTTCCAGTTATTAAAGAGGAACCTGCAGTATTAAAATTTAATGAAACAACATTCTTATTATGGCCAATCAAAGACGGTTTCTCTTTGCAAAGTAAATTTGTCCAATTTGCATTTTCTATTGTTGAACATGAAAAGTTACAAGAATCAATAGAAACATTATCAAAAATAGTATTATTTAAATTACATTTAAATAAACTTAAACCATTTAATTTAGTATTAGAAATTTAAAGTTTACTAAAGTTTTATTCTTCTAAATATTCTCCTAAACAACTCAATAAATAAAATGAATTTGATGGTGCTCTAATAAATTCAATTTATTATTATGAATTTTATACTATTTTTTAGAAATTAATTATTTCAATTAATCTTTATTTAATATTCGAAAGCAATTTTAGTTTAGGTTTTAATAATTCTAAAGTACCTTAGTATTAATCTAATGATAAATTAAAATCATTTTTATTAAATAAACTCTACAGTAATTCTTCTTGGTTGATTTTAAAATCTATTTCAATTGCTTTTTCTAAAAAATTAAGAATATAATTTGCTACAAAAAATTCTTATATTGATTTATGATTAAAAGCAAATTAATTACCCTTTGAACATATTAACATACATTTTCTTAATAATCCCTTATAATCTGAATCTTATTCGTTTTCGCTAAAATAACAATCTTCCCAAGAATTGTGTATATTTTTGTTGTATATTACTTATTATAAAATTAATTTTCCTTTTTATTGATAATTTACCTAAGTAAGTTGTCTTATTGACATATCAATAGCTAAATTTGTAGAAAAATCTTTTAAATCAATCATAAAACTTTCATAATTGATAGCTTTTCCTAAATCCATCCATTTCTATATTTATTATGCATGATAAAAATCTACAAATACATTATAAAAATCAAATGCAGTTTATTAATTCATTTTAAACGCTCCAACTATAAATTAAGCATCAAATTTTACATTAAACTTTTTATTCTAACTTATAATTTAATTATTTTATAACTCTAATTAATGAGCAATGGAATGCTATTCAAAAAAATTTTAATTTTCCAATTCTTCTAATAAACTTTTAAGTAATTCAGATATTTCTTTATTATCAAAGTCTTTTAATTTTTAATTAGATTTTGTGCAATCAAAATTTTCATTTTATTTTAAAGAATCTTGTTGTGTATCTTTAAGTTGGAGATATTTAGTGACTAAATTAATAGATTTAAGGGATTCCTTTTTTAATATATTATAATTTATTTTTAAGATGTCTCTCATAAAACTCGCTTATGAAAACTACAAAGACATTTTAGGTAAAACATAAACAATTATCTCTAACATAAAAGGAGTATTAAGTAAATTTCCAATATTTATGTTGTTGATAATTTACAAAAATTTATGTTTACTCCACAATTAGATCAAATCTTTAATTAATGAATTAATTAAATCTGGTTAGAAAAGATTAAAAAATTCAACATTTTAAATTTTTTAAATAATTTTTTCTGCATCTTAAATAGAAAACAACATTTATTGGTTTTGATTACATAATAATATTTATTAAATATCTTCTTCTAATTAACACCAAAGTGTTTTAAATTAAACATAAGAAAAGTTTTATCCTTTTAATTACTTTAAAAATTCATAGAATCTCTTTATTGTTCTCTTTACACTGATTTCTGAATAGAGTGACAAATATTCTGAACTCTATTCAGATGAAAAAGGTAATAATTCAACTTCTTTTAATGTATCTAAAGATTTACCATAAAACCAGGTTTAATATCCTATAGATGTTAAAATCTCATCTCTAGTTGTTATTATAATTTTGACATTTTAACCAGATTCTTTTATATTAAGATCTTTAACTAACCTATTTGAAGTATAAAGATTTATTCTTTAGCAATCTAATTTCATTTCATCATAGCTTTCTAGAATCAAAACTATATTCAAATTACCTGCAATAACAGCTTCTTTCAATTCTCTGATCTATATACCATCAAAATTATAATTCTCTGATTATAATCCTTATTCTATAAGATTATGCTAAGGATCTTTAACTGATGGTAATGATATATAAATTGGTATCCATTTTGGTTCTATCTAATCAAAATTCCATAATAATTCTTCTATATTTATAGAAGCTCTACTTTTTCCAGAACCTGCCTTTCCTTTGAGTAACATTACATCTTTTCTTCTTTCTTTTTTATTCCATAAAAATTCATTTACTTCTCCAACAAAATTATCATATTAATATTATAAAAGATATGAAGTAAAGCCTCCTGAATTATTTTATAATTTGCTACCACTTATAGGATCATATTCTTATGTTTACAGTTATATATGAACCTAATCTATTTCATTTTACATTTTTTATTTTAATATATAATCTTTTCGAATTAAGAATAATTCAAAATAGTTTTTTCCTCTTAATTTTCTAATATCATTAACTATTCCATTTAGATTTTTTAAAACTAAATCTATTGAACTTTTCAGACTTTTTAAATCTTTACTTATTTCCTTTAAAAAAATTAGATTGATATCTAATCTTTAAGACATATCAGTGATATTATCAAAATATATTTCAAATTCATCTATCGCTTACTATAACTAATTTTTCATTTAAGGTGAATTTTCAGTAAGAACTGAATTTTCAAGTAACTCTATATTCTTAAGCATAGTTTAAATTTCTAATTTTAATCTCTGTTAAAATGTCATAAGATTATGTGAAAACATTTTCTTTTATATTTCCATCAATTCTTTGTTTTTTAATAAGTTTCTTACATTAGGATGCTTTTCGTATATCCATATCTTTTTTATTAAATTTGTGCAAAATGTTTATATCTATGATTCTTAAACTTAAGCTTACATTTTAATGAGGTTATAGACTAAAACTTCTCTAACTTTATAAGAAGAATTTTCAAAAATATCCTAAAATCCCCATTCCTTTTAAATTGTAGATGTATTTTCTAAATTAGTAAGCAATTAATAATAAATTTTATCACATTTTACATTTTCCATTTAATTTAATTATGGATCTTATAAAATAGAATTTTGATTCAAAAGAATGAGGTTAGCAGCTATTAAATCAATATTCAAATTCAAAGAAGCTTAAGTAAATTTATCTTTATTGAAAACAAATTATTCTTGTTCTATAATAGAACTTAAAAAAAGTTCAATAGATATTAATGTTTCAAAAATTATTTCTTTAATATTTCCTTAAAAATCTTCTTATTATATTTGTTTTAATAATTAATCAGAAACTTAAGTAATCCAAATTTGATAATTACGATTTTATATTATTATTTATTTTATTTTTTTTGTCTTATAGATAATCTCATTTAATTGCGAAGTCACTTTTTCAAAATCAAAGTAATTTTATTATTTAAAATTCTTACTTTAGTGTAAATGTTGAAATTCTTATTATTTCTTATTCTCAAAGTTAATCTAAATTGAAGATTGATCTATGCTATTTGATTTTTATAGATAATTATCTAATAGTTAAAAGATATCTTATTTTAATATTTATTTATCAACTTTACATAATCCTAATAATGATATTTAGTTTAGGATTTTTTAAAAAGTCATTATGCATAATAATTTTCTTTCTTATGACCAATTTTTTTATTGAATTTCAAGCAGATTAAACTATATTGCTTTTTCAATTCCATTTAATTCTTTAAGTTCTTCTTTTGTAATATCAATCTTCGGATACTTTTCAAAGAAAATTTTTAATTAGGATTTTAATTCAAATATTAAATTTTGAATTTTAATTTCTTGTATGCGCTCATCATCTTTCTCATTTTCACTTTACATATCATTTTCCGAGGAAATTTTTTGAACAATATTTTCATATTAAAGCAAAAATAATTTACTTTAATGGATCCTAAATAATTTTTTTAATCCTTTAAATAAATCTCGTATTTCAATGCATTTCACTAAATTATTCTCAAAGTCTTAAAGAGTTTCAAACTTCCAAATGTTATTCTTCCAATTTTGAGTGTGATAAGAGTGTATTTCAGAAATTAAACTTTTTATTAAAGAAGAATTATAAATTTTGATGATATTTTCCCACAAATCCCTTTAAGAAGTTTTTTCTTAGAATGATGAATTAATATTATTTGATATAAAAATATTTTGAAAACCTTTTTTTGCCTTTTTAATTTTAATTACAAAACTATCCAAGTACAAATCTGTATCTTATACTATCAAAAGTAATTACTCAAAATCTTTTAATATATTAGATATAGATTCTTTATTTAACTTCTAATAAATATTCATGTCAAAAATATCCTCTGAATACATACATAGAATCTTTGAAATTATTATCCATAATTTTGGTATTTTAACTAAATTTTAAACAAATGACATTTAACATTCTTTCTCCAATTCATCAGAGTTAGGAATTTATATATTTTCTTTATTATTTCTTTAATTTAGAGAATAATATTTTACAATCTGCTCAAAAGCTTTAAGATTTAAAATTTCTTTTATTCTAGCAATATCTATTTCATAAAATAAATACAACAATTATAAACTTTACTATTTTTATTAATTAATTAAATATTATAAATCCTATAAGCATATTTTAAAATCTTGTTATGAATTTTGTTTTAAGAAAGTTAAAGAGATTTAATTTGTTATTTATTCAAAGTTTTGTTTTAGTTAAACTTTACATTTTTTAATTTGACAATTTAAAGATAAAAGTAAATCAATGTTATCTTCATTAAGAATAAGAGTAATATATAAATCTAAGATATTATTTGGATTCTTTGATGATGAATCAAATTCAAAATTAGTATAGTCTGGCAACAACTAAATTTTCTTCTCTTATTCATTGATTAAGTACTCTTAAAACAATTTAAGGCAAGCAAAATCTTTTAAATTTAAATTTTGATTATCAAAAATTTTGACTTTAACTTATTGTTTATCATATGGTATTGGTGTAATATGATTTGATTCAAAAAGGGATACAAGGGTAATTTAAGTACCTGAAAATTAATCAAGCAAAAACTTCATTTGGCTTTTACTAATAATTATTCTATAAGACATTAACTCTGAAATTAAATTAATCCAGCAATAATGAACTATCCAATTTTAAGATTTTCTAATATATTAATTATATGCATCATTAAATTACATTATAGTTTTTTGAACTGAATATCCTGATTTCAATTAATTGAGAATTGTCCATTTTAAATTTTGAAAAAAGAAATATAATTCATAAATTTATAAAGGATTCTTTATTTACTTATCATAAAAATTTAGTAGCAAATATTTTCCAGCTTCAACTAAAGAATCAATCAATTCTTAACTTGGTTTTAATTAAGATATCGAAGTGACAATTCCTGATAAAATATTCATTGCTAATTTTTAACCTTCTTATGAATTAGTACGACAATGTGTAAGACATATTTTTATCATTTAAAGTTCAAAATCTATGCCATTTACCCAAATATTATTAGATTCTATTTTAATTTGTTCTTCTAATTCTGAAATTTAACTCAAGAATTTATCTTTTAAAATAACTTGCATATATCTATCTGGGTTCATTTTTTAATAATAAAAAATAACTCTTAGTAAATCATTACATATCTAAAGTAAAGAATGCAATAGATATCCAGAAAGCTTCAAATAAATTGTTAATTATTTCACCAGTAAATCTAAAGTTATCTCAACAATATCATAATGTTCTAAATTAGATCCTTAATTTATGCAAAGGCTTTGCAGATATTCTTAGTTATTATGAAACCACATAAAAGCACATATTATTTCATCTTAATTAAATTTATCATGAAATAGCATAGCCTTTTCAACAATCACATTAGTAAAATGTTTGATGTTCTAACAAAAATTATTAGGTAATTAATTGATTATCTTATACTAATCTGATTTAGCTTTTGAGGAACACATTGATCCTCCTCCTCTTAGAGTATAAATATTTATTGATGTAATTATTTTTTAAATCAACATTCTATACATTAGATTTTCTAATGTATCCATCCATTTTTAAGGAATTTCTATATATTCATCATTTATGACATTAAAAATTTGGTTTCTCATCATCTAAGTTGAAAACTTATTCAACATAGCTTAAAAAATTAAAAATAAATATCTCTTTGGAGAAAAAGATATTTGCTTATATTTATTATATATACATCATCTAATTCAAAATTTATTAAAAATTTATTCACAGCTTTGAGATTTAAGCTTATTTTATTGACAAATTAGATAAGTTGATAGTAAATGTATTTTTTTAATCGTAGATGAAATGAGATCATTAAATCGAATTTTATAATATAATACTTTATCAAGATTATTAACTATTAAATTGATTCAATTTTCAAAAAGGTTTTTTTTGCATAAAAATTTAATTACTATATCCAAGGATTAGTAGTACATATATCTTATCATTTTTTAAAATTATCAATTAATATAAGATTATTTTTTGTTTAGGATAGGCGGATAGTTTTTGGAATCAAGAATTTTAATAATTTTTCAAAGAAATTAATTAAAAATTTTTATTAAATTAATTTTAATTGACAACTCTTTATTATATATATAATGATTTAATAAACTATTTGTTAATTTTCAGAGAATGAGAAGGAAATATAACACACACACTTAATAATATGTCAAAGTCAGAATTTCGAAATTTTACTAAAAATCTAGTTTAATAACTTGATCTCAAATGTGCCTTAATTTTTTAGATTATAGAATTCAAAATTTTTTAATATGAACCTAAGATAAATAATAATTATAATTTATAAATATATTTAATTAGAAGAAAATCTTTTAATTATTGAAAAGGTATAATATATAATTGTTTATCAAACTACAAATTATAAATTCATTTTTGAAATATTGGTAGATTGATGTTACTTGCTAATTGAATAACTTTCAGATATTAAAGTCTAAAATATTTAATAAATATATACTTTGCTGCCATTTTATCTTTCAAATTATATTTAGAACTAATTGAATTTCCTCCATATTTAATATAAATCTCCAGTTCTTATAATATTGAAAGTTCATCTTCTTTTATATTAAAACAGCCTCTTTTCACATCAAAAGACAACTGATAAAATAATAAATCTAGCAAATCTTAATCATCCTCCTCAAATTAAAAATACTCTTTAATTCTTATATAAATTTGAAATCTTTTATTAAGCTTATAAACATTGTTATTTATTTCTTCATGAAATTCTAATTTATTTAAAATATCAAAAAAGTTTGCAGATTCATCTAAATATAAAGTATTGAAAACACGTTCATTTCTGGATTAGGCAACCATTAAACCAAAAAACATCCAATTATTCTACTAATTAATGAGATTGCAAATTTATTTAATAACTTATTAAACACTATAATGATGCTCTAGTTCAATCCATAATGGAGTATCACTATGAATCATCAATTTTACAATTGGTTATTTGCATTCAAACATTAATTATATTTCCTCTTTTGATGGCAAATAAACTCTTGGAATTAATTATGTTTTAATTTCATCTTTAAACACTTTCTCCTCTGTATTAACAGATAAATTTTTAATTATTTATTTAGTATATTTACATATTTCTGGTTCTTTAAAAAGCTTATTTTCTGGCTTTTATAATTATTCAATTAAATACTAAATGAATGGAAGTGGATGCATTAAAGGAATACAATGAGTAATTACTATACATAATCTTAATAAATAATAAAGGTGATCTTTTGTATTTCCTTCAATTTATTTAAATAATTATAAAAATATTTCTTCTCTTATTTCTTAATTATTTTCAATTTAGACTTCATCGTTAAATTGTTTACTAGTAATTTCAAATTCCATCGATTTTTTTAAGGCATCCATATCAACAGCTTAGGATCTTTATAAACTTTTTGGTGGAGGAGGTAATTCAATTTATGCATTTGTTCCTATCAAATTACATACAATTCTTTCTAAATGCTCTTTTGTAGTTACACTCGATCTTTTCATATGAGCAAATTTAGTTATACTTTTAAAAACATTTAACACTACACGTTCATTCTATATTTTTGTTAAAGGTTTCTTTAAATTATCAGTTTGACACTTCATAATTTTATCTATTTAATCTCCTTAATGATTTATAACTTTTGAACAGTAATCTTTAAATTAATTATTTTGTAATTTTTAAAACAATTCATTATCAAACTCGAAATTAAAATTTTTATCAATAGTTGACCTAATATCAAGTAATTTTTTGTTTTGTTAAACTTTTTCATAAATAGCAAAATGTTATGAATGAGGATTTTGTATTAAATCTTAAATAATAAATTTTCTAGGTAAATCACATTTTTTTTGTTTTCTTTTTTCTTCTTCTTATTATTTTTTGATATATTCATATTCTTCTTCTTCAATTTTTTTTTAAATCTTTTTTTAATTATTTATAAAATCTTCGTATTCTTAAATAGTAAATATTTAAGGAGTTTATCCAAAATAAATCTTATATCCATTTTCCTCAATTTAATTTAAATGTGTTATTTTATTCTATTTCTCAATTTCATATTATTATTTATTTTCTAAAGCGTCATAAGCACAATAATCAGAAACATCTTAAATTTTCATTTTATTATATTTTTATTTAGAATCATCACTAAGTAAATTAAATGATTCAAGATCAGAATGATTTGAATCAGATTTTAATTTAGATTTCATAATTCTCCTATGAATTTACTTTTATTCATCATCTAATAAAGAATAAGAGTTATTTTTATAATCCTTTAACTGATCTTCATCTAAAAGAAGATATGCTTCATAATCTGAAAAATCTACTATACCTTAATCTTACTTCTCTTTTTCATATCGACTTAATTTTAATTATAATAAATTTGATTTTTCTTTATAGCTCTCTACCTTCTCCCAAGGATAAATAATCAATTCTTTTAATTACTAATCCCTTAAATTTTTATCCTTTAATAAAGTATATGCTAAAGATAATTTATTATAAACAACATCTTTATTTTATAATAGTCTGAAAGCAACACTTGAATTTGGATTCAAATAATTTTCAAATAAAAATGGATTTAAAATATTCTTCTTAGCTATCTCTTTCTATTCTAAAATTTTTCTTTCATTTTTTTTATCAATAGATAATAGTTGAAATGCTACTGACTCAGAATATTTTATTTGTTACTACTATTTTTATTCTATCAATTATTATTTTCTAACTTTCCATTATTCATCTTTTAAAAGGCGAAATGCATTTGAATCTAAAAGATCATGTCTTATTAGATTTAATTCATCTAATCTTTATTATGCTTGGTATCGTTATTATTTTAAGGCTTCATATTTCTCTTAATTTGCAAGTTTTTTTGAAATACAAAATAATCCTTCTTTTTTTCGATTAATGTATTCTTCCACATCTGAAATTGCTAAAAAAGCTTCTATATCTGATATATCTTAAAATAAAGAAAGCTTTTCTTTATTTTTTAAATATTCTTCTTTATTTTCAAGCAATTAAAAAGATTCAGGATCAGAAATATCAATATCATATCCATATCTAACTTTATTTTATAATATTTTTAAAGGATAATTGGCTTTCTTTTATTCAATATATACTTCTCTTTAATTAAAATCTAATAATTGAAATGATGTAGAATCTGAAAGATAATCGTCAATTAAAAATTATTTTTTTTAAATTTGCCTTGGTCTTTAATTAATTAAATTTTGTCTTCTATTAAACTATTACTATTCATTTAATAATTATATTGAAACACTTTTCTTACTTTCTAATTTTTATTTTTTGTATTCATTTTATTATCCTGTTGTCAATTATTTATAGGCTTCTAAATCACTCAAAAAGGGTTCCAATTACTAATAAATTTTATCTTGGAACTCTTTCATTCTCTTTAATCTTTTTGATTATTTTATCTGATGCTATTAATTTTAATCTAACAAATTAAATGCAACTTATGTTTATTCTTACTTTTTTAAATTTAAATATTGCAATTTTTACTCAAAAGTCAATAAAGAATATGATTCTTAATCTGATACTTCTTTTTCAATAGCTTCTAATTCTTTTAATTGTTCTTAAAGCTTTTTATTTAAAATATTTTTCTCTCTTTAAATTTATTATTCCTAACTTAATAATTGAAAACCTGTATTATAGATTTCCTCATACTCCTTTCCATCTAATAAACATTACTGTTTTTATTATAAAAAAGTAATTTTTAACTTTTTATACTATTATAATTATTCTTCATTTAATAATTAATAGGAATCAAGATCAGAAATTTCAATCAAATTTTCCCATTAAATTTCTTAAGTACTATTTTATTTTTAATCATCTTTTTCTTCAATAGTTTATTATAATTCTTATTACTAATTTGTTCCATCTTAAATAGATTTAATCTTTTTAACACATTTCAGAATAGCATTTTTAAATTATCTTACTCTATAGGCCTTTTATATAATTTTTGCAAAGGAGTTGATCTTCTTATTATGTGAACATAATAATTTATTAATATTTTCATATGCTTCCTTTTTGAAATAGACTTAATTTTATCCAAATAAAAGACCTTTAGACTAAGTTAATCGTTTAGATATTTCTCTTACTAATGCTTTCATATCTTAATTACTATTGATATGTTTTTGAAGTGGAATTTTTCTATTAAATACATCTAAATGATGAAATCTTTAATAAAATTCATTATAAGTCATTCTATGAGGATAACTTGATTGGAAAAACTTGATAGAATCAAAAATTCTGTATTATTTTAAATCTTGTTTATCCTTAATGCATCTTATATATAATAATTGGATATCTTTTTAAACTAAATTTTTCAATTTCATTAAACTTTAAGGAATTTCATTTTATTATTCAAGATTATCCAAAAAAGTCTTGTTATCTTCATATTATATTTGATTATATAACTCTTAAAGTTAATCTTAAATTAATTATTGTTAACAGTTCTTAAAAGTATGTTAAAGATAAATCTACTCTATTAATTCTGATATATAATTGGTAATTAAATTAGTTTATCCTGGATAATCTAAAATACTTATCATCTAAATATTATCATTTAATGAAGTTAGCCCATTTAAAATATCAATAATTTATTAAACAAACTGTTAATATTATTATCCGTCTTCAATTTTTTATTCTGATGTTATTTTTTACAGATTTGAATTTGGTATATCTCCTAAATTTTATGAAAAAAATTGCATCTTATGATAATCAGATATATCAATGTAATACAATTAAACTACAAAGCCTGTAATTTTTTTTTATTTAAAAATAAATCTATAATTTATCACTCCTTGAGTATGACCATCAATATTGGTGATTAAAGATTTGATTAAATTATAATATATAATATAATCCTTACTTAGAAAACTTACAAGATCAGTTATTACCTAAGTTTTTCCATATCCTTAATTTCCAGTAATAAAAAGTTAAGAACTTTTTCCCAAATCCAAATTTAAATATGCAAAAAATAAAAGAGAGAATATATGAGGTGGCACTTGATTAATAATTAATCTTTCATCAATATATTTTTTGTATTAAATGAAATCGGATAAGTTTGTATTAACATTTTAGATTAGAACTTATCTATCAAGATAAACGTTATTTTTTATTTTGAAGAGTATCTCAGGTTCATTAATATAAGGTAATTCTGTTAAATCAATTGCTTTGCTATTACTGGCACGTTGAATTTGATTTACAGGAACATCACAAATTTTATCATCTGACAATAGAATTCTTGCTTCACTTCTTTAGTTCAACAATTTTTAAATATTCCCTTTTTGATACATACCTTCAATAAAAACCCAACAAGGTGTACTATTTATCATCCAAGCTGTATTGTTAAACATTCTAAATAATCAATTAATAATAAAAAAAAATGATACTTTTCTTTTATTAAATTAATCAGTATATATAGATTAAGAAAAAGATTTCTATTGATTTTGATTTAGATTAGAGTTTGAAAAATATATAATTGGAAATATATTATAATTAGAGTTTCTAAATAAGAATAAATGTATACTATAATTTAATTATGATAATCAATTTATTAAATGAAACAATTGGCGGATTATAAGTCTTATTGAGACATAAAAATATTTATACTGCCTTAGTTCACACTAATTAACCAATTGATACATCTCTTGAAGAATTAAATACCGAAATCATTAAGATGGTAGAGGAGACTCCTAAATTTCCAATAGATTTTGAGATGTTCAGCTTTACTAAAACATTTTGTGATGCAGAGTTCATTACTGGAAATTAGATCTTGTAGTCTTAAGATAATATGTGGCCAGAATATTATAAGAGTAGAAAAGACTTTTAGGAGATTAAGAAAAAAGAATTTTTGGAAAGAAAAAATTTTGTTATTTCCAAAAAGTTAACTACGCTCTCAGTCTAAACTCATCCTTTTTTTAATATGCCTAATTTCACCAACTTTATCACATCAAATCCAAATATTTAAGAATCAAATAATTAGGATTTCGGAATTTAGAATAAAATAGTACCTGCATTCTAAAACTTCTAAGATGCTTCATTATATTTTCGAACTTTAATAGATAAAGAGGATAGAGTATTTTATGATGTTGGGCCATAATGTCTACATTAAGTTTTAGATATTCTTGATCTTTATATAATCACCATATATTCTGGCGAATTGGATGAAAAATTTAGAGTAGGAAAAATGCCAGATTTTGAATTAATAAAAAATAAATTTAAGTTAACTTATAAATCTTAAGTTTATCCTTAACATAAAGGGCATTTGTAATTTTTAGTTTTTGAAAAATGATTGTTTCATATGTATATAATTAATAAAATAAAATATTTTTATTTATTTATATTAACTTTAAATTTATAGAATGTATTGAAAATAGTAATTTAATTATTGAATAAAAAATAATAAATTCTTTTATCTTTTTATTTCATAATAATTTAATTATTTATATATATTGTAAGAATCATGAAATACATGCTTTTAAATTTGAGTATTAATAATTATTTGATCATAAAAAAAAATAAAAGATTAAAATAGACATCAGACGAATTTTAAAATTTTTTGTCTATGATTTAATTATAATAATTTATATAATTATCTGACAATAGACCATTAGAGTATTATAAAATGTCTGTCTAATCTAGAAATTCAAAAAGAAGTAATTAAATTTGATTAATTAGATCAATTAAATTCTTCCTATTAAGGCCCTCCTGGACCAGGTAGTTACAATCCCCAATTAGATGTTTCATTAACAAAGCATCCATAATGGACAATAAGAGGAGGAAATTCTAGGGAAATTAAAGTGTTAAAAAATATTCCTGGACCTGGTTAGTATAATCCAAAATTTCCTGAATCCCAATAGAAAACTCTTATTTATGGAAAATAATATTAATTAAACAAAGAAGAGAATAATAAACCAGGACCAGGATCATATCTATTAGAAGTATCTTAATTATCAAAGATTGGTTTTAAAATTGGAAGTGAAAAGAGATATAAAGAGATAATAAAAAAATCACCTGGTCCTGGAGATTATGAAATATATTCTAGATCAAATGCTCCATCGTTTAAAGTTGGTAAACAATCACGATCAGAGAAGATGGTTAATTTAAGTATAGGACCGGGATAATATAATATTCCATCTTTGATAAAAACAGATGCTGGTTTTAAAATAGTACCAAGAAGAGAAAAAACTGTATAGACTATTACACCAGGTCCAGATGCATATGAGATTTAATCAAAAGAAAGGGTAAAATCTTTTAAGATTGGTACAAGCAAACGGGATGGAATATTTAATAAATCAAAATCTCCTGGTCCAGGTGATTATTCATTAGATATTACAAGAGATTAAGCAGGATATTCAATTGGTAGAAGTTAAAGATCAGATAAAAAGATTGATTAACTACCTGGACCTGGATCTTATTAATTAATTTAACCTAGTAATGCGCCAAAATATTCAATCAAATAAAAATATAAATAAAAGTCAGAGAAAATAGGTCCAGGACCTTAATCATATACTATTGCAGATTTTAAAGATAGTAAAACTGTCATTTTTGGACGTGCAAAAAGAGATAGCTTTAGTAAGTTAACTATTCCTGTAATTTTTATTAAAAATAATTTTAGGGTCCAGGTGAATATGATGTTGATTTAAAATAGAAGAAACCATAGGTCAATATCATATTTGGTAGAGAGAAACGATCATAAAGTTGTTCTGATCATACTGAAATGCCAGGTCCTGGATAATATGAAATATCAACTACTTTTTATGCTAAAAAAAAATGAAAGAATTGATTCATTTAATAATAGAAATTTTATTTAATTTTATAATGAATAAATTTATTCTGATTTCTTTATCATTATTATGTATTGTAGCAAATGATTTGAGCTATAATCAAAAAATGTATTGGTTTGAACATTAATTGGTTGATCATTATGATAAATTGAATAAAGATGTATTTCATTAAAGATATTGGGTTGTGGAAGAAAACTTTATTCCTGAAACAGGAGTGATATTATTTTAGATATGTGGAGAATATACATGTAATTAATTATATAAAAGTTAGGTCCAGGAATAATGGAAGAGAGATTATTTATAATATAATTGGCAAAAGAATTTAATGCTTTGATAATAATTTTAGAACATAGATATTATGGAAAATCAATGCCATTTGGAAGTGAGTCTTTGAGGGATGAAAATTTGAAATATTTAAGCACAAGATAAGCATTGGATGATTTAGCTTACTTCTAAAGATTTATGGTTTTAAATAAAAAACACGGAATAAAGTCTTAGAATCCTTGGATTGCAATAGGAGGTTCATATCCAGGAGCTCTTGCTGCTTGGTATAGATACTAATACCCTCATTTAGTAATAGGAGCATTAGCTTCTTCTGCAGTAGTTGAATCTATTACAGATTTTAAAATGTTTGATACTTAGATATATTTATCAGCTCTAAAATCTGGCTCTGAATGTGCAAGTGATATTTAGAATATGAATAAATATGCAGAATAACAAATATTAAATGAGACAACAAGAGAACAATTTAAAAGATCTTTTGGGGCAGAGAAGTTGACAGATTTAGAGTTTTTATTCTTTTTTGCAGATGCTTAATTATTAATAATTTAATATGGAGGAAGGACAGAATTATGTATGTAATTGGAAGGAAAGAACATAGAAGATTAGATTGAATATTTTAGATCAGTTATAGAGGAAGATAGTTATAAAGAATATGGATCATATTATTTAAAGAATGATGAATATGATGAAAATAACTTAAGTCCTTCAAGATAATGGATGTATTAATGTTGTAGTGAATTGGGTTGGTGGTAAACTAGTCCACTTGAAAATACTGTGAGATCCTCTTTAATAGATTTATAATTCTATAGAGATTTCTGTAACAATATTTTTGGAGGAATAAAACCCAACATCTTTCCAGATGATTAATTAGCAAATGCAAGATTTGGAGGAAATAATCTAAATATAGATAATTTAATTATGACAAATGGAAATGAAGATCCATGGAAGTGGTCTAGTGTTTTAGTTAATCAAGGATCTATTCTTGCTTTTGAAATTAATTGTGATAATAGTGGTCATTGTGTAGAATTATATACTCCAAAAGAAGAAGACTGTGAATAATTGAAGTAAGTAAGAATACAAATTATCCAACAATTTCGACAATGGATTTAAAATCATTATTCATCTATCTAATGATAAGATATTTTAAAATGTATTTTTTAATAATAATAAAATAAATCAATTTGCTTAAATAGCTTAATTTAGATCTTAATATTTATGCTCTTTGAATTATCCTAAACATTCAATATATTAAATACCTTCTATAACCTAATTATTTCTTAATGTTAACTTTCCTGTTCCTTCATAAATCATTTCCATCTCATTATTAACTCCTAAATCTCCAATATATGATTGATGCTCTGTAAATTTCTATTCAAAATAAGTTATCTATGCATTTTTTGGAAAATTCTTTTCAAAGTCTCCATTAATTTCACAAAATTCTTCAATTATAAGCTTTCCTTTTCCTTATCTCATATTATTTAAAAATTATCCTTCAAATTTCCATTTTCTATTTTCATCAATTCCTTATTCTTTACCTTCACCATTACGTTAATTTTAATTCCAGTTACCATCATAAAAAGAAATTTAATCTTTATGTGTGTATTTACCTTAACCTTCAAATAAATCATTTTAAAAATATCCATCATAAGTATCTCCATTTGAATATTCAATGTATCCTTTTCCATGTCTCTTGTCTTATTAAAATTAGCCAACATAATAATCATATTATTCTCCTCTAAAATAAATCATCATTCCAAAACCATCTCTTTTATTATCCTTCCATTCTCCTAAATAATAGTCTAGGACTTAATTTTAGCCATCTGAATATTATGTAAATTCACCTTATCCATGCATTTGATCTTGTTATCTTTGACCTTTGTATGTTGTATTATTAAATTGAGAGATATTTAATTGATTTATTGTCTTACAAATTTCATCAAGTTAAACATTTTTCGATAGAATTTTATTTTTTATAGGATTGATCTAATTGTTTTCTTAAGGGATTTAATTAATTTAAGGGTCTTGTTTAATTTCAGGGTCTTAATTAAATTTAGGGTTAGTAGAGTTTTCTAAATTAGGAATTTATTAACAAGAAGCAGGACTTTTTGTTGCTGCACAACCCATAAAAATATATTTTAATAAATATAAAAATGATGATAAATAGATAATCTCATCTATTTCTAAGATTGGTATCTGGTCCAAAGTTTTATCATGGAGGATTGAAAGATTAAGATAGAATATTCACAAATGTTTACAGAGATGGAGATCCATATATTCAAGGAGCTTTGAGAAGAGTATGAAAATCAATAATTTTAGGGAGATTGGCATAGAACAAAAGATATCTTAAGCATGGGTTAAGATTGGATTATAGATGAAATAAAAAAGAGTGGTTTAAGAGGAAGAGGTGGCGCAGGATTTCCAAGTGGTTTGAAATATTCATTCATGCCAAAAGTAAATCCAGATGGAAGGTTAGATGTATCTTATTGTATAAAGACCATCATACTTGGTGATAAATGCTGATGAGTCAGAGCCTGGAACATGTAAAGATAGGGAAATATTAAGACATGATCCTCATAAATTAGTAGAGGGTGCATTATGTGTAGGATTTGCAATGAGAGCTAGAGCTGCATATATATATTGTAGAGGAGAGTTTTGGGTAGAAGCAAATGCCCTATAATAAGCAGTTGATGAAGCTTATAAAAAAGGATTTTTGGGTAAGAATGCATGTGGTAGTGGATATGATTTTGATGTTTATGTTCATAGTGGAGCAGGTGCATATATTTGTGGAGAAGAAACTGTATATATATATAAATATAATGTAAAGGGTTTAATAGAATCATTAGAAGGTAAACCAGGGAAACCTAGACTTAAGCCACCATTCCCAGCTAATGCAGGTTTGTGGGGTTGTCCTACAACAGTTACAAATGTTGAAACTGTTTCTGTATGTCCAACTATATTAAGAAGAGGAGGGAATTGGTTTGCTTCTTTTGGAAGACCCAATAATAGAGGCACAAAATTATTTTGTATTTCTGGTCATGTTAACAATCCTTGTACAGTAGAGGAAGAAATGTCAATCCCACTTAAAGAATTAATAGAGAGACATTGTGGAGGTGTAAGAGGAGGATGGGATAATCTTAAATGTATAATACCTGGAGGTTCTTCTGTTCCTATGTTACCTAAAGAGATATGTGAAACTGTACTAATGGATTTTGATGCTTTAAGAGATGTTAGATCTGGATTAGGTACGGCTGCTGTAATTGTTATTGATAAATCAACTGATATTATTGATGCCATCTTGAGATTGAGTAAATTTTATAAACATGAATCATGTGGATAATGTACACCATGTAGAGAAGGTACTTCATGGTTAGTTGATCTATTGGAAAGAATGAAAGTTGGAAATGCTGATTTTGCTGAAATTGATTAATTAGAAGTAATATTATATTATTATTAAGGAATTAACTTATTAAATTGAAGGTCATACTATTTGTGCTCTTGGAGATGCTGCTGCATGGCCTGTTTAAGGACTTATTAGATCTTATAGAGAAGAAATTGAAGAAAGAATTGAAGATTATCATTCTAAACATCCAATTAAATCTAGATAATTACGTAGTCACCCATAATCATCAAGTCATTGATTTATTCATACAATTCATTATAATATTCTTTTTATCCCTTTTTCACTCTCTTTATTTTATTATATTATTTTTTATGAAAAAGCAATCAACTAATAGTCAAAATAGTTCGGTTGGTTTCAATCGAACATAAGTTTTCTAGTAAAGAGCTGAACAATCAAATCCTTTTGATAAAACACTTAAATCTGCCAACCCAGATACAAAAGCTTTGATTTAAAGTTTCTTAGGTAATCAATCAAACTAATAAAGATGCCAATGCAAATTCAAATTTAGATAAACATCCCTATAATTAAAGGGTCTTTACCAAAACAATTACTGTGGAAGCAAATGTAGATGAAATCAAATTTGATAACATTCCAGGAGTGTTATAACAGAAAAAATTTAATTATGGTAATGTTTATAATGAAAGATCTAAAAAAAGTCCATATGTTATTATCTAATCATTGATTAGACGTTACTTAGCTAAGAAGCTCGTTAATGAAAGAAAGAAATATTTTTAGAAATTACTAAAAGAAGATTAAAAGATTACTATTGTAGATAAATGGGTAAATGATGAGAAATAATGGGCTTAATCAGTTTTATCAAAACTTAAAGTAAAACCAAAAAAGGAAATATAAGAAAGAAAAACAATTTCAGGATTAGATAAAAATAACCCATTTTATCATACATAGATAGAAATTATGGGTGAAATGGGTGTATTAGAGAAAGAAGACTTTATAGAAATCAATCCAGCAACTGCATTTGCCAATCCAGGAATTCCAATAACAGATGATATAAAATTAAAAAAACCACCTTTAAGTAGAATTAGACCAAAATCAGCATATTAGAGTTAAGTTAAACCTAAGACTATGCCAATTTAATTGCCAAATGATAATTGTTAAATATGGAAAGCATTATATAAGAAAAAATATGGAAGAGAAAGTTTGCATGATCTTTCAATGAAAGAAATAAAAATAACAGATGATTATATAAAAATAGAAAATTAAGAAGCAGTTAAAGATAAGGCAAGAATAAATAAAATAAATAAAATATTAGAGAAGGAAGTACCAAAAGAATTGAAAGTTTAAAAATAAAAGTAAACAACATCAAAAAAGAAATAATTAGAGGAGAGTATAGAAGATGAAGTATAGAGTGAATAGGTTTAATCTGATATAGTAGATGAGGTAGAGGAAGAAATTCCAGAAGAAGAAGATATTGAAGAAGCAGTTGATGAAGAGGGAGTAGCTGAAGAGATTGATGATATATAATCATCTTAAATAAAGGAAGAATCAATAGTTTAAGAATCTTCAGTTATTCGTGAATCAATACCATCAGCATAAAAAAGTTCTAAAATAATTAAAGAATCTATTTAAGAAGATTATGGTGATGATTTTGAAGCAGAAGAATCATAAAAAGTGAAGACTCAACATTCTTAATATGATGATGATTAATTTGATTCTTATCATAGTTAAATAGAAGGAGATACTCATAGAAAGAAGATCACTCCAAAATCTATTAGTGATAAAGTTGCTATATCTCCTTAAACATTTGTACCTGAAATTAAATCAATTCCTATTGAAATTGATCCAGGATGGACTACAAAAAGAGCAAATCTTGAAGCTGAAATATTGCTTAAAAATTATAGAGAAAAGTATTCTAAATTAAGAGAAGTAGAAATTAATGATGAAGATTTTGAACCACTTAAGTAAGAACATAGAGACTTAAAATTCATTTAATAATAAGTTAATAATTTAATTACTCATACAGGAGATTTTTATAAAGGTTGGAAAGATGCTGTTAATCCATAACCAAGTTAATCAGCAGATAAATTATATGCTTAATTTTAATATGAATTTTAAAGACTTTTATCTATGAATAGTTTAGGTACTAGATTTAGCAAGATCTTATCTTAAACTATAGTCAAAGATGTACCTGTTGGAAATGTTAAAAATATTATGAATGGAATAGAATAATAAATGTAAATTGTTTAGCAAGTCTTAGAAAATTTGTTATTTTAAGTATAATAAATATTTGATTTTAAATAAACTATGGAAGAAATGAGATTATATAGAAAGGAAATGGATTAAAAATTATAATGGTTATTATTTAAATAAGATAAACTTATTAATAATTAATTAGGAAAATAATTAGAAGAAAGAGATAAGGATTTAAAAAAATTTATTGCAGCATTATTTGAAAAATAAAAATTTGAATTTGGATCAAGAAAATTAGCAGCAACTGTTGATCCTCATTCTTTATCTGAAGCACTCTTAAAGAATTAAGGATTATTGTCTTATAAATTTGAATAATCAGCATAATCAAAAAAAGACTCAAGCATTGGTAGATAAAGAGATAAAAGAAGTGCAAGAGAAGAATCATATTATTAAGCAGATTTTGAAGGTGAGGAATCTGAAAGAATTAAGACAGAAAAATCTGAATAGAATATCTATGAATTATCATATAAAAACAGTCTTTCAGAAGATAGAGAAGTTGAAGATGGATCTCAAAAATCAGATATAGATTGGTAAAATGATATTAATTTATTTGAAAATACTTAAAATTCTTTTGTTGACAAGAAAGACATAGATGTTTAATAAATTGTTGATTATCTATAAGAATAACTCTTAAAGGAAATTTTGGGTGATCCTTTTCCAATTAGAGGGTAATTATAAAATTCTTAAGTGAAAAATGAATCCAATTTATCATCATAATATAGTCAATCATTTGAGGAGGAATCATTATCAGCTTCTAAAGAAATAGTATAAGAACCAAAGTAACCACCTCCTCTTGCAGTAAAACCAATACAAAATAAAGAAAAAGTTGATGATTTTGGAATGGGAAAATCAGCTATTAATAGAGATGAACTTTCAAAGGAATTTGATTTAAGTGAAAATCTTGAATTTCCATAATAATCAGAAAATAAAGAAGAAGGAAAGGAAGTTAAATTGGTTGCAGATTTTAGATATTAAAATTTTGTAAAATAAATTATTGACAAATATGGTAAAATATTGGAAGGAAAGGAGAAATAGATAATAACAAAATTCCAATAAATTTAAAAAAAATACAAATAGGATAAAAAGAAAACTTTAGGATATCTTCTTGCTACTGAGTTTAAATTTTTAGATTAAAAACAAGTTAATGAATAAAATGCTTTCTAAATTGTTTAATCCTTAGAGGAACAATTATGTGATTAACTATTAAAATAATATAATGAAGTATATATTTAAAAAATAAATTAGAGTTCAAAATTAGATTTGAAAAGTGCTTTAGATTAAGCAAAAGTTTTAGTACTTAAAATTACTGAAAAAAGAATACCAATAGATGCTTTCAGTTCATCCTATAACTTTTAGCAAATATACTAACATGCTTAAAGAAAACCTCCAGCAAAGGAATGTCCAGTGAGTTAGGATTTGGGAGATGTTTACATAAATGAAGAAATGGATAAATTTGGTGGAGAAGTATATATAGAAATATATTATTAAGGCAACTGATTTTATTCTAAAATAATTGGTGAAGAACACTTTAACAGATTTTGATAAAATTCTACTAAAAAAGAAGAAGTGAAACCTATTTAAAAATTGGTATTTTCATAATATTTTCTAAATACTTAATATAAATAATGATATATTATAAAACAAATAAGAAATCTGATGGAATAAAGAGAGAGTTAAAAAAAGTAAGAAATATTTAGAAAGTAGCAGTTAATTTGATTAGGAATATGAATACCGTTTTTAATATATTAATGTTATAAATTAATATTAAATGAAAAAAGAATAACATCAATAAAGGAGAGACACGACACTAATACAATTATTAGTAATATTGTGTGCGTGTTTTACGATGGGGATAGTTTTGTTTAAAGTGGTAGGTTTGCATGAAGTTTAGAGTGATTTATAATTTGAATAGGCATCATTGATTTAAGAATAAACATATTTAGAATAATAAATAAAAGTGCTTTAAAATTCACTAACATAACCAAGTTTTTTGGAAGTGAGAATGAGTGTAAATAAGAAATAGCATAAATAAAAAATACATTAATCTGAATAGAAACATTTAGATATATAGAAACCATCAGTGGATAAGAAGGAATATGAATATTTAGAATTACCAAATAAGTTGAAAGTTTTATTAATAAGAGATCCAGAAACAAAATTAACATAAGCAGCATTAAATGTGAATGCAGGATCATGGAATGAACCAGATGAATTTCCAGGTTTGGCACATTTTTTAGAGCATATGTTATTTTAAGGATCTCATACATATCCAGAGACAAGTTATTTTGAATAATTAGTAGCAAAAGGGGGAGGTTATACAAATGCATATACAGAAGGAACTAGAACTAATTATTATTTTACTATAGATACAAGTAGAACAAGTGAAGCATTGAATGTATTTGCTCATTTTTTTATTGATCCACTTTTATCATAAGAAATGGTATAGAAAGAAGCAAATGCAGTTAATTCAGAATATGAAATAAATGTAGCAGGAGACGGATGGAAAATATTACATTTAATGAGTTTAATGTCAGATCCATAACATCCAATGAGTAGATTTACTATTGGAAATTTATAATCATTACTTAAACCTCATGTAGTTGAGGCTTTGAAGAAATTTCATGAATAATATTATTCATCAAATTAAATGGCTTTGGTAATCAAGAGTTCATAGCCAATAGAAATGATGAAAGAATTTATAGAATCAAGTGAATTTTTAAAGATTCCTAATTTGAATATTGAGAAACCATCATTAGCACATTTTGGAATGCCCATTAAAGATGTTGCAAAATTAGTGAAATATCACATTAATACAAGAGCGACTACATTAATATACTTTTATTAATTGGAAGACAGTACTAAATATTTTGAAACTAAACCTATTTAATTTATTAATTCAATAGTAAGATCAAGACATGATGGAGGATTGTATAATTATTTAGTAAGTAAGAATCTGATAGTTGATATGGATGCATAACCATTCTTAGGTAATAATGGTTGTTTCTAATTTTATTTGATTGAAGTAGAATTAAGTGAAACTTTGATTGGATAATAAAAGGATTATGCTCTATAAATTGGATAAGCAATAATTTCATATTTTGAGGAATAAATACATAAATTTTATGATGAAGAATAGAATCCCACTGATTTCTTAGAGGAGACTTATAAGACAAAGAAAGCAATGTCAGATGTTTAATTTAAATATTTGGAAAAAGATATAGATATATTTAAATTGTCACATAATCTAAATACATTTCCACCAAAATATGTTCTTAATGCAGAAACTAGTTATTTTAAATATGATCCATAATGCATATATAATTATTTAGCTGATCTAATGAATCCTAATAACATGCTTATAATGATTGGAGATGATGGATATAAATTAGCAAAGGAGGAAATTGAAAGCGAAGAATTAAAAGCTTCATTCTTGGCATTCTAGTAACCTTCTACTTTATTATTGTAATAAAATGTAGGAACTAGTGACATTAATTTCATCACTTAAAGTGAATTATAATTCACTAATGATCTATATCATATTTAATATGATGTAAAATAATTAGAAAGAGATAGTTTAGATTTTATGATGCTTGATAATATTCCTTTAAGTTTGCCTTCCATTAATCATTATGTTCCAGTTAATCTAGCTTTTAAGTCACTTTGTGATCAATAACATATTTCATATATTTAATCTGTCGATTCAGATACAATTTATGATAGAAAAAATAGATAAAATATATTTATTGAAAATACTCATAAAATGCCTTTCTATTTTACATCTAAAAAAGAATGTTAAGAACATGAATTTGAGTATGAATAATACAATCATTTCCCATAATTAATTAAAAAAGATATTGAAGGTAAAACTTGGTGGAGATTAGATAGATCATATAGTCCAACTGTTTATGCAGGAATGAATTTTGAGACTGCTATTGATATGAAATCTTTGAAGAAAGTAGCCTTGTTAACAGTATTCAATAGTTATGTGTCTGATAATCTATATAAATCACTTTAATAGTCATTTGAAGCTGGTTATGAATTATCTTTTGATTCATCAATGAAGGGATTGTCACTTGAAATGTATGGATGGAGTGATAAATTTGAATATTTCTATAAAAATGTATTAAGAGAAATAAAAAAAGAAATTAGTGATGATGATCTATTGAATAGGGTTAAATTAAGTTAAATTACTGAATTAAGTAATTCATTTGAATAAAAATTATTCATTTAAGCCACATCAATTATTTTACCAACCATCATATAAGGTTAACCGAACCCATCTTAAATGATAGATGAAATCAATTCTATTACTAAAATAGAATTGGCTCAATTTTAAAAAGAAATGTTAGAGAATTTTAGATTTACAACATATTTTACAGGAAATATTTTAAGAGATGAAGTTTAATCATTATAAAATTAAATTCCAAAGATATTTGACGAATCTACTTCTCATATTAGAATATAAAATCATATTACTTAAATATCAGATCTGAGTCGTAAATCTATTGTTTACTCTTTAGTGTCCAAGAGTACTAATTAATTAGATACAAATGGTGTAACTCTTAATTATTATTAAATTGGATATAGAGATTAAAAATAATTAGCTATGATGAATTTATTATATAAGATTCTTCATAATGCAGCATATGCTTATTTACGTACATAACTTTAATTAGGATATGTTGTAAGTGTTAAATTTAAACCAGTTGGTTGTTTAGATAGTGCTTAAATCTTAGTTTAGGGAACAGCCAAACCACCTTATATTGTAAATTAACATATTGAAGAATTCTTGATTAATTATGGAAGAGAATTAAAAGAAATGACTGATTAATAATTTGAAGATCTTAAAACTACCACTGTAAATTATTATCTAATTTAATTTAGATTTCTGGGTTAAAAGAAATTGAGAAAAATCTAAAAGACAAAGCTAGAAATACTTGGTCACATATTAAAAATAATGATTTAGCATTTGAAGAAAAAGAAATTGCTGCTTAATATATTGGCATGGTTACTAAGTAGGATTTATTTGCATTCTATGATAAAGTTTTCACTTCAGGGAAACTCTCACTTTAAGTTTATGGATAAGGAATGATCACTTAAACTATGGGAATAAGTGTTGATGATCTATCTAATAAAGTTAAAAGCAATTAATTATCTAAAGATCAAACATTTGCTGTAAGAGATGAAGTCACTGTTTCTACCTCGGATGATTTCAAATAAAGAATCACTTCCAATTATAATTGCAATTATAAAATAAGTAATATTTGAAAAAAATTTATACATAATCAAAATTATTCAATATAAAATTTGAACATTTTTATATATATGTTAAATTAATTCGCAGTTGAATTGCTTAAGGATTTGAATTGTGTAAGAGGAAATCCTCTTTATTTTGATACTAGTCTCACCTAATTATTTGAATCCATCTCTTAGAACAGTGAAATGCAAGTAAAATTATTATTCTAATCACTAGTAATCACCATGTATCAATCCAAATGATATCTTATCAGTTATTAATCAATTTGGTACAGATGTACAATTTCTATCTGATCACATCATGAAATAAAAGACCAATGATTATTCTAAGCTTATTAGTGGATATCGCAAGTAAATCTTTAATTTATTTAATGTAGTCGTCTCTCAGATTCTACCAAATAAAAATTTAAATTAATGTTCAATAAACAATTAAACAATCCTATCATTTATTAGTAGCATTTAACACATTGTTATATTCATCTTTATGAAAACACAAATTTCTATTTATTATTAATCGTATTTCAATCTAAATATGTAATTATTGACTCAATTACTCAAAAAAATACTGGCATTCACATTTAAGGATGGCTAAATTATCATACTCAATTAACTGGAATTCAATTTGTTGATGGAGATCAATATTATGAATTATAGGATGCTGACACTAAATAAAAATAAATCACTATTGATAATCAAAATGTTTGGCTGTTTGACTTGTTTATTGATAATGCAAGTACTTAAATTTTACCTTTGATTTCTCATAAATTTGGAAATACTCCAATTATTTAATTTTTTTGTGAATAATAAATTGGAGAGTATTAACTAAAAGAATAGAAATCATTTCAATCACCATCTCATCCTATCCTTAAATAATTGTAATTGCTCTCTAACAGGGATCCACTTTAGCCTATTAAATCAAATCTACAAAATAAAATTGAATAAATAAAAGGTTAAAAGTTCACTGGATTTGAATAAGAACATCATCCAAAAGTACCTTAAACATAATCTAAAAATTTGTAATTATTTCGTATTGAAGAAAATTAATATGAATAATCAAGTGCAAAACCTGACGATTTAGACTTATATACCAAAAATTTAGAATCTAAATATTTAAATGTCCCTAAACTCTCTTGTTTAATTGATGGCTTGATTAGTTCAGAATCATAAATGTTAGAAAAGAGCCATAATCCTTATGCACCCTTAACTCATAAAGAATAGTCTACAATATCAGAAATTAGGCATTAGACTGTTAATACTTAGGATTCTGCAATTAATGAACATCTTAGCAACATGTTGGATTAAAAATAGTTATAAAATATATACTAAGATCTCTGTCGTGAAGTTGAAAAGCCCTAAAACAATTTGTAGCAAAGTCAACAAATATTTTAACCTTATAATGTAGAGTCTCTATATTTTGGTAATTCTTAATAGCACTCGAATCGTAATTATGAATCATAAGAATTATTCTCATAATAATAACAACAAAATTAATTTTTTAATTAGCAACAACAATAACCATAATAACTATTTCATTAGAATGAAAATTTATAATAATAATAATAATAATAACAATTCTAATAATAGTATTAATAATATTAATAATAATAATATTAATAACAATATTAATAATAATAATAATAATAATAATAATTATTTTATGATTAATAATAGTAATAAATATTATAATAATAATATCAATAATAATTATATTAATAATAATAGCTTCAATACTAAATGATGTTATATCATTAATAATTGTAATAATATCCAAATAATTTATAAATATAATAGCCAGAAGAGTAATTTTATTTTGAAGAACCTCAACAGGAATCTCCTCTTAAAAAGTGGTCTTTTAGTCCTTAAAAATAAGATGATTCTATTGTAATTAAGAAAAGAACATCGAATCCTGAACCTTAAAATAAAACATCGTATCGTTATTCTATAAGATAATCGATTAAATAATAAAAGAAATCTGAATTTTAGATGTCAAATACCTAAAAAATATTATAGAAGGAAGGGGCATAGATAAAAGATAATGAAATTCCATTCAAATGCAAACTAAAAATCAATTCAATACATCCTTGTGATTTTGTTGATTTGAGATCAAATAGAGCACAAAAAAAAATGAAAGAGATTGAATAGGGTTTACTGAGTTAATCTATAAGATGTAAATGCATTTAATTATTTTAGATCACAAAGATCATAACTTTAATGCATTATATAGAAATGATAAATTTTCAGATATTATTCTCTTAGTCAATGATCATTAATATAAATCTCATAAATCAGTTTTAATTTAGGTATCCAACTACTTTAAGGAATTATTAGAAACTAAATAATTCGAACTAAGTTTATAGGTTGAGAATATATAGTTGTTTGATTTAGTGTACAAATACATATACTTGGGTAAACTTACAGATTCTGAATGGAATGAAATTGGAATTCATTAATCTATCAAATTTTATAAGTTAGCAGAGAAATTAGAATTATATTAATTAGTTGAATAGTTGATAAGTAGAGTTGTAATACCTATGATGATCAATGAATTTGTTTTGGATTGGTATATTATAGGTTTCAGAAATTAGAATTCTCAACTTTCTTACATTTTTAAATTTGTTTATGTTTATACAGTTACATATTTTTCTTTAAATTGTAAAACTATAATAGATCAAATCAGAGATAGAAAGGATGATTCAATAATTAAGGATTAATAGATGTAAACTAAATATAAAAAAATATTTGATTTAATGACATCAGAAGAAATATATTTTCTCGTTTAACAACCTCTAATGTAGACTAATTTTGAAGGACTTGATAATTTATTGTGGTTGATCACAGAAAAAAAATAATGTTAATAAATAGATTTACTTAAATAATTATCTTTGGATCATTTACCTAATAGTGGATTTAAATATAAAGATTTTACTCATTATTAATTCGAATAAAACATGCCTCTCTTAAATAATTAAATTATTGTATATCCTCAAAAGCTGTAAGAAACAAAAAAGAGAAGAAGTTCTATCTATACAGATTAAGAATTTAATTATTCTGAATCATTATTTGATGAATATTCATTTTATAAATCAAACTCAAATGCTTGTAAAATAAATAAGTTAGTTTATGAAATGAAAATTAGTAATGTAGCTTGTAATTCTATTGTGATATCCGAATGTTTTGCCTCATAAAGTCTTGCCTGGAGATTAATCATTGATGTTAATGATAAAAATATTATTTCAATTTATTTGCAAGAAAGAGGGTCAATAAAAAATAATTTAAAATATATGAATCTTGAAGATACTTTAATGGATGAATGCTTACCATAATATACGAAATTAAACTTTATTAGTGTTTTAATTAAAATAGAAATAGTTAACAAATAAGAGTAGAGTAATGAGAGAGTTATGTATCATACATATCCAACAAATTAGTTTCACACTGTAGGTTTTGAGGATATTTAAACTATTAATTCTTAATTATGGTTGAAGGTCTTTATCTAAGAAGATCCACTTCATTCTGCACTCATGCATTGGTGCGGATATAATTTTAATGAAAAGTTCTGTTAACTTCCGTATTTTACACTTTATTCCTTATTAAAATCAGATATGTTGAGAATAGGAGAAGAAAAACAAATATTAGGATTACTTTATAATTTAGAAAAGTCTGATTAAGAATAAAATCTTGATCTTATAATACATCCAATTAGATATTTTTATGTACCAATTGGAGAAATATTTACTTTATCTAAAGATTGTTAATCAGTTAGAAAGAATAAACTATTTCAAAGCATTTTGAATTTATTATTATCCCATTATTTAGATGGGAAATAACACAATTAGAAACCTAGAAAGACCTATGCTAAGATCGATACAATTATGAATCAATCAGATTTTAAAAAAGAATGGTTGAAATGGTTAATATATAGTGATAATTAAACGTTAAAAATTAATACCAAAGAGATTAAAAAAGAAGTTATGGAGAAACAAAAGAAAATTGATAAATAACAATATCAATAGTATTTTTAAGTTTATAATTGTACACCAAAAAAATAAATTGAATAATAACCACAATAATCACCAAAATGTAAGATTTTTTGAAAAGTTTCTTTGTTTTTAGTTAATAAATCTATATATATATCTATTTTATATATAAAATAAAAATAAACAATCAACAAGCATGAAATCTGGCTAAATATTATAAAAAATGTCGACCTAATTAAATGATTATAATGAAATACCATATTAGGTGAATTAATGTTCTTCATATTGAGAGACTTGAATTTAAATTTATTCTTTTTATTTATCATTACATTTCAGATAGAAATTTTACATAACATAATTTCCAAAGGAATTATTAATTAAAATTAGTAATAGAGGAGGGAGAGTTTAATTCATGAGAATTTTACATATACTTGCAATATCTTCCTCTGAAGCTAAAGTAATATACCTTTGAGCTACATTACTTTATTTAAATTAATTATTACCTAGCATATTTATCTTAACTAACTTCAATAATTCTTTATTTAATAAATTTGCCAATAACTTCTAATCCTTTAGGAGGTCCTGAATTTATCATGTGTTGTACAATGTAATTTCCATATTAACAAAAAGATAATCTTTCACATAGTGGAATTAATGAAATATAAAGTTCCTATAATTTATCATTGGTAAACATTTCTAAACATTTTTAGGCTATTCTACATCCATAAGGATGAGATATAACTTTATCTACATTAATAGTCACTAAATCTATTATAAATTCAGCATCAGTAACTAAATCTATTATTTTTTAGATGACATGATTTCCACATTGGTCAAATATTAATTTTAATGCATAAGGTTTGATTTAAGTAATTAGTTAAACTTTTTGTTATTTGAGAATAAATTCTAATAATTTTTAGACAACTCTACAACCAAATTTGTCATAAGACATCTCCAATATATGAGAATTCAATTAATCAAAAATAAGTGTTCTAGTATTTTGATTACAATTTTCAATTATTTTTTGTATTACATAATTTCCAAATTTGTGTTTTGATAGTAAAAACAAATCATCAACTAAACCTTTAAAAATTTTTTCTCTTTAATATTCATTTCCTTAGATAAAGGATTATTAAATAATTAAGGAAGCATATTGATCTTAACATTATTGGGACTAAGTTTATTTAATAATAATAAATGTACAATTGTAGTGTCATTCTCTGTTTATAATTGTAATTTTTTTGTTCTTTTTTAAGAGAAATAGCCATCCTAACAAGGATAGTAAATTGGTTATTAAGGTAGTATATATGAGTGGAATTCATGACTCAAGGAGTGTTATCGTTATTAAATGAATGTTGGCTACACTGTAATATAAAAATTGCTAGGATCGGTAGAGGGGAATTCTTATTAACTAGTTGAATATTTCTATTAATACGTTGGATCTTCATATATAACTGGACTATCTCTTAGATCCTTGAAACTTTTGATAGGCTAAAGGAATAAGTAGTAAAATTTATGTTTACAGATTATGAATGTTACTGGGATTTAGTTATGGATGATCTAAATTCTGAGCATTCTGATTAATCATCTCGAGAATAATTAAATTGATTACCATCAAGAAGGGAACCTATCATATCTTTTTCTGATTGCTCCGTCTCTTGCATGGAATATTGTTTAATAAACACAAAAAAATTATAATCATTTCGTCAGTATTATTTGGCTTTAGATGAGTTAAAAAATTGTCTAATCATACAGTCAAATTTAGTTTAAAGTATTTTTTATTTAGGAAGTGGCTTTAATTATTTAGTAAAGCTTCTAATATTTTTTTATGGAGATTTTGTGACTGGTAGTCTATCAGATGTGGAAAACTAAAATGATTAAACTGCTTTTCTATCTTTCAGTAATCGATTGATTGTTTTATTGGAACGCATAACCTGTTACTTCATGTTTTATAGAAAGCAATTTGAAGAGGGAACATATTTGTACGATTTATAAGAAGCAATCTAAGGTTGCTCAGTCTTTATACGTTCTTTTTCTGGTGTATGAGTCTTTGTTGGTGATGATGGCAAATTTATGCTTTCTTCCAGATCTGGCTAAGAACGTAATATAAACAATGGATTTTTAGCATAAATTCGAAAGTTCCTTTTTTTATGCTCATTTCTCATATATTTTCTTGCTCCATCTAATTTACTAAGGAAAACTTATGCCAATCGTTCTTATTTGTGGTAGGCAATTTCACATAATTAATTTGGTAGACGATCTTCTTTTAAAGCTGTAGTCCCACACTATTCACAAACACAACTCTTGCGTCGAACTTGAGTTGAATCTAATTTAAGTCCATCTAGGTTTTTTATCGACAGATGTTGCCTACTATGCATATTATTATAATAATTAATATGAAATTGCTTTTATTACATTCAAATTCATTTTATTTAAGTACTTTCATAGATCTTATTTTACTATTATTATTATAAGAATCATTCTGAATTGATTTATTCTTTTTAGAACAAAAAAAGTTAGACAGATAAATTTAATTTTAAATAAGAGATTCTTAGAATTCTTTCATTTTAATAATATAATCTTCATATAAATTAATAAAAGCAAGATTTAAATTTACTTAAAACTAGATTAAAGAGTTTTTAAAAAACAAAAATATTAAGAATTTTAAATCAAATAAGAAAATTAGTAATATTTTATAATAGTTTTAAAGAAAAAATCAAAAGAAACATTACTTAAATTTGAATATTCTTAAAAGTTTTAATAATTTGAGAAAATATTTCAAAATTAAATAGTTATTTTTATCGTTAATTAAAAAAGAATTATAGAAATAATCATTAAATCATTGCTAATCATAATAAACATGTTCGATAAAGATATTAAATAAAAAAGAACTTAAATATTAAAGACAAATAATTAATCTAAAATAAAATTTCTTTTTTTAGATTAAATGAATATATTAAAGTTCTAATAATAATATTGATATGATAATTAATTAAAATTTATTATAAAAGTTAGGTAATATTGAAGATAATCGACTTAAATTGATAGAGGATTTATTGATAAAATAATTTGATTATAAATCAATTTCTAATTCGACTTTGATTTATTTCAGATTGAGTAATTGAATTTAAATCCACATTATTTTTTGTTAATTTGAAAATAGTTATGCAAAAATGAAAAAAAGATAATAAAGAATTAAAAAAAATTGTTTTTATAGAATTAAAAATATTAATTGAGATTAGATGGTAGGATAATAATGAAATGATTATATAATAATTATTTTATATATTTAAAATGAGTTAATTAGTTTCTTGTGGGAAAAGCATTCTTATACATGATTAATCAATGGATCCAATTTTAAGAATAAACCCACATAAATCGAGTATTAATTGTTGTATATGGAATCATAATAGTATTTGTATTTGTAAAATTTAATAGATTGTGTTATTGCAAGTTGTGGTAATGATGGAGTAATAGTTTTGAGTAGAGCTACTGATGGTTAATCACTATTGCCTTTAGAGCATAATGGAAAAGCAATAAATGCAATTTCATTCACATCAAATAGTCAATATTTAGCAAGTGGAGGTCATGATTCAATTGTGCGGGTATGGGATTTGAAAAAGAAAACAATTTAAAGTCAACTTAAAGGACATTATTCTTAGATTAACTCTTTGCATTGGAATTCTTCTGATACTTTAATTGCTAGTGCTTCTAATGTAGGTGATATTCTAGTACATGATGTAAGTACATAGATAGCAGTATCGACTTTCAATTTAAAAGGATCAAAAACACCTGGGTTTAAGGCAGTTAAATTTATGAGCAAAAATCTTTTATGTTCAGGTAGCAATGATGGATCTGTAACAATCTTTGATTTAAATGAAAATGAATTTTTATGCAATTTCTCATAGTAACATACAAGTAAAGTAACTGGATTAAGTTTCACACAATCTTTAGTTTGTAGTGTTGGCACTGACTAAAAATGTTATCTTTATAGTATTGTTGATAAAAAAGTTACTCATACTATTGCTTGTGAAAACCCACTTAATTCTGTGGCTATGTAAAATGATGATTATTCTGTTACAGTTGGTACTCTTTATGGATAAATTTATGTTTATGATATAAGAATGACTTAAAAACCTAAACTTTAATTCAGAGGACATGATAATTCTAGTGTCAATTATATGGAATATTAAAATATTGAATAATAATCTCGATTGCCTCCACCACCATCGTAAAGACTTTTGAATGAAAGCAATATGAGTGTGCAATCATAAACAAAAATTAATCAAACCAAATCCCCTTTGATCTTAGAAATCAAAAAAGATAGTAGCAAAGATTTAAATACTTTTAGTAATAAAGAATCTATGATTAAAATTGAACAATAAAAACAAATGTAATATGATCAATGTAAATTAAATCAAATTCATTTAGGCAATAGTTTAATCTCGAGTCTAATCAAGTTAGTAATCCAAATTTGATTAATCTACTAGTAAAATAGAAGATATCTCTAGAAAATATGAAGTTAGCAGGGTTATTGGTGGATAAAATGAGTATATCTTTTATTCTTATTTAGTTTTACGGATGAATAAAAGAAATTCATTCAATAATAGATCAATGAATAAACATATTAATTAAAAAAGATTGTTTAAGATAGTGTAAGTTCAATGCATATTGACATGATAAGATAATTTTAAATCTAACAAAATGAAATGCAACAACTACTTGATCAATATATGAAAGAACAAAGTAATTTAGTTTAGAGGATCTCCTAATTAGAATAAGAGAATCAGTAATTAAAAAGATAATCGTATTGAAATAAATTAATAATTTATGTTATAAGTTTATCTTGTTAGATATGATTGTTTAAAAATACAGTAACTCATTCCTAATAGGATCTTTTGCATTCTATTTTATGCCATTTGCATTATTGATTTAATCCTACTTTTATTCTCATGTTCCTTTTTCATTCTACCTTTCTAATAAGAAGACATTCAATAGCAATTTATAATTGAAAAAGTAATTTGTAACCATTTTATATAGGAATCTACTGATTGGACCCTTAGTTTATAATAAACACAATTTGGACGATAACCTATTATAGGATAACTCAATAATTAACAATTTGCCTTTATCCAAATTAACTAAGATCCTTATCTTAACATTGAAAAAACTAAGCTATTCGCTAAAACAAATTTTCATGAATTCTTTGGCTATATTGATTATAAGTTGCCTAATTTGATGTTGCCTAAAGTTTACTGTATGTAACTTTAGATCTTAAAACGATAAACTTAGAAAATTATAAAAAATTTGCCGCAATGTAAAGAATCAAAAGGCATACCAATAACTCCTTGGTTTTGGAAGGGGGAGAATATATACTATTTAGCAGAAATGTGTTTCAAGATATCAATTTAAGATTATCAATTATAATTTGAAGGAGGGTGCTTTGAAGATGGGTTGATTTATAAAAAACTACATAATGATGAAATAGCAAATTTTTAAAACTTATCAATGTACCTTAGACATGTTGATGATCCATACCTACATAGAGTTTAATTTCCTGGAGAACCTATATAAACAGGTATATTATCATTGAATTCATTATATTATTCCTTCTTATTTGGGTGTTCAGGTACTATATACTTGATATTAATTTACTTAATTTTGTCAATAAGAAAAAGGAATGAAAATTAATATGTATGATCACTATTATATATATTAAATATTAATCGTCCATTTGAAATAAAATATAAAAATTGACATAGACCTAAAGTTTGTAAGTGATGAATGAAGAAAGCGATGATATTTAATGATGGTATAGAAAAAAGATTGAGAGAAAAAATAGACAAAAGAATGTAGAAATGAAAATAGGTGGGTTTAGAATTGAAGGTGTAAAGAGATAGATGAGAAAATAGATGGTAAGAATAAAAAGAAATGAAGAAAAATGATAATCGGAAGGTTGTTTAAATTTGAATATTTTTTGTGTATAACATTATAATCATTTATTAATTAATTGGAAGTATATTATGATATTTTGAAAAAGGGGGTCGATTTTATGATTTAAAGCTGTGAGGAAATTCAAATTTCAAACATAAAATAAAACAAAATCCTTTTTCGTAACCGTCACAATGAGAGAAATCGTTCATATTCAAGGAGGACAATGTGGTAATCAAATTGGTGCCAAATTCTGGGAAGTAATTTCAGATGAACATGGTATTGACCCAACAGGAACATATCACGGAGATTCTGATCTTCAATTGGAAAGAATTAATGTTTATTATAACGAAGCAACAGGAGGAAGATATGTACCAAGAGCTATTCTTATGGATTTGGAACCAGGTATATAATAATTTATATGAATAATAGGAACAATGGATTCAGTTAGAGCTGGACCATTTGGACAATTGTTTAGACCAGATAACTTTGTTTTTGGATAAACAGGAGCTGGTAACAACTGGGCTAAAGGTCACTATACTGAAGGTGCAGAATTGATTGATTCAGTTTTGGATGTAGTTAGAAAAGAAGCTGAAGGATGTGATTGTTTATAAGGATTTTAAATTACACACTCATTGGGAGGTGGTACAGGATCAGGAATGGGAACATTGTTGATTTCAAAAGTAAGAGAAGAATATCCAGACAGAATTATGGAAACATTTTCAGTAGTTCCATCACCAAAAGTGTCTGATACAGTCGTTGAACCATATAATGCAACACTTTCAGTTCATTAATTGGTTGAGAATGCTGATGAATGCATGGTTATTGATAATGAAGCCTTGTATGATATTTGTTTCAGAACATTGAAATTGACAACCCCAACTTATGGTGATTTGAATCACTTGGTATCAGCTGCTATGTCAGGAGTTACATGCTGTCTTAGATTCCCAGGTTAATTAAACTCTGATTTGAGAAAATTGGCTGTTAACTTGATTCCATTCCCAAGACTCCATTTCTTTATGATTGGTTTTGCTCCACTTACATCAAGAGGATCATAATAATATAGAGCTCTTACAGTTCCTGAATTAACATAATAAATGTTTGATGCTAAGAATATGATGTGTGCTGCTGATCCAAGACATGGTAGATATTTAACAGCATCTGCTCTTTTCAGAGGAAGAATGTCAACCAAGGAAGTAGATGAATAAATGCTTAATGTTTAAAACAAGAACTCTTCATATTTTGTTGAATGGATTCCCAATAACATCAAATCATCAATTTGTGATATCCCACCAAAAGGATTGAAAATGGCTGTCACATTTGTTGGTAACTCAACTGCCATCTAAGAAATGTTCAAGAGAGTTGCTGAATAATTCACTGCCATGTTTAGAAGAAAGGCTTTCTTACATTGGTACACTGGTGAAGGTATATTATCCTTTTTTATTCTCTCTAGGTATGGACGAAATGGAATTCACTGAAGCTGAATCAAACATGAACGATTTAGTCTCTGAATATTAATAATATTAAGATGCCACTGCTGAAGAAGAAGGAGAATTTGAAGAAGAAGGCGAAGCATGATAATCTAAGTGATATTTATCACAATATATAAAATCAACAACAATCATCATTATCTCTTTCATCTTTCTAAACTACCAATATCTTTTAACTACATTCATATTTATACTCAATCTATTCCTTCTTTACCATCCTTTCCAATAGCTATCTTTATTATATATTAATATATTCTTTGCTTAGCTTTATTAATATCTCATTCTCCTATTATTTCAATTTCTGATTATCCTTCTCTCTTAACTAATTCTTTTTCTTCATTCTTAAATCATAATCCACTTACCTTATTTCTATTTCTCCTTCTCTTCAAATCATCTCCAATCTAATCTCAATATTTACTTATTTAACTTCTTCTTTTTTATATTATTTTCATTCTTACTCACTTACTAAACTTTCTTATTCTTATTTCATTGCTTTTTTCACCTTTTCATTTATATGAATTTCTCCACAAATCTTTAAACCATTTTTTATTTTTATTCATTATTGTTACTTATCATAATTTGATATTTTCAGATATGCTAACTATCTCTAATTATCCTCATAATACTTCTTTTTAAATTCCTAAACTTAGTTAGGTATGGATATTCTTAATTTTAAATTTATAAAGATACTTTATATTTATTATGGAATGAAGAAAATCACAAAAATATTTTGTTACGCCATCACAAAAGTATCCAAAGACCAATTCTTCACTTATTTTATAAATTATATACTTCTTATAATTTAAGATGTCATATATTAGTTTTAAGGTAATAGCAGAGACGAGATATTCATAAATTATTCGTATTTGTGGTAATCATCCTTCCCTTGGATAATGGAATCCTCAAAATTCTTATCCATTATACACTAAATGCGAAACTTACCCTGAATGGAGCCATGAGAGCAAAATTCAAATTGATCCAAGTTAATTATAGTTTTAAGCCAATAGGTTTTAATTTAGAATTCAAATGCCTTATTCAAGATGGAGATAATTTTATTTGGGAGACCATCGAAAACAGAATACATAAGTGTGATTTTAGACGCAACTTCCTTTATATCACATTCAATAAACCAACTATGAACATTAGATAATTTTAAAAATATGAAATCTCTCATGAATTTGTACAAGAAGAACTAGGTATATATCGAAGCCTAATGCATTTTAGTTAGAGTTTAAAGACTTAATCGATCAAGAGATTATGATCCTTTTGATAATGCTTTTGATTCAGTATGATAATCTTTAAATATAAAGTCTGATAATGAAAGCCTCTCAGAATTAACAACAGAGATAAGAGGACTCACAAATATCTCAATTAATTAATTAGAAATTGATTGGAAATAATTAATAAAAGTATTACAATTACTTTATCCTAATTAGAGTCATTTTGAATGTAAACAAAAATTAAAGTCAATATCTAAATTGAGAAAAATTTCTGAATAATATGGATCATCTGATTTGATTTTCGATTTCAAAAGAAAGCGTTCTTCATCAACTTAAGTATTTACAGATTCTTATGTGATTTGTTTATCATTTAAGATACCTATTAAAATAATCTAAACTAATTAATTTTGTAAAGTGACAAATAAAAAGGGTATCTCGATGTTCATTATGTTTAGATATTACAAATAAATACAATTTTTAATTAACTTCTGATCCTTATTACAATAATATGTACAATCTATTTAGTAACAGATTAAGTTTAAAGGCAATTTGGATAGGATGGATTGGAATTTAAGTTGCAGATGAGAATGAATTTATTCTTATATAACAACATGTGTATGATTAGTACAAATGCTTTGGAATTAAGTTAGACGATGCTTTATTAAGCTGTTTTTCTTAGCTAATAACCCCAGTCTTTAATAACCTAACTCCATAATTGAAATTACATTCTGAAGATGATTATATGCAAATTAATAAAATATTTGCAAAATATGTTTAAGAGGCAGTATAATGTACATTATTTTAAAACTAATTTTGCCATTTACATTCTATTTTCATTTTTGACTATCATCTCTTTTTAGTTCCAATTTATATAAAGGAAGAATTGATCAAGAAAAATGAAAATAGACCAAGAATATGTACAATAATGAGAAGATCGTTTCCAAACCCTAAATAAATTCGAATTCTATCATGCAGCGAAAACATATTATCCTCTATATTAATGAGTGATTTAATCTCCTTAATCTAATTAAAAGATTTGTATTAATTTATGCAGTGCTTACCTTAAAAATACCAAAAACTTACTAAGATATCTGATATGAGTGCATTTACTATTGAAGTTTTAGGTAGATAAATTATTTTAGATTATGGGAGTGTTGGATTAAATATAAAATAATAATAAAATATAATAAGCATATAAGAAACAACTAAAGAAAAATAGTTTACACTTCTTGGAGTTGATAGTTTATCACTTCTAAGTGGTCTGCCATAGAAATTCAAAATAATTGAATAAATTTATCTGTTAAAGTAACAACAAATTAGATTAATTCAGGTTTTATATACAAATAATGATGAAGATTACGAAAGCAATTCTTAATTATTAAAATACTATGAAGAAATAATGACTCAAGCAAAATAAATTAATCAAAATTATCAATAAGATCTAATTTAAATTAAACTCGATCTTTCTTAAAATGAATTAATCAAACTTTATGAAACGTCTGATGTTTTCATCAAATGCTCATTGAGAGATAGCATTTCTTCAAACTATTTAGAATATATATATTTTCGATAGTTGAGAAAGAAAGCAGCTAAATTAGTCTCAAGCTAATGGTATTCATTAAATGTTGATCATAGAAAAATCAATCCAAATAACTCTAAAGAATCAGCTTAAACAATTTTGAATTACTTGAATGATTAAAGTCCAAAATTTATTATTGTTCCAAACAGTAATGATTGGTTACACAGTTTAAATGATCACTTGAGTTATTGTGAAGATTTTTGGTTTGATAAATAATTGTATCATTCAGCCAAAGAATTTACATTAGGTTTAAAAGATAAAAGCTTTTGTTAAATTGAGAAAACTAACGTTGTGTCTAAATATTTTAATCGAAATTTTTAGGATAATTAAAAAATTATAATTCTTGCTTTTACTCAAAAATTTTTAAAGAAAATACCAAAATTAGACTAATTAATTTAAGTATTTGAAAAGTTAGCTCAAGATGATAATAATACTCTAATTATTGTCTCTGATTAAAATTGTGAAATTTTGGATTTGAACTTTGGATCCATTAATAATTTATATCTAATTGCTTAGGATGGACTTTTCATTAAATAAAATAATAAAACAAATTTCTAATCAATTATAGAGTAGAATGAATAATTAAAAGCAAAATTATAATCATTGTCATTTTTGGAACATTTAAATTTAACAGAAAAAAATTAAATTTATACATTGTCTTTGAAAGAGCAAATTAAATTTACAAATGCTGCTGCAAATGTTTTTCTATCAAATTTGATTTAAGAAATAAAATTAGAATTCGATGATTATTTAATATTTTAAGAAAATTATTCAATAAAGATTAAACATCAATATTAACAAATTGAAGAATTATTGAAAATTATAATAATAAATGAAACAAATTAAAAGGGATTGATTTCATTTGCTAATATTATTTCATTTGATAGAGGATGGTTGGAAAAGATTTTGCAAATTTTTTATTTTGCAACTATACCATTAAACAAAGTATTTTTTAAATTTAAATATAGAAATTTCATTGTATTTCAATTTCTGATTAGATTGAAAAGAATAGTAATTTAGTTATAGAATCTATGTTAGAATTAATAAAATTGCTTAATAGTTATGTTTTGGAGAGATAAGATCAAAAATTGAAAACTAATTTATTTAACTACAATCATCCTAATAATTGAACAAAATTATGTGGAAAATAACCCTTAACTTAATTTTTATCTTCTCCATACCACCATCCATTTGTTGTCTTTTTTAATAATTTAATTTAATCTCCTTTCTTAAAACTCAAATCAATATCCTATCAAACTTTAATAATATGTAAATACTTTTTAGGCTTTATAATCATATTTAGCAATCACAAATTAATAATTAATTTATTAATTTTCTTTATTTCTTTTTGTTGACTTGTCTTGCTCCTTTTATATTTGTTAATCTAAATATTTGAGACTATGGACTGATGAACATCTGTCTTTATTTGTGGGACCCTCTTTCATAAGTGAATCGAAAACTGTAGGTTCATTGTCATTTTATTTGAATGCTTAAAAATAATGAGGAGCCTAATTAATTTCTGGCTTGATTCTTTTAGCAGCATTTATTTACAAGGGCATCTAATTTCTTTGTTTCTCTTTAGAAAAAGGTCTTTATTTATCAATTGTATCTAAATCTGTGAAATATGGACTACCTAATTGTGAATCAGAAAATGGTTAACTTGATTCAAGAAAAGCATTGAACTACTCTTATAAAGTTGTGATTTTATTTTATTTTGGTATTTCTGAAATAGATAAACTAATGTTATTATTATTATTATTATTATTATTATTATTATTATTATTATTATTATTATTATTATTATTATTATTATTATTATTATTATTATTATTATTATTAGCATGAATACTTTATCTAACTGCATTGTTATTTTTATTTCGAAAGGATAATTCTGGTGATTCATGCATTTTTAGTTATTCTACAGTTTCGAAAAATCCATTTACATCAAATTCTTCTGGTAAAAGGCAATTTCTTAATGCAGGTAGATTTAAATTTTGTGTCTTAGAGATAAAATCTAAGATAAAGGATGTTGAATGTTTTGATAATGATAACAAAATATCATATGCATTACTTAGATGTGGTTAAAAAGTTTATACTGAATTTTAGAAGAATGTCAAGAATTCAATACTTAACAAACAATTCTCACAGATAAATGTTTTTAAGCCAATATTAATAGTAATTTGATCTTAAAGTTGTTTAGTTAATAATTCATTTTTTTTTTATTCCATTTATAAGTTTTATTACATGGTTTTCATGGATTGGATTTTTTCATTTATTTTAATTAGTTCATTTTAATACGTTTAGCGTTCATTAATTAAGTTTGTATTAATTTCTTTGTTCTGACGTTCTAATGTTGTAATTTTCTTTTTGAAATCGCCTATTGTGGATAGAAATTTAGATGATTAATCTTTAAGTTCTTAATTTTCTTGTTTAATTTTCTCATAATATTCATCTTTATTTAGGATATTTTCAATAATCATATTGGCCATAGCATTACTGGAATTCAAAAATAGGTTATCCTAATCTGTAATTTAATTGAAATTCAATTTTCTGTTACTTTTTTATTTCTATGGTGTTCTTTTAGGTGACATAGATTTGGTTTATTTTGAGTTAGCTTAGGCATTCTCTAAAATCTATAGTAACTCTTATTTCTTATTTTATTAACGAATAGGCTCTTTTTTTGTCAAAATCTGAATCTAAGTTTGAAGTTGTTATAAGGATTATTAATTTACAGGCAAAGCCCCATCAACACTTTAATTTAATTTTTGATATTAAGAGAATGCCCCTGGTTTAATTTGTAATTTACTATTTGGCACTAATTTCTATAGTGAATACATTTTAAAATTAAATTAATCGTTATATTTATGTCTTTTTAAAACAAATATCACTCAATTGATTTAAAGACGATAGCAGATCTATTTGGTAAATAGATTTGAATATGATTAGGTCTACCTTGCCATTCTTCTTTGATGATTGGGAAATTTTGACCATAAGAAGGAGAGACTCTTGAATGTCCTCCAAATCTAACATCATCTGTATCTAAAACTATTTGATGATCTGATTAAAATTTAGTTCCAACTTTAAAATGTTCATATGACTAATAGATAAAATCAAAAATAAATAAATACTTCAGTAGGATGGAAGTTAAATACAAATAAAAGAGATCCTCTTTCAAAAATTATAACCTTCATTTGATTGTGTTTTTCTGTAACATACTACTCACCACTAGGTAACCAAGGGTATTTTTCTTCAAGGTTAATCATTTCAGCATCAAATTATAATAGTCTGGAATACCTTAATAATTAATCATCTGCTAAATCCCATCTTCTTCTGGCATGATGATAACTCCATCCATTTCCTTCTCTTGGAAAATCTATCCATTCAGGATGTCCAAATTCATTTCCCATAAAATTTAAGTATCCTTCTCCACCTAATGCAAAGGTAATTAATCTCAACATTTTATGTAAAGCCATCCCTCTAAAAGTGACTAAAGTTTCTGGTTAAAGTGTGCTCATTTAACTATAAATTTCCTTATCAAAGAGCCACATAGACAGAGTCTTGTCACCAACTAAAGCTTGATCATGTGATTCAGCATAACATACACACTTTTCTAAATATCGTCTATTAGTAAGTGTATAAGCGATATCTCCCATATCCCAATCATCATCTTTGAATTCTTTAAGGAGTTTAATCCATTTATCAGGGACTGCCATAGCCATTCTATAATCAAATCCTATACCCCCTTCTTTAATGTTACGACATAAAGTTGGATAGCCAGACACATCTTCTGCAATAGTGATAGCATTAGGATTAATTTCATGTATAAGATCATTAGCCAACATCAAATAAACTAAAGAATCAAGATCAGTTAATTCATTAAAATATTCATGATATCCTCCAGTGAAACCATATCCATTGCCATGATGAACATACAACATAGATGTAACACCATCAAATCTAAATCCATCAAATTGATATTCATTAATCCACCATGATAAATTTGATAATAGAAATCTAATAACTTCCCATTTAGAATAATCAAATAATTTAGAATCCCATAATTCATGTTTACCCTTACTTCCAGCATGAAAGTATTGATAATCAGTGCCATCCCATTAATTAATTCCATCTTATACATTACTAGATGCATGACTATGAACTAAATCCATCAGAACTGTAATTCCATATTAATGTGCTGTATCAATCAATTCTTTTAAATCATCAGGACTACCAAATCTACTGCTAACTGCAAAGAAATTTGTAACATGATATCCAAAACTTCCATAATAAGCATGTTCTTAAATAGCCATAATTTATATCACATTATATCCTAATTTAACTACTCTTGGTAATACTATTTATGTGAATTCCTTAAAAGTATGTACTCTTGGTTCAATACCAGCCATTCCTATATGTACTTCATATATTTTAAGACATCTAGGTTTTGGTGGTCTGTTGTGTTTGAATTCATACTTAACTTCAGGATTATAAAATACACCGTCAAAAATCTTAATATTTATTATATATATACTTTGTTTTACTCATTTTACCAAGTTGTTCGAATCCAAGCAGGAATTCTAAATAGATACTAATTATTAGCATCCTTTATATATGTCTTTACTCTTGAACCATGTGGAATAATATATGAACCATCATCATTTCTTGGTAAAAATATTTCCCAATTTCCAAAAGAATCAGATGTTAGAGAATATTACATTTTATCCCAATTATTGAAATCACCTGTTAAATAAACTTCTTTAGCTCCAGGTGCCCATTCTTTATATGTAATTCCAGTATCAGAAATCAAAAACCCATATTTTTCATATCTAATAATTATAGAACTTCTTACCCCTTAGCAAAATCTTTAAGAGATGACTCTACTTTGACAATCTATTCAAGTAATTCAAAGAATTTTGTATTTCTTACTTAAAAGTGCTATTTATGAGGCTCAAGATAAGGATCATCTTTAAACACTTGCAACTCATCTATATTCTTTTGATATCGTTATGTAAACTCTTCATTTTCTAATACAGCTTACTATGATATTAATAAATTGTTTACTTAATAAAAAAGAGAGTTCTTTTTTTGAAGTCTTCTTCCTGTAGCATTCTTAGTTGAAAGAGCAGTTCCTTAATCAATATATTACATTAATAAATTATTATTATTGTTTTTAAAATACAAAATATTGTTTTCAATATAAAGATAATTATAGATTTCAAAATATTATAAATATCTCTTGTGTTACTGTCTTGAAAAGATAAAAGAAAATAATTCAATATCTAATTATATAATATATTTAATTTAAATGGCTGGAGAAAAATTATAAAGTTCAGGTAAACGCAAATGTTAGCCTAAATGTCCTGAACATTAATTCAATCTCCAACCTAAAAGTACAAAATGCTGGCTTAAACATGTTACAAACATAGATTTTTGTCCTATATTTAATGATGCTGTATTTGATGTAAATTAATTATCATTAGTTATCTTGTTATGAAAATATTGTTCCAGTTTTCAATTAAGATGAATAACAATGTTTACCTGGTTTTATTTTAGAAGTGGACCGAGTATATTTTAAATTAATACTTTAATTAGAATGACTATATAAAGAGTATGCAAAAATATAAAGAGGATCATTAAAAAAAGGTTTAGGAATACACAATAAAAAAAACTAAATTAGTAAAAATTAAATATATTGATAGTAAATTCCTAAACCAGGTAGAAAACATAGATATTGTGGAGTCTGTCGTAAACCTTATGTAGATTATTTGGATGTAAAATTAGGAATCTAATAATTTAGCATATCAAATCTGCAGATCACATAAATAGTTTTAACAGACATGAATTTGTCCACGTTATTTTAAAAATAGTAAATGAAGATTATAAAAGCAAGGATGAAAACAAATTTCAAAATGATATCTGTTTCGATGTAGCTACATCCAAAATTCCAAAGAAAAGAGGTCCAAAACCAAAAAATCCAATTCAATAAGCAGAACCAAAAAAAAGAGGAAGAAAACCAGCTGAACCTTCTTTAACAAAACGAATAAAAACATAACCTGTCTAAGAATAATTTAATCCTTTCCGACCTCAACCAACTCCATTTTTTCAATAACACTTTCTTTTTCCTTATCCGACACCGTTGAGTCAAATGTTGGCTTAATTACCATGTCAAATAAACATTCCCTTTCCAATCAAGCTTGGATAAGACTTAAATATTGGATCATTAGAAGATATGAGTAAGATATTTTATTAATATAGTTATGGAAGGTGAAATTGCAAAAATTGCAAATATTGAAGATATTGCTCAAATTTGAATGAAAATATAATCTATTATTAATAAACATTATTGAATTTGTAAGGTTCAAGCTATTTTTTATGTTAATAAATGATAACTTAAGAAATTAGTTATATATCCAAATTTAATTTGTTTAATGAACGATGAGTAATTCTTCAAAGTATATTCTGATATATAGTTGTATTCAAATAATTAATAAATAAAAAAACAAATATGGCAGAAGAATAAAACTTATAGGATGATTCTAAAAAGAATCTAGGTTAAATGGGAGCAAAAGTAGTTCCTAGAGGTTCAAAAGAAATATCCAATATTCTGGGAGATCGTAGGTCTTCCTATAATATAGAAGGGTATGATCGAGTAGTTGTTGACGAGTAATTATATTTAATAATTTGCAGAATCACTGATCATAAAAATGTTGGGATTCCATTGATAGATAAGATTGTAATTATTTTAGTTGTCCTCTTTACTTTATTGGTGTTCATTAACTTCTCATTTACATGTAACTTACTTTTGTGATCTTTTTTATAGCTAATGATGCTAAAGAGGATGCAGATATAGAAAAGACATTATTTATAACTAAAATAATTGAGTTAGTTATCCTCATTTTTTTTATTTTAGAAATTTCATTTCGATGCATCAGTGTAGGATTTATAGTATATGAAATATAATATATATTAGTCATATTTTTCAGATTTTTGGGCTATCTTCGATGCTCTTATTATAATTGCTTCAATAATTTTAATTATTCTCGATTTCAATTTAGATGGAGATGCATTTACCACAATAAGCAAAGTTCTAAGGGGAATATTTAGATTTTTAAGATTATTTTTAGTGTTTCGCAAAGTAAATTTCATAATATTTTCTAACAGTTCAATTAAGTCAAAAAAATAAATAATGCAGGGGCAAGATATGTAGTACGATCTCCAGTTGAAAAAGTGATTGAAATAATGAGAGATCTAGCAGATTAATTCGAAGATCCAGATATTATTAAATAATTAAATTGGGGTATAACTCATATATCTAATAATACTGTTTATGAACCTATAATAGAAGGAAAGAAAAGTGAAGCTTTAGGATGGTTATATCAACCTTAACAATAATAATAATAAATTTCTTAAGAATAAAGACGTTCAATATCTTTTGATGTTGTATTTACAAATGAATCTCATATACCTGAATAATTAAGAGAAGATTTTGAATAAAACATCTTAAACTTAGATTACGATTACTTTTCTCTATTTTAGAAATACGATAGTTCTATACTTACTCATTTAATGTGTTACTACTTCTAAAAGGAATAGTTATTTAGTTCTTTGAGAATATCTCCTGATTCTTTTAAGAAATGTGTAGATCGCTTAGCATAAAACTATCACAAAGAGAATTTATATCATAATGTTATTCATGCTTTTGATGTTACACATACAGTATATTTCTTTATTCAAAAATGTAACTTTAAAGAAATAGGAAAATTATCAAAATTAGATTATTCTATTCTTCTATTGTCTGCTGCAGCACATGATGTTGATCATCCAGGTTTAAATAATATTTTTCTATCTAATACTAGACATGATTTGGCTATGACATATAATGATAGATCTCCACTTGAATAACATCATTCATCTACATTATTCAGATATATTAGAGAAACAGATGTTCTAATGCATTTTACTCTATCTGATTTTAAATATTTTAGAGAAAAATCAATAAATATGATTCTTAGTACTGATAATGCAATGCATGGAAAAGGTATTTCATTACATTATATTAGATTATAATAAATTAAAAGCAAGATTAGCTTCTAACGATTTTGATCCTGGATCTAAAGATAAAGGAATTTGCTTTGATACATTATTACATGCAGCAGATATTAGCAATCCTTTTAAACCAATGAAAAATTATGAATAATGGACCTTCAGAGTTCTTGGAGAATTCTGGCTTCAAGGTGATAAAGAGAAGGAATTAGGCCTTCCTATTACAATGCTTTGTGATAGAAGAACTACTAATGTTGCCAAAAGTCAAATTGGATTCATAGACTTTATGGTAAGACACATAATTATCTTAGGTTCTTCCTTATTATAACACTTTATCATAAATACTTCCATAATTATCAGATTATATTGAATAAATCACAGAAAATAAAAAAGCATGGGCTGGACAAATAGATCATTATTAAACACTTTTAAATACATAATGAATTGTTAATATATTAATAAAAAATTTTTTAATACTTATTCTCAATATATGTATATATTATTTCTAATCATAATCTTATATTACTAATATTTGTTTTATCATAATTAGATTAATTATTTTCTGAGTTTAAATCTAAAATTTAGTTTCCCTTATGACTAATTTTTACTTGACTTGAAATTTTTCATTAACGAACAAAATATAATATAATTAAAAAAACTCTTTTTTTGATTAATATTTTAGAGATACTTAAGAAATATAATTTTTGGTTAATATAAATTAATCAAACATCTTTCCAATAAAATAATTTGTTACTATTAAGACATCCTTCATACATTCTTTTGGCATATTTTATTGGAGGTCTTATATCTTATTATTTATCTGATTGCATCAAGTCATGTATAAAATCAAAACTGATTAAATATTTTTTGGACTCTTCTCTAAAATACTCTTCATCTAAAATATCTCTTAATGATTTAAGAGTAAACATTTTTTATTTTTTTTTTAACTTCTCTAATTTTTAATTCATTTCAGATTTAATATTTTCATCTTACTCTTACTCTAATTTTCTTTTAATTCTATTAATAAATTATCTTCCATAATAATTAGGTAAATTTTTGGTTTCTACTTATTATGATTATAATAAATGTTATTATTTTTCTTTATTTTTGGGGCTATTATCAGAACCTACTTAAATGCTAGAGTAATCATTCTATTTAGTTTTTTTATTCTAGATTCTGATCTTCTCTGTTGATTTTAAATCATTTCTCTCTATTGATTATTGAATATCCATCTTTTAATTATCATTATCCTAAAATTTAATTTATTCATCGTGCTCTTCAATATTCTAATATAACAATTCTTCATCTCTATCATCAGATTCATTAGGTCTCATAATTGAGATTATCTTAAGCTCTCTTTTGATATTAGTTTGGATTTAATTTACTTTAATTTCCGGTTCGTCTTTATCAAAATTACATTTCAGTTAATAATTCAAACTACCATCCTAATCTATATAATTTTAATTAAATTATTCATCATCATCAATGTTATTCATATAAAATTCGAAATCCTAATCAATTTCTAAATTCTCACCCATCAAAAGTTGTTTATTTTAATAATTAAATATATAAATTAAGATATTTATTTTTATACTAAAAATATATATACATATTAACAGAACTAGTAAATTAATAAGTTTAAAATTTTCTTAATAATCTATATTCATATTTAGACAAAGAAAACTTCACAAATTATCTCAACCATTACTAATTAAATTGAATATGTTTTTGTAATTCGATATTCAAAATTATTCGATATTCTATTTAAAAAACTTTTCAATTTAATATTCTTTCTATGCTGTGTGAAGAAAGTTTTATCATTTTTGATAGGATTTATAATTTAGTGAGGATATTAAATTCACAATACTCTTAATTTAATGTAAAAATTGAAAACTAAGTTTCCCAAAGTTTTAGTAATAAACAATATAAAATTTATTCATTTTTTGATTTCATTTCCGTAATAATGGGCTCTTTCGATTGATTCTAATTTAATTTTTAAGCTTTCAAATTACTTTTCTATTTTAGACTTCTTATTTTGTAGATATTATTCATATTAAATTTAGGATATCCTTTTGAATAACTGATTATAACTTTAGCCATATGTAAAATTTAGTCATTAACTTTTGAATTCTTTATAGAATTTATTTAATTGGAATTCATAACTAAAATTCATTCGAAATTGTGGAAATATATAACAGATTTGAATGTAAATGATATAGTTTTATATGATTATTCAAAATAAAAATTTATAACCAAATCATTAATACTAATTTTTCCTGTTATAATTGATTTATATATAATTTAAGATAATCAATATTAAGAGGAAAGATCTTTTTAAGTATGATGTAATAAGATTTTTTTTTTTTTAATCTATTTACATGTTTAGTAAGCCTTTAAATTTTTTTTGTTTAAATTTATTATAATAATAAAAATGATATGCATAAGAGAGTTTAGAATGAACTTCTTTATAATTTTATTTTTTTATTGTAGTTAGATTGTTTTATGTTATAATTTGATTAATACTTGATAAAATAGAATTAGCTTATAAATAATAGATTCTAGAGAAATATCTATAGAATTAATTAAAAGATTTTTAGTAAAGATATATGCTATTTATAACCATGATATTTAGAATTAGAGATTTGCTTGGGATGGTAATTTTATAATTTTAAAGGAGAAACTATGTATTATTTAATTTGATAGATATGAAATAGAAGTATCTAGATGTAATGATTTTATATGATTATATAACAACCAATAAAGAAAAGTAAAGAGAAAGATGATAACAATATTAAGATAGACATAAATGAATCAGGAATAAAAAAGTGGATGTAATTTTTAGAATTATACGTTAATTTTAATAACGAATTTTAATGAATATTGTGGAGAATGTAGAAGAGGAATACGATGAATAAAATCAAGGTACCCATCAATAAGGAGAGAGATTACCTGATAATTATGGTAGAAGTGTTTTCTTTGATTCAAATAATCTTCCTCAAGTAATAATTTAGATCATCAATATATTAGGTTGAGTGTTACTATCATAAAGGATATTATATTTCAAATATGTGTAGGGCACCTTAATGTATTATACCTTTATGTCCATTATGTATTCATTTGCATTCTAAAGAACATATAAATGAAGGAACTTATCCAATATTTGAATCATTAGAAGTATTATTAAATTAAGCAAGTGATCATGTTTAAAATGAATGTAATAATAATATATTAACTATAAATTTAGTAAAGAAATTCACAAACTCTTATTATGATATTAAGAAGCATGTGAACACATTTGAAGTTCATGCAGAAAAAACAATCAAGAAAATTCGAGAAATTAAGAAACGTATACTAGATATTGTCGAACAATTTTTTAATGGGCTTGAAAATGAAGTAGAACATAAATAGAAAAAGAATGTAAATAATTAGGAAAGAGATGCTAAACATTTATTATAAATGATAGAAGAAAGATGGACTTCAATGAAATAGATGTTGATAACATTTTAATCAAGTGATTGTCTAACTGCATTGATTCCATATTTTACAACTACATTCTAAGAGGATAATTAAGTATACTATAAGAAAATAGGTGAATATATAAATTCATTTCCTACTGTGAGTAGTGAAGTTCAAATAGATTAATAGAGAGCGTATAATCTATTATCATAATTTTAGATCAGAATTAAGTTTATTTCTTCAATCAATCATTAAAGTATAACACACTTCTATTCCTGACTTTATTGGAGTACATCAGTTACCAACAACAAATGTAACTGAAAGTACAAAAATAAAGTCACTTTAAGGAAGTAGAATAAAAGAACCTTTAAGAGTTACTATTCCTGAAAAGAAAACAAAGTTTGATACTTGTTAACATTAAAATCCTAATCCAAATGCTCCTCCTGTTAAAATTCATAGAAGTCCTTAACCTTTTTCATAATCTGTTCCATTACATCCAGGTCATCCACCATTACCTATTCATCCTTAATATTTTCCTCATACACATTTTATACCACCTTATCATAGATTTTGAAATATTAATATAAATTATTTATTATTATGGATAAATTATTATAAAAAGAAATTAGAAATCATTTCTAAAATGAAAATTATAAAGCTGATGTTATTGATATTTAATTAAAAAATGCTAAGATAAAATGGATGATGTAAGATATTTTAATATATCTAGTGGCAATCAAGAACAGAAGAAGATTTTCTTAAAAAGAAACTGTAATTACTTGGTTAATGTGAAAACAGCTAGAAAATAAATTCAATAAATTAAAGTCAAATAATAAATGATCTAAAAATTAAAAAATAAAAATACCAAATAAGAGTCATTCTTTGATATGATATCAGATTCTTCTGAAGATTAAATTGAATGAATAAATTAAATCTTATACATTTGATTTTGATACTTATTTATTCTAGGACTTATTAATTTCTAAATAATTATATCAAAAATTATTAAGTTTTTACAACTAATATTTATTTTATATTAAAATAAAGAATAACTTATAAATTCTGATACAAATTTACACTATAAAAGAAAAATTCTAATTTAAAAATATTATAATAAAACTAATGAATAAAGAATCAAGCAGATAAACTTTTGAATAAAAATTTAAATATCTTGCCAAGAAAAGATTATTAGCTTATCAGAAACTAATAAACAATTAAAACTTTATTAAGCTAAAAGAAGAAACTGATTTTCTAGAGGGTATAAATTCAAAATCTCAAATGTATGAAGAAGGCTAAAAGGAATTTAATTAGAAATTCTCAAAATAATACAATAACATACAAACTTTATACAAAAAATGCATTTAAAATAAACATAATAATAATTAGAGAAATAAATTAAGAAGAGAAAAAATAACTTTTAATATTAACAAAGATCTTTAAGAATGAATTCTCTCTCTATTTATTATTATTTAACCAATAAACATATTATATTTTATTTATATTATTTAAGTATTTCTTGAGAATTACAAGAATAAATTGTGCAGATAAAATTAACACTTACAAAAATTGAATATTAAATGGGATATTTAATTATGTAAGAGATTTCTATTTAAGATAGTATAAACTATATTTATTTTTTATATAGTCTCAATATAGATTTATTTTGTTAAGAAATTGAAAAATGTTTTCTTTGTTTAATATTAATATCCAGTATCAACGAAATAGATTAGCGAGGTATTCAAATATACAATTTTATTAAAATTTATCAATTCTATTTTGCTTATTTTAATTGAAGGATATTTTCATTAGAAGTATAATCTTAGCTTGAGTTTATTCAATTTAAGATCAATGTAAAATAAAAATTATAAAATATTGCAATAATGAATATAATAATATAGAAACTTATTGAATAAGTTAAAACTATAAATTTTTGAATAATTTTTCAATCTATTTAGACTACCATTGATGAAATTTTTGATAATATTTATTGAACCTTACTTCTAACCTCTTCAGATTAATGTTCAATTAATTACACAAAAAATGGCATCAAATAAAATAAATGGCCTATGTTTGATTATAACAAAGAGGTATTTTCAAATGAGATTTCTTCACCATCTAAAGAAATAAAGTTTAAAAAGGAATTTTGAGGTATTTTAGTTTGTAAAAGTTGGTTTAATAAATCAATAATTTTTTTACTATTAGTATCACATTCAGTATCATAAAAGTTCAAAATTTTTTAGCTTGCATCAAGTAAATACTAAAGAACTTTAGAGTTCTCAGACAAAAGACATAATTTCTAGATAGCCATATTGGAATATTAAGATATCTCATATAATTTTTAAATGAATTCCATAAATTCAGATGAATGAGATAGATTAGGATTTTTCACATATATTTATGAAATATCTTCTATATATTAATTTTAGAGCTGTTGATTTTCTAAATTTAAAATTTTACTGCATGATTATTGTTTCTCACAAATTGATTTATCTGGTAATAGAAGCTATAATGTTTTTAATATCTAAAGTTAGTCTTAAGAATTATTGTTTAGATAGATTTTAGCTCTAAAAAGATAATTTTCAGCCATTATCATATAGATTGACTTTTCTTCATTTAATGTTTCAGTGAAATAAAAAAATTAATTATTATTTCTCATAGTTAAAATAATTGTTTTATATAGTTCTTGAAATTAATTGAAAAATTCAATATTGTTATCTAAAACCATATTAAGTTAGATAAAATGCCTCTTTATTAAAATATGTTTAAATTTATTACTTGGAGGTTCTTAAATTAACTAATATATATTGTCTATTATTTTTTATATTAATTATGGAGGTTATTTAGATAAATTTTATTAGAGTGTTATCATTAATTATTTTGGTGCAAGATTATCTTCAAAAAATATCTTATTTTAAATTAAATCAATTTTAGTGTGAACATTAATTGGATATTCTAAAATTTTATAATAAACATCCACAACTTCTTCAATAAAAATGTTTGAAGCTAATTTCATTATATCATTCAAAAATTCTAGTAATTCAGGAGCAATGTGTAAAATGAGAGTTTTAATATATTTAATATCTTAATATGGTTGATCAAATAGATTTGAAATCTAATTAATTACAAGATTGAAATTTTAAAGACAAACAATAGGTTTATATAAGAATAAATCTCTCATTTATTTAGAAGCTTCTAAAGTTAAGAATGGTTTATTTTATTGAAAAATAAGTATTAAATCTGGAGTTGTTTCTATAATTAATAATTAAATATCTTAATCTCTAAAATAAAATGGTAATTTACTTATCTTAAGAAGATTCATCAACAATAAGAAAGTATTTTTTAATCAATTTTATAAAAGCTTGGATTGCACTTTTAACAGTTTCTTCCCATTAAGCTACATCCAATTCTTTATTTTCATTTCTTTCTTTAAATGTATTAGTAATATTATGCATCATTTTCATAAAGATATTTTCTAATATTCTTTTCCATTAAGTATATAAATTTTGACAGTTTAAATGAATCAAAAGATTACTAAATATATGAATAGCAGAATGCCTGATTTCTGGAATTGGATCCAAGGCAATAATTGAAAGTTTTTTAAATATCTCAGGTAAATATAATTCAAGTTCTTCATTAGTTAATATGTGATTCTACTCTCTATTTTGAGAATTATTTTTAGTTATGAAATCCCCCAAATGCCAAAGCATATTACAAATCTAGAAATTGATATTCTATTCATCTAATAATAATAATAATAAAATTTAATTACTTGAATTAGATTTGTATTCATCAATAATTTCAAATATCTTTTTTATTTATTAACCATTTAGATTTGATAAAAATTAATTTATAATATATTCTGTACAAGCTAATCCTTACTTTACAAATATAGCTGTTTATTCAGAACCAATTTATTATAATATTATTAAAATAGAATCCCATCCTTTTTGTTAAATTTCATGTCCGTTATTTTATAACATCTTTAGTACATTATTTAAAATTATTTCTTTTAAATCATTTTAATTTAATGCACACATATCAATCCAAGGTTAAAAAAGAGTCTATTAATAGACTGATTCATTCTTATGCCATTTTTCTTTTATATAATCTGAATGATGCTATTAATTTTTCTTATAAAATTAAGTCCAGTGTTCAAAACCATAAAATATTATCTAAGATAATGTTTCTGCTGCATTTAAAACTAAATTAATATTACGTGAAGAAATAACTGATATAAAATGAGCAATTATCAATTCCCAAAATATATCTAATCTAAATACATTAAATTTTATTAATTCAACTAATTTTAAAAGAGAAAAGTATTTCTTTTAATCACCAAATTATGAATTTGATCTTTTTAATTCTAAAGTACTCTACTATTCTAAACATTCTATTGTTATTTAATTAATAGCATCCATTACAGTTATAAGATGTTCATTTCCATAATTAGAACTTTGTGAAAACAATTAATCTAAACTTTAAAATAAAATAGTTATATCTAATGTTTTAATTTATTCTTCTTAACTTGAATTCTTTGCTAAACGATTTCTTAAATAATGATTCTCACATTCTTCAAATGTTTTGAAAATGCAAATCCAACTACTACATTCTAGTAAATCTAATAAATTAAATTATATATAATCTTACTTCCCAGACAATTAGCAATATTAAGTACCATTTTATTAATTTAAATATGTTTTTTTGTAAATTCATATCCTATTTAAGGTTTACAAAATTCACATATAGTTTTTATAAATGCATTTTATGCAGATTTCATTTAGATTGAACCAACTATATTAATATATTATTAAAATGCTGATAATAAATTTTATAGAGTTTACTCATCCAAATCTTTTAATAATAAATATTTGATTCCTCTTAAATTAAGTTTCCAAGTGTATTCAATAATTTGATAAAATTTATCTGTTGATTACAATTTAATAATAACACCTAATGATATTTTTTATTAATCAGCATAAACACAAAGAGAATTTACAAAACGTGATTAAAATTCACTCAACATTCTGCAAACTAAACCATTATCACTAGGATATACATCAGAATTTTATTATAAATTATAAGTAGGATTTGTCAATTCCATCCATCTTTTCTATTCAAATTCAGTGGGGTCATTTATTTCTTTAACTATTCCAGATAATAATGTTATAATATCTAAGATATAATTCTATTGATATAATTATTTATATACTTTCTCATTTAAAGGAAGTTGTAATAATTGATCTAAAAATATTTAACTTTAAACAAAATAGATTAATGTTTAAAAACTTAAATTTTTATGTATTGAATGTTCATTAGATTTTATTTATTAAATTAATATATCCCAAACATCTCCTGATTGTGGTCCATCTACTAAAAATGTTAAACATTTAAATGCTACAACAATAATTGAACTTTTTATCATATTAATTGGTATTGCAAGTATTTTTCTAAGAACTTATATAAGATTATTAGATAATAATTCTTATATTATACTAAATTAGGTAAAGAATTTTCCCATATTTGATAAAAAACTGTTAATACTAGATAATCCAAATTCTCTATCAATTGGAACTGTAGAAGGAAACCAATGAGGACGAGAGTAATCACATATTTTAATTAAATCTGATAATATTGAATGTAGATTTTGCACTTCTTTCTAATGATCAATTGGAATGTTAGAATTTGTTTATTGTGAATTCTATTCTTGCTAATTATCTAAATCAATTATAATATTCATCTCATCAAATCCTTAACCTGCTATTATTAATTGTGTTGATCCAGAAAGCAATTCTATTAATTTATCTAATGATGTTTCTGCTGATGCTTGAATTATAGGCATTTTAGAATTTTTCATAAAAAATACAAATGTTAAACACTAAATGAATAAATTTATTATTCTACTTTTTCAGCAAAACCATAATTACGAAAATTAATAAAGTCTTAATGTATAAAAGCCATAAAACTTTGTATTAACTTATAATGCAATTCTTCCTTTTAAATCTCTTTTATTTTCAAAAAGTAATCCAATACATCTTCACTTGTTTAGATCTAAATCTAAATTATTTTATTTACATCATTTATAACTTTCAGATTAATCAATTTTAGTAAAAAACAAATTAATGTTGTGTGAAATTTAGCTGATTTCAATTCTTTTGAAGCAGGTATTAGAATCTTTTGTATTTCTTATCTTGGAATATCTTGTATACCATTCTTTTTATTCTCCTCCAAAACTTTTTAAAAATTATTTAGGGATTCTTTCATTGGTGTGTATTTCTTTTTTGAAGACATTGCTTATTTTATTATTGAAATTTCTCTCAAAGCTAATTGTACTCTAGATTCTTACATTTTATATAAGAATAATTTATTAAAGTTTTAATTTAAATAAATCAATTCCAATTTCAATCTATTTTAGCAACAATACCCACTCATTTTACATTCTATTTATATAATATTCTTTATAAAACATTTTTATGAATTCTTATAGCCAAATTCAAGTTCAAAACAAAACTATCATTGATTAAAAAACAATCAAAATAACTATAAAATTCTTAAAGCTTAAATATACATAAAAAATAATCATCACTCATTTATTTTAATTTATTTTTTAATTGTTTCACAAAAAATCTCAATGTTATATCGGAATAGGGGATTTACATGAGTTTTTGATTCTTTAACTATTCCAATTGCCCATAAACATTAATCAAAAAATTCTTTAGAAAAGATTCTTCCTTTTGGAGAATTGACGAACTAATTTAAATCAAATTTTCTTATTTTATCTGGATTAATTGACAAGAATTATTGAATATCTTTGTCTTCAATCAATTATTTCAATTTAGAATCTTTAGTGTTTCTAATAACATTTTGAATGAATTATTATAATTATCTTCCATAACATTTAGATAAATTTTTACTCTCACCTGGCAATATGGATTCAATTTCAGGCTAATTATATTTATATTATTTACTTTTAGAGTTCTATTTTTTTTTTTATTATTTTCATTTGTTTGATTCTATGTAAGTGGAGTCTCATTTCTATTAAAAAAATTTTAATTATTCACAATTTCATTTTTTGTCATCGGTCTTTCGCCATTTTATACTTATAAATCATTGTTCATATTGTCTTCATATGTTGAATTTCTACGATCCTAATCTGTTGCAATAAAGTGAAATAGACCTTAAGAGTTTTCCTAATATTCATATTAAGAAGAAAGATCTAAGAATTGATCGTTGTTGTAAATATCCATAAAAACAAACTAATAAGGACTTATTATTATTTTTATTGTTTATTCTTCTTGAATGGTTATAACCAGAATAATTCTATTAAGAGTTATTTATCATTTATAGAATCAATTTACAAAAACTTAAACAATAAATTATTGAATTAAAAATCCATAAAAATTGTGAATATAAATATAATCAAACTCTTTCCTATTGTTAACAAATTATACTTATATTAATTAAATATATAATTACTAATTATAAAATGAAAGGAAGTATTGACAATCTATACATAAAACAAGCATGTACAAATAAGAAATTTTGTGTATCTAATTAAGTTAAATTTGTCCTTAGCAAAATAATTCTCAATTAAGATATCAATTGAAAATATGAACCAAAATATTAGTAATTATTTTTTGCAATCTTTTTACCTTTGAATTTCGTAATTTGTTTATAAAATTGCATATCCAATAAGCATTATATGGAGAATGCACGATGTCAACATAGAGTAGACTGACAAAAATAAAAAAAATACAATTATTAAATACAATGCGCTCTTTATTCTTAATTTTCTCTGTAATATCTTAAAAACATATGATTAATTTATAAATCCAACTCAAATATCGTCATATAATGTGTCAAATGTATATTTTTGTTAAACATGAATCTTTTTTAGATTTTCTGAAATTCTATTATGTCTTGTAAATTGCTATTCAAACATTGTACATATAATTAATTCTATATTATATATTATTTATAACAATAATTATATTATTGATTTGAGATGGTATGTGATTTCAATTTAAATTGAAAAAAGGTTAGTTTAACTAAGCTAAGATATTTTACAAAGTTGTGAGTTTATAAAAAAGATTAACTTTAACTTATTTGTTAAAATGATGTAATAAAAAAAAATGAAATTAGAATAATAAAATTATATATTAAAATGTATATTTTAACATTACTTGAGATCATTCTTGTAACAATGTATTGTGGAAAATTAATCAACAATATTTGTTGCAAGGATGTAAACTGTATTGTAAAAGTAACATGTTTAATTTCTTGGCTTACAAATTTCATTTTGTTAATTTTATTGCCATTAGATATCTTTATAACATTTAGAGATAATGAGACATATAGTAATTAGAATGAAAAAGAAGTGCATTCAAGAGAATATGAAGCAATAGGAAATGTATAATTTAATGTGAATATATAAAATAGCTTTATTAAATATTATATTGGGCAAATTTCATACTTTGTTGGACTATCATTCCAATAATGTAGGAATATGAAGAAGCTATTGATTTGAATAGAGCTTAGAAATTAGTTCGTTCATTATTAAATAATGGCAAATTTTACTTAATAATAGGAATAGCTGGTATTGCATTTGTAGTGATACTTGTTATGACAGGTTAAGCTTCAGATTATGGTTTAGCAAAGTTATTAAAAAGTATGGCAAATTCATTTGGAGTAGCATTAATAATAGTTTTATTAGGGTAATATAAATTTTATAATAAAATGTAGATATTCTTTGATAGCAGTTCCTAGAGCACATATGAGAACATCAACTTTGGATGTTTAAATGAAATATTTATATTTTAAAACAGCAAAAATAACAGAGGAAAAAGATGATGCTCATCATTATTTGTAAGAGAAAGCAAAAAGGGTAGTAGGTATTAGAAATTAAGAGAAGTTTTAATAATAATCATCAAAAATATATATATAAATGAGTATTAAGACAATTCCAAAGAAAATGTATAAAGAATTAATGGAGGATGATGCAAAATAAAAGGCACCAGGAATAAGTTATTTATAAAGAATGTTTTTTAAAGAATAACCAGAAGCAACAGATGAGGAAGTAGTTGAAATTTATAGAGATATTAGATAGAAATCAAGAACATATAGAAGATTAAGAGCAGCATGGAAAGAGAATTGTAAGTAAGCATATGCTTTAGAAAATGTTATTGAATCAATAGAAAATAATGATAAAAAGATTTATTATGATGTGAAATCTAATAGAAAAGAAGGACAATGTTCTAAAACTTTAGATACTTTAGAATGGTATTGGTTATGTCATTATAAACCACAAATAAAGATATTTTTTTCTTCAGCTTTAGGTATTTTATCTTTATTAGTAATAATATCTGAGACTACACTATTTTTAAATACTCCTTTTACAATATTTGGAATGCCTATATCTATATAATCTGGTGTATTAACATTATAAATATGTTGTTTTGTTCCTTTATTTTATATTGCATTTTGTGTATATTATGGAATGTTTAGAATTAAAATAGCAGGATGTTATGGTTTATATAATGATCATTAAACTGATGCACCTAGTCTATTGTTTGCTACAATTAATTTCAGTAGAGTTGCAGCTCCATTATGTTAAAATTTTCTAAATCTTTTAAGAGTTAAATAAAGAATGAATTGTGAACCTGCATTCAAATTTACTATGGGAGAAGTAAGTTTTAATTATATTTATTAAAGATGGAATTTGTACCTATTTTTGGAGTTAATGTTATATAGTTGATGCCTGCTATATTATTATTCTTATGTTTTATAAATTATTTTGATTTATATGATAGATTTATGAATTTCCTTGGACTTAAAGAATTTATGTTCACAGAATCATTTTCTGATCGTCTCATTTATAGAGGCAGAGATGCTTTAAAAGATAAAAAATCTTATTTCATGAATAAAAAATAAAAAAAGAAGCAAAAATAATAGATAAAATAAGGTGATGTTGAATTACTTTAAAGTTCTAATAATCAATATTAATGATTTATATTTTAATGTATTGTATTAATGTATCAATAGACATTGCCTTCAAAAGTTTATTTAAACCATTCCATAGCTTCTTTTTTACTAACTCTTTAAGCTGTACCTAATCTTGCATTTCTTGATTTTCTTTATGCAACTCTTAATCCTGGTCTTGATAATATCACATAGAAATCCATACCAAAAATACCTATATTTTATTATTATTAACCATCTACCTGTATATGGATCATATTTTAATCCTAAATCAATATGTTCTTATATCCCAAATCCAAAGTTTCCTGAATCTGAAAAGTTTCTCTTTTTCAATTCCATTTCTTTTACTCTTAATCCTCTAAATAATATATCTTTTGCTGCATCTCCTCTTATTGTACAAAAGACAGAAATCTTTTCATTTCTTCTAATTCCAAAAGATCTCACTGTATATCTTGCTTTACCAAATACTGGTTTTTATCCTGTTAAATCCTCTAAAACTTTTGCTGCTTTTGTTAATTTATCTCCTGATTCTCCTGCACATATATGCACCATTAATTTTTCAATTCTAATCTTTCTCATTACATTCTCTTTTGTTTCTTAAGGTTTTACTACTTTACTTGTAGCTCCACCTTTTACTTCATTCTTACCTTATTAAGTTTTTCCACTCTTTCCTTATTATTAAGACATCTAAAAATTTAATTATCAAAAATCTTTATATTTAAAATCACTTTTTTTATTATTTATTCTCTCTTCTCAACTTTAACATTCAAACATTATTTATATAATAATTATCATAATTCACTTTATAGTTCTTTCCTCTTTTAAAACATTTAATTTTTTTATGTGTCTAAATTTAAAAAATAAACAAAAACTCTTTTTACCATCTAAATTACATCAGCCCCTCATCTCTACTGAGACATTACTACATAGAATAATTACTTTCATATATTAAGACCCCTTTGCCATATCTATTTTAACTGCTTTACACTACTTTTTTTGATATTATGTTTGCTGTTTTAATATACTAAAAATAACTTTATCTCCATGACAGATCAGATTAAAATTAACATTAAAGTTTGATATCTCCATTTTTATGACAGACAAGATTATAATTGATAATTTCATAATGTATTCTTCAACATAAAATTATATTCTCATTATATATATATGTCAATTTAATTAAGAATCATATCTAAATAAAAATATTAAATAAATAAAAAGAATGGGCGCTATTTAAGCTTATGTGAATTATAATACAGGATTGAGTTTCTCCTAAGATTTAAATGCTTAAATTGAATGCTGTGGAACAACTTATCTTTCAGCATTTGGTAATATCCAGTTGTGGAAAATAAAGAATGACACTTCTCTTGAACTCTTTTCTTTTGTAATAGATATAAATTATCTAAGACAAGACATGTATATTATTAAGATTCCACATTATTAAAAATACATTCAAAGAGAACTTCATTGTAGCATCCTAATATATTAAAATATTATGCTTGTACTTAAGATTCTCCTTTACTTGGCGGAAATGTAGAAACTTTATAATTTTTCTTTGAATATATTCCCAAAACCCTTTCTCAAAATATATGTGCAAGATCTGAAACATTTAGAGAAATAGAAGTTTGGAAAGTAATTTATAAAATTGTTATGAACTAGTCACTTGAATAATTAGTAAGTGTTTTAAAATACTTGTAAGAAAATGAATGTTCTCATGGAAAAATCACATCAGACAATATCTTCATTACTTCAGACTAAACTTTAAAGACTTTAGATTAAATTACAATACAATAAAATTCGTAATAAATAAAGCAAGATGTTTTTGATTTAGCTTAAGTAATAGTGGAACTAATGACTAAAAAAAGTAATCTAAATGAATAATTATAGAATTCCATGTAAGTTTAAAAGAAACAGTAATTTCTTTAATGGGTGATTATTCTTAATAACTTCTATAATTATTAGCTAGAATGCTTAATAATACCCCAGAAAAAAGACCAGATTTTATAGAATTATCATAAATTCTGTAGAGCAGAAAACATAGATCTACAAGTGTAGAATAAGAAGTGATTGTTTCACCTTAAAGGATAAAATAGAAAGAAAAATAGAATAACTAATCTTAAAATTAATTGGGAAATAAAAAAATAATTAAAGTATTTAATTAGAATGTCTACTAAAGACATTAATCACCTTAAAAAATAATTAGATATTCACCATAAAGAATTATACCTTATTAAACTTCACCTTAAAGAGTGAGAGTAATTTCACCATAAAGAAAAGAACCATCCTATTTATCTGTTAATTAATCATTTTAATAATTAAATGGAATATATAGAACTGCAAGTCCTATAAAATAAGGAAATATCAATGGCTCCTAAGCATCAACTATTGGAAGCTATGGAGCATCATTAATAGAATCTTATAAAACTTAATATACTTTCTATACTCAAAGAAACATTAAACCTAATATTTATATTCCTTAACATAAAAGTGAAGTTAAAAGAATGCTATTTAAAGAGGATTTGAATCAAACTTCATCCAGTTAACCTCCAATTGAAATTATTTTATGAATAATTTAAATTTTATTGTTTTATTTAATTAATTCATTTATCTATTAATTAACCATTTCTTATATCCTCTTCCATTATTCTAACTTTATTATGTGTTTTATTCACTTGCTTATCAAACTAAAGCATCTTACTAGATATAATGCTTATTAATGTATATCCAAATGCAAATCCATAAACAATGGCTTCTTTATGATCTCCATAAGCCATTGCCAAAACTACCCAAACTGCAAAACCATTCTCTATCATTGACAATAAACCAAAAGTCAAACCCTAATTTTTATAATTTTCTTTATGAATCCCTATCATACTAACTCCAGATATCTAAATAAATTTATAAGCTAAATACTGATATCACTGTCAAATAATATTACTATAATATTTAGAATATTCCAAAGACGATATATAAAAGTATTTTTTGTCCTAAATCTATTTTTTATTATACAGAAGTAACAATTAAAATTGATAATATAAAATAGACAAAAGATTCTATTGATTTATCTATCAATGCTTAAAGAGGGATCTATTCATTTTCATAGTTCTTAACTATTCTTGAAATCATACAAAAACCTATATTTATTTCATTTTTACTTATTAAAGTAGGTAAAAAAGCATAAATAATCAGATAAATTAAAATATAATCATTTGAATCTTTAAATAATTAATTTTGTTAAAATCCTAACCAAATCTTTATAATCCCCATTATAATCCCTGCTGATAAAGCAACCCATGCGCTATCAGTTTTGAAAATATTTTTTAATGCTTACAGTAAATTTCCTTTTTATTAAACTGGAATAGTCTTAATCTCAGGCATTAATTCTTCAGCCTCATTTTTAAATTAAGGAAATGAATAATATAGAAATATTGTTTCTGTTAATAATATTATCAAAGGAATTATTGATAAAATTATGATATTATATTCGTACTTTTATATAAATTTTGTTATTGCCAAATTTTACACAAAATATAGTATTAATATTATAAAAACTATGAGATAACTAAATAATGTTCCTAAAAAAGAGTATTTTTGAAAAGTTCCTATTTAATAAGGAACTTCTTAACTTTCAAAATGTTTAGAAATCAAAGTTAATATAATTATACTTCCTAATTATTCTCCTACTATTAAAAATCCATTTGCAAAATATAAATAATCAAAAAGAATCTAATCTGTAACCATTTTCACAATAAATACTATATAAAAGCAGTAGGAAAATAAAATCAATAATTAGCTTCCAAATAAAAGATTAAAAGTATATTGCACATGATCAATGATAAAACCTATCAAACCTGAAAAAACAAATTTTAAGACTGTCATTATTACATAAAAGAATAAACTTTCTTATCCAGAACTTAAAAAAACACTCATGTATTATGTCTCCAAAAATGAATTTAAAAAGCTTGTAAAATATACTACATGAAATAGCAGCCTTGTTGTGATCTTTATGTTCATTTCTATTGTTTTTTACTATTAAAAATAATTAAAAAAAATATATATTAAATTTTAATTTTTAGACACTAACAATCGCATTGAATTTTATTTTTTTTGTTTAAAATCCTATAAGACTTCCAATTAAGAAGATTTTCAAATATCCACTTCACTCTATTACTTAAAAATTAACATATATTAAATAAATTGTCCTTTTTAATCTAATCAAATTTATTTAAAGGTACTTAAGTCTTTTTTACTATTAAAAATAAGATTATAAGATTAAATTTTTTTGTATTTATTTCAAGTATCTTATGTTATAATTAGGAATTCTACCTGAAATATTAATATTTGAAATGATCTATTCTAAATGGAATAAAAAGAAAGCTTTCTTTGCTCAAAGCCGACAAATAATTTCAATATAATCACAATATAAAATGAAATATATGATTAATTTCTAAAATATTTCAAAAATATTTTCCTAACAATTGTGATAAAAAAAGTGATTATATCTAAGTTTTAAATTTCCATTCAAGATATACATAGAGAAAGATATATTATCAATTCAGTAAAAAAAGAATGGCAAATTTCTAAAAATTATATGTATTATTGTTTTTAAAAGTAATGCTAATATTAATATGATTGTCTATTTTGAATTAATTTTCATTTTTAGTATTGATGTTAATAATTTATTTAGTGTCCTTCTTGAAGTTATTTTAATGAATTTTTAACAGATAAAAAAGCTAAGAAAGATTAATAATTGAATGGTTATTATTAATTTATTTTCAAAATATAATTTATAAGATATAAAAAGAATAAAATCTTCGATTCTTAATGACAAACCAATAAGGACCCTTCTCTACCCCTGCTTTTATCATAAAACTTTATGATATGCTTGATGAATAAGTATTCATTGTGATTATCTATAAAAGAGTGCTCCTTAATTTTAAACAATAATTAAATGGAGTAACGATGGTGAATACTTTATTGTATTGAACCCTAAAGAGATGGAAACTCAAATCTTACAATAATATTTCAAACACAATCATTACTAATCTTTTTTAAGACAATTAAATATGTATGAGTTCTAAAAGGCAAGGAATTCAGAAAATCATGAAATATTTACCCATCCTAATTTTAAAAAAGGCAACAAGTATATAATTATTACATTTACATAGAAAGTAATTATCTCAAATTAAAAGAAACCCAATTAAATAAAAAGTTTTACTTAAGAAAGAAAAGAAAAATGTAAAAGCTGAATCAACAGAAGCTGAATTTGAATAATAAATGTAATAAGAATTGACATTCTTAAAGGAAAGATAATTTTAATTTGAAAATGATTTCAAAGCCATAAGTGAATAAAACTAAATTATTATGGAATAACATAATTCAATATGGTCTTAGTTAAGCCTATCTAGATAATCATTAGATGCAAAAATTGATAGGCTTAGCTATTTGTTGAGTTTCTTTTTAAAACAATAAGATACAAGCATCAAAGATAATAATTTATAAGAACTATTTAAAACTAATGTCAAGACAGAACTGGAACTTCCATAATCTTAAACTTAATAAATGGAATCATTATCCCCAATCTTAAGAATGATGTAGTCATAACTTAATTATTCATTGAAAAAAAATTTATCAACATTTAGCCCTAATTAATGTATGATAATTAATCTATTATTTTTAGTAAATTCTCCACTACCAATTAGAAGTCAATAAGAAAATTAGGATAGCTAATATTCAAACTTAAGCCCACTTTATTAAAAGTCTTTTTAAGAATACATGTGAGTAGACTTTTTAAAACAAGGCAATTAGAAATGATTGATTTTAGATATAATGCAATATTAACTTAATATTTTAATCAGAAAAATATTAAATGAAAAACCTAAACTCAAATGTATAATTTAGGGTATAATCAAAGATTGATCATATTTATAAATTAGCTTTGTTGAATGACCTATAAACGTCTGACAACAATAAACAAAAGTTGTTAAAATCATTTAATTTGTGCACTTTAAAATAAAGTTACACTTCTTAATTTGCTTTTTATTTTTCCAATAGTTTCTAATTGAGTTTGGGTTTTTTTATGTTTGATATCTAAATCTGTAATATCTTATTCTTTTTTAACAACCTTTCCTTCACTTAAAGTATCCTCATCTGGTTCTTCTTAATTTAATTGTATTGACTTTTAAGTTTCACTGAAAACAACAGTACCATTACTATCTTCATAGTTTTTTAAATGCTATTCAACAGGCCTTACATCTTTTTTCTTAGCCATATATTTTAAAAATGGAATTAATCTTAAAAGACAGTCATCATCATCAGAATCTAAAAATGATGGAATCAATAACCCATTATTCTTATACTTTATAAAAGCATTTGGATTATTCTAATTATTGTTTTTTATTTACATCAATGAATATTATATCTTCTAAAGGCCTATCTAGTAATAATAAATCTTTATAACAAATTCCATCAATGAATTAACAGCTTCCTCTTGCATAATAATCACTTATTAGTTTTTTTTTATCTATAAAATTTAAGACTTCTTAACAATAAGCTTCATAACCTGCTGTAAAAATAAATATTTCATAATCTTTGCTTGCTTCGAATAAAAATTGATTTAAATAAGGACGAGTTTTTAAATATACTTTATATTATTGTCCTTAATGAATAACTTCAAGCAAAACTTCATTTTAAAAGTTTTCATTTTCTTTGAATTCACAATGAACAAGAGTTTCATCCAAATCTAAAACTAATACCTTTTTTTAATCAAATATTTTAGGAGTTTGGGCTGGAATATAATTCTTTTAAAACTTGACTTTAAAATATTCTAAACAATTTTTGAATAGAGCAATAAAACTCATTTTTTTATAAATTTACTAAAAAATAATCAATTATTTCAGTTATTGATTTAAGATTATTTAAAGAAAGAATTAAAGTTCTTGATATCATTTAGATATATTATATTGAGTTAATTATTAGTCCATAAATTTGTATAATAATCAACTCATCTAAAACTTATTAATAAAACATTTTTATTTTTATCTGATGGATGAATGCTTTTATAAATATATATTTTTTAAAGTTAATATTAATTTATATCATAATTTAAACTTTTATACATGAAATAATTTTTTATTTGAAATATCAATTATATCTCTATTAGTGTGGATTAAATAATTTTAAAATTGATTAGTTGGACAGGATAATGTCTTAGTTTTTATTGTCTTTTGAATTGATGATGACTCCTAATACAATTTGTTTAGCTTAATTTCTGTATAAGAAGCAAAAGAATCTTCTCCATTAATTTATCTACGAGAAGTGAGAGGACCATCTATTCTTTTATCTTCTAGTTTTCCTTAAAAAGATTTCGCTATTTTAATTTAAGTATGTCCTCTGTTATTTTTTTATCGAAAGAGATTTTGAACTTAGTAATGTTACTTGATATTTTTAAATCAAATACTTTAATGGCTATTTATTGTTATTAATTTTCTTGAAGAACTAATTGATGCTTAACTTTACTTTCTATATATCGTATTTATTAACTTTTATCTGTCAATCTAAGGAATACATCTTTTTGAACTTAGTCTAATTCATGATTATTTTATAAGAAATCATATATTTCTTATTCTACCTGCTTTTCCACTTACATCGGATCTTTTTCAGTAAAGAATCTATTTAGTTTCTTACTTCTATTTGGAGAAGTTTCAATCACTTTAGAATCTTCAACCTTTGTTGATTAAGTTTGTTACTTTTAGTTTAACTTTTATTCAGGTAATGCATTTCTTCTTTATTTCGCTAATTGTTATATTTTTAATTATTCAATGTCGTAATTATGAGTTTACTTTTTTTTTTGTCCTCTAAATAAATGCATAACCATTTCCATTTTTAATTTTGCTTTTTCTTATTCATTATCTTCATCCTTCTTTTTTTTATATCTCCTTAACATTTTTCTAAAAATATGAGCATATTGCTAAATTTTTGCAATATCATCTGCATTTCTTATTTCTTATCTTCTATCTATTATATGATCAATTAATTTCACTCTTTGTTTATAAGTGTTAAGACCTTCAACAGCCTTCTTTACCTGAGTTCTTGAAAAAACATCAGAAATTTTATTATAAGTATTTGTAATCAGATCACTCATTTATTAATAAAATTTACTAGTTAATCTATCTAGGTAAAAAAAATTAATAAAGAGATTGTTTATTCAAGACATAAGTATTTATTAGCACTCATATCTTAAAATCTATAATATAATATCGAAATAAAATATCTTTAAATTATTGATCATCCTTTACATATATATTAAAATTAACTTTCAATATAAATGAAAAAAGATAAATTGTATTTAGTTTGATTAATTAATAAATATATAAATTTTTATCGACTTTTAATATAGATCATAATAATAATGAACTGTAATTTTTCCTAAATAAGTAAATTCTATCATGTTAGTAGTAAACATTTAAATCATATTGACCAATGAATGATAATAATTATTATTGTACATTTAATTCCTAAAGATGTGCATCATATTCATTTTTTTTTTTATCAATTTCATTTATAGTAAGTAATTAGATGGTTGAATCACAATGATCATTATCATTTTATCCTCCAAAAATTAGAATAGAATTAAAATTGACTTACAAACAAACGCTATTCAACTTAAATATTTAATCTTGCCCACTTGTCAATTTTAATGGATACCACTTATGTCTTTTAGTGTCATACCTAATATACTTAATTATTTTTAAATTTACTTTTCAACAGTTTTATCAAAATGATCAAAACGATTTAATCCTCCAAATCTAACTAAATACCTTTATTAGAAAACTGCAAGATTGACTTTAGTTAAAGGAGTTTAAAAAGATTTAATCTTTTACCATTCTAAAGTTTTGAGACTAAACCTTTCACAAGAATTAGTAACTTATTATTATTGATTTTCCCCTCCAATTAAATAGATATAATTTCCTACTTGAGCAACTCTGAAATTTCTTTTTTTCTCAATCATTTTAGGTAATGCTTACAATATGGAAGTTTATTCATTATATCTATAGAATGTATTATCAGCAGTCTATGAAAATGGATTGAATAAAAAGATAATTCCTTCTTTTGTAGAGAAGGAGATTAACTCATTAGTAAATTAATGTTCTACATCACAAACTATCTTTTAAACATTTTCAGCATCAAGTTACCATTAAAAAAAATATTTAGTATTTGGTTTAAAATAATGTAAAAATTATTTTTAAGGATCTGTAAAATAATTGACATGATTAAATTCTATATTAGGTTTTGAGCAATTCAAAGTACAAATAGTAATAGGAGTGATTCTTAAAAGTTATTGTCCACTTTCTGCTATATAAGATCTATGTTTTGGAGGTTGAATATCTAGTAAATGTGATTCATTTATTTTTCCTTTGAAACTTAATTCAACTGCTTAATCTAATATTGTTTATTTGTATTATTCTGAATTTAATTAATATTTATTATTGTATTTTTGAATGGTTTATTATTAATCAGATTATTCTTCCATTAAGGAATGTTCAGCATTTGAAAATGAGAAGTTTTCTGCTTCATTTGTTAATGCATCGTCAGCTATTTTAATAATATTATCAGATTTATCAAAATGTAGAGTGTTTTATAATTTAGCCTGACTCTTTTCTTCTCTTTTCTTTTCATATTCTTCTTTAAGTGGTAACGTATTATTAGAATTTAGATGATAATTTATAAGTTCTCTATGTTATCCTTTTAAGATTTTATTAGCAATATCTAAAGGAACCAATAAGAAGGTTTATGCAGCAACTATTGCAGCATTATGATTAGCTTAATCTACTTCATAATTAAATTGAATATTTGTAACATCATTTTGATTCAAGAATCTAAATAAATGTTACCATATTTGTAATAGTTGCATAGTCACTTTAAGAAGATTTAAGGATAAATCATCGTTCAATAATTATATTGGAGTTATGTTAATTTATTCTAATTCAAGACTATTTAGAACAAACTAAGCGACTCTGTCAAGTGAATTTAAATCAGCTGGATTAAACACTTCAATTTAGATTGTTTTATATTAACTTCTATTTTTAATCATATTAAAATTTTTACATATTTTAGCTACCTCCCATACCTTTGCTGGAAGTAAGTAAGTCTTCTGAATCTATGAATTAATAGAAATCATGTAATCCTCTTCTTAGATCGATTTCATGTTAAGTTAATAAGGAATAAGGATCTTCTTTATCTATTTCTGACGTCAATATTAATATTTTATCTTGATAATATTGAATACTATTTTTCAAAGCACAGAATGTTTAATTATAAACTTATTAGACGTAATTAAGTTTTCTTTTAACAGCTTATAAATCAATATAGTTTTGTATGATGTTTTGATCCATTACTTTCTTAATGAAATAATATTGAAATAATCTATGCAGGAAATTTTAAAAGATATCATATATTCTGCTCTGATTATCAATAAGATAGGAAAATAGTCCACCAGATTGAGGAAGTAATGTAGATTTCTTTGCTTATATTTTAGGTTGTGATGGTGTGTTAATTATTTCAGATAGAATGTGAGAATTCTAAGTTTGACTGAATTAAGGATAGTTTTCATTATTATTAGCAAATTCTTATTGTTAATCTGCATTTTATTCTTGAGACATTTAAGAAAAGGATTCATTAAGCAAATCTTAAGAAATGAAAACAGCTTATTCTGGATTCTCTAAATCTCTGAAACTCATATTAACGGATAATAATTATATGTTTTTTTGTATTATAATAGATTGTTTATAGTGAGAGTGTATTAATAAGAATATCATTTAATTAATTTTAATAATGCTTGTTTAAGTAAAGTGATGTTTAAAGGTTTAGTGAATACTTCCCTCATTCCAACTTCTATACATTTTTCTATATCTTATGTTGAATTAAAGGCTGTTAATCCAATTATAGGTATATCTGGAATGATTTCTTGTCTTATCATATCCATCAACACTTTTGTAGTTGTCCAACCATCCATTATTGGCATTTAACAATCCATCAATATAAAATAAAATAATTCACAACATTCACAACATTTTTCTGTTTTCTAAATTTATTCTATTGCCTATTGTCCATTATAAGCCTAAATTAAATTAAATTATATACAATCTATAATCGAAAACCCATCTAACCAATTATTACTTATAATGCTTTCTAATTAAATATATCATCATCTACACTCAATACTCGATTACATTTACATTAGAATCGTAAGTTTTAGAACTATTCTTCCATCTCCATTTCTTTTTCTTCCCTTTAAATCAATCGAGATATAAGAGTATTTGGTCTCTAACTTGAATTTACATCTAAATCTGATATACTAAATGACGACTGCTTTCTTTTTTTTTATTATTTATCTTTCATATCAATATTTGTTACTATTAACATGGTCTTTCTACTTATATTATTTAATTTTTATAAATTCTCTTCAGGATTTCCTCTCTCTTAATCCTATTCATCTATCATATCTGTGTCCTACCACATACTTTAACCAAAACCTCCTGTTGATTATTAACGTTTAAAATACTTTGCCACAGATTATTACTAGCGAATTGGAATTTATTATATTGTATTCTCCTAATTAGCATTATTCACTATTAATATTCCTTATATTCCCATACACAAATCAGGAACTGTAAATGCACATTTTAAACTTGTCCTTTATATTGTATTTCCTCTAAATATCTACGTATTTGAAGATTATGTTGTTCTAATTTTAAAACTCACTTAACATCCTTCCTATACACCTTGCGAAGATATTCTTAATTAACTTTTATTCTATGGAGCTAATTTTAACAAATTCATCTAACTAACTAATAATCCAAAACCTTCCCATTCATCTTGAGATGAAAAATCTCTACTCTAATTATAAGATTTTAAAAATTATTAAATTTTATTCAACTTATGTGATGGGATCCCTATTCCTTAATCTTTTATACAAAATGTTAAAATTTTATCATAACATGATATTTCCAAAGTTATTAAACCTTTTTCAGAATATTTTATTGAATTTTATATTACATTCACCAACATTTACATTATTCTATCAAAATCAGAATTAATTAATGTTGGAACTGAATTTTTTACATTTATATGCAATCCCAAATTCTTGATTTAACAAATTGGTTTAAAAATATCATTTATTTCTTAGATTATATTTTCAAAATTGAATTCTTCTATATTGTATTTTATTATATGTGAATGATATTATGTAAAATCTATTATATCTCGAATTAAATATGCTTATAATTTTAAAGCATTTGCTGCAGGTTATATACAATTAATTTTATATGTATCATTAACTCTTGGATCATTTATAAGAGCGTCTAAAAATAATTTCGCACTATTTAAAGGAGTTCGCAATTCATGAGAAAAAGAATCAATTATGCGAACTTAGAATTTTTCTCTAGTTTCCAATCTTTACAAATAACTTTATAATGATATATCATCCATTATAATAAGATATTCTTAATCATTTTAACCACAAAATATCTTACATTATATCTTACGAATATTATCATCTTCTAATAACTATGATTATTTATTCTTCGAAAGTTGTCCAATTAATTCTAAATGATTTTCCTTTGAAAAAAACTGATCCAAATTTCCATTCGACAATTCTGCAAGAATGCTTTTTAAAGTATTTGGTATTTTTTATAGACTCATTATTTTTCGAGAACTATAAAATTAAGGAACACCATTGCTTTGTAATAAGTTTTGTTTAGGTAGTATAATGCTAGATTCTCTTACTTATTTTCTCTTCCTTTTTATCTATAGTTTAAACTACAGATCATTCATCAAATAATATTAAACATCTTTAACTCCTTCAAACATTTACAAAAGCGACTAATTATGAAACGTGACATATAAATTCTCTTTTTTTACAATCATAATTCCTACTGGAATATTTTATAATCTAATCATCCATTAATTACTAATAGTATCTTAAACCAAATTCATTAATTCTGTATTTCTTTAAGTTGGCTTTGTTAAATGTGAAGGTAGTTCAAACTCTTCATTTTACTGTTATAAATTTGATTTTGTTTTAGGAATCATAATTAAAGTACAATAAAATGCTAAAAAGTATAATATCAAGTTCTCACTGTGAAATATTAATAACGAAAACAAAACTAAATTATAAATAATATGATAAAGAACGCTAACTATTCTTGATTATTTTTTAATAATTTGAGCTTCTTGAAATTTAAGTAGCAAATAACTTTACACATTTAATTCACGATTGAAAAAACAGCAATATGAAATTTGAATGCTAAATATTATAAGTATTAATTGTTGTAAATGATTCTTTTTTATTAGTTGTTTTTTCAATATCAAAATTCCAGTCAACATTACCATCCCATTTAGCATCAATAATATCAAAGATCCTAATTAATTGATATCTTGTAAATAAAGTAACAATCCCAAAACAATATTGAATGTGTTTATTGAATGAAACTTTATTAAAATCCAATTTAATTTCATTAAATTATTTTATATCTGAATTATCATTGAAAAATATTAGTTTAGATTAATAATTCAGAACACAAATTAATATTTATGAATTTATTAATCAAAAGGAAGATAATAAATAATAAAGTCATTCATAATTATTAAAATAAAAAAATTCTTAAATTATCTTTATTGTTAATTTTGAATACTACATAAAAGTACTTTTATTTCTTTTATCTATGTGAATAAATAATAATTTAAAAAAAATTATTGATACTTAATTATATTAAAAATTTTAAGAAAATTAAATCAAATATTTATAATCATAATTTTATTTGGATTTCCGAATCATTTAAGAATCAAAAATCGCAATCCAAATAATATAACAATTGAAAAGAATATATAGAAAATTTATGGTGCATTTTATCCACTTGCTTAATTTAGATTAGGCATTAAATTTTATGATCAATAGATGGAAATGAAAAATGAATTTACAAACTATTATCTCTATAATTATTAAATTCAAATATTCAATATGAACTAAAATTTAAGTAAAAAAAAGAGAAGATAATAAAAATGTGTATTATTTTGAATTAAGCCATGCAATTAATAAAATCTCTAATTACAATAGAATTGCCTAAATCATAACTTTTTGAATTCACAGCAAATGTGAAAAGTTAATATGGATGCAATATATTGAAAACTAGATATCAAACGGAATTTTAGAAATAAATTTAGAACTTATAAAGAATATAAATGACAAGAAGATGATGATCAAAGTATTTCGGGTCAAGTTTAATGTAAATTCAAGATTAGAGTAAGTAATTATGTTGTAGTAGATTATAGTTGATTATAAATATTTTAAATATGAAAATCAATTAGTATAATATATGCAAATTATGATGCAACATAGGTATAAAATAATATATATTTTAAACACAGTTTTATTAATGTTTTATTTGTATCTTCAAATCGATTTTTACTTAAATAAGTCGTCTGATTAATATTAAAAAATGATAAAAAAGAAGATTACTTTTCTTAATAAAAAATACTAGCTAAGCTAATCTGAGGATGAGAAAACACCAGACACAGCTTTAACACCACTTTCTATAAAAGAATAAATACAAAGTGATGATTCAGATAGTGGTACACCAAATATAATGACTCTAACTCCTCTAAAAATGTCTAAATTCAAAATTTAACATGAAAAAAGCAAATCATCATTTGCACATAATGCTAGAAATTTAGTTAATAGAAGAGATAAATTGGCAGAGTATCCTTTTAGATGGTTGATTTTTGGATAAAGAACAACTGAGGAGACTTTACTCAAACATATTGAATAAACAAAAAGAGGGGTAATTTATGCCACGAAATCTTTGAAACCTCCATCAGAAAAATTTCTATAACAAAAAAAAGTAGATATCCCTTTAAAAGAAAAAGAAAAAAAAATTTTGATATTAGATTTAGATGAAACACTGATACATTCTTGTACAAGCAGAGAGAAATCATAAGTATAACTAAGAACTGAAGATGGATAATTAGTATAATTTATTATTATTTTTTAAGTTAAGATTCAACGTTCGACCGCATCTAGCATATTTTCTTGATAATTTATCAACATTTTACTAGATATTTATATTTACAGCCTCATCTCCATCTTATGCATTAGCATTAGTAGATTATATTGATCCTTTAGAAGATAAGATCTTAGGAATATTTACAAGAAACCATTGTCTTGAAACAAAGAATGGTTATTTTATTAAAGATCTTCGTATCCTTAGAGATGTGGATTTAAAAAACATTATAATTGTTGATAATCTAACTCATTCTTTTGGATTTTAAATAGAAAATGGAATACCAATTTTAGAATGGACCGATGATGAAAAAGATTAAGAATTAAAATATTTAGTTGATTACTTAATTGAGGCTAGTTAATATAATGATGTTAGAGAATTCAATAGAGAAAAACTTAAATTGCATGAACTTATTGATTATAATTTATGAAAAATGTTTTTATATTTATATTTTAAATTGTGCTCATGAGAGCTATATATAAATTGCTAATAAAACTCTCATTTTCCTATGCAAATTTTAAATAGTTTCTCAATAGCCTAAAAGGCACTTCCTTAATTTCGAATCTGCCTTCACAGCAAAGGGATGAAGATTATGAGGTAAATTTAAACGCAACAAGGATATATTCAATTAAAATAGTCTATCCTCTTTATTTAATACTGAAGCTAATTACTGTAATTATTAATCTGGGATGAGCATGACTTTATATGTTTCTGCAATCATTTAAATAACTTCATCTTACTTACAATTAGACATATAATTCTAAATAAAATTAATAGCTTTAGTATATGCTTTTTTTTCCACTTCTCTTTCCATCACTAAGTATGCAAGAGTTACTTTTTAACATTTACTAATTTATTTACTTTCTTAAACTGATTCTCTTTATTATTAGAATTAATTATTTTATCTTAATTAGATACTATGCTAGCTAATTTGATGACTCTGATTTTATTATTATGGCCAATAATTATTATTACTATTACCCTCTTCAACTTATTTATTAATCAATTTTTATAATTTCTTATCTTTTTTGCTTGTGTTACCTATGGATCTATGTCCAAGCACGTCAATGGCAATGCACTCACCAGAATTACAATTTTTACTATTGCTCTCAGAATCAACAAATTCTCCTCCTTCTTTGACGGGATAATCTCTTTTCATAGTTCTATTAGGACTAGCTTATTATCGAATTGGTCTATATTTTTGATTTTCTTCTATGGATCTCGGATTTTAAGACTTTATTTTTTTAAAAGAAAAAAATACATTCTCTGTACAAATTGATGACATTTCCCATGTATCTGAAAAAGATTCTTCAATCGATGAATTATCATTGTCAAAATCTTAACTTCTCTCTTCATCAAAGAAAGATGAATTTGAATGTGTTTCTTATGAATTGTATGTGTATTCGAATTCATTACTGAGTTTTCTTTACTTTTATATTTGCTTTTCTATTGTAGACATATTAGCTTGTTTATTATTTTTATTATTTATACATAAATCTATTCATCTCTGTTACAAACACAGTCATAAAAGAATTTTTCATAAATTAATTAGTTTAAATAACATATATATGCAATATATAATATTATGCAAATATAATTTTATTTCTCAACAGGTTTATTCATTTCTCAAAAAATATAATTCAATTCATTGAAAATTAAATAGTTGTTCCTCTCAAAAAATTATCTTGATTATTTCAACTTTTCTGTATTATTTATATTAAAAATAACTAAATGATTAGCAATAGATTCTCTTCAAATCATAATGGTTAGGCCATTTGAACTAAAATACATAATTCCTTCGTACATTAATTTTTGGCTATGAAAAATTCTAAAAAATTTTCTATGATAGATTAGTTTCATACTTTTAAATTATCTATATATCTATATATTTTCTCCATCTACAAATATTTAATTTCGAAACTTTTGAACTGAATATTCGTATTAGATTATTGAATAATCAGATTTTTCTTCATTGACAATAAGTAAAAACTATAATTATGTAAGTTTATTTTTAAAAAGAAATAGTATTATAATTAAATTATCTTTTAAAGGGACTAATGTATATCAATATAAAAACTAAGAATTTTCATAAATTAAAATCTCTTTTGTTTATTGTATATGTATATAAATCAATTAATAATATTAAATTGGATTAGAAATCATAATATTATTTTAGTTAATAAATTAAATATCAATTACTATGTAAAATTTTGAGAAGGAAAAGTAATCAATAAAGGATTTTATTCCATGTTTGGTTTTCTTATTAAAAGTGAATAAAAAATTAATTTTTAATATGATTATTATTTTTTTTATTTCATTAATTATTGCATGTGAGATTATTCATTAGTCGAAAACTATTTATCCAACAGAAGGGGAAAATTACAAAATATATATGAATAGTCTCTTTAAGGGAGAAAATTTAACTTTTGAATGTAGAGGGTGTCCTTAGGGAATAAATTTATAGAATACTTTGAATCAAACAGGAAAGAGATTTGAAAGCAGTAATTATTATTTAGGTAATATTAGAACATTAATTTAAATCTATATCTTCTAATATTAACAATACTAATTTTGCCACAATAACTAAAAATCAACAAGTAATTACTTATGGCTGGGATGGTGATTAATTTAATATATTTAAATCATATAAGATTGACTAAATTGAGTATCATTGCTTTAATGTTTTTTATACTTTTGATAATAGTGTTTTATTAGATTGTTATCATTAAAATAAATTGCTTTTATGTTATCTTCAAAATGACACATTAATCAGAGTCTATAATTAGTAAAGTTAGATGCCAATATCAACGAAAATAATTTAAATGATAAATTAAACTTAAGTATATACACTCTATGGATAGTATTATGAAGACTATTAATTATTAACTTTGTTCAAAGATAAAAATTATTCATTTTTAAATATATCAACATGGCAATAAGGATTTTAAGATTTTATATAATCATAAGGTTTAAACAGAACAAATTTTATTTATTTGAGCAATAATACTAATTTACTTTAGATAATTATAAATGAATCTGAAAATTTTTAAATCCTTTCCTAATTTAACTTAAATGCTGAAATAAAAACATTTACAGTTTTCTCAAGCCTTTCTAAGAATTCATAATGTGATTAATTAATCGTACTTTTAGATTAAGAATTAAATAAGAATTTGTGGCATTTTTTAGCTTGTTAATAACTTTTTATTGAATATCGTAATTATAGACTAAGTCTAAATGGCCTCAATACATAAAATATCTAAATCTTTGCAAATGATGAATTTTTAATCCTTTAATTGGATTAATATATCAGTATTCGTTAGATAGATTTTCCAGAGAGAATTTTAAAAGAAGCTATTTTAGAAAAAAGTGAGAAATTTAATTCAACAAAATTCCTTTATTTTGATAAATCAAAAAGCATTTTATTTGAATTTGGGATCCAATTGATTGCTTATTTAGTTGCCATACCAAATTTAAATGGGTTTTTTGCTAATAATTCAATTTCTTAGAATTTTACAATTTATCGAACAATATTTGATTTAATAGATCCTCGATGTCAAGTTTAATTATAATTTATATTGCTAAGTGAAAAAGATTCATTGATTTATCAATAATTTAGTTCTAATCCTGAGAAAGATTATATAGTAATTAATAAAGGTTATTACTAAATAATAGAAAATTATTCTGGATCATTATTAAAATTATAAAGCTAATTTTCAGAATAATTTGTTGGAGAGTTTGAATCAGCAGTGCTTTAAAAAGTTAAATAAAACTTTACAAAAAATTTTTAACTTGCTACTATGATGTATGTTAATCAAAATCTTCCACAATTGTTCATAGCTGGAATTATTGAACAATAAATCTTTTTTTATCTTTATACTCCATAATTTTATTGCCAATAGAATTATCAAGAGAATTTAAATCAATCGAATTTTTAGTAAATTTAGATGGCATACAATTCTTAAGGTTCTGTTTTAATTGGTGTTTCCTTTGAATCAAATTAAATATAGCTATTTTCTTATAACTTCACAAATTTTACTATAAATTAAGCTATGATCATGATCCCCCCATATAAGTCTTTTTTATTAAATTATAATTGTATTATAATTTTAACAAAAAGAAAAGAAATTCTTGTATTTTCTTAAGATTTAAATATTAAATATCATTTAAAAACCGACAATATTTAATAATTTTACCAAGAAGTAATATTATTTAGACCTGTAGCTATAGCCTTAAATTAATAAGATTAATCCTCATTATTAGTAATAGGGAATGAAAATTAAATTTTAATCTTCTCTATAACGAATAGTGCTATATTGATTCCCATATGCTTTTAAAATTTGGACTTATTTATTTTGGATATAAAACTGGTTAAGAATAAAATAATAGTTATTTATAATGATTATCTTTTAAATGTATGTTTTTAAGTGTGGGAATTTGTAAATTTGAAATGTCTTAATTTTCAACAAAATTTAAGATGTATTTCATAAATATAATATTAAACATCCTATAGTGATAATTAATTTTTTTATGTCAAATTAAATTCAGATAATATGCAAGTATATAATCCAAGTTTACCTTAACACATGTCCCTATATTAAAGTTTTCCTTTCAACTCAAGTTATTTGGCTTGCACTTATATTGAAGAGTTTTCTCTTTTATTATTAAATAATAATCTTTATCATTTGTACCCCATTATAACTATGAGATTTTCTCCAAATAATACTTTATAATATCCAACTTATGAGAAGGTTGTTTTTTACTTTTTTAATATTACAACAGGAATTAATGAAAATGTTTATTAAAATACTTAAAATTATACTTTGAGATTAATCAATTGCTTTATTAATATTACACTAAAGGAATATAATAAAAATATCGAAAAAGATGAAGTCGTTGTTCTAAATTCAGAAATTTTATCTAACAGTTCTTAAATAGTTACTTACAGTCTAATAAATAGTAGTAGCTATGAACATAGTCAATGTGTTATTTATAATTCAGTAACTTACAACTAGAATATTACTTACAATGTAATTTTTAATATTCTTACTGCTGTTAATGGATTATTTGTGCTATAAAGTAACAAAATATTACATATAGTCGAATCATAAGATTATAACCTTTAATTAAATCAAATTGAGGAATGCTTTTAATCCTATGCATATTATTCTACATTATATTCAATTTGTTAAAATAAATTTAACTAATTAGTTGTAATATCATTTATAATATATGATTAAAGTATATAAGAATAATAAACTTATGTTATAGAAACAAATCAAATTATTCCAAAATAATTTGTTGTTTTATTTGAGTTATATTTTATTTTAGGATAAATAAATGGTGAAGTTGATATCTTTATCTTTAATCCTAAAAATAATACTATTTCAATATTAACAAATTGTAAGGATTGTACGTATTTTAGTCTTACTAATTTTAGAAATATAACAAAGGCTTCAGAGTAGATTTCTTTAATTGGAGTTTTTTATGTGTGCTCTTCTTAATTGTATTACAAAATACTAAATTATAATCAAAACACTTAAGAAATAATTTTTCAAACTAGAGATATGAAGTTATATTTCTTTAAAATTCCAGAAATCTAATCCTTAATGCCAGTTTAAGTACTTGTTGTTAAAAATTTCTATTCAGAAGTTGTTTTATTATTAACAACTTTAAACCATTTTACTATAATAATTTCTATATCATATGATTTTTCAAAATCGTAATTTAAACCATAATAAATAATATCATCCATTCCTCCTTATGGAAATTTTACATTAAAGAATTCATAATTATCTAATGGGATTTTAATGAATACTTATCAAAATCATTCACTCTCATTTCATTATACGTTTTATAACTTAACTCAAATTAATATTGCTAATTTTAATATTCCATTGTTAATGTTTGGAGGCTCACCTCCACAAGATTTTCAATAATTAAATGCTTTTTTTTATGATTAATAAAATCACTAGGGTTAGCTTCTTTTATTTAATGGAAGTTAAGGAAGTATTTATGATATTATTCCTATGTCAATTATATGTAGTTTCAATTTAAGTATATTTGAAAAATCAGAAAAATTTAGATATTAATTATAAGCTCAAAATGCATTTGGATAGAATGGAACAGAACTTATTTTCTCTTATTCAAGAAATCAAGATAATTGGGCTTATGGCTTAATATCTATTGTAGCCATTTGTTTAATATTAGCAATCTATACTTATTTGAAAAAGGTAAAAAACTTAAAACCCGTTAATTATGATGAAGAAGATGAATTTGAACTATGATTATTTATATTTTGGTTTTTTAAGAATTATTATCTAATATTTTTGAATATCATGAAAAATAAATATAAAATTTAGAATTAGAGTCTAATGTTATTATGCTTATATTTTGACAATTTTAATGAAAAACTAAGCTTAGTTATTAGAAATTAAAAGGTAATCTATTTCTTCTTAATTATTATTTGTTCTTTGTTTGTTTTTAGAAAAAAATGTTATTAATAAAATTATAATACAAAATTTATACAATGATTTCCCAATTTAGAATGAAATTACTTTTCAATCTGCTCTATTTCTCAGATTTTGTAAACACTTTTATTGCTTATCAATACTATAATCTAAGCTTATTTTCTGGAGTAAATTAATTATTCTTTTTTGTCATAATGACTATTTTAAAGATTATATGTCCTGCTTTAGGTGGATTCATAATAGATCATGTTCAATATACTGTAAATATCTTTTTTATTAGTTTATTTTTAACAATATTTTCTTACATAAACTTTTTAGGATATTGTTGGAAGTTGATATATGAATATTTATATTTTGCAATAGGGTTTTAGATTTTGGCATAACAATTTTAAACTATTATTATTTAAACTATGATTTCAAAGCATTTTGTAGAAGAACAAATTTCATAATAGATGGCATTATTTAACTGTTATGGATATGCCGGAAGGTTACTGTGTGCAATAATTACTTTTATTATTTATAATTAATTTGAAGATTTTAATAATGTTTTAATAATAAATGGAAATATTTCAATACTTGTATTGTCGCTAATACCTTTGATAATAATATTAAGTCTTTCAATTTGCTTTTAACGCTCCTTTTCTACTTTTAAAGTTGATGTATTTATTAAAATACCAGAATTATAATTAATTCCAATATAATAAAAAGGAAACTTGCTTTAAGCTCTAAAAGAGATTCTTAATACAGATAGAGCAATAATTGCAATTGCTGCAGGTTCAATAATGAGTATAATTTAGCTTTGGTAATCATATGAAGTAATTTCATTCTATCATAATTTTAAAAATGAAATAAATTTATACTTCATAAATTCTAAAAATACATTTTTAATATTGATGTTTGCAATATAAGAAAGTCCAATAGTAATCTGTAAGTAAATGTCATTGATTTGTTAGCAATAATTTTTGCAAGAAAAATAGGCAAAAATATATAGCAATAGGATAGTGCATTAAAATATTTGACAGAAAAAATAGCAGATTCTTTAATGTATTTTTTATTAAGTACTTTGTAATTAACGTGTTCAAATTGTCTCTTGAGTTTAAAAGTCTTCTTTTATATTGTCACAATAATTATGCAGCAATATAATTATACAGTTGTTTCAGTAAGAAGATCTTTAGATTATAGATATCAAGCGTAAGCTTGATTGGTATTCAAAAATAAAACTATAGAACATAAGGAATGTCGTTTGGATTACTTTAAATGTTCATAAACATATTTAATATTTGGGTGATTAGTGTTTTGAGTTATTTGCCTTAAATAAATTGTATTAAATAATTTTTAAAGGATAGCAACTGTAAAATTGACAATAATTTATGGATTTGCATTTTGTTATTGTATAATTGGAATAGTCTTAAGTAAAATGTTGTAATTTTTTAAATAATTTAATGAGGCAATAAAATTAGAAAATTTAAATTAAAGAAGGCATCTATTTATAAAATGATTATAAATTTAAGTTATAACAATAAATAAATTTATTTTGTGAAAAAAAGTTTAAATGGATGAAATTTAATAATTTAAATTAATAAAATTTAACTATGTAGATAGAAAATCATTCTTTTTATTGATTATTAAAATCTCTGTTGGATAGGGGCAACCTTATACACTTAAACTAATTGAGTTCTCTAGTGTTAAGCTTTTTCTTGATACAGTTTTTATTAGTCAAGGAGCTTCTATGAGTTAAACAAGTCTTTTTCTATAATAAGCTTTGTAGATCTGACATAACTTATAATTCTAATTGATGAACTTTTTTATTATTGAAGCTTCTTTTGGATTCTTAATCTCTAGGAGTTGATGAAATATGTTAGATTTAATGAGAGCTATTTTTGTTAGGCGATTTGAGAATATTAAGAATATGTGTAACACTATTTTTTCTTTAATTTGTACTATTAGGAATGTTTGTATTATTTCTAGCACTGCTACATTATTATTTATTAAATGATTATTTCATTTTGGCTGATAGTTTCATAAATTGTTGAACAGGGGATGCCATATTAACAGAAGGTGATTTAGGTTTGCTTTTAGTAAATTATTAAATATTGTTCGGGGATAAATGTTTAGAAGTTTGCTATCCTCTAGGTGAGGCAATATCAATCAATTAAATGGAAGCTGATTGTATTTTGAGTGGAGGAGACTTACTTTTTGTTGGTTGTTATTGAGGTTATTTGGTTTATTTTAGTATAGATTGTTTATTAGATTTACTAGTAGTTGTATTACTTCCAATGCTGTTGATTTTAGTGGAAGATGTATTTGGTTATTTTTTTAATTTGATCATTGACTAAATTTATTGTTTGATTTATTCTATAGAATCTGGTTCTTGAATAAGGAAACTAATTCCTTATAAAATTTTATCATTTTTCGAGAGTATCTAATGTAATTTATTGATAGTACTTCATCAGACGAACTTGGATCTTGTGGAGTAATTTATTCACTTGTTAAAGGAATGGGTGAATCACCTACAATTCCTTTTTGTGGTTTGTCTGGGTTGTTATGATTTTCTTAAGCAATTAAACGTGCAATTCTAAAAAATGCAAGCCTTCTTTTGCGATCATGAAAATAATTTAATGGAATAATGGCAGGAATCATAAATAAACGAGGTATGTCATTATGATACTGATTGATTTATTGAATTTTATACTTTATAATATTCTCCCAACATATGTAATTTATCTCTTAACTGATTAATGTGATAATATTTGGTTAAGTGTTCTTGAGGTGTGTCATAACATTATAGATCTTTTAGTTTGATTAACAATTAACATCTTTTTCCTTCCAAAATGTCATTTATTCCTTTTTTATAATGATAATGAGTTGATTGAGAGTACTTACTTATTAAATAACTATTCATAATAAATTAAAAAATGGAACAAATTCAACAGGTAAAAGCATAATTAACGAATGCAGGAATGTTTGAAATTTATTTACAAATAAGATAAGACCAAAAATGATTTGATGTCAATATCTTAGGCATTAAAAAAATGGCCATAAGAAGCATAATAATTTAGATAGTATTGTCTAAATTCAAAGATCTTTGTATCCAATGAAGTACCAAAACATGTATATGTTGTAACAAAGGGTGAATTCGTTTAAGTCAAATATGGTATTTGTTTAAACTAAGAAACATTAGTAAAGACTTAATCAAAGAATCCATTATCATATATAAGTAAAATATTTGCTTAAGAACCTTAAATATAGAAATAGCTTCGTGTAAGATAATGAATAATAATTATCTTTATAGACTTTCAAGATGATGGATGTGATTGGGATGGATGAAATTTACAACGATAATTATACTTATGATGTTTTTTGTAATTCAACAATTGGAGAAGTCTTTTGTATAAAGAAATGTGTTTTTGAGAAAATCATTCCAAATCAAACAATGAAAAAGAAGAACCTTTAAATAACGATAGAAAATAAACCATGTCAAATGATTGAAATTCATTCAGCAAAAGGAGCAACACCAATTAATAGATTGCAATTAGGTGAAATACCAAGATAACCTGAAGAAATCAGTACACATCGTCATGAAAAGAGAACTATTGATTTTACAGCTTTTAAATAAATTAAACCATAGCATGTTGTTTAATAACCAATTGTAGAAGAATTAGAAGAACCTCCTCTAAATAACAGATTTTTTAGTGGTAAAAATTAAATTAAACTATAGATTGATTCAGCTTAAATATATATAATTTTATTATTATTCATTTTTATTAAAAGCTTTATGTATATCTATTATAGTATTTCAGAGTCTGTCTTAATTTCTCAAATACAATAGAATACTTATCACTGAAGTTATAAATTGTTTAATAATTTATATTTATATTATAATAACTATGTCTAACCACCGTAATCTTAAAGATTTATTTCCAACTAAACTCAATTTATTTAAGCCCAAATCTGTAATATAAGATCTTATTATAATAAGGAATTATAAAATGAGCATCCTAAACAAACCAGCAAATCTCCATCAGGATTAAGTTAATTTGCTACTTTTTTTTAAATTGCTTAAAAGACTACTAAAAATAGATAAACTCCATCTTCTTAAAGGAGTGCAACTCCTACTAAAGTTAAGATAATTTAATTGAATATGTAAAAATAAGATTAATCACATTAACAAATTAAATAAAAGCATTCTAGAAATTAGAGTGCTACAAATATTAATAGTAGTAGAAACAATTCTTTTATTAAGGAGAAATAGGATAATTAATTTTAAAATGCAAGTTCTCGAGGTCCTAATTTTGCATTATCTAAGTTTATGTCTTAACATTATTATTAAGACACATAAATATAATCCCAAAATTAACCAAAAGATCAATCCCCATTAAAACCCTCTTTTTACGATAATCTTGATATTATTAATAGAAATACTGTACAGAAAAATTCTCAATCTCCAAATACCACAGTACAAAAAATCTCTCCATTTATTTAACCAAAATTTGCTAGTGTTCATTAAATTAAAAATCAAGATCACTTATTCAAGTAATAAAATAGTTTAGTTAAAGAAAATAAACCTATTGAAAAGTTATCTCAAATTATAAATGAAGTGCCTTAGATATATTTAAAATAGTAAGAATTCTAAGTTCCTAATAAATTCAAATATTCTAAAGGCTATGAGAATCTATTTAATTCAATGATGAATATTTAACATAATTCTAGATATGAGAATTCTAAGAGTGCAATAAAAAAGTATGAAAAATTGGATTCATAAAGTGATAATGAAGAGGAATCTTTGATGGTAGATTGTAATATTTAAGTAAATAAGAACAGTTTTTAATTTCATTATGTTATTGGAAAGGGTGGATTTGGAAAAGTTTGGAAAGTTGAAATAAAGAAATCTAGATAATTTTATGCAATGAAAGAAATGTCAAAAGCAAAAGTGATAGCTAAGAGAAGTGTTAATTCAGTTATGAATGAACGAAATCTTTTAGCATAATATAAACATCCTTTTTTAATAAATATGAATTATTGTTTTTAAGATAGACATAATTTATATTTGGTTATGGATTTATTAACAGGAGGTGATTTGAGATATCATATTGGTAAAATGAGAAGATTTAAAGAACATCAAACTAAATTCTTTATAGCTTGTGTTTTATTATCATTAGAATATTTACATAATAATAATATAATTCATAGAGATCTTAAACCAGAAAATTTGGTACTAGATAAATATGGATATGTTAGATTAACTGATCTTGGAATAGCAAGAATGTGGAAGCCAGATAATTCATAAGATACTAGTGGTACTCCTGGATATATGGGTATCTATATATTACAAAAGCATTTTTAGCTCCTGAAGTAATGTGTAGATAAAATCATACTATTGCTGTAGATTATTTTGCTCTAGGAATTATGGGTTATGAATTCATGTTAGGAAGAAGACCTTATAATGGAAGATCAAGATAAGAAATTAGAGATCAAATTCTTACTAGATAGGTCTAAATTAAAAAATCTGAAGTTCCTAATGATTGGTCCATTGAAGGAGCTGATTTTATTAACAAATTAATATAAAGAAAACCAATCAATAGATTAGGTTTTAAAGGACCAGATGAAGTTAAAAATCATCCTTGGCTTAGAAATTTTCCATGGACAAAACTTTTAAATAAAGAAATCTAATCTCCCTATATACCAAAAGTATTAAATGATATTTTATCATTTAGGAAATTGATGACAATATTGAATATTTAAATTAAATTAGTGAAGATAATGAAAGCTAAGATGATTTGATTAAAGAAAATAAAATCCTTCTTAAGAAAAATTCTGTCTAAAATCTATTTAGTGGTTATAGTTATGAAAATAATCTCTCCAGAAATACAAAAAGCACTTCTAGTACATTTTTTTTAGGATGATTTCATTATTTTAAATATATTATACAAAACTATGTAAAGAAGACTCTCAAATATTGACCGAATAAAATTATAATTCAAACTTAACCTATAAGTCAAAGAATTACTATAGAAAGGTGAAATAGATATAGATAATCCTACTCACTTTGAAGTAAAATTATTTTATAGAATAGGTCATTTTAGGTATATTATCTAAGGAATAAAAGTAAAGAAACTTAAATGAATTAAGCATATTATCATAAGCATTTTCATCTATAAAATATTTTGCTGAAATGTAAAAAACTACAAGTGAAGAGGAAATGCTAAATCTTTACAGAGAATTACAATATATTAATGTACCAGCTCGTCGAACACTTTTTCGTTTCGGAGCAATTGGAAAAAATTTTTATATAATTTTGAGAGGAAGTGTATGGGTAATCTTATTCTTTTAAGATAAAAGGTATTGGTTGCAAAAAGTGGTTTAGGAGATGAAAAGATAGAAGGTATTGAAAAAAAGGGAGATAAAAAAAATGATAAAAAAAAGAAAGCTGAGAAAGAATATGATGAAGGTGAAGAATCTGTATGATAAATTTGATTATAATAGGATGAGGATGAATTTTCAGATTTAGATGAAGAGAAAATGCTTGAAAATAAATATCCTAATATGATGAAAGTTGGAAAGATTGAATAAGGAGGAAGTTTTGGAGAAATAGCTTTAACAAATTGTCTTCCAAGATAAGCAACTATAGTATGTGCAGAAAATTGTTAATTTATTAAATTATCAAGAGAAGCCTTTCATACATTTTTATGTAACATATATATTTTCAATTCATTTAGCTGAATATTATATAAGAATCTAAAATAAAAATTTTGAATTTTTGAAATCAATCAATATATTTACTGATTGGAATGATACTGATATAAGTGTTATTCAATATCATTTTCAACCAATTGAATATACTATGAATAATGTTATTTATAAAGAAGGAGAATAAATTAAAGGAGTTTATTTTATTGTTTCTGGGATGGTTGAATTATAATAAAAGAGTAGAGATATAGAAAATATATAATAATCTAAATAAATTAATAAATAATCAATAGTTATCAACAGATATAGTAAAGGTTAATTATTTGGATATATGGAAATCTTAAAAAATTAATCTTAAAGAGAAACCAAAATCATTTGTTTGACTGAAAAAGTTCAAACTTTATTTTTGCAAGCAGATGTAAATCTAATTATTCAATGTAGAGATTTAAATTATATTGTTGTAGAGGAGATTCATTAAAAACTCTATAGCAAATGATGAAAAAGCTTGAATATATAATTATTAAAGCCAATCAAATATATGGAGAAACATAAAGATAATCTAAATAATCATTATCTTTAAATCTTGTTGAAAATGATGCCTTATAACGTATGAAGACTGAAAATCAACCTGTTTGTAAGACTAATAGAAGTCGTATTGTTAAAAGATCTTTAGATATTTTAGCTGGTGTTTCTCATTAATCTTCTAAAATTTAAAGCTATTATGAAAGTGTTTCTTCTTTTTTAAAAGAACCATAAGTTACTTTAAATTTAAAAAATCCTCTTATTCATATTGAACCTAGTAAAAGATTGAAAATGCAATAATTGTAATTCTAATTATAATATTGTCCTCATCCTCCTCCTCTTACTTGCAGAATTCCTCAATTTTCTAATGGGGATTCAAAATAAGTTTTACTTAGGCAACTTAAATTACCTAGTATATTTAAATAGTAATCGGAACTAGATGATCGTATATCTATTCGATAATTAGATCCTATTATTTGAATAATAACTTTAATTAATATATTATATAATTAGAAATATAAAAATCTTAAACCATTAATGAATATCATATAAGAAGTTCAGAGATTATTAACCAAGTTGTATTTTGAGTATAACAAAGCCTTGATTCTAAAATAATCATTATATGTCCATTGCTTCTTTGATTAATCTGCATCTAACATTTTAACAGCCTATTTTTAGAAAATACTTATTACCTATCTCCAAGTTATAAATCTTCCTTTGATTCTCATTCTTTCTTCTGCCACCTTTTATCTCACTTAATAATGAACTCTTTTTTCATAAGTTCTGTTCCTTTTCTTTTCTAAATATTTCTTAACTTTTAATTCTCTTGCTAAATTCTGCCCATTTCTATTTCTTAAACTGAAAATCCATTCTTCAAACTTTTTAGTTTATTCATCATTTGCTAATTCATTAGTAAGTCCCATTTTAAGTTTTGAGATTGTATTATGAGATAAAAAATTATGAATGAATTCTTCTTACTAGAAAGTTGGATAGTGTCTGAGATTAATATTATATAAATATTAATCAACTTCTATATCTGGAATTGTTGAATCTTGTTCAATGTATGAGATTTCAGAATAGTCACTCTATTCTTAAGTAGATGCACTAATGCTCTACTATTTTTTAAGGTTAGCTTTTGTCTTTACTAAAATATTCTAATTTGATTCATCATCAAACATATTGTTAGCATAATCGATTTAGTTTTAAAATTGGCAATTATTCATTTATTATAATTAAGATATTATCACTCAAAACCGGAATTAAATTTTATATACACAATTTTAATTAATACTCCGTATTATAATTAATAAGATTCCCAAAAAAAGACAACAATAGATAAACTTTAAATATTTTATAACAATTTTGGAATATTAAATATATAATATATTTTATATAGAAATAAATTAAAATATTTTTTAACCTACTTCTCTCTTAAAGTATTATTATTACCTTTCCATTGTTATAAAAAAATACTTATCACTTCTTAGATGCTATTTATAATTTAAAGAATATTGTTAATTCTAAATTATAAAATTAACACTTGTTAAACACTTGTGTGTGTGTTTGGTCTTAAAGAAAATAATATTATAGAAAAAATATGATGATTTCTTTGAATATGGTTTTAATCATCAAATCACCAAGATTCTCATTTTCTTCTGTTGAAAAATCTCATAACCTATTCGAAACTGGCACAATTGGTTTACATACAATTAGCAAAAGCACTTGCTAATTCATTATTGGAGGTGCATGAAGCAAGCTAAAATAATAATTTTAATCACTTACATTTTCCATATTCATATTTTCTCCATGTTCTGCATCACAAGCTTCCATTGTTTTACCACATTCTTCATCAAAGAAACATCCAAATGCCTCATTCATACAATTTTATGAAAGGCATTAAACCATTGGATCTGTCTATTCTGTACTTCCTTCATCTTCTGATTTGTGATGCTTTTTAGCTGTTATGCAAAGAACAAGGAATGCTAATACTAAGAATTTTTTCATTTTTAATTATAAAAATAGAAATTTTTTCTGTGGCTTTATACCACAAAAGATACAAACTCTAAATTAATCAATAAAATATTTAAAAATTCTCTTGTTAATAATTTATTTGATGATCTAACTGAAAATATCTAATATAATTCAAATTAAAATTACATAAAAATTTATATACACTACTTCCAAGATATTTTCAATGTCGGATGAGTATTTTTAAATCATTAGTAAATAAAGTTTTTATTTTTAAACAAACTTTTTCTTTTAGTACGGAAAAATAAGTCAGGAAAAATTTTTATACCATAAAAAGACATGATTTATTTTTCTAAATCTTTCATTTTTTTTCCATGTGTGCAGCCATTATAAATGAGATTATTAGATTTAAAATTAAACTAGGTTTATCAAATAAAGAAAACTAATTCAATTCTGTCAAATTTACAATGAGTAATTTATTTTTTTAAAATATATGACAAAATACTAGAAAAACTTTTATATATAATTCTAAGAAAAAATAAATGATGTGTACACTCCTATCATTCTATTTAAATTTTACAAAGAATAAATATAAAAATAAGTTTGAAGTGAAAATGAATATTAGATGTAAATATGGGCTTCTTGGGTTAATTTCAATAATTTTTAAAGCTTTTATATGATTGACAAGTAATTTAGAATAGAAAGGGATTAATCATAACTCATTTTTGAAGACTGCTTAAAATAATTTATAAATAAATTTAATTAAAGAATGAATTATCAATAAAATTTAAGTTTGAAGAAAAAAATAAATTAAATTCAAGAAGAAACATAATTTGTAGGAAAGCTTGCAGAAAATATTAAAAAGAACGAAGAATTGCAATTTTAGAAAATTTTTACTAGTTGGTAAAGTTATAAAATATAATAAATTAAAATATTAAATGAATAGACGAAAATTTTTATTTTGATAAAAAGTTTTTTAAAAAATATCAAATTTTGGTTAAATCTAAAGCATATATATCATTAAAGGACATTTAATGTCTATCACCTCCAAAAATTAATAGTTAAGTATTATAGATTGTAAATGAATGTCCATCACGAGCACAAGGTTTCTTTCCAACAATAGAATTTTACATTGATTATAATGGTTAAAGGAATCTAAATAACAATAAAATAAATATACTTTGAAACTAAAGGTTTTCCAAATTCAGTTAATTTTCCTTATCTAATTTTTAAATCTGCTTTAGGATTACCAACCAAGAATAATGAGTTTCTCATTTTTTCTGACGTTGGGGAATTATCACGTAGTTGCAATTTTTAGCCTTCATCAACTTCAAAGATTTTTAATAAAGCCATTTTTTTTTACTAGATTTCTTTTCTTTTTTTTTCATCAAGAGTTTTTTAATTAGATTAAGCTTATGATAAATTTCTAGTAGGGGATTCTAAACTATCTTCAGATTAATCTGGTTTTTTTAATGGTGAGAGAGTTGTTCTTTTAACAGTTTTTTTAATGCTACCAGTTCTGGTAGATTTTCTAAATTATCTTCTTGAATGTTAAAGATCTTATTTATTATCTTTTGTAGGAGATAATAATTATTTATCTTTTCTTCTTGCACTGTCTTCATCAACACTAATCCATTCCATTTTTTTAAGATGGAATATAAATAAATCATCTAATTCCCAAGTAATATCATGAATTCCACCAAAGATGATAATTTTATCATCATGAACAAACATAACATGTCCTGATCTAACTTTAGGTAAAATATTAGAGCTAACAGGAATATATGTCCATATTTAAAAATCAAATTTCCAGAGATCATTAAATCTTTAATGTCCATTAGATCCTCCAAACATATAAAGAATGTTTTTATTAATAGCAATGCCAGCACCATCTCTAGGAGTAGGTGCAGTACTATTTTAAGGTTGAAATCTATGCCAATTATTTGAAGCAAATTCATATTTATAGACATAATTAGAATGTAAACCAACAGTTCCTCCAAAAAAACCACCAAATATAATCCAATTATCATTATGAAGGATGGCAGTATGATTATCTATTTCGGGAGGATATGATTAATTAATTTTGCATTTGATCCAAGTGTGAGAATTGAGATCAAAATAATACATAGAATTGGTTGAAATAGATTGATGTATTTAACCACCAAATATATAGATTCTATCCATATAAGTACACATTTAATGTCGAGTTCTTGGTCCAGGATTATCTTTATAAGTTAACTTTTCCCATTAATAACTTATACTCTTTAGATTCATACGATAGAATTCATCCATGATCCCCAATTGGACTTAATATCCTCCATATAAATATAAACTATCATAAATGTTATATTATACTAATCATTATGAATTGTGATGCTTGTATATGCTCTATGGTTTATATTCTTACCATCAACTTTAAGTTCTGACCATTTTGGATCTTGATTCTCTATATTCACAGTCTTTACAGGCTAAATGTACTTATATTCTTATTCTTATTATTATTCTTATCGACTTGGAATTAAACTAATGCGTTTGACTTCCTTGGTATCCTTATTTGATCGATTAGATAACATATTAAATATTATAACAGTCAAAATGGGAAATTGTGCAACATGTGATGATCCAAATGTATATGAATCTCGTAATGAACTTAAACCAGCAAAAAAGGCACCTGATAATTAAGAAAATTTAAGTGTTAAACCAAAATCATCCTAATCATCATAATTAACTCAACATATTAGATCTAATCTTAAAACTCTTAATGTTATGCCTGATTTCTCTAATTCATTTACTTAAGAAGCTTTAAATAGAGTAGGACCTTATTTATATGATGATCCAACTGAGGATATATTTGCTCTACCTTATTCTGGAGTATTGGAAATTGAAACTAATGTGTACTATGAAGGATAATGGAAAAATGGAATGAGATATGGAAGAGGTAAATAACATTGGGCTGATGGTTCTATTTATGAAGGTTATTTTGTATCAGATATGGCTAACGGAAAAGGTAGATTAATTCATGCTGATGGAGATGTTTATATTGGGGAATGGCTTAATGATAAAGCTCATGGAAAAGGAACTTATTATCATAAAGATGGTGCTTCATATGTAGGAGAATGGTAAGAAGATAAATAACATGGTTTTGGAATTGAAAAATGGGCTGATGGAGCTATGTATGAAGGGGATTATGATATGGGTTTAAAACATGGAATTGGAACATTTACATGGAGTGATGGTAGTACTTATACTGGAGAATTTGCATTTAATAATATTCATGGTAAAGGAGTCTATAAATGGGCTGATTCTAGAGAATATACAGGAGATTGGAAAGATAATAAAATGGATGGAAATGGTATATTTACATGGAAAGATGGAAGAAAATATAAAGGATAATACTTTGATGATAAAAAACATGGTTTTGGAGAATTCTTTTGGCCAGATGGAAGAATGTATAAAGGTTTTTGGAAAGATGGATAATAACATGGTAAAGGTGTTTATAGAGGAAGTAATGGAATTGAAAGAGAAGGAGAATGGGAAGATGGAAAAAAATTAAGATGGCTAGATGAATGAGTCAACTGATAAATTATTAAAATTATTACTATTAATATTTATATACTTTTTTATTCTTTATTCATTTTAATATTAATATACTTTTATAATTTTTTATTCATCTATAAACAACATTCTTTTTCTCAACTTATTATTCTTAATCTATTGGAAATATTTTCAAAAAATATATTTAAATCAATTCACAGCATTATTTGTTTGAAATATAATATTTTTTATATAAAATTATTTGTGATGGAAGACGATGAGATAAGAATGGATAATATTGATAATTTAACTGAAGAATAGTTAAAGATACTTGAATAGAAATATAAATAGCAATACTTACCAAATTATAGATTGTATTTGCTTGTCCCATTCAATTTGATTACTGCAGGATTTACTATGTATTACACTATACATTTCAAATATTATTCAAAAAAGTTATTTTCTCCTTAAAAATTTGGATTTAGAGAAGTAATTAAATATGGCACAATTCAATCTATTGTTTTTACATCATTTTATATTTTGGGTACTGCAGCAATCACAGGTATTTAATCCAAATATATAAATCTTAGGACTCTACAATCCAATTGAATATATGAGAGGTCTTGCTAAAATAAAAGGAAAATAAATTGATACTGCTTTGAAGTTTGATCCTAATTTCTAAAAGCATTTCCTATTTAATTTATTAGATTATTTTGGAGTTAGTGATAAAGTTGTAAATGAAGTCAAGTATTAAAAATATTTAATGTTATTAGAGATGAATTATTATCGTAAAAGAATGAACTAGAATCAAAGAATTACTTTAGTAAAGAAACGACAAAATTGTTGAACTAAGATCTGGATAAAAAATGATATTGTAATATAATTATATAAATATAAATATATATATATATAGATATTTCATTTTTTGATAAAAGAAGCTTCTAAAAAATTTAATCTTTTGGATGGTGGAGTAAGTTATCTAGCTTTTTTGATGTTTTCAACAACATAGTTTTTGGATTAATCAATAATAGTAGATTGTTAAAACTGTGATTTATTTAAGTGATTATCTATATTGGATTATTTTATTTAAGGAGGGACATATCTGGGAAGAATGCCTTTAATTAAATAAGACCTGCATTAATAAAAATTAAGTACCAATACATGTCTTCAGTTTGAATGACTAATTTCCCTTTTCTAATTTTACCATATTCTATGGGAGTAAATGAAATAACAAAAGTAGTACCTTCTCTACCATATGGTTCAAGATCACCAATTTTAGGTATAACTGAAAATTCAGCATCAGATTCAGGAGTGAATCCAGCATAAAATTTAGCATAACCTTTTATTTTATTAGTTAATTTAAAGGATACACTAGTAGTCTTATTCAATGGTGAACTGATTATAATGACATCATCTTCGTCAGGTTGTGTGGCTTCTAATACTATTTTATATCTAATAAATATTTATAAAATATGAATACTTCCATCTGCCTCCACTTTATCTTAAAACAATGAATTCAAGGCTGGCTTTAAATGGTTTCATTGGTTAAAATCTAATTGAATATTAAAGATTTTCATGAGGATTATTAAGGTAATTTTTAGTACATTTAACACTAAAGCATTTATTAATCATTTGTTATAAATCTACTGGAATATTTGCTAGTTCAAAATCAAATTTATCATCAGCTTGTAAACTTTAAGCAATACCTTATAGACCAATTTTGATTTCATCTTCCCATTTATCTCTACATTTAGCTTTAAAATGAAATAAGGTTTAATTGGAAACACTTTCTGTTACACCTTTAATAGGGAAATTCCATGAAATCTTTTCATTCATTTATATAATAATTTCAGTATAATAGCAAGTAATTTCTCTAGGGACGAATGAGAATGGAATTTGTAATACATTCATTCCAGGAACAAGTATCTTATCACATTTAGTTGTAAGTAATTTGAATACTTCTTTATTATGTCCTTCAGCTTCTAATTCAACTTTAACAGTAATAGGATCTTTAAAAGGATTTTTAAAATGGACAACAGAACTATAATCTTTATTTAATCCTATACTAACAGTAGTAGCTGGGAATTTGGTAGGTGGTAAACCATTACCGAAAACTAAATAATGCCATTTTCCTATTGGAGATGTGAATATAATTTCAGATTATTCTATTTAATCAAGTGATGATGGTGTATATCTAATATTAACTTTTAAAATATCATAAGGTTGTATAATTAATTCATTTGGAGAGATGTCAAAATTAGTAGGATTAGATATTCTATACTATAAAGTAATTTTAGAATCCGATGGATTTTCTAATATGATACTTTATTATTCTACTTTTCCTAATGAAGCTTTGAGTACATTTAATTTAATTATTGGTTATTCTTCACATGTTAATATGAATTCATACCATACTTCACCAAGTTAACGATTAACAAATGCAACACTACCTCTCCATCTTCCAACTTTTAGAGGAGCAAATGTTAATTCATAATTTCCTTCTTTATTTGCTCCTATTGCAAATTAATCTTCTCCTATCAAACCATCACCATTTATTATAGCTTCATAAATTGTTGTTTCAGATAATGGATTAGCAAGTGTTAATTAAATAACTGTTGCTTATCTAATTAAACATGATAATTCTAAAGTCTATATAGATTTTGGTGATTCAGTATTCATAAAAACAGTATACCATAAATATTTCCCATTTTCCTCTGTAAAAGTAATTGATCCAGTATATTACCCTGATAATACTGGTTAGATTGTTAACTAATAAATAGCTTTCTTTCCTGCTTATACAGTAATTGTAGATGGACCAGTTGCGTAAATTAAATCAGTTTCTACTTTATAAGTGATTGCCTTATCTGAATTATTTTTAATCTCAATATCTCTTTTCATTTATTTTCTAGCTTAACAATTTAAAATTATATGTTCTTCTGCAACAGGTTCTTCTCCTACTCCAATCAAATCATATTCAAATACATCATTTGTTTATGGATTAGTCAATACTAATCTTGCTTCACTTTATGCTATCCATTATGGATTAAATGTTATTGGAAATAATCCAGTTGATTTCTTTTTCACATAAAAATCTTTATTTGGACATTAAAATAAACCATCTTATGGTTGAATCATTTATACTTTTATACTCCATTCTTTATCTGAATTATTTACTATTGGAATCTCTTAAATTACTTATTATCGAGCTGGTACTCTAAATTCTAATGTTGCTTTCACTACTTTTGGTAGAACTGAAGCTGATAATTTGTATCTCCTTATATCATATTTATTTTTTAGTGTCAATATTACACTAAAATCTTTTGTTGCATTTTTAAATGCATATGTTATTGGCAATTTACCATCATTATTTCGATCTACTTATTTCTTATTTCCATCTCCAACTGTCAATATTTAAGGAATTTATAAATATTATGTTTGAGGAAATACTTCCAATTCAAATGTTATTGAATCTATATTACTACCTGGAAAAACTAATTTATTCAAAAAATTATTCTAAGTATTTGTTTTGTCTCCACCTAATTATTATTATTTATTCTTCTATTTTATTTACATTATCTATTAAATTTATTGTCTTGCTCTTATTATAAATTCATTCTTAAAAGGTATTTGATATGAAATTTAAATATTTTAATCTACATATAATGGTTTTTCAGGTTTAAATTCACCTGATAAATTAGGTAATTCAACTGTTCCTTATAAATCATGTTAAAATTCACCAACTTATGGATCTGTTAAAACTATTTAACATTTATGAGTATCCATTGTTAATGGAATATATTGTAAATTTAAATTAATAGTTTGATTCTTACGGATGCGTACTTTCTCTTATTAACAAAAAAATGCTGGAAATTCTTCTTCCTAACTGATGATTTATTATTAATTAAGTTTACCCTTCTTTTTTTATTATTCAATTTATTTTTTCTCATGAGTTATAATTATTTAAAACTCACCATCTTATAAGAATTTATTTGTTATTTAAATTTGAAAATCAAAGATTTCATATAAGATTGAACTTACATTCCATTATTTTTCAGATTTTCTACCAGTTATACTTGACTTTAATTCAAAAACTAAAGCAGCTGCTTATATATTTGATTCTTTTTTATTTGTGAAAATTACTCTTCCAGAAACTGGTTATGATATTCTTGATGTAAATTTAATTTTGTATTAATAAGGTACATCTGGTTCAATTTTAATACTTTCATCTCCTTCTAACTAAAAATCTGGATGACCTTCATATTTAACCCAGTAACTTATTGGTTTTTGAGTTGGATTCTTAAGTTCAATACTTTTAACTACTTCTTCACCTAACACACACGAAAAGAATATAGGTTCTTTTTAAGGAATGTAATAAGGTAGAGAAAAGAATAATTGAACTAATAACATAATCATTTCTCTGCATTAAGGACGATAGATATCAGTGGGTTAAATGTGAGATTGAAGACCAAAATCTAATAATGCTGGCATCAATTTTTCAGTGTTATTCTTATAATCATCTTCATGATTACAAGTATTGCGAAGATTATTAAAGAATTTATTCATGGAAGGTCCAATGAAAGTAGTTAGAGAATCTGAAATAATTATAGAATCTCTGAAATCTTAATCAAAATTTTTGATGCGTCTAGGCATTTGATGTTGCATTTCATAACATATTTCATAAAAATAAAGAAGTATACTTTCTGGTTATGAAATAAGATTGGATCCTTCTAAATAATATTCAGGTATATTTAATTTTTATGTAGGAATTCCAGGTAGCGCTTTAAATGCTTTGACAGTGATTCGATTTAAATAATAGATTTTCATAATTTGATAGAATAAAGAAATCCAAGCATCTTATTATAAATAATTATATTTTGTAGGATTAAGTCTTAACATATTTTCAGGAACATTCTCAAATTTATTTACTGGTTAAACCTTTAACCAAGCTAAATAGTCTTAATAACTTAATAAATATTCTGATCTAATATGATTTAATAAGGCCCCCTCTATTTTTAATTATCTGATCATTTCATCATATTATTTATATAGTGCTTCTGCTCTTTAGGATTTCTTCCAATTAGGATCAATATTTTATTTATATGAGAAATTCTATTTTCCTGTTAAGAAAGTGATCAATTCAAAGATTTATTATCCATTAGAATTTATAACCTCTTCAGGATACATTGTAATAGTAGTAGTAAGTACATGATAATTGAGCCATCTAATGATATATTCACAAGCTTAATCAAATAGTTCTCTTCTAACAGGAGTATAACCTAAATTGGCTGTACCTTTAGATGAAGTACTTGATCTTACAGAGAAACTATGTTTTGCATTTTTTTCATTGTCAGAATCTACATTTTCATCTTCAACATATAGAATTGGTTTTTTATCTTCTACTTCTAATTAATATCTTCCCATTCTCCAAAGGAAAGTTTGATTAGTAAAAATACAATTATCTGTAGTTCCAGATATATATATTGAATAAACTCTAGCTTCATCAATAAATTCAACTCTAGTTGTAAAACTCAAAGGTTTTTTATTACTAAAAATAACTTCAACTCTTAATTTACTTTTAGCTACACCTAAAGTTGTTCCTTCAGGAAATTTAAGATCTAGATTGAAATTACTAATTTCTTAAGCCCAATTATATTTTAAATTTAAATTTTCATATCCATCATTAATGATACGAAAGAAACATCTAGATTAAATACCAAGCGGAACAACTGGAAGAATAATTTCTTTTTTATCAAATAATAATCTAGGATATGCCCCAGATCCCCCTAATTAAATTTCTACATATGGTAAAGTAGGAGGTATATCAGGATCAGATAAAATATATAATTAAACAATTCCATTAAATTATCCAGGTCCATATGGATTAAATTTTATTCTAATTTTAGATTGTTATCCACTAGGAACAACACCTTCTGTAGGTTCAATTGAAAAGATCTTTTCAGATTTTAAAGATGATGCATCTATTTTCCAATGAACATCTCTTCTATCAGGATTAGATAATTTAATTTCCTCAACTGTAGGAAAACATTTATCTGGAGAAGTAATTATTTTCTTTTTAAATTCAATAGATTAAGGTTCAACTAAAAATTTTGGTTTAAGTCCTTTACAAGTAACCCTTCTTAATAAAGTTGGTAATATACCAAATCTTGCAAGAGTTAAAGGAATATCAAAAGAATATTATTTAACTTCTTTTGGAGAAAAACGAAGAAAAAATTATTAGGATTTACCTGCTCCAATAGAAATATTATATTATCGGTAAATCTTTTATTCAACTTCAATAGGTTCAGATTTTTCAGATACATCATCTAATGGATCTTCTTCTTTAGGTTCATCATCTTCTTAATCAGGATGAACAGAATGCATTATAGTATCATCATCATCTTATGGTTTAAATTCTAAACAATCTATCCCATCAGGTGCTTTTGGATTTTCTATTTATGGTCTCAAATCTAAAACTAATTCTACACTCACAGGAGAAGAATTAACAAGTGTTAAAGGCATTTAATTACTTGTACCTAATGTGGTAACATTCCCAAATTCAAAATGATCTTACTCTATTTCTATTTTGGGAATAATTGATTAAGCTTAGAAAGGAACTTACAATAATTTACCACCTCTTATTTAAATTATAATTTCTCCTTTAATTATTTTCTCCTCTTTACTTAAGAACTTCACTTAAATATCTTTAGTTTCTTCTTAATGAATTCTACCTTTCATTGGTGTGACTTCAATACAATCTATTTATGATTTTATTGCAAATACTGCTGTAGATTTTGAATGATTCTTTAAACTTATTATTTTTGTTTCAGGTTTACATACAACAACGTCTTTGAAATCTAAAGATGCTTATTTTACAGAACATTTTGGTTCAGTCACAACTCCTAAACATTTAACAATTTAATCTATTCCTTCTTCTGTTTTTAGTGTAATTTTTTCTTCTTCAGTTCTTGTTATAGCAGCTGTGTATTATTATTATTAACCAGGTGCTAAAATTGTATTTTATTATTGATTATTTCCCAAAGATGGTCGATATATTATTTAACATTCTTAATACTTTCCAAATGCAACTACACCATCTTCTGGCTTAACTGAAAATGTCTTTTTATCTGATGTTATCCATTTAAATTTAGCATCTGCATTTCCATTATTAGTTAATCTCAAGATTTCCATAGTCTCCATTTCTGCATTATCTTCTGTAAAAGTTAATTTTACTTATTACCTACTCATTTCTAAAAACACTTTTTCTATTGTAGCTGATATTTAAATTTCAAAAACATGTTTCTCATTTACAATATATTTTACATGTGATTTCAATTATCCTAATTACCTTGAATTCACACATATATCAAAACCTGCTGTTTATCCACTTGGAATTATTTATGATTTCATATATGATTAAGCAAAATCTTCACGATCAGAATATAATCTAACAGCAATAGAACTTCTTAATTCATTTCGAACATAGAAATATTTAGTTGCTAAAGATTTTATAAAAATATTCCCAAAATCAATTTTAACAGGTCCAGCACTTATTTTAAGTAATTATTCTGCCGTTAATTCACATGATGTATCCCTAATTTCACTATGTGTTTTAGGTTCATCAGGAAATTTCTTTTTAGGAACAGTTTTAGGATCAGGATCAAATGGTTTAATAAGATTTCCTTCTTTAACTCTAGTAATAGGTTCATAATGATAAATTGGTTTTGTGACAAATAATGATTCATTTGCCTCTGGAAGATTTAAATCTTATTCATAACCATCTTCATGCATTCCAACAACAAATTCATAATCTATTGGAGGTTCTGGTTTCTCTTCTTCTGTTGCTTATTATTTCTTTTTCTATAAAATTAATGATTCATTCTTAATTTAATTTAATTTTTCTGTCATTTAAGTGAATTTTAATTTAATCATCTATTCTTTTTCTTTTTTAATTCTCTATGCTCGATGTCCTTTTAAATATTCATTGTATTTTTCCTTATTGCTTAATTTTAAATCATCGATTTTATCCAAACTTTATTGAGCAATTGAAACAACAGAACGTGATAAATCAAAAGTTTAAACTTTATCTGTCTATGTTTTAACAATTCCAGAAATAGATCTATCTTTAGTAATTTCAAAATCTTAAGGTTAAGATTCTGGACCTCTTCTAAATTATGGTTTTGGTAATATTTATTAACATGTCCCTGTAACTTTAATAGGTATTTTATATACTCCACCTAAAAGTTCTGCATTCAAAGTGCTACAAAATTATCCAATATGTTTAGGTCTAAAACTTACCCAAAAATTAATTTTTTCAGATTAATTTAAATTTTTAATAGGAGGAGTTACAGTGAAATATGGAATATTTGGAAAAGATATAAGGATTGGTAATTCTTATGATAAATTTTGAATTTCAAAAACCATATCCTTTTATAAATTTGCTCCACATTATCCAAACTATAAAGCTTAAATAGGTGGAAATTTAATTTAAGGACAAATACAATTAACAGATAAATGATTCATTAATGGTTCATCATCATTAAAATCAAAGATTGCAGAATATTAAAATTGATCTGGATCCATTCTTTTATCTTAATTCATAGCATATTATCTTGTACGAACTTATAATTCTTCACTTACTTTAGGTTTACATTTAAATATAATGGATGCTTATGAATAAGATTCAATTGTTCCTTCTTCAGGCCAACATTCCATAATTCTTTCAGTTTATTCTAAACCTAATTCTGCAGGAGTCTATAATTTGAGTGTCTCTTCTCTTTCATGTAAACCTTTTTTCAATTTAACTTTGAATTTTTATTATTTTGGTGTATTATTCACTAAATAAGCTTCAATTTATTTTTATTATCCATAATAGATAGTACCAAAATCAAAATGATTATTTTGAGTTCCACTTTAATCTATTAAAAATCTAGTAAATTCTATTGAAGTAGCATTAATATCAATTGGATTCTTAAGACTCAATCCACTTAATTAACCATCAGCAATAACTTCAACAATACCTCTAAATATTCCAGCATCTTTAGGTTTATAGAATACTGACACTGAAAATTCTTAGCCTGGTGTTAATGTAAATGAATTAGGATCTATTCTAAAGTCAGGTAACTTTTCTAATTTTAATTCAACCTTTCCAGCTGCTTTACCTTCATTCTTGAAATGGATTTTATCCATCTTCTCTTTGCCAACACGAACGAATCCCAAGTTTATAAAGGGTTCATAGATTATACTTAATTAGTTAAATATAATACGCTGCTGTTGCTGGAAATGCATGTAATGGAATATCAACACTATATTAACCATCAGTTACAATTTTCAAACTGTCAGAGTAACATTCCAGATTTGCTGTCTCAAATGTCACTATCAACTTCATTGATAGTCCTGCTGCTATTGCTCTTAAATCTAAGAATCCTTTATTACCCTTGCATTTCATAATCGCATCGAAAATTTGAATGAGGTTAAAATACTCTTATCCTTCGAGCTGTCTAAGTCAGGTTTCTAATAAACACTGTTATTTCATAAGTCTAGTTGATTTATATGTCCTTAAATATGATCTCACTTGGAACAACCTCGATAGGAGCACCTGATGAGAGTTACTTTATTTTTGATGAATTCAAGCTGCTTTTATTCATTTCTATAATAATATATTATTTGCATTACANGATAAATTTTGAATTTCAAAAACCATATCCTTTTATAAATTTGCTCCACATTATCCAAACTATAAAGCTTAAATAGGTGGAAATTTAATTTAAGGACAAATACAATTAACAGATAAATGATTCATTAATGGTTCATCATCATTAAAATCAAAGATTGCAGAATATTAAAATTGATCTGGATCCATTCTTTTATCTTAATTCATAGCATATTATCTTGTACGAACTTATAATTCTTCACTTACTTTAGGTTTACATTTAAATATAATGGATGCTTATGAATAAGATTCAATTGTTCCTTCTTCAGGCCAACATTCCATAATTCTTTCAGTTTATTCTAAACCTAATTCTGCAGGAGTCTATAATTTGAGTGTCTCTTCTCTTTCATGTAAACCTTTTTTCAATTTAACTTTGAATTTTTATTATTTTGGTGTATTATTCACTAAATAAGCTTCAATTTATTTTTATTATCCATAATAGATAGTACCAAAATCAAAATGATTATTTTGAGTTCCACTTTAATCTATTAAAAATCTAGTAAATTCTATTGAAGTAGCATTAATATCAATTGGATTCTTAAGACTCAATCCACTTAATTAACCATCAGCAATAACTTCAACAATACCTCTAAATATTCCAGCATCTTTAGGTTTATAGAATACTGACACTGAAAATTCTTAGCCTGGTGTTAATGTAAATGAATTAGGATCTATTCTAAAGTCAGGTAACTTTTCTAATTTTAATTCAACCTTTCCAGCTGCTTTACCTTCATTCTTGAAATGGATTTTATCCATCTTCTCTTTGCCAACACGAACGAATCCCAAGTTTATAAAGGGTTCATAGATTATACTTAATTAGTTAAATATAATACGCTGCTGTTGCTGGAAATGCATGTAATGGAATATCAACACTATATTAACCATCAGTTACAATTTTCAAACTGTCAGAGTAACATTCCAGATTTGCTGTCTCAAATGTCACTATCAACTTCATTGATAGTCCTGCTGCTATTGCTCTTAAATCTAAGAATCCTTTATTACCCTTGCATTTCATAATCGCATCGAAAATTTGAATGAGGTTAAAATACTCTTATCCTTCGAGCTGTCTAAGTCAGGTTTCTAATAAACACTGTTATTTCATAAGTCTAGTTGATTTATATGTCCTTAAATATGATCTCACTTGGAACAACCTCGATAGGAGCACCTGATGAGAGTTACTTTATTTTTGATGAATTCAAGCTGCTTTTATTCATTTCTATAATAATATATTATTTGCATTACATTTATATATGAAGCATCTGAAAGCAATAAAAAATGCATTCATCTAACAATCCTATAACCAAGGATCTCTTAATCTTGTTGTTCTACATGGTTTACTGGGTTCAAAAACTAATTTTAAAAATATTGTCAATAATGTTAATATCAGCAAACACTTGAAATCAGCTTATTTGCTTGACATAAGGTATTGCCATAAATTATACTCAGAAATCATGGTGATTCACCCTAAACCTAAACTATGAGCTATGAAGAAATGGCTAATGATTTAAAGCATTTCATTCATGATCACAAAATACAAAATGTTGTACTCCTAGGACATTCCATGGGAGGTAGAATCATCTTTTCTTATTTATAAAATTTTACATCTGATTTACCTATTGGAAATATTATTGTAGATGTAGGACCAGGTGAAGGAGAGGGCAAAAATTATGTCTAATTGCTACAATAAATTGATCTCAAAAACAAAATATTGAAAGAGATTGAAAATAGTATCTTTTAAATTGTTTAGAGTAAGGATAAAACCAATCTTATTATGACTAATCTCACTTACGCCAATAAAGAGGAATTTCATTCTGATTATAAATGGAAAATCAACATAGATGTGATATCCAAATTTATGAACAATGGCCATTCTGAGTTCTCTAGTAATTATTAAGGTTCAGCCTGTGTGATATGCGGAGATAAATCAGATTACGTCACTATTAATGATAAACAAGAGTTCTTAAAAGTTTTTCCAAAAATAGATATTAATCGAGATATTCATTTTATTTAAGGAGCTGGTCATTGGGTTTAGGTTGAAAAACCTAGAGAATTCATTAAGTTGATGAGTTAATATTTATCATCATTTTGAGCATTTATAATAATTTATATTGTATTAGTAGTCACAACTATAATATTTTCTAAACCATTATAATTCTTTTAATTACACATATTTTATCCTTTATATTCTCTAACTATTTTTTTTTACATTCTTTATTTTCATTACACAAAGCATATTCAACTGAAATAATAAACTTTAAATATTTCAAAATTTTAATACTAAATGAATTGCAAAATTAAATAAAAATCTAGGATAAGCAGATTATTATATTAAATTATCTTGCTCCTACGATAGTATTCATCGAGATCAATTACATAATTTATTATTCATCAACCATTAATCAATGAGATTGATACTTAAATTTTAATAAGAAATATTTTGACTCTTAAAAGAAGATTAAATATTTAATGAAAGATTTAATATTTACAGTTTCAATTAAAAATTTAGAATACTATTTCAACTTGAAAGATCTTTTGATCAGCTTTTTATTACGTTGATATTTGATAAAATTAATTAAAAAATATGGACAATAACATTGTTATTAAGAAGTAGTGGTTTATTAAGTCTTAATCAAGTAAAATTGAGGATGCCTATGAGTTTGATCATAAAAAAGTAATAGGATTTATATTCTTTATAGTTACTTGGCCAAGGCACTTATGGTCAGGTAGTTAAGGCAAAACTAAAAGGATCAAAATAATAAAGAGCCATTAAGATTATTCCTAAGAACAAGGTACGAAATCCTGAACGTTTTAGAAGAGAAATAGAAATTATGCGTAATTTGGTATGTTGAGTCTCTATTCATAGGATCATCCAAATATTATCAAATTATTTGAAACTTTTGAAGATGTTAGAAATGTTTATCTAGTAATGGAGTAAGTGCTATTTCTTAATATTTAAATAGAATTTGCGAAGGAGGAGAACTTTTTGACAGAATTATTGATAAGGGTCATTTTTCAGAAAATGAAGCAAGAATCATATTCTTATAAATAATGTAAGCAGTTAATTATTGTCATTAAAATGGAATTTGTCATAGAGATTTGAAACCAGAAAACTTTTTAATGCTTACAAAAGCAGATGATTCACCTCTTAAAGTTATTGATTTTGGACTTTCAGTTATTTTTCATGATAATCATGTCGAAAAGCTAAATTAAGGAAAGGTAAGTATGACTACTAGAGCTGGAACTCCTTATTATATATCTCCTGAAATTTTAGATGGAAAATATGATGAATCATGTGATATTTGGTCTGCAGGAGTCATTTTATATATTTTGATTTCAGGAGTACCACCATTTTATGGAAATACAGATCCTGAAATATTGGATGCTGTTAAAAAAGGCATATTTACATTTAATAGTATCTTTTTTTAATGATTAAAACTAGTACCCGAATTTAAAAAAGTATCAGAAAGTTGTAAGGATTTGATTTCTAAAATGATTTGTAAACCTGAAAAACGTATAAAATCACATGATGTGTTGGTGCATCCTTGGATGAAATAATAACATCCTGCTGGTTCATTTTTAAGTGTTAATTACTAATCATTAAAAAATTTTACTAATTTTAATAAATTAAAAAAAGTTATTTATTTGAGAATTATAATAGGTTACATTAACTTATATAGCATCATAATTATCAGAATAGGAGATTTCAGAATTAGGAAAGTTGTTCAAATAGTTAGATAAAAATGGAGATGGAGTTTTGACAATGGAAGAATTAACATAAGGATTAACAGGTCTAAAGAAAGAATCTTAAAATGAAATTATGGGAGTAATAAAAAGTATAGATACTGATGGTTCTGGTGCAGTAAATTATACAGGTTTATTATTATTAAATTATTTTTATAGAATTCTTAGCTGCCACTATTGAAAAAAGTGTTTATATGAAATAAGAGAAACTATTTTAAGCTTTTAAAATGTTTGATTTAGATGGTAGTGGCAAAATATCTAGAGATGAATTAAAATAAGTATTAGGAAGTAAGAATATCAACTAATTAATTCAGGTAATAATCCTGGTTTTGATGATAATGCATTAAAAGCATTGATAAAAGATGCAGATAAAGATGGAGATGGTGAAATTGATTATAATGAATTCATAGAAATGATGGATAAAATGAAATAATGAATATTATTATACATATTTAATAAATATGGGAGATATCTCAGAATAATTGAATCAATTAACACAAAAATATGAATAACTAGAAATTCAATGGAAAAAAGAATGTGAAAGTGTTTAGAAAAAAGACTATCTCATAAACTAATTAAGATTAGAGTTAGAAGACAAAAATAAATTAATCGCAACTTTAACATCTGAGATAGATTCCTTAAATATCTACATCGATGATTCTATTTCAGAAAAAAAATAATAAACAAGCAAACTTAATGAATTAGACAAGAAGTATTAGAAAGTCAAAGATGAATATAATAAATTAAAACAAAAATTGATTGATCGAGATCTTCACATACAAGAATAAGAAAAAGAATATAAACTTTTGAATTAATAAGTATAAAGTGAAACTGAGAATTTAATTAAAACATATGAGAATAAAATTCAATAATTAGAAGAAGAAAAAGATTAATTGAAATAAAGGAGTCAATTAAAAGAATAAACTATCAAATATGAAAGCTACAAAAAATGGTTTATTTTATCTGTTGTCTTCTAACCTTTAATTTTTGGATTGGCAAAATTTTTAAGAAAAAAAAAATGATAATTACACATTTTGTATATGTATAGAAAATTGTTAATTTCAGTTTTTATCTAAAAAAAAGTTATTTTAAATTTTAGAAATTAGATCTATTGAAGGAAATGGAAATAAAAATACTCTACTCTTCAAGTAGTATTTTTTTGGAAAGGTATTATTATTTTATTTAAATATGAAGTCTGTTGGTAATTATAAAATGAAGAGATTATTACTGAAACTTTTAAGAATTTATTGCATTTTTTAACCCTAATTAAATTTCTTTTTGAAAATTCCTAATGAAATATAGTCTGAATACAAAATATAAGATTAAGTAAGTTCATATAAAAAAAACTAAAATTATTGTGAATTCTCTAAAAATATCAACTCCGAAGTTACAAAGTTAGGAGTACTTTCGAAATAAATTTGAAAAGCATCACCTAAAAATTGAATTTATGATTTTAATTATTTTTATTAATGAATACTCCAGAATTGCCTTATGAATTCTTTTCAGAAGAATAAAAGCATTATTTAGATATGCTTGTCAAATTTTCTGGTAGAACATAACGAACTCGTCTAGTTTCAAGTTAAGCCATACCTAGTAAAAAATATGTAATAAATGATAATGATTAAGTAATTCCTTAAAAATAATTTTATTTTGATGACTGCAGATGAATAATATGATTTTAATAAAGCAGATAAAGTACTTTCGGAATAAACTACAATTGGTGGTTTAATTGGGTTTGGTATATCTGCCGTTTCGATGCTTTACTTTGTTAATTCTAGACCATTACATAAAAAACTTTATGGAGAAATGTTCACAAGTGGAATTTTAGGGTTGGTGTTTGGATTATCATACTATCAATATCATAATTATCAATACAGAGAAAAAATTCATTAGATGTATGTGAAATTGTTAGCCACAAAAAAATTAGGGAGAATTTGAGAACATATTTAATTAAACAGACTTTTTTTTAATTTAACAAAATTTAAATTGAATGCAACGAGTACCATAATATATTCAAAGACCAATAATTTAAGATTCTTTTAGATAATCCTTCAAATAAACTTCAGAGTAAGAAAACTCATGTGCTTAATTACAATAAAGAAAACCCATATAAGCATATCCATAATATCAATCTACATAAGTGATTCAAAAGCCTGAAATACGTCCAAATTCATCATAACCTAGATAGCCATCTATTCAAATAGTTCCAAGACCATCTTCTGCTTCTACAGATAAGAGAGCTTTTTCAAATTAAAAATAACCATGCAGATCTTCATTTAAAGAATTGAAAAATTCAACATATATTTCACCTTAACAAGCTACTCCTTAATCTAGATATTTTTCATTAAAATAGCTGCCAGACACTAATTTAATTAAATGCNTGGAAATAAAAATACTCTACTCTTCAAGTAGTATTTTTTTGGAAAGGTATTATTATTTTATTTAAATATGAAGTCTGTTGGTAATTATAAAATGAAGAGATTATTACTGAAACTTTTAAGAATTTATTGCATTTTTTAACCCTAATTAAATTTCTTTTTGAAAATTCCTAATGAAATATAGTCTGAATACAAAATATAAGATTAAGTAAGTTCATATAAAAAAAACTAAAATTATTGTGAATTCTCTAAAAATATCAACTCCGAAGTTACAAAGTTAGGAGTACTTTCGAAATAAATTTGAAAAGCATCACCTAAAAATTGAATTTATGATTTTAATTATTTTTATTAATGAATACTCCAGAATTGCCTTATGAATTCTTTTCAGAAGAATAAAAGCATTATTTAGATATGCTTGTCAAATTTTCTGGTAGAACATAACGAACTCGTCTAGTTTCAAGTTAAGCCATACCTAGTAAAAAATATGTAATAAATGATAATGATTAAGTAATTCCTTAAAAATAATTTTATTTTGATGACTGCAGATGAATAATATGATTTTAATAAAGCAGATAAAGTACTTTCGGAATAAACTACAATTGGTGGTTTAATTGGGTTTGGTATATCTGCCGTTTCGATGCTTTACTTTGTTAATTCTAGACCATTACATAAAAAACTTTATGGAGAAATGTTCACAAGTGGAATTTTAGGGTTGGTGTTTGGATTATCATACTATCAATATCATAATTATCAATACAGAGAAAAAATTCATTAGATGTATGTGAAATTGTTAGCCACAAAAAAATTAGGGAGAATTTGAGAACATATTTAATTAAACAGACTTTTTTTTAATTTAACAAAATTTAAATTGAATGCAACGAGTACCATAATATATTCAAAGACCAATAATTTAAGATTCTTTTAGATAATCCTTCAAATAAACTTCAGAGTAAGAAAACTCATGTGCTTAATTACAATAAAGAAAACCCATATAAGCATATCCATAATATCAATCTACATAAGTGATTCAAAAGCCTGAAATACGTCCAAATTCATCATAACCTAGATAGCCATCTATTCAAATAGTTCCAAGACCATCTTCTGCTTCTACAGATAAGAGAGCTTTTTCAAATTAAAAATAACCATGCAGATCTTCATTTAAAGAATTGAAAAATTCAACATATATTTCACCTTAACAAGCTACTCCTTAATCTAGATATTTTTCATTAAAATAGCTGCCAGACACTAATTTAATTAAATGCTCTCCAAATTAGTAAGTGCCAAACAAATAAATTGATTAAAAAGAGTATTAGAAATTAAATGATAAATTACTATTCTTGGAAAATAAAATCAATAAAATTAAATCTAACATAGAAATTAGCAATTCTTAATTATAAAAACAATCTGAAAGATCAAAACAAAAACCACTTGGATTAGCAGCTAAATTTTTTCAAAAAAAGGATCAAGAAAATACTGAACCAAAAGGTTCAGTAACTCCCAAAGAATTAACTAAATGTTCAACTGCTTTAAATTTACAACTTAATAAAGCATTAAAACAGAGTTAAATTGTCAAAGAAAAAGAATAACCTAGTATCAGTTTAAATTAATTTGTCACATAAGTAAAGTAAATCAAAAAGCCAGTTTAATAATAATCTTCTCTAAATAGACATTAATCCTTAGAGATAAATTAATCATTAAATTAAGTGACTAAGCCAATTATTGACGACAAATCATATTCGTCTTAAAAACCAACTAAAAGTGATAATGTATCAATTTCTTAAATCATAGTTTCTATATTATATATCTAGTGTAGCTAGATGTATGTTTTTATAATAAACAAGTAAAACAGACGATGTAGTTAGAGATCATATAATTCAAACAATATAAGTAAATGGTTCTTACAAATAATAGGGTTTAGATTATGCTAGGAATCTATCACTTGAATTTTAAGAAGAAAAGGTTGTTAAATTACCTAAAGCAAATCATTTAAAAACACTAGTTTTTGATTTGGATGAAACTTTGATTCATTGCAATGAGAACATTTCAGTTCCTGGAGACATTATTCTACCAATTACATTTCCAACTGGAGAGACAATATAGGCCTCTATTAATATAAGACCTTATGCCTAGTAGATTCTTTAAACTTTATCCCGACATTTTGAAATTATTGTTTTTACTGCATCTCATTCTTGTTATGCTAATATTGTTTTAGATTATTTAGATCCAAAAAAATAATGGATTAGTCAGAGATTATTTAGGGAACATTGTATATAAACTGATGAAGGTGCATATATTAAAGATTTAAGGTAATATATTAAATACTATTTTAAGAGTACTTGGAAATCGAAAAATGTCAAATATCTTATTAATTGATAATGCAAGTTATTCATTTGGATAATAAATTGATAATGGAGTTCCTGTAATTGCTTTTTATGATAACAAATAGGATTAAGTAATTTTAATTATATTCTTAGGAATTACTATATTTACAAAACTACTTAATGAAATTCAGAATGGTGACTGATGTAAGAGAATTGAATTCTTAGTTATTAAAAGTTAGTTCATATACTAACTATCAAGATCCATTATAATTATTGTAAGATCTATTTCCAGAATAAATACCAAAATGAGTAGTTACTTGAATACTTTCATTTTTTAAATTATATTTGCATTTTAATTTAATTATCAGAATTATCTAGATTGAATTTTCAAATTTTAAAAATAAATTAAATAAAGAAACATTTATCTCAAAGCAATGTAAAATTTGTTTTTGAAATATTATGATTTTTATTAATTAAATTTTAAAAGTATTTATGAAGTGAGCAATATTGTAGAACATATAATATTTATTATAAAAGGATGAATTTTAGAAAATCAACCTGCACCAAAGTCTTTCATCCAATTTTCATATTCCTTTAAGTATTCTGTTGAAACAGATTTATTAACTATCTTTAATGCTTCATCAAAATCTTTTTATTCTAAAGGAACATCTACAACATCTAAATAATTAGAAGAATGTAGTACTTGAGATATCTTCATATTTTTATTATAATTTTTAGAATCCTCCTTCTTCTTTTAATTTTCTTCTCATTGGTAACATTGATGCTTCTCTACATACATTAGCAATATCTGCTCCTGAATAGCCATCACATTTTTTAACTAATTAATCCCAATTGATATTTGGAGACAATTTAAGAGAATTTAAATTAATTTCGAATAAAACTTTTCTACCTGTAACACTAGGTAATGGTATATCTATATAATAATAATAATTATACATATTCTTCTTTCAAGTCTTCTTATTAGTGCTTCATCTAAATCCCATGGTCGATTAGTAGCTGCTAAACACATTACAGTTTTTCTTTCTTCTCCTGTACTAGCACCTGATACTCCATCCATTTCAATTAACATTTAAGTTTTAACTCTATATATTATAAATTTATATAGTATACTTTCTAGCAGAATCACCATCACTATCCCCTCTTTTAGAACCTAAAGCATCAATTTCATCAAAGAATATTGTACTAGGTGCATAGAATTTAGCCATCTCAAATAATAATCTAACTAATTTTTCAGATTCTCCTTTCCATTTACTTGCCAAAGTACATGCAGAAACATTAAAAAATGTTGTTTTACCAGTTGTTGCTACAGCTTTTGCAAGCATAGTTTTTCCTGTTCCTGGAGGACCAAATAATAATACTCCTTTACATGGTCTTCTTATTCCAGTAAATATTTAAGGCATAAATATAGGAAGTAATACAGCTTCTTAAAGAGTATCCTTTGCTAATTCTAATTCTGCTATCTATTCAAATGAAACATTTGGTGTCAAATCTAAAACTTCTCTTTCTATCATTTAAATTAAATCACTATCTGGACCTCTTCCATCTGGATATACATGATCATGAAATGTTTTTCTTTAACCTTCTACAGGTTTCTTTTCTCCTACTGCATTACTTTTCCATGGCTTATCATATTCCCTTCTTTAGTTTCCTTTTACCTATGCTTAAGGCTTAAATATATTATTAGCTTTTGCATCTTTCTATGATTGTTTTGGTTTATCATTTTTTTTTGATGGAGGATCCCAAACATCAGGATCTTTTGGTGGAGGATTATTTACAGGACGTTTATTATAATTGTTATTATTATTATTATTATTATTATTATTATTGTTATTATTGAAGTAATTACTTGGGTTATGATTTAAGTTATTACCATTATTATTATTATTATTATTATTCCCTCTCTTTCCATCATTACCACCTCTTAAACCTCCAAAAAATATTTCATCTGGATCTTAAGCTTTCTACTTTGGAGGTGATATTTAAAATTAATTAGCTTTCTATTATGTTGGAGATGTATTTTCTCGATAATGATGATGTTAGAATGGAATTTAATTAAATGGCAAACGAGGCTATCTGTTATCTTCTTGAAATTCAGGACACTCTTATACTACCTTTGGTTTTTAAGGTGATGGTTATTACTAATCTATCTTAATTAATTCAAAAATTACTATTCGCATTCCCTTTTGTAAAATCAAATAAAGTTTAAGTTAGATCTAATTCTTCTTTTATGTCATTCACAAGTTTGCTCCATTCTTAAAATAGTAACTAATCTCCTTAATTTTTTCCTAATTATTAACTTAAAGTCTCAATTTATGATTTGAATTTCATTATTGCTTCTGGGTATTTTCCTAAATAAGCTAACTCTCTAACTTATTATAATTATGTTTACCTTGCTTCTTTTATAATACCCTTCGCAGATTCTAAAATTGAAGACATTTTTAAATTTTTAATAATTCACTTATTGTTTTTAACAAACACTTATTTTCATTCAACATGTTAACAACTATTACATTATTATGTATTTATTAATAGAAATTCTAGATAAAAATCAAGTAATTGAGTCAGGTTTATAAAAACAATATTCAGAAATATTATTGATCATTTTGAAAAGTATAATAAAATCAATATTAAAAAGTAAAATTCGATTTCTGAATTGAATTTCAAAAAACCTTATAATGAGTTTTCATTAGATCAAACCCCATAACTTAAAACAATTTTAATATATAAAATTAATTTTTGCTATAATATTAATAGACTATGTATATACTATTTTTAGAATTTATACAGTAAAGAATTCTTCTTGATAAGTGACTTAATATCACAATCTTTATTATACTTAAAATTTAAAAAGACTTAAAAAAATGTTTTTAAATATTTCTTAAAAGCCTTTTCTAAACTTTATTACAAAATTTTAATGAAATCTATATATTATTTTAATTATGTAATCCCCATATGTAAGAAAGAGATATCCTTCTAAAACAATAGTTGTAAAAAAGAATAATTAGTTCTTTTCATCAGCTGAACAAGGGGACAAAAAAATCAAATCCTCTAGAGTGAATAAGGCGATAAGAAAAAAAGGAGATTTTCATGACAATTAAGAATAATTTTAAATTAGTAAAGCAACTTAAAAGGCTTAGCATAGTTCTGAGTCAGAATCAGATAGTGATGAATCATTTTAGAAATCTATTTTATCTGAGAGCTCAAAATCAAGTGTAAGATCAGCAAAAACCATAAAATCGAAGTCTTCAAAAAGACAGAAAAACAATATAAAAGATTTGACATAAAACTTGATATAACAATATCAAACAATATTAAGAAAAGCTGACAGTCAAATGACGTAGCAGAAATAGTACATAAACTCATAACAATAGGGAGGAAATATAATAAAAGATGCTCGATAGAATAGCAGAGTAAGCAACTGCCTAGATGTACGTTTAACCTTATAAAGACAGTCAGTTATGTGAAAGTGATGAAGAGAATTCTGATCATTTATCATAATTATTTTCAGACTTAGCCAATGGAAATGATAAGTCAGATAAATCTGATAACTCAATTATAAGTCTTGAAGTCATATAAGCTCAAAATTATATTTCAAATAGATCATAGAAAGATATTTAATCTCCAGGAACACCAGAATCTTCAATCTAAATACCAAATGTCGATTTAAGTGTAAGTATTAAATTTACAATAGACAACCNATTATGTATTTATTAATAGAAATTCTAGATAAAAATCAAGTAATTGAGTCAGGTTTATAAAAACAATATTCAGAAATATTATTGATCATTTTGAAAAGTATAATAAAATCAATATTAAAAAGTAAAATTCGATTTCTGAATTGAATTTCAAAAAACCTTATAATGAGTTTTCATTAGATCAAACCCCATAACTTAAAACAATTTTAATATATAAAATTAATTTTTGCTATAATATTAATAGACTATGTATATACTATTTTTAGAATTTATACAGTAAAGAATTCTTCTTGATAAGTGACTTAATATCACAATCTTTATTATACTTAAAATTTAAAAAGACTTAAAAAAATGTTTTTAAATATTTCTTAAAAGCCTTTTCTAAACTTTATTACAAAATTTTAATGAAATCTATATATTATTTTAATTATGTAATCCCCATATGTAAGAAAGAGATATCCTTCTAAAACAATAGTTGTAAAAAAGAATAATTAGTTCTTTTCATCAGCTGAACAAGGGGACAAAAAAATCAAATCCTCTAGAGTGAATAAGGCGATAAGAAAAAAAGGAGATTTTCATGACAATTAAGAATAATTTTAAATTAGTAAAGCAACTTAAAAGGCTTAGCATAGTTCTGAGTCAGAATCAGATAGTGATGAATCATTTTAGAAATCTATTTTATCTGAGAGCTCAAAATCAAGTGTAAGATCAGCAAAAACCATAAAATCGAAGTCTTCAAAAAGACAGAAAAACAATATAAAAGATTTGACATAAAACTTGATATAACAATATCAAACAATATTAAGAAAAGCTGACAGTCAAATGACGTAGCAGAAATAGTACATAAACTCATAACAATAGGGAGGAAATATAATAAAAGATGCTCGATAGAATAGCAGAGTAAGCAACTGCCTAGATGTACGTTTAACCTTATAAAGACAGTCAGTTATGTGAAAGTGATGAAGAGAATTCTGATCATTTATCATAATTATTTTCAGACTTAGCCAATGGAAATGATAAGTCAGATAAATCTGATAACTCAATTATAAGTCTTGAAGTCATATAAGCTCAAAATTATATTTCAAATAGATCATAGAAAGATATTTAATCTCCAGGAACACCAGAATCTTCAATCTAAATACCAAATGTCGATTTAAGTGTAAGTATTAAATTTACAATAGACAACCAATGTTAAACATAGAATATCTAATTTTCATAGTGCTTTTCCAGGATTTAGTCATTTATCTGTCACAGAATAATCTTAATCATCAAACGAAGTATTAAAATTTAGAATGTTTTAGATTGAAATTGATTAATTATGCTAATTATAAAATCACTATGGAAAGATATATTAAAAATTGAGAAGTGTTAATGGAGCTATACATATAAAGTTCAGAAAAATGAGAAGTTTCTCAAGATATAAATTACTTTATGTAAAAATTAAAAAATAATAGAGAGTTCTTATGAAGATGGCTATCCCTTATTGAAATTAAGAAAAATAGTAGCTTATTGTTATTTGATAACAAAGAGATTATCAAAGGAAATAGTAAGATCAAAAGTTTATTAATATGTTTTAACATTTGTAACTTTAGGAAACATAATTTTATTTATTTAGGAACATTTAACCTATTTTAATTAAAATTTGTTAGCAATTTATTTTGGTAAAATACTTATTGATTGTTTAGTTTTTTTGTGGTTCTATTTAGCGGATGTTGTGCTTCAATTGTTGGCCTTTGGATTATTTAGATCTAAATTTATATTTTTAGGAAGAATAATTGATACAGTTCTAATTATATTGTATTATTATCATTTAACTTACAAAAATTCTCTAATAGATATAACACCTTTAAGAATGATGAGATTACTTAAATAATTAGGAGCAATTTTTGAGGGTATTTCTAAAATATTAGTTAGGATTATAAAGAATGATTGAAGCACTTATAGAATCATTAAAATTTATTTTTGAATTCACAGCTGTAGTTATTTTATTTGTTTTATTTTTTGCATCCTTAGGAAACTCTTTATTTATGGGTTTATTCAATGAACGCTGTTTACCATCAGAAGATGATGATTGGATTTAATGTAATTAAGGATAATGTCCAGAAGGTAAGAGTTGTGTGATCACTAATAATGCCTATAATATTCCTACTAATTTTAATAATATCATATATTCTTTTGGTTTGATATTAAAAACTGTTACAATGGATGATTGGAGTTGGGTGATGTATTATACTATAAGAGCCTTTCATCCTATTGTTTGGATTTATTATGTATTAATTATTTTTGTAGGAGGATTCTTTGGATTCAATTTACCTATTGCTGTATTCAAAACACATTTTAGTGAAATGTAATTCAAAACTATCTCAAATAAAACTGAAAAAGTTGAAGCTATAAGCAAATCATAATTTTAAAAGATCGATTTCTATTATTATGTTAATTAAATGAATTAATATCTATTTTCAAAATAGTAGAGTATTTTAATTGAAAAACCTAGAATAAATAAACAAACTTAAGCTTGGGATATAAAACCTAAATTATTATTAGGAAGCATGATCAACCAATACAAAATTGATTAAAGTAACTTTGCATAATTCAAAAATACTGTTAAAAACTTTTCTTTTAAATATATTTTACTTCCAAAGTTAAATGACATAGCAAAGTTTTACAACAGTCTAGATCTGAAACTATTTACAACAGATATTAAATAACAAATGATTATTAAGTAATTCAGTAAATCTTTTCTATTGGAAAAATATGTTGATTATGATTGTAATTATGTATCTACAAGTTAAATTGACATTTTAAGATAATCTATGTTTTTATTTTTAAAAACTACAGATAATAAACCATTTGTAGGATAAAAAAAGAAGAAATTTTATTATAAACTAATTTAGAGTAAATAAAAATTTGTACAAAATCCTAGAACTAGTAGATCTGAATTGACTATAGCAAGTATTTAAGTAAATGAGAATGCTAAAATGATATTACCAATTAAGATTTCTTAAAGAATCAAGAAAGATAATCTTAATACTTCAGATATTCATGGATCTAAATCTAGTTTAAGTTCTAATAACTTAAATCAAGGCATTAAAGAATTCGAAAGGGAAAAAAGAAAATTTCCTTATTTTATGAAATAGCTTTCTATACCTTAAGAAAGTGAGAAGAAGCCTTTTACCTAATATTAAGAAGGTACCTTAAAAATCCTTGTAAATGGAGTATATTAGGATTATTTAAATGTTTAAAAAAGAATAAATACTAAAATTCATCAAAAAAAATAAGAGGGACCTAGAGTTTAAGAAGAATACACTAAATTGAGAAGAAAAGAATTTGAAAAAAAAATAATAAAAGCAAAAAACTGGTCAGGTAACAATGTTCTAATTAGTTCATATTAATTGATTTAAAAATTTGATGTTATTTTTAGAAGTCTAAATTAAAAAGATATTGAAATTTGGCCTAGATCATTGAGTGGAATTGTACTAAATTTAAGGAAATATGCTTTTTAAATAATACATTTTAAATTAACTAAGTTTTTGTTTGATTTAACTATTTTAATTAATACATTATTTTTAGCCCTATAAGGTATAATAGAAAGGAAAATAATAGATAAAATAGAAGATATTGCTACAGTGGTTTTATCAACAGAAATTATTTTACAATTAATTGTATATTAGCCAAGTATTTAAAAATTAATATATTAGAAAGGATAGCTAAAAATAAGCATCATGTTATTGAACTTTTGATTGTGATCCTAAGTTTAATAGAATTTGGTTTTAGTGATTATTTGAATGTAAGTGAACAATATCTTCGATTAATGAGATCAACTAAGTGTCTCTTGTTTTATCGATGTATACTCTACATTTAGATGGCTAGAATAATTGGAGCAATAGCATCAATTACATATAAATCTTATATTTATTTGGCATTCTTAATGTTTTTCATGATTTTAACTTTTGGATTAATAGGTATGGAATTATTTTCTAATTAATTTAATGAGTATCATAAACAAGGATATTTGTAATCTTTTGATGATCCTGCTTAAGCATTTATGACTGTCTTTAATATAATGACAAATGATGATTGGTTTGGTGTTTATCGTATTGGAACTGAAGTTAAAAAGGAATTAGCAGTGACTTTTTCTATTGCTTTAGTTTTTACTTTAAATTATTTTATTTATGGTATTGTGATGGCCATTTTACTAGATGGATTTAGTTAATATTTAGAAAGGGAATCATCAAATGAAGAGAATGAATTTATGAAAGAAAAAATAAAACAAATAAATAAACTTAATAAATAATTAGATTCAGAATAAACTGATGATGACTCAGAAACTGAAAGTTCTAATTCAAGTTCATCTTCAATTAAATAATATAAAGAATTAGCCAATAATATAATACTTAACAGCAATCGAAATCAAAGAAGAGAAAGCACTTCTCCAGAAAACTTATTAGCTTCTTCAAGTAATGTAAGAGAATACCAATAAAAAAGAGACAGTTGTTTTACAGAAAAATTATTTCATTCTCTTTAATTTCCTCCTCCTAGAAATAGGAGACCAGATTTTTTGAATGATTAAAAAAAGAAAATCAAAGATGACTTTAATAGGTTGAAAAATAAAACTAATATTAATCTTAATCACTTAAAAGGTTAAGAATCAAAAAAAATAAAATTAATATAAGATAATATTTAATAAATAGAAAAATAACTTCTTAAACAAAATCCAAAATTATATACAGGGATTGATTGTTTATAATCTTACTATGTTTTTCATAAATCAAATAATTTTAGAAAATTACTCTTCAAAATCAGTTAAAGCAATTATACTAAATATTTTATTGATATTACATTACTCTTATCTGTTACTTATCTAGCTATACCTAAGGATATCTAATAAAAGCCTTTACTCGTTACATTATTATTTATTCTAAACTCTATAATTTTTGTAGAGTTCATTGTAAAATCAATAGCATATGGAGCATTTATTAACAAAGGGTCTTATCTGAATGTAAAAATATTATTTATATATGATAGTATACATGGAAAGTAATTGATTTGGCTTACATTATTATATATTATATTCAATTTTTTAAAATAGGTTATTTGCCCATTTTTTAAGTTATTGAAACATTTTTATTTTTTAGACCTTTAAAGTTGCTTTACCGAATAAAATGGGTTGCAAGAGTGAGGGCAGCTTTGACTTAATCATTATTTGATATAATAAATGTTTTTGTTGTTCTCTTAATGGTTTGGTTGATGTTTGCTGTTTTTTCTATGATGTTATATGCAGACAAGTTGGGTTATTGTGAAGAGCAATTTAATTATGATATTGGTATAGAGGAATGTTAAGAATAAGGTAAGAAATGGATAGTTTATAAACACAATTTCGATAATATTACAACAGCAATGCCTGCACTTTTTGTAATATCAACTTTTGATGGATGGGGAGCAATCTTATGGGCCTCTCAAAATAGTAGAGAATCACATTATGGTCCTCATCCTTACTATAGTTAAGCTCCGACTTATGTATTTTATCTAGCTTTTTGTACTATTGGATCAATGTTCTTTTTGTAACTATTTACTGGAGTTCTTTTTATTAATATAAAAGCTAATTCAAAATAAATAGAAAATTAACAATTGACTCAAGCTTAAATAGAATTTAAAAATGTTACTGAGATTATATTATTTGATCATCCTGTGAGATCTTCAATACCATAATCCTTTTTTAGAAAAATGTTAACAAATTTAGTCATCAGTAAATTTATGAACTTTTTTATGTTTTCTATTTTACTCATTAATTGTGTAACAATTATGATGATATATCATTCTGCAGATTTTGATTATAATAAAATCATAAATTTAATTAATCATGCATGTACAATTATATTTGCAATATGGCTATTATTTTAGGGATTTGTTTTAGGAATAAATAGATTTAAAGATAATCCATGGAGATTATATACAACAATAGTAATTATTTTAGGTGTTATCGATTTATTAATAGATTTTATTTGGAATTGGTTTTAATAATATGTGTAATCTACTTAATTGACTCCTAATTATTAATTATTAAGATTCATGTATATGCTTAGAAATTTGAAAGTGATAATCTTATTTTAAGGATTGTAAAATCTTTAAAGATTAGTTAGAGTAATATCATTTGCATTTCCCTTTATGTTTAAAATCTTATTTATTTTATTGATAATAATGGTAGTATTTGCTTTTTATGGTATGATGCTATTTGGACATATTGATAAAGGTGAAGTGCTTAATGATTTAATAAACTTTAGTAATTTTTGGTTAGCAATGTTAGCTTTATTTAAATGTGTAAGTGGTGATGATTTTAGAAGTATAATGAATGATTGTATGCATCATAATCCTTATTGTTAAGAAGATCCAAAATATTGTGGATCTCCATATTCATAAATATATTTTATTTTATTTATGTTAATTTCTAATTATGTACTATTAAATTTGTTTGTGTTGGCCATGATTGAATAATTTGAGTTATTTTTTAATAATCAAGATTCAATTCTTTAAACCTATGTTGAAAATATAGATACATTTAGAAAGGCTTGGTTTAAGTTTTCTTGTAACCATGGCTAATTTTTAAATATCAAAAAGTTGCCATTTCTACTTTAAGAAATAAAGGAACCCTTAGGTTGTAAATCAAATGAAAATTAATGGGATGCAGCTAAATTTAGTTTGTAGTATAATTTAATATGTGATGAAGAAAACAGAATATCATATAATTAATTACTTTATGAAATATTCTTTCATAGATATAAAAAATAAATTTTAAGTTAATGTTCTGAAGTTGCAGCAGAAAAGATGACATATTATCATAAAACAATGAATTTTAGATTAGCATATCATAGAAGAGGATTGGAATTCAGAAGAAGCAATATAGGTCCATAACTTAAATTTAAAGGAAATTGTAATGCCCTTTACATTTAATTAACTGCATTAACTACTTTTAGAGTGTGGAAAAGCTACTCTTAATAGATGATATAAAATATACTAACTGAATAACAATACTTTTCTGATAGAACTATTAAAGATACTGAACCAATCAGGCATTCGATTTCCTAAAAAAGCCTGGAAAGTTAAGAATCAAGGATTAAACTTAATGATAAACCAATTTATTAGAAAAGAAGATTTGGTAGACTTAAAAGAGTTTCATTATAAGGTTAATTGAATGACTATTTACCTGGGGATTTAATTAATGTAAAATATGTTATTTTATCTTCTAGCCTAAATAAATTTTAAAAAGAAAAAGTAGTTTTGGAATTAATGTAGAAGAAGGTAATGTTCAATCAGTTTATGATACTGTGAAAGTACAAAAAATGAAATGATTTATGTCCTTATAGTTATAGTATACTAATCATTTATAAGAGATTCAAGTTTTATCATCATTCTTTTATACATCTATTTAAGATTTAGAATTATTCAATAAGCTTTTTATAATTGTATTTTTTGAAGCTTTAATTCTTTCAAATAAATTACGATTAGACTTAGTTCTTTTATACATCTTTTTTTCTTTCATTTTATTTTATTAATAATACATTTCTATTTTTTTCAAAATAATGTCTACATTATGTTCTGGAAAATATTCTAAAGTTGATTTATATTTATCCATTTCTAAATTTACGTTAGTATACATTATATCAAATATCTTTTATTGCAATGAATCATTTAAAGATCCTTCTTTTATTTCTACTTTCTATTCTATTAAACCAGAACTTGTTAGATGTGTTGTTTAACCCAAATTCTTTTTGTTTTCTAAGAAACTAGTTCTATTTCTCTGTTAATCAAATTAAATTGTTATTTATTTAATCTATTATTAATTTTATGAAATTGGACTTTAATTAGAATTTTAATATGATCGTTTCTTTTGTCTTTATCCAAATTAAATAGTTGTCTTCTTTAATTTTCTTTTTTATTCTCCCCTTATCTAAAATCTTCTCTCTTAACTTTCTATTTACCTTTTAATTTTTATTGAGTCTTTCATATCACTTTCTTCACTATTTCTACTTATTTATTTAAGAGGACACATATTATTTTCAAATTCCTATTAACCAAATTATTAAGCCAAACTTCCCAATTTCTATGAAACTTATACAAATCCAAAATCATCAAAATTCGATGATCTTCTTGATTTTTATTAAAATTATTTATTAGAAAGTATATTATTTTTATTTTAAATCTATGCAGTTGGAATAGTCAACATTTATGATTATTCTAATGTTTCAGAAATCTTATCTTAATTTTCTTTTTTTTAAAATTAAATTGCTCTTGTTCTTTCTTATCCAAATTTTATTCTTTTAAAATTTATAATACTTTTTTTCATTTAATTACCCAGATCTAAATCTCGACTTTCTCTTAAATCAGTTGTTATTCTCATATTGTTTTATTAAATGGTATTTTATTTCTCAAAATTTTAAATTGATTTAGAATCATACTAGTTTTAAGAAGAATCATCATTTTTAGGAGATATATCATCTATATTTGGACTCAATTAAAATCCTAAAGAAATCAAATATTCATCTGTGTATTCTCTAAAAATATTTTTAATAAAAAGATTTACTATTCAGTTAAATTTCCAACAATTATTCTTAAAGCGCATTCTTAAGTTTTATTTAAAATATCTTTAGCTCTTGACTTTTTAACAAATCGATAAGGAAATTTAATTCTATTATTGAGTTTAATTGTAGTAAATCTATTTGCAATTTTATTAGTATTAGGTTATAAAAAAACGAATGGACATCTTATAAAAATATCTATATAATATAATACTAAATAAAATTATGGGTCCATTCACATATTTCACATACATTTCCTGAACCCTTAAAAGCTGGATATAATAACAATCTGTCTCTTTTCATACAAAATATTTCATATTCTTTATCATTTTCTGCAATAACATTTATAAAATCATCATAACTATATTCTATTGTTAAATTAAATACTCTATATAAGCCATCTAAGTAAATTTCAATGCTCTAGCTTTGTATTCATAAGGTTATTAAGTAATGAATTCTCTTTCTCCTAAAACAGCTCTAAATAATTGAATTAATAATTTACCCAACAGTTACTTTTTTCAAAAATGTCTCTGTAGCTTCATAAATATCATTTTCATCTTACATAATGTAATTATATTTTACTTTTATGATCAGCAACATATTCTAAGGCACCTGAAAGTACAAACCATATTTTTTTAGGTTAATCATATTAAGAATAGAGTACTTCTTCTGGTAAAACCTTTTTCTCTTTAACAAATTGACAAAGATTATTAATTGTTATTTCATTAAAATTATCTCTTAAAAGTCTAGATTTTCTTAGTGTAATACGATATAAATCTGTTAAGACGTCTTCTCTTAAATGTTTAGTAAGTTATGATAAAAAGAATTCAGCATGATTATCTTCATCTTATTCTAATTTAAAATAATACTCAAAATACTTTTTAACCTTATAAATAATATTAAAATATAGGTACCTTTAATGATAAATTTAAATTAAGTCCACGTTTTCTAATATGTTAATGAATTTAACGAAGTTTAAACTTATAAATAGTCTTCTTATCTGAAATAGATTGAAAAATGTTTCCAATATTTGATATACAATAACCAAATATACCACAAAGTAATAGTGTTACTATTATAACAAATATTCTTTCAAATGTAGTCACTGGAACTATATCTCCATATCCAACTGTTACTGTTGTTATAACACTCCAATACAAAGATATTATATATCTATCAAACCAATGATATTCATTAGCAGCAGGATCATAATGAGTCAACCAAGTTTCAGTTATTCCAAAAGATTCATATTCAGTTAAAGCCACAAAATGCCATGCACATCCACAAAAATGACCTGTTAAAACAAGAAAAAATATAAGTTTAAATAGATCAACAACTATTTATACATTTTCCTATATTTTAATATCTTTTTTATACTTCTAAATTAAGCATTTCTTCAATACTTTCCATCAAAGGATTTAATCTAGTTAATCTTAAAAGTAAAATATATCTTACGACTTGAATATTTAAATTTGATATTAAAAATGGAATTGCAACTATCAAATCCCAAAAAAAGTTTTATTTTACATAATGTTTTACTATTTATTTTCTATCTTCATGCATTAAACCTTTATCATAATAAGCAGTATTAAAATTTAATATAATCTCTGCTACAAATATCCATGATGGAAGTAAATCAAATAAATATTCAAAAGCTCCTGTAATTTAAATGTTAAAACTTATATTTATAGGAATATAAAATATGTTCATTACAATAAATAATAATAAAATTATATCCCAAATTATTTTAAATTTACTATCTGGTTTAATTACTATAATGTTTTTACTAAGAAAATCTTAGAAATATTCAAAATAGTGTAAATATTTAGTTGCTTTTTTTTGAAAATTATATTTTAAAATAAGAAACTAATGTTATTTATATAATTACTAAACTTGGTTATTGTTTAATTTAATGTGAAATCAAAATAAATTCAAAGTTACTAGACAAATCCCCAATAACAGAAAATATTTTTTGTGTTAAAAGTCTAAATTTAATTGTTTCTGTTTTTGTCTTTAATTATTAAATAAATCTAGAAACTAATCTGATAATCATTAAACCCTTTTATGACCAAATTTCATTTAACCTAAATTTTATCCAATAAATACCCAACATTATCTTCTCTTCGACACAATTATTTTTAAGATTAAACTTCTATTGCTCTAAATTAATTCTTTTTTTGTTCTATTTTGATTTTCTATAGTTTGTCCTCTTGCATTTCAAATTATTAAACAAAACTTTAACATTTTTCAAGTTTTGAGTTAAACTTTGTTATCTAATAATGAAGATTATAAGTTGAATCTAGAATTTAATGTGACAATTCTTTTTAATAAGGTTTATTAGTTTAATACTCTTAATAAGAGAGACTTGGACTTTTCTATTATTGAATGAAGGAATGATTTTTTGATTTAAGAGATCCTACATCATATAAAATTTCACTAGTCATTTTAAATTAAGAAGATTTACTTATAGCTACTAAAAGAATTATTCTCATTAGAATTATCAGATTTATGTCCATCATTTAATGCTCGAAAATTCTTTCTTTCAAATATATTTCTCTTTAACTTCAATGCTTAGTCCATAGGTTAATCAGCAACGTTATCATTAGAATATATAGGAATTAATTCATCAAATCGAGGAGATAAAACATTTTAATTATGAATTGGACTTTCTATACTTTGAAAGACAGTCTCATTATTTTACATTATTAATATTTTATATACTGAATATATATGGTTAATTATGAATAAATATTTTGATTATCTCCTATTTATAAATATAGCCATTTAAATCAAACATTATTGAATACTTATGCAAGAATTAATATCTAATCATGAGTGAAATTTCTGCATTTTAATTTATTTTAAATTATTGGATGGAACAACTATTCAAATTGATTAATCTATTAATACATCCTGCTTCCACACAACTATAACTTAAAAGTATTATTGTTTTAATAACAATCATTAATAAAGCCTAGGAACTTGGAATGGTCACGAATTTTGAATTAGATTATAAAAATGAAATGAAGTATTATTCCATTCATTATTTCTTTAGTCCAATCCTAAGTATAATCAGATATTGTTTTATTATGAATACAGTTTCTTTCACTTAGCATATTTTCATAATTTTATTTTTCTTCTTAATGCACATTACATTATTACTCATGTTTGCTTATTTTTACTTTTTCAGTAAAAAATCGATCACTCTATAATACATCTTGCATTCATTTCTAACTTATTATTAATTACTCTTTTAAATTCCTATTATTTATTCAGCATTAAGTTTTACATATAATTAATAGATTTGCGATCTAAGTGAAATATGTACTTAATAGGGTAGAATAGGTATAATACTAATAGGGTCGTTAAATATTATATTTACTATGATTTTAAATTCAATACATATATATTTTGGAAGATGTGAAAAATTAATGGAAGATAATTATATTTTAACTTTGGATTATTCTATATTTATAAATGGCATCATACAGACTTTAGTTATTTTGTCAATAATTCTAAAATCTATTGATATTTTACCTTAATTGAGATTTGTGATGATTTTGATAAAGAGTTTGACATATGTTGTAACTTCCATAAACAGAATAAATCAATTCTCCTATATTTTTGTTGAGACTATTGCAATATCTTTGAATATTTCATTATCTTTCAATCTTAGTATTTATGAATTATTCTTAATAATATCATTCTTATTAGGTTTCTGTATATAGATTTAAAATAGAATTGTAAATTACTATATTACTTTAAAACAATAGTAGAATTTAGTTACACTTCAAGTATGAAATATAAACTTATATAGATTATAGAAGAAAATAATGAAATGAGTGCATAACCAAAATCTAAAATAATTTTATCAGTTATAAAAAAGAATCATGAATGCAAAAAATGTAGAAATTGCCATCAATTAGTTGAATGCTTATTACGTAGAATGGCAAATACAACTACAAATAAAAATTAACTTTATGTTTTATTATATTGTTCTTATATAGCAAATCATGCTCCACTAAAAGCATTAATTAGATTGATTTTAATGATTTCAAACGAGATTTATTATAGAATTGCAGCTCATAATTTATAATAAGAATTATATAAGAGAACCTTATAATTTTAAAAGGAAGCTTAGATTAAGAATTCAATAAGAAATGCAAATGAACATTAAAATTCATTAGATGTACAATCAGCATTTCATACTTCTCATTCAGCTACTATCTTATTTCCTTTAATTATTGAAACTTTGAATAGTAAAATAAATTTTTGGAATAAATTAATTAATGGTTATAATGATATTGATCATTGTCTTCATGAAGCACTTAAAACAACTTCTAAAATGTTAAGATGTAAAAAAGAATTTGAAAATAGATTTGATATGATTAATAATAAATTAAAAGGATCATCAGCTTAAGATATTTTATCAATGAGAATTATATAAGTTTATCAAACAGGAATTTATTCCAATTCCTTCTAAGCTTTTTAATTAGAGAAAGCTATTGATGATCTATTAAAGAGTGAAAGATATAAATAAGATGAATCTTTAGATAATATTTAATTGATACAAAGTATTTATATTAATTTATATATTTTAAGATAGATTAATTATTCTAAAATCCAGTCTCGTACGTAGAAGAGGAGAATTAATCAATTTAAATAGCAAATAATTATCATAATTTTTAAATGAATCTGAAGATAATACTAAATTAATTAAACACTGTAGTCAACTTATGCCTAGTTTCTTATCAAGTATACATGATTAATTGATGGATAACTATTTATAGAATGGTCATTCAAAATTAATGGTACATGGAGAATCAACATTCTATTAAAATTTAGCAGGATACATAGAACCTTGTAGCATTAATTTGTTTAATTATTTTGATTCAAATAAAAATGATTTTTTATTGAACATGATACTTACAAAAGAATAATCAAATAATGAAACTATTTTATTTGGAGTTGATGGGAAAATCTTAGGTTTTACAAAGTAATTTTATGATGAAGCTTTGAAAACTAAAACAAAAATAGAAAGTTCACATATGTCTAGACGTACTGAAACTACATCTTAATAAATGGATATTAAAGATCTTCTTTTAAGATATCCATTAATTTAATACTATGTACCATCTATAACTTAATAAGTAGAAGAATTAAGAAATTAAATTAATTCATCATCTAATTATCTAATGAATAATTTAAGATCTTATTGGATAGTTCCATCAAATCATAGTGATTGTCTATTAAATTCCTAATTAATTTTATCGTAGTTTAAAAGGAAAAGTAATGGATCTTAAACTTAACTCAAAATTAGATCTTATAAATCTTAAACATATTCTAGATATTCCTAAAATTCTGTAAATACAAATGCTGATGTTTATGATGATTAAGAAATCCCATTAGAGATCAGAAAATAAATTCTTATTGATAATACTCCAATAATACTTTTGCATCCAGAAGTCTAAGAATCTGTTAAAAAACTTGTTGAATTTGAAAATTAGTCATTATATCTATAATTAGGATTATTTTATAGTTTGTCATTTAAAGTTTTAAAATATAAGAAGGGAACTTATGCTTATTTTATGATTTCTATTAAAGAGATGAAACATTTACAACTATCAAATGTAAATTAGAACTATAATACAGTTCCTTCTCATACAACTTAATAATAAAGTCTATATCCAACTTAAGATTTGAATAGTAGTGATCTATTTCCAAAAAGTGAAGTTATAGAAATCAATGAATCCTAAAATGGTATTATTTAAGAGATAAAAATGATGAATCAAATGAAATCTGTTAAATAATATGACAATGAAGATAAAAACTATAATAACCCATTAGATAACTCAAAATCTTTTGAAATGAGTTTTAAAGTAAAATAATCTGAAAGATCAAACATTTTTGATTCAAGTAGATAAATGATAGTTTAATAACCACTCTATGTAAAACCAAGAAACTTAGATAAATAATGTATCTAAGAATTTGAATAATTAGAATTTGAAATGCATGTATAGCTTTAATTTATTATAATTTTAGGGATTAAAAGAAAGACAATTAGAATTATTGGATGAAAATGATTAAGAAATACTTAATGAAAAATTTGAATCAAATAGTTAAACTCTAAAAAAGAATTCCATTTTGGGTAAACTTAGAATAGCTTAAATGTAAAAAAAAGAAAATGTTATGGATTTTGCTTCAAATCCTTCAAGAACTTCAACTAATTCAACATCTAAAGAATCCTTATTAATAGTGTAATAATTGTATTATAACACTTAACTTATTACTCCTTTAAAAAAAATAGCTTTTCTTCTATTATTAATATGTTTAGCTATTCTCGTAATAAACATAATTAATGTTTAATTGATATAATCTAATCTAATTACTTAAACAGAATAAGTAATAAACTTAAGACAACCTCAAAACATTAATTACTTTTACAGTTCTGCCATGTATTAAGAATGGATTTAATATATTTAATCTCTAAAACTTATTACATTAAGTCCTTTTATAAATTAAAGAAATACAGATGTCTTAGCTTAAATGTATGATTTTGCAAGACAAGAAATGATAAATTTAGCTATTTAAGTACCTAAGCAAGCAGAATCTTTAAATATTAATACAATTTTTAACTTTAAATATATTGAAAATGGTGTCATTAAATTTTAAAATATTCCTCTACAAGATTTTTATTAAATCATTTATTAAACAGCTGAAACTTCTTATCGAAATAATTTGGGTAAATAATATTTCTTGTATCCAGATATGCTTACAACAGGTATAATAAGAGTTAATTTATGGCAGATGGTTGATTTGCACAATTAATTAATTTAGATTATTATGGAAAATACTATTAATACTTAATCTACTGTAAGATCGTACTTCTTGACTATTATGATGGCTTAATTATTTTCAGTGATATTTTTTATTGGAGTGCAACTAAAATATTGGCTTTTTATAGATCACATTACAAAATCCATATTATTTTTGGTATCTCGTTTAAATGAAAATTAATCAATTGATTAAATTAATCGTTTATCTATAATTAAAGAATAAATGGAAAATGAAAGTTCTAATACATGGAAATTGTTTAATTTTGGAGAAGTTATGTTTGAATTTTCAGATAAAAAGTCTAAAAAAATTTAATTAAAGTAAGCAGTGTCAATTTAATCTACTCAAAATAGCTATCGTGCAACTAGTGCTCTTTATTCAAGAATTTAGAAAACCTATTATTTAAATAGAACAAATGTAATAATTATATTTTTATTAACTATAATATGGTCTGCCTTTTTAATGTCTGGATATCTTATACATATGTCATACAATGATAATTTTTAACCATCTTTAACTGTTACTTTAAAATTTGTATAATTTAGACATAATATGGATTCATTAGCATTAATTGCAGGTCTTACAAAAACAGAACCACTGATATAAAATTATAATTTAAGTTTTATAAATTAAACTTTATCCACATCTTTATTAATTTAATATAAGGATAATTTATTACCATTAATAAATGAAATAGCTGATGTTATATTGAAAAATGCAAATGATAATAATCAGAAAAGTATTTTTGATGGAGTATTAAATTTTGATTTATGTTTATAAAGTACCTTAGAGAATCTTCCAGTTTGTGATTTATCAAAACAATCCTTAGCTTATGATAAGTAATTTATATTATATTTTTACAATAGGAAAGATTTATATTTGGATGTCATTGTAAATGGGGCTTTGGGATATACTGCTGCATTCGTAAAATTTATAAATTAAGAATATGACTATGAAATAAATAATTTAAAATATAGTCCAAATTTAGAAGAATGTAGAATCACAGCATAATCATAATAATTTTAAAATTTCATCTTGCAATATTTTACTGATATTTAAACATCTATGAGATAATTTTTAGTTTTGTTTTAGTAAGATAATGCAAATATCAGTTAAGACATTATTAGTGTAATACAAGTGTATTATTATGGATTTGGATTTAGGTATATAAAATTTAATATTAAATCAGTTTATTTGCAATATATTGTATATTGAGCTTTATATGGATTTATAAATAACAACAAACCATTTAATCATTAAGATAAATTTTAGTACTTATTCCAGTAGATTTGATATTAACTGCCAATATTAGAAGCCAAGCAAAAGAAATTCATCAAATGCTTTACTGACTTCCATTTATGATGTAAATAAAATGTAATACAATATGAAAGTATATTATAATGATGTTCATCAATTTTTTATAAATATTTATTAAACTAAAGAATTCTAAATTAATCAGTTATTATTTAAAGTATTGAATAAATAAAAAAATTTATTATGAGATCTAATTTTATTTTTCTTGGATTAATACATGTGAAAATTTTACAAGATTAAAGAAAACTGGAATAGTTGAATATTGTAAAAATATAAGAATATTCCGATGAAGCAATTAATACTTTTTTATAGTCAAAAGATAGATATTATGAATAAAGACAATAATAATAGAATTTCAATTGGCCATTTATTACTTCACTTTAAAAGAAGCCTGAATATTTGATTGTTTTAAGGAGAGAGGCTAATTAAAGTTTCCTGAATTAAATTAAATTAGAAGAATATATTATATAAAATTTGCCTAACGACTGTTCGGAATAAGAATGGAGAAATTAAGCAATATAAATTCTATTGACTTGGAATTTAGCTGAAAGAAATTTTAAAGTTTCTAATTTCTCTGATGAATAAGAAGATCAAGCTAGCAAAAGTTATGCAAAATATTCCTTGATTTATTTGGCTTTGGCAATCTTATCATTCATTGTTATCAACATACTTAAAAATTTTATATGAATTAAAAAAGTTTGTAATACAATATTTATTTTTATCGTTTTAATTACATCATTTGAATTATTAAATTAGATAATATCAAAACCTTAAAAATACTAAAACAATTCAAAAAGAATGATCATTGTTCTTCCAATTCAATAATAAAATAATCATTTTTTGAAAAGTTTTATTAATTAATTTACATCTTTTAAACATTAAATAGAGTTTGAGATGAATAATTATATTTCTTTTAAAATATTAGAATAATATATAATTATTAATCGGGATGATTGAATACAATATTATTTATTGGAATATCTAAGATAAATTTTGATTATAGCAATATTTAAATCATTCAATTGTTTGTTCTATTTCAGGTTTTTTTTTAATAAATCTACTGAGAAGAACTATTAAACCAGAAACTACTAAAATACCAGATATTGCTATTGTAAATACAATTTCATCACTAATTTCATCATTATCATTGGTATTTGATTTTTAATTAATGTTGAAGATTTTTTCATCTTTAACTTAATAAATAACAGATAATTATTCTCTTTTAAATTGAGCCTCAAGTTATCTTCTTCTAGTTTAATTCATAGCTGGTTTTGCTTCAGAATTAATAATAAACTAAAATTCTGAATATGGATCAAACAATCCAGTTTTCCAAATAAATCCAAAAGTAGTAGCAACTCCTTTTTATATGAAATAATCTAATGTTAAATTGTAGGATTCTGAATTTTAAATTACATATGCTTCCTTATAATTAATTTAAAAATTAGATAATTCTGGATCTGAGATAGTTTAAACAACGGTTAATTTATTTTAATTAGCATTAAGATTTTATGAAACTGTTTCACTAACAACAAAAACAGGTCCAACTTGAACATCTGAATTATCTGGAATTGAAAGAGCTTAAGTATATTAAGAAACACTTTGANAAAGAAATTTTAAAGTTTCTAATTTCTCTGATGAATAAGAAGATCAAGCTAGCAAAAGTTATGCAAAATATTCCTTGATTTATTTGGCTTTGGCAATCTTATCATTCATTGTTATCAACATACTTAAAAATTTTATATGAATTAAAAAAGTTTGTAATACAATATTTATTTTTATCGTTTTAATTACATCATTTGAATTATTAAATTAGATAATATCAAAACCTTAAAAATACTAAAACAATTCAAAAAGAATGATCATTGTTCTTCCAATTCAATAATAAAATAATCATTTTTTGAAAAGTTTTATTAATTAATTTACATCTTTTAAACATTAAATAGAGTTTGAGATGAATAATTATATTTCTTTTAAAATATTAGAATAATATATAATTATTAATCGGGATGATTGAATACAATATTATTTATTGGAATATCTAAGATAAATTTTGATTATAGCAATATTTAAATCATTCAATTGTTTGTTCTATTTCAGGTTTTTTTTTAATAAATCTACTGAGAAGAACTATTAAACCAGAAACTACTAAAATACCAGATATTGCTATTGTAAATACAATTTCATCACTAATTTCATCATTATCATTGGTATTTGATTTTTAATTAATGTTGAAGATTTTTTCATCTTTAACTTAATAAATAACAGATAATTATTCTCTTTTAAATTGAGCCTCAAGTTATCTTCTTCTAGTTTAATTCATAGCTGGTTTTGCTTCAGAATTAATAATAAACTAAAATTCTGAATATGGATCAAACAATCCAGTTTTCCAAATAAATCCAAAAGTAGTAGCAACTCCTTTTTATATGAAATAATCTAATGTTAAATTGTAGGATTCTGAATTTTAAATTACATATGCTTCCTTATAATTAATTTAAAAATTAGATAATTCTGGATCTGAGATAGTTTAAACAACGGTTAATTTATTTTAATTAGCATTAAGATTTTATGAAACTGTTTCACTAACAACAAAAACAGGTCCAACTTGAACATCTGAATTATCTGGAATTGAAAGAGCTTAAGTATATTAAGAAACACTTTGAGTAGCTCTCTCAACAGAGATTTATCCAATAAGAATTGCCATAAATTATGTAATTTTAGAATTAGTTAAGGCAACTCCAAGATAACATTAATAAACATAAGCAGATGTAGTTGTTATTGATTCACAATTAGTTTAAACTTAATTTAAAGGTAAATATATTTTTAATGAGTCAGGAATTTATGAAGTTAATGTGTATTATATTTAATTTCTATCTAAAATCATTTAGATTGAAGAATCTTTTATACCTTTTGTAAAATAAATCTTTGGTATTAAACAATTAGCTAGATTAAAATTATATTTAAGTGTAACTACATATTATCCATTCTCTATTGCACCTGTAGTTGATGTTATGAAATTTTAATTAATTAAACTTAAATCACAATTATCTGATAAACATATATAATTGTATAGATAATGTTTATCATTACATTAGATGCAAAATCCTTTATCACATAATTTACAATTCGGATTGCATTCTTTACTTATAATTAAACCTGTAAAATAGGCTCCTTTTTAATTTATTTTAATAGAAAAATTTGATGATTATAATTGAATTGCTGCTCGACCTAAATCATTATAAATTTATAATATTCCAGTATTTTTGTTGTTATTGATATCTATATCATATGTATTAAATGTTGGTTAATAGAAAGTGAACAAAAAATTTACTGTTTCACCTGTATTAATTTCAATATTCTATTTAGAACACAACCCATTTTCTGGTATTAAATAACATTCAAGCCATTCTATATCATCTCCTGAGCAAGTTGTAGCTTTAATAGTATTTTTATTTTCACAATCGATCCATCCATCATTTTCTAATTATATTATTAATTAGTCTGTGGCTGGATATATCTGATTACTTTTAACAGATAAAGTGAATAAAGACAAGATTAGTATTGGTAACATTTTAATAATTAAATTTTTAATATTTTGTTATTCAGGTGACTTGAATTTAAAATACTATACTATAATATGAAATTCACATTGCTTTTAATAGTTGAATTAAATCTATTTGTGAATTAAGATAATAATTAGCATATGATGGTACAAGACCCTACGATACTGAGAAATGATTAGCATTCTAATAAGTAAATAAATTTGTTACCTCAGTAAAATATTTTCTACTTTATGTTATTACCTTAAAATGAGAAAAAACATCTTCATTTTCAATACCTCTTGCTACAACCAAAGCAAAATCTAATTTTCCATTTTAAAGATGTTCTTTCTACATTATCAATTCTAAAATCATTCCTTTGTTTAAATTTTTAGGGCAAACTTCAACACAATTAGATTTTACTATCAATTAAAAAGTTGAATAACGATCAACAATAGTTTATACATTTTCAACAAGATCTTAAATTAATTGTTAAGCATATTCTTCTTAATTTTTTAATTACCAACATATTGAACTTTCTTTAACTTCTACAACAGCTCCTTCAGTTTTTGTTGCATATTAATTGAATACTTTTTTTACTTATGATAAACATTAATAATCAATATTAAACAATGCATTCCATTAATTTAATTCCGATCTATATAAAAATCCATTTTCTGCAAATAAATTAACATTCTATCCATTAAAATTTGATTATAATTCATTATATAGTCCACTTGAAATAACATAAACTTTATTTGTTTTTGATAGTTCTTTTAAGGCTTACAAAATATCTTATTAAACTTATCTAATTACAATTACCTCTTCATTTCCTTTCATATGAGGACTTTATTATAAAAAATGATGTGGTTTATAATCAATAACATATTGGTCATTAACTATGGATTCAAATTCTAAAATTATTATTCCTTTTATTGCTTATTAATATGCTCTAGCCACTTATTAAATATCTAAATTTTAAAATTTCATATTATGAGCTACTTTTATTTATTAACCATCTTTATTTCTAACACTAATCTAAGCAAATTTAAGCATTGAAGCAGCTTTCTTTGCATCAATAAAAATATTTTCTATCCATTAAGATGTTTAATTCTATCGAATAATTTATTAATCTTTTTCAACCTATATTTTATGAACTTAAGTAAATTAATAAGACTTTTTCAGTATTTTATCTAATAAATCATAAAATTTCTCTTTAAAATCTTTATGTGAAAATACGTTAAACGTTGAAATAGAGTGACAACCTCTATGAAAACAACTAGAATCACTGATTAAAGCTATAGGCATAGGATTTAAATGAATATACTCTAATAGATAAAAATCGTGTCTTCCACTATATCTACATTAAAAATATAAATTGGCTTTACTGAACTCTTCAAAACGTTATTTAGAATCCATATCTTCCTCAATTAATTTAATAAAATAATCTTCATTATTTGGATATAATATTTAATTAATCTATTAAATTTGATTTATTAATTATGATCTTTAAATTTATACATCATTATCTTCAAATGCTTTTAATTATATTTAGATAAACTTAATATGAGGATTTTTTTGAATGATATCAGTTTCTTTAATAAATTTTAAAAGATGTCTAAATTTTAATTCTACACCTGATTGATGTCCATAAGTGTCTACTCCAACTATTCTTATTTCATTTTCTAATAGATTTCTTTTAAATTTTCCATCAAATCTATAATCTCCACATGCTTTAATTTCTATACCAGGATTCTATAATTTAACATAAATTTCTCTGCCATAATAATGAAATGCTAAATTCCCCTTAAATGAATGATATTCTATCTAATAGATATCCTTCATAATAGTTAAGAATTCATTAGCAGTATCATAATTACTAAAACAAATTACATTAGCTTGTAAAAAAGAATTAGTTATTTCAGAATAGAATGGAATTAATTTGAGATTATCAAAATGAGGAAATAATCTATTATAAAATATTACTATAGGTAGTCTAGTAAATTTATGACTTACAAATAATTAGCTTAAATATAATAATCGATAATCTGCTATTAAGGCAATAGAACTTTAATTTATATATGGTTTAATTTCTTAAAAAAAAGAATCATTCATCTTTTTAAAACATTCTTACATATGTTCTGAATATTCTAGAGCTGCTAATTTTGTAATACTAACATCATTGTTCATAATTGGTTAATATAATTTTGTGCAGAATTCTTAATTAAAATATTCTAAACAATCTGAATCAACATATATGGGAACAAATCCATGTTATTTTAAATAAGCTTTTAATGATTCACTTGTGTCATTAATTTTCTCTCCTTTTTCATTTAATACTATTGGAAGACCAAACCATGTTCTATTGAATTATTATGCACCAAATAAAAGATGTAAACTAAAAGAATGTTAAAAATTTCTTTTTTCATATTATCCATCTTCTTTTTTTATCACTACAATAGGAAGATAAAAAGTTGATATAAGTAAAGAATCTTCATCACTTATTCCTATTAATGGATCTTCATTAACTTCATATAAGATATCATTCTAATTGAAATTTTTCAACTATCTAAATTTTGGATTCTCATTATATTATTAATATAACGATTAAAAATCACTATCTTTGTTGATTTCAACTATAGGCTTTTTCTTTTCATTATCTGATTCTGATGATTCTGAATCATTTTTACCAGCTATTTCTCTTGCAAAACTATCAAATCCTTCTACAGAATCTTCGGAATCATCATTAGCTTAATCAAAAGGATCAAATTAATCACTCATTCTTGTTCTTGTGACTTTACTTAAAACTTCTTAATTTAAACACACACTAGATTTAAATCTTTTCTCTATAAACTCTCTGCCTTCATAATTATTCCACTCTGCTGTCAAAGCGACTTTCCAATATCGGCATCGATATTTACGATTTTATGGCAATTCTTCCCAAATTGTTTTTCCATTCTCTATTATCACAAATTTGAATTCCAGTTTTGTTCCTTCAATAATGTATCCCTTTTACCTCTCTAAAATATTATAGGGTTTTCAGTCACCCATTTTGGAAATGATGCTGGTTCTGTTTTTAAAATGCATGCTTTCTTCTCATTCCAACTTCCTAACTCTGGTTAATTACCTACCACTCCAACTATCTAAGAAAGCGATGTTCTCACTGTTACATTGAATACCACTGAACACTCAGTACTCATTTTAAATAATTAATGTAATCATATATCAAGTATTTTAGCAAATAATACTCATTCATCTGAATTTATATAATCTTAAACACATTTCTGTTTATTTTAGTTACAGAATCAAAATATTATTAACTTTTTATACAACTTCTTTTTTAATTATTCATGCTTATAAAATTATTTTAAATTGATATATTTATTGACAAATTTTTAGAACTTCATTTCTTTAATAAAAATATTGAGTTGCTCTCAATAATTAAATTTATTATTAACTTTCTTATTTGTTCTAACTATTTTGTAACTATCAAGAACATTAAAAAAAATGGATGAGCCTAGCTGTCATTACTTTATTAATAAAATAAAATTTATCCAATAATCTCATTCTATTATATATTCTATTTCTAATTGGGATTTAGAGTTTGTCTGATAGAAAAAAAATTATTCTTAGAATTTTTATTTATACCAATTAACTTAAACTATCTTATATTAGTTCCAAAAAAATAATATGCAATTATTGATTTTTACTTGAAATCTATACATAATAATAAAGAAACTTTTGAAAATTTTGATTAATTTATTTTTTAAATAATGATATTATATTTTGTGATATTTGAAATAGTGAAATAAATATATAGCTAAATTAAATAAGGCTGATATGAGAGAAATAAAGAGAATGAAATTTTTTAGATAAGAATGAAAAATGATTGAAATATGAAAGAATCATTTATTTTATAATTTTTCATTTTTTGCTGATAAAATAAGTTTAAGTTCTTCACCACTGGCTGAAAAAGGTTATTAGCTTCTGTAGATAGGAAGTTCAAAATTTGAATTGTAATGGCTCTCATTAGTAATATGATGTTATTGAACATTCTTCTAACATTTAGTAACAGGTTCATCAATTGATCCTTCGAAGACATCAGGTTCAATAAGATGATTAGGATTTCTATTGTTACTAAAAGATTGAATAATATATTAAATTACTTCTGCTACAATTCACTATCCAAAGAGATGGCTTCATCTGAAAATTGATTTTGTTTGACTGCAAGTTTCTTAATGAGAATTTTGCTATAGGATTCCCAGGTTTTAAATAGAATGAGAACTGTCAAATAATCATGGAGAATATTGAAATTTGCTTTGAGTTATAGAGCAGAACTAATATTTGTTCTTTCGATATTTCTATTTTTTCGATAATACATAAGACGAAGTTATGTTTCTTTATTATATTATTTAATTTATTTGATAGAATCTGATGTGCCTTCTTTGAAAACTTCAGAGTGAAATTTAACTCTAAATAATTCATAAATCAATTAATTATATTAAATATAGCCATAATGATCACTAGATATAGATTGAATATTACCATTTTAATTTGAATGATGATGCAATTTTAGCAACATCCCATAAGTTTTCTTCTTCACTACCTCCTAAAGGTTTTCCAATATCTAAGAGAAAACGACATAGAAATTTATAATGCATAGTTTATCCTTATGTTTCTGAGGAATATTTGCACCAAATAGTTTTAATTTTATCAATATTTTCTACATAAGTTTGTATAGGTGAATTTTATAATTGGAAGAAGGATTCAAATTATTCAACTAAACTTAATAAAAATAGAGTAAGTAAAACATATGTTGAAAAAAACATGAATAAAAAGAAATAAATTTAACTATAGAATGTTCCACAATATTTTGGATCTTCCCAACATAATGGATTATAATGCATAGTATCTGTCATAATAGTTCTCCAATCATCACCAGATGCACATTTAAATAAAGTCATCATTCCACTTGCTGCATCCATAAAATTTAATTAATCATCTAATACTAAACCTGCATCTATTGTTCCATATAATTAACAACCAAATAAAGCAAATACTAACATTGTAATTATTAAAATTGAAAAAATCTTTCCTAAATATGGTAAAGCAAATAAAATAACATTTATAAGTCTTTATAAATTTATAAATCCTTAAAAGATTAAAATTATTCTAAGACTTCTTAATGAAAAGAACAATCTTAATAATTAATAGCCTTAATCATTTGGAGTTGATTTATAGTATATCATTATCCAATCAGCTGAATAATCTGCAATCAAATCTATTGCTGCTATAACAATTAAGAAAAAATAGAATCTTCTCCATAAATTATCAAAGAATCTATTTACTCCTAATGCTAAAAATAATAATAAAACCCAAATAAAATAAGTAACACTCAAACCATTATGAATATCATTTATTGTTCTAAAATATTCATCTGACATTGTAGATGTAAACATTAAAAGGATCACAAAATCTACCCACAATAAAAAAAATAAGCATTTCTATATCGTCATACTATTTGTAATATCTGATGCAATTTTCCTGATTCCACTTGTTGGAGGAGTAGAAAAAGTAGGAAAATCATTTATCAACATATCTGAAATCTTTTTGAATTCTTTTTATGATTAAGTTACTTCACTATTCTCAATCTCTTATTAATTCTTTTTTAAATTTGTATACAGAACTCCTGTGAATAGACTTAAGAAAAACATTGATCCTATGAAAACAAAAAGCAAAAAGAATATATATGTAACTATATAAGAATTAAATCCTTATGGACCTATTTCAGCAAATTAACTGTTCTCAGCTACTTAATATATTTCACCCCATCCATCTAAAGTTGCTGTTACAAATAATGTTGGAACTGCTATTGTAATATTATCAAAATTATGTTTATAGTTAACCCATATTCTACCTTCTTTTAAACATGTTTCTTTATTTACTTCAAATTACATCTTATCTTCACAATATCCAAATTATTATTCATATAAGATTATTCCATAAACACCAAATATCACCCAAACAGATAAAAGTGTTATTACAACATTAAAAATATCAAATAATGATCTACCTATTGCTTCTCTTAAATTTGTCAACCAACTTAATCGATACATTAATTTCATTGGTCTAAAATATCCTAAATAAAGTAAAATTTTTAAAATTGGCTTAAAATCATCTGGATTACTACCAAATGCAATTATATTTGAAACTTAATAGATGAAATCTAAAACTTAAAATGTTGATACTAAATAAGATCCTGTATCCATAAATAAACCTTTAGAAATTACATTAAATATGGTATCAGCTAATTAAATGATATTACATGAAAATTATATTGTATCTGGATAGGATTCACTATCTTCTTCATAATCATTGTAAGTTTTTAATATAAATGCTATTATTGACAAATAAGTAACTATGTCCATCAAATATATATATATTAATGAACTTGTTAAATGAGTGCAAACTATACGAACAGGATTATCTTTCTCAAATATAAACAAAGATTATTCACATTCTATTCCTTCATATAATTTTGGAGTTCTTGATAATAACTTCTTATTTATTTATTCTAAATTATAATATTTATAAATTTACTTATTGATTTAATAAGATTGTATATTAAATTTGGTTTAGATTTACCAGAATCTTCTTAGGAAATATTTTTATTTGAAACTATTATTTCTTCAACTGTTTCTGCCAAATTCATTTAAATTTCATCTGAATTTTAAGTTATGTGTTATAATTGTTCATTAATATTTTTTTTCATTTCATTCTAAATTTCTTCAATTGGTTAATCTAAATACTTTCCAAAACCATCTAGTAATACTGCCATAACCAAACCATAAGTCAGATAATTTAAAATCAAAACTAAAGAAAAAGAGTAAATAATTGAAAAAGTATGATCTACATCACTTCCAATTACATAAACTCCATACCAATCATCATTTGTCATAATGTTAAATATAGTCATAAAGGACTTAAATATATTTTCATAAGAATGCAATTAACCTAATGAATCTAATTAATCAAATTTTCCAACAAACATTTCCATACCTATTAAGGCATACATAAATATGACTAAAAACATTAAGAATGTCAAATAAATATATTAATCGAATGTCATAGAAGCTATATGACCTATTGTAATAGCCATTTTATTATATTTTAGACATCTATAAAATAATAAACATTTAGTTCCTCTAATCAATCTTAAATTTTGTTCACTTAAAGTTGTCATATAATCACTCATTATTAGTTCAAAAAAGTTTAATGTCACTATAGCAGACTATAATATCAAATCTGCTGATCTTAGTAAGTCTTTTAATTTAAAACCTAAAAATCTCATTACTAATTCACAACATAATAAAATTGTTGATATATCCTCAACTGTTGAGATTATAGATATATCTACAATACCTTAAAGAGATAAAAATGTAAAGTTAATAAGAATTACTAAATCAAAAAAGAATTGGCTAAAATTACTTGTAACAATTATATAAGTATATTTTTACGACATTATGTATAATCCCTTAAAACCACTTATCCAAATGATTATATCTACTCTATTGAGCATCATTAAAATTGAATAAAACTTTTTCAATCTTATTTTATTTATTTCTAGAACATCTTTTCCTGACCAATTATGTTTACTAATAGTTTTTTAATTTTAATATTCCTTCATTCTCATTCCCTCATATTTAAATTAATTAGAAACAACATTATGATTAATTATTGGTATTTTTTAGTTAATCTTTTCTTAAACTCCTTCATAGTTAGTGTAATAACCTTAAATGTAAACATAAGGTTTTCCATTTTTAGAAATAGCAAATGTTTTATAAATAATATCACAAGTACCTGATTGAGCCAATTTAGAATTTTTATCCACTTATTTATCAAATTAAATTAAAGAATCAGCTGAAGACTCTAATTTTTTCTAAAGCATACTCATGAATGGAGATGAAGTTTTACTTTTGGTAGGAAAAAATGATTTATTTAAAGTTGTTTTAGTAAATTAATTTTACTTCTTTATTTTAACGAGATGGTATATCATTTTAAATTTAGTGTTTCTAATTTTATCAATATTGAAATTCTTTTCTTATTAAATAATATCTTATTAATCACTAAAAATAATGAAATATATTAATTTACATTAATTTTAATAAAATTTCATTTTAAGATGTGAAATTTTATTTGATTTGTTTATTAACTTATGGTTATAATCGTGAAAATTGTATTCCTTTAAGTTTTTCAATAACTTGCATATTAAATTCATCTTCTGTATAATTTTTTATTTTAATATTTTTTATTAATCCATCTAAATTATATAATTTTGGTAGTAGAAATCTTTTCCATGTAAAACTTGTAACATAATCAACAAATGGTAATTTGATAATTCCACTTTCTAATTGTTTTTATCTTGCAGATAATGTTCTGGTTGTTTAATATGATTTTTTAAAACTAGATGGATCTTCAATTTATTATTTAATCAATGATTTTTCATTTAATATAGTTCTATAATTTTTGATTACTTTGTAAATTCCAATTTCTCTTAGATGTGCAACATCCAAAGTTTCAAGTAAATCTCTTTCTGGAAATTCTTCTTCTTCTTTCAATCTCTTTTAAATTTCTTATTCTTCCTCATGTTTTTTATTTTCTTCTGTAGCTTCAGAATAATGTACCTTCAAAACAGCAATAACTATATTAAATCCAAAGAATCCACCAATAAAAATAATTAATAAATAATAAAGCCATATCCATGGATGAAAGATTCTCATTGTAAAAAACATAACCCAACTCCAATCATCCATTGTTATTGTTCTCAATATTTATCCTAGAGATCCAATGAGATTATTAAAAGATGTTGGCATTTTAGGTGTAAATTCACTATACATACATTTCATATCATCTGGACACCTATCTTAATGACATTAAATCCAACCATCAGTCTCATCACCATTTTCATATTAACATCTAAAATTAAATAAACCTTAAAATAAAAATATTCCCATTGATGCAAAAATTAAAGAAAATAATATCACTATCATTAATGCTTCTATTAAAAATTTAAAAGACTGTTTCAATGCTGTCAACATTACATTCAAACCTTAAAAAATGTTTGTCAAATACATCAAAAGTGTTACCAATCTTAAAGGAGATACATCAATTATAATAACTTCTGGATAATAGATATTCATGGCTGTAAAAAAAATCAAAACAAAATCATAAATGTTTTCCATATTTCTAAAAAATGCATAGTCATTAAAAAATATTCCACTTGCTATAATTCTTAAACCAATTTCAGAAATAAATAATATCATTACTATTTCTTCTATTTGATCTGTATCGGTTCTTCCATTGGTCTTAACAACAATATATAAAACAACATTAAAGAGAATCAGAAAGGTCATTAAAAGCTTAAATAAAAAATTCTCAACTATTTTCCTTGCTATTATTGGGATACTGTAAATAGAGAATAAAATATATTTCCTTATTTATAGAAAAGGTAAGTTATCGTTGTATTTCTAAATATAACAAAATTTTACTTATAATTCATAATTCAATCTTTCTAATTCTGATAACTTGACTAATCTTACATAATAGGGATCCTTTAGTGTATTCCTTTAAATTAATTTTTTGTGTCTACGTATGATTTTCTCATATTCTACATCATTAAAATATTCTGGTTATGTTTCTTATTATTTTTATTGATTAAAAGCATTTAATAGATTACTAGCTATACCTGGTTTTTCTGGTTCTGGTTCTGATTTTTGTTATTTGTTTTGTTTATGAGAAGAGGATTTTTGTAACCTTGCATAAAAATAGATTGATTTATGTAAAGTATGTTTGTTGATTCTATCTTCAATTAGGTCTTCTCTTCTGATACTCTCAAGGGAGTATTCTGATATTTTTTAATTTTCGAAATCATTCTCATAATTGATTTCTTAAGGAAACTTTTAGCTTAAATATATTAAAAAATTACTCTTCGAATTGAACTTCATTTGATTAGATATTTCGGTTTTAATAAGGTCGTTTATAATCTTCCCTGCTTGTTTAGTTTTACTTCTATGGAGTTTCATAAGGATGAGAAGGACTACTAATAATAAGCAATATAAGTAACTTATCAAATGAGAGATTACCATTTTAATTCTAAGGAGAATTTTGGTTCTTTTTTAAAGGCTAAACTTAATTATCTTTTCTTTCTTTTTTCATAAAATTAAATATTATATAAATAATTTTATATGACACCACTCTTGGCTAACAAATAGTTCATCCTTATTGAAACTTATAATAACTATATTATTCTTTTGAATGACAATTAAATAACAATAAGTGTGAAAGTTATACTTTTAATTTAAATATTTAGATTAAATTGATATTAATATTTAATATCAAAAATTTTGTATAGTAATTTCTTAAAATTCGTGTTAAGAAATTTACAGAAATACATAGAAATATAAGATTATTAAGATTCACTAAAATTCATTCCTTAAAACAAAGAAAAATTAAGTATAATATAATTAAAAAGAAAACTGAAAGACATTTTATCAATTCTTCATTTATTTTTCAAATTTAGAACAATTGAATTATATAATCGTTTCAGTTATGACATTTTCTACATGACTCATTTTTTATACAAATTATTTAGAAGATTTTGCACACTTATTACAGAGGCGTATCATATTTCATCTAAATTTCAAAAAGTTAAAAATAACAACAAATATTTATAAAAAGACATATTTATGTAAATTAATTACAATCATTGCTGAGTGCAATCAAATAGTATTACATTTATTGCAATTTGTAAGATCCCCATCACAATTTTCATAACAAAAAAAAATTATAAAATGAATCAAAAACTATTGTTGAATTTGATGATGGTTCTCTTTTATGAGACAAAATCTTATAGAGAAATTTATACAGATTTTTCAAATTAATTAAGTCATTTCACATAATTTTATAAAACTTGATGAAGGGATTTAAATAGTATTAATACAAAAACATATACTCTCTTAATAGTTATATGAGGATTGCTTACCTATGATAGATATTCCAAAAATATTCATAGAGTTTAGCTTAAAACAATATCCAATCATAATTGTTTATTTTTATAAAACATATTATGAAAATTAACATAAATGACGGTTATGGACTTGATAGCAATTTTTCTTCATTATATACTTATACCACAAGGCGATTCTTTTAGTGTGATTCCTTCTGAAAAAGAATTTATTTTTGACATATTTAGAATAAATTGTTGGGGAAAAAGATATTTAATTGATGCTTATTGATAAATAAAAATATTAATCGATCGATTACAAAGAATGTAGAATTTCTTACTAAGATACAAATACAAATAAAAAATTGAAATTATTTAACAAAGATTTGTAGATTTTGTAAATTTGGATAAATTGGTATATTCTCCAAGATTGCTATCAACAATTCTTGATTTTTAAAACTGATACGTTGAAAAAAGAAATATAATATGGTAATGTATACATAACAAGTTGATGGAAAATAACCTGTAGATTTGAAAAATTACAATAATTTTTTGCATCGAGAAAAGAAGAAGATCAATGCAAAAAAGCACGAGGTTAAAAATGGATGCGATTTATTAAATTGACAAAGATTTAAATTTAATATTATAACATGATTTTTTATTTAAATCAGATGGTTCAGAGATAAGAATCGTATGTCATAAGTTGTTGANTAATATAATTAAAAAGAAAACTGAAAGACATTTTATCAATTCTTCATTTATTTTTCAAATTTAGAACAATTGAATTATATAATCGTTTCAGTTATGACATTTTCTACATGACTCATTTTTTATACAAATTATTTAGAAGATTTTGCACACTTATTACAGAGGCGTATCATATTTCATCTAAATTTCAAAAAGTTAAAAATAACAACAAATATTTATAAAAAGACATATTTATGTAAATTAATTACAATCATTGCTGAGTGCAATCAAATAGTATTACATTTATTGCAATTTGTAAGATCCCCATCACAATTTTCATAACAAAAAAAAATTATAAAATGAATCAAAAACTATTGTTGAATTTGATGATGGTTCTCTTTTATGAGACAAAATCTTATAGAGAAATTTATACAGATTTTTCAAATTAATTAAGTCATTTCACATAATTTTATAAAACTTGATGAAGGGATTTAAATAGTATTAATACAAAAACATATACTCTCTTAATAGTTATATGAGGATTGCTTACCTATGATAGATATTCCAAAAATATTCATAGAGTTTAGCTTAAAACAATATCCAATCATAATTGTTTATTTTTATAAAACATATTATGAAAATTAACATAAATGACGGTTATGGACTTGATAGCAATTTTTCTTCATTATATACTTATACCACAAGGCGATTCTTTTAGTGTGATTCCTTCTGAAAAAGAATTTATTTTTGACATATTTAGAATAAATTGTTGGGGAAAAAGATATTTAATTGATGCTTATTGATAAATAAAAATATTAATCGATCGATTACAAAGAATGTAGAATTTCTTACTAAGATACAAATACAAATAAAAAATTGAAATTATTTAACAAAGATTTGTAGATTTTGTAAATTTGGATAAATTGGTATATTCTCCAAGATTGCTATCAACAATTCTTGATTTTTAAAACTGATACGTTGAAAAAAGAAATATAATATGGTAATGTATACATAACAAGTTGATGGAAAATAACCTGTAGATTTGAAAAATTACAATAATTTTTTGCATCGAGAAAAGAAGAAGATCAATGCAAAAAAGCACGAGGTTAAAAATGGATGCGATTTATTAAATTGACAAAGATTTAAATTTAATATTATAACATGATTTTTTATTTAAATCAGATGGTTCAGAGATAAGAATCGTATGTCATAAGTTGTTGAATTTTAGTTTAAATAGGAGGAGGTAAAATTATTAATCTAATTTATAGAGCTTTAAATTAATTAGATCAGCGTATTAAAGTTTAATACCTGTTAATGAATTTGCATTCAAAAATTTTACAGTCATGAAACATTCTATCCCCTGATTTCTAGAAATAATATTAAAACATTCTTGAATTAAGAGATTCATTTATATAATGAAATTAATAAATATATTTATATGTAAGGATTAATCGACATAGAGCCAAAACAATATTTAGATTTTATTCTATAAGAAGGGAAAGTAGGGTAAACAACACTAAATATTTTCAATTTGACTTCAAATAAATTAGCCTTCAAAGTAAGAATAAGATTATCACAAGATAAAAACAACAAGTCCAAATTTGTTTTAAGTTAAACCTACTGTAGGTATTATTGAAGGAAATGATAAAGTGTGCATAGATATCAGCACATCTATATTACTAAAAGAGGATAGTAAATTGGAATCAAAATTTCAAATAAACGCGTGTATATTAGAATAAGACATATAGGGTAAATATATATATATATACGAAAGATCTGGGTATATTTTGGAGATAATAAGATGCATAATTAATTTAATAAGTATAAGTAAGAAGTAGGATTAAACCTGCTGAAATACATCAGGAGAATATACCATAATAATAACAATAATAGAATGAAGTATAAGAAATTCATGAAAATGTGGGTTAAATGTATTAATCGATAATTGATACATCAAGTAAAGAGAAAGATGAGGAGATATAGAAATATTAAGAACAAGTTGTTTAATTGGTATGTATAATTTTTGAGATAATTTTAGTCTTAAGATGTTTCTAATTATTAATTAATGTTAAAGAGTGTGAAAGAATAGGAAGTGGCTATAAAACATCATGGTATTTATAATGAAGAATAATATATAAGGAAACAAATTTGAGTTGAAATAAGTGATGATAACAGCATTAATATCGTTGATTTTGGGTTTTATATTTGGGAAATGATTAATAAAAATTATAAATTAAATGGGAACAATTACTCTAGGAAATTGTTAATGTTAATGTTACATTAATTATGTTTCTTGTGATTGTTCTTGTGATTAGAATGAAATCCGTACAATAAGAAGCAATCGATTTACAGAATAATCAACTAGAAATCGTTCTAAGAAGCGTTCTCCTGGAGATTCATCTGATCGATAATCTAAATTTTCATCAACATAGAAACCAACTAGTCGAAGTAAATCATCTAATTCTGATAAATCCATTTATTTATTATCTGATTACTGTAATATCACAACAGAATCATTAAAATAAAGAAAGAAGTCTAAACCTAATCCAACATTTATTAAGTCAAGATCGTTATACATCTTTGATGTTGATATTGATAAGAACCTTTCCAATAATGTTGAATAAAGTTCAACACCTCTTTCATTATCAGACATAGGAACTATTAATAGACCAAAAATGTAAAGTATGGATAAAGGAGTTCTAAAAAAATCAACAGAACAAGTTTAATAAAAAAAATATGTGAAATGGAATTTACCTTAACATTATCTAAGATAAAATAAACAATAACAGTAGGAATTTTATTCATGATTATATCAAACAAATAATCTCAATGCTGGTTACTTCTAAATTTATTTTAAAGTCTTATCCTATTCTTAAGATAAAAACACTCTAGGGTTCTATCGAAGTTATAATTTGCTGCTTATTGGATTTGTAAATGTTGTAATTCTATCACTTATTGGAGGTAATTTTAAAGGTTTATTCATATAATCATAAGGTTAAGCTTTATATTCTTATTATTAAGCAGGAGATATTTAAACTGAATATGATTTATTTTTTTAAGGTAATGGAGAACCTTCTTCTTCTTACTACTCATAACTTTAATCTATTTATGATTAATATAATTCTCTATTTTTTTAAACTCTCTGTTCTTCTCTTTATATTCTCAATTTTTATGCCATCTCTTGATTACGAACAGCTTTACTTTATAAAGAACCTGGTACTGCTCCATCTATGTCATTTGTACATAGCAACCTATCTGCCTCAATTTATCCTCATCAATAATAATTTATATACTTAGGTTGATCATAATAATTCTCCAAAGCACGATATTATTTAATCTCACCTTCAGGAATTACAAAGTGTTTCTTATTTGTTTTCTCAAAGTATTCTTCTCCTTAAGGAATACATATATTGCAAAAATGATGGAAATCATGTTAATATCTTCTTCTCCCAAATTTATAATCTTATTTTGGAATTTTTTGTCTTTCATCACTTTATATTCATTACTAAACTCTTATTTGCTCTTCATATCTCAATTAATGTGGTAACAATCTATTCATGTAACCATTTCTACATTTTGGTTAAGCACCTTAAATATCAACTGTCAAAAGTGAACGATCATATTACATTTTATTATAAAATTATTAAACTTTTTTACTCATTAAAGTACTTATTCTTATTATAAATTAATTCAATCAGTTTTACATCTATTTTCTATTGATTAAGGAGTTTTATATTATTCATTTTTGATCACTATATTTACATACTTAATTATTCTATCACTTAATATAATTTCTTTTATTTTTATGACATTAAATTATCATTTTTTTTTAAAGAAAATGTTATACACAAATATTTAACATTATTTAATCAATAAAAGATAAGTAAGGTTTGTTAAAAAAATTCACAAGTTATTATTTATTCTTCCAATTAGAAGTACTTAATTATTTTGTATTTAGTATTAATTTAAAAATTTTATTCAAAAAAATCACATTTTTCAATGACTGATAAATTTACTTTATGTATTATTTGAGATTATCTTATAAATAAGCAATTAATTTTTCCCCTTCTTTATTATTTTTTGTAATTATGAACTCCAATATAACATATTACCTGGATTTATAAATTTGTTGATAATTTGAATCTTTTAAGTTAATTATTATAGAGAAATACAAAACCTCTATATTCTTGGAGTTTCATAAAGTGCTTTTGATAGATGAATATTTATTTAATCAAGAAATCTTTTCTATTTAGTTGGCATAAGCATCTCTATATTAATGAAAGCTTTTAGCATCAGTTTTGAGTGAATTAATGATCAATTGCAATGCAAAACCTTCATTAAATTCTATCTATTATAAAAATAATCTATCAATTTTTAAAAAAATAATAAAATATTATTGTAAATTTCTTATTTTCCTGTTTTAGTTCTCTAATTTATATTTTCTTATTTGACAAGAACTCTTTAAATTCGTACATTTATATCAGAATATTTTAAATTCAGGAAGTCTACATTTTAGAAGTCTTAAATCACAAAAATGATATTTTATTTCAACAAATACAACATTTTCCTCTAACTTAGGAATTTTAAGTCATATTAATTGATTGTTTTTACATTATTTTATGTTTGTAAAAATTATATATATAAATTTATATTTTTAACGAATGTAAAAAAGAGATAAATCTCCAATCATACATGTCAATCTAATGAAAGAAAACATTCATAGCAAACCACATTCACTTAATAAAAATAGCTAATCGAGTAAAGCTAGTCTTAATTTGGTTAAAGTATTAGCAACAAGAAGATCTGATATGAATTCACTTTGGGAACCTCCTGAAGAATCAAAATAACATTCAAATAGATTTGATAATTATTTTTAAAGACATTCAACTCGAAGATCAAATGTTTAAACATCTAGAGAAAGAGAAAGAGATTTCTCAGATTCTCCAAATCAATCTCCATCAAATTACTAATGCATTAAACATAATAATAAAACTTAATAAAGAAAAAGGACAGCATAGTTCTTATGCTGTATACCTAAATGCGATACTCATTTATTGTGTAGAGAATGTAAATATAAAATTTACTAATGTAAACATGATTAAATTGTAAAATTGAATGAATTTATTGAATAACCAATTTTAATTTTTCTAAAGAAAGATAATTCATAAAATGAATTAATTGGAAATCTGATTCTTTAACAAATGTAATTATTTCATGTAATTCAATTTTAATTATTTAGAAAGTTAAACATCAAGCAGAATAATCAAAATTACAATTATAAGAATACTTAGAGAACATTTAGGATTAATTAAAAATGAAATGTTAAGTTATATAAGCTGAATTCAATGAAAAAGTTGATGTAATTTAATTTAATATATAATAAGTTTCAAATAAAATAAATTAGAAATGATATAGATTAATTGGTTTAAACAAGTTTAGTCTATAAAGACGATTTTGATAACAGACTAAATTAGAATGAAGATTTCATTGAATCAATAAAACTGTTTAAATAATAAAGTGAAGATCCTTATGAGTAAGTAATGAATTAAGTAAATTTATTATAACAAAATCTTAATAAAATTCCTTAATTAAATTCGGTTGTTCTAGAACTGAAAACAGATATATCACTAAAAGATTTTAGTTATAGCAAATTGATAATCTGATTGACTTATATAGATATATACATAATTAATCAAAATTTTAAATCTTCCTCATTATATGCCTCCTCCTCTATATCTTAATAGGCTTACTGTCTAAGCGTTTATTTGTGCTATAAAATATATGAAAAATAGTATTTACTTTAGTATATGCTTAATTGAAATCATCTTCAATTTAGCTAGTTTAATCTTCAGCTTAGTTATTTTCATTAATCTTTTTTTAAGGGAGATTTCCTTAAGTGATTACAACATCAGCTTATTGTTCTTCATAAACAGTATGTTATTGTTTTCTATAATCTTTATCCTATTTTGGTTTCTGGGTAAGCTTGTTAAATTGTATCTTTGAACATATAGTCTCTAATTTGTTTATTGATTTTGTTCTTTCTTCTAAAAGATAATATAATTTAGAAAAATCTCCAACTCCTCTTTTAACTATAGCTTTTATCCAATCTAAATATTTTTTAGTCTATTCAGGATAACTTATTAATTTATCCACAATGAAATGCTATAATTCTTATAATTATTCAAGTTATAAAGTATTAACAGATTCTGCTATTCCATTTTTAAGAGTTCTTTCTAAGGCATATTCTAGATAAGTCTTATCTTTTGCAATCAATGATTATTTAAGTACATTAATCATGTTTTATTCACTAGTAATCTTTTTTGGCTCAATGTTATCTTATTTCAAATCAGAATTTTGTTTATTAAAATATGCAAAGTCATAAAAAGCAATTGGAGTTGGATTTGAATGTGATTTTTCGTGATGTTATTCCTCTTATTTTGATTGAAGGAGATCATTAAATTTTAATAATTGTTCTTATTGGTATAAGGATTTAAATTTTTAACTTTCAATATTATTTATCTACTTTAATTTAGGATTACTTATATTATCATATACAATTAATAATCTTTCTCCTTGCAATACAGATTATAAGTTATTTAATTTAATCTCATATTATTTATTCAATTCCTTTTCAAAAGCATATCCAATAATACTGTCTTAATTCCAAAATAAAATAGTAGTCTTTTTAGGCATATAAAATAATTCGTAATTTTCATAAGTTTATACATCAATAGATAATATTGGTTCTGGACTGTCTCCTAATTTGAATATTTTTAACAAACCCTCCTTTCCTAAAACAGAGAAATAATCTTTAGATAGATTATTTAATTTGATTATTAAAGGTCCTTATTGATTGATTTTATACTTAGTTTCTACAACCTAAAAGTATGATAATAATATTTTACATCATTTTCTAAATTAATTAAAACAATTTTTTAACCATATTAGACCAAGACATAAAATTATAAAAGAAATAAGGATCCTTCTTTTATAAGTTATGTTAATTATCTAGAATAGAGAAATTAAAATGTTTTGATATTAGTTTATTTTAAGAATCCATCTTAACCTAAAGATAGTAACATTCCATCCTTAAGTATTCCATTTAAAAATGATCCTGAATGAACTTAGATGGATTCATTTTTATAATATAATTTTCCTTGTTTATCTCCTATTACTAATTCATTATCATAGTAATCAATAAATGAAATTTCAGAATCTCTAAAGTTGATTTGTTTCTATTTGAAATTCTCCAAATCAATTATATTGATCATTGTTCTAAAGCTTTAGATCAACAAGAATTTCTAACAAGATGACAATTTTATAATTTCTTTCTCAATTTCCATTAATTAATTTATGATAAAATATAATAATATTCAATGTTATTGTAATACGAACCCTTTTTCTTTCATACAAATTATGTGCTTATCTATCTCTTTTTTACAATTATTTTCTCCGGATTTAAAGATACACATATTTCTTATATCTCTAGTTTCTTAACAGATTGAAATTAATTGATCTGCTTTTGAGTTTGACGAGCCCATTATTTTAAATAAAAATTTAATATTTAAATTAATAACTTATGTTTGCACTATAAATAACTGATTGTAGATTCATTGAAGATGTGGATTAAGTATAGAGATTTGATAATGCAAGAAATCTATGTTTAAAAAGAAGAGGAGAATTCGATACAGTTAATGTGAATTTGAATGTGTAAATAAAAAATTATATTGATGGAGAAGTAATATCTTATTATTAAATAGGATTAATATTTAAGAGAAGTTTAAGTAAAAAGTGATTAAGTGAATTAATAAGTTATGGATGGTATAAAATTATTAGAAGTAATAAAAAAATGAGTTATGTTTAGTAAATAAAAGTACCAACTCATATTGATTAAGAATTGAATTCTGCTTAAAAAGAATTTAAAACTATTGAATAGAAATTAAAATAAACTGAAGAATTAAAAAAATGGGCTATAGAAGAGAATTAGAAATAAAAAGCTAAATTAATAAAACTTGTTGAAGAAATTTAACTTTCAATACTAAGTATAATGATATATAAAACAAAAAGATAAACTTGATGTTCCTGAACCAGATAATAAAACTGGAATTATTTTTAATTGGGTGATAGGTTGTTTAATTAAAAAAAAGAAAGGACCAATATAATTAGCAGAAGAACTTAAATTAAAAGTTGAAAAAATTTAATTATAACCTGAATCAATAATAAATTAACCAGCACCTCCTTAAAGTGGAGGAATATTTGCTTGTGGAGGTAGAAAACCATTATAAAGTTCAAGACCAATAAAAAGAGTTGCATTATCAGAAGATGAATCAAAAATGTATGAAAATTTATTTGCTTGGAGAGCAATTAAATAATATATATTTCATTAAGATTTTAAATTTTAAGATAAAGTTACTTAATTTATATAAGAATATGATAAATTAGAATCCTTTTAGATTATGTTAGTAGATGAAATGGTTTCAGAAAAAAAAGAAATAATAAAAGGAATATTTGATATTGATATTAAAGATTAAGCAAGAATTCTTATAGAAATAAATGAAATAATATTATATTTGTTGAAGGAAAAAGAGAATGAAGAAGCTGAAAAACTAAAAGAGTAAGGAATAGAATAATTGGATTAAGGAATAAGATAAAAAGAAGTAGAAATAGAGATTATGTAAAAAGAAAAATCTTATCACGCTGCAAAAGAAAAAAGAATTTCTAATTTAAAAAGCACTTTTTCATTACTTTTTGCAACAAGTTAAAAAATATCAGATTTTGCTAAAGAAAAGATGGTCTCAAATGATTAAGTTATTGCATAAATTGAAGTTATGAAAACATAAGGTTTATCAAAAGAATTAAAAGTTAATTAGGATGTGGAAGATGTATATAGAAGAAAAAGATAAGAATAAGAAGAAAGATTATTAAGAGAGTAACAAGAATTAGAAGAAAAAAGAGCTAAGGAATTAGAAGAAAAAAATCTCTAATCTAATTAATCTCAAAATAAAAATTTAGATTCAAATAATAAAGATGAAAATGAAGAAGTAAAATTTACTATATTTTTAGATATAAGTAAATGCAGTAGATGCATAAGAAGTAAAAGCAGCCTATGATGAAGTAGATTCAGATGATGATGATTAAGATGAAAATGAAGAAAAATAAGATTGGATTGTAATTTAATAATTTCTATTATTATTAGGTACTTTCTACTGATTCACAAATTATTCATATTTAAAAAACTCTCTTTCCTGATAAAGTTAAAACTTAAGAAAATAAAAATCTTGCTAAACAAAAAAATTAAGGGGAGTCTTTAAAAACTTTAATGTAAAAAAGAAAGAAGAATTGAAATATTTATACAAAATATATTTAATATTAAGGATATAAAAGTGACGTAATTTTGATATTTTTATTTACATTATTATTTATTTATGAAGAGATATACTAATACAGAAGATTCAGCTGAGGATTTAACTACTTATTGGGGAAGACTTAAACATTTTTAGAATATAATAAGTCCTGCGTATTGAATTAAATAATTTTAGCAATATTTTTTATTCTCCTCAATAATTGAGTGAATATGGAAAGATTTTAGAAAATGTTGACAAAGATCCATCAATTAGAAAAACATATAATGATCAATAACTATGGAAAATGAGATATGTTGTAGATTCAAATATTCATCCACAATTAAAAGAACCTGTTAACATTCTATTTAGAACATCAACATTTGTTCCTGTTAATGTACCTTTAGCATTTGGATTAGCTGTATTACCACCAACAGTAATTATTATTTTCATTTTAAGCCAATAAATTAATTATTAGCTTAATCTGCTAATCAAACCTATAACTTTATGTTTAATTATTGTAATAGAAATGCTTCTAATGTATTTTCAAATGAAATGTTAGCATGTAAAACTTTTATATATAATTAGTTTCATATGGAGGAGCTGTTTCATCTGCTGTTGTCGGTAGTTTAGGAACATCTTGGTTATTTAAGAAACTTAATGCTCCAGCTCTTCTTATTAGAGTAATTTTTAATCTTATTTTATTTTAAGGCATGTCCATTATTTGGTGTATTGATTGCTAATACATTTAATTTATTCTTTGCAAGATATCCAGATTTTTAAAAAGGAATACAAGTTTTTGATGATGAAACACAAGAACCATTACCAGGATTATCTAAAGAAGCTGGTAATATTTATCGAATACTATTTTAAGCTAAAATTGCATTCTTTAGAACTCTTGTTACTAGATATATTTTACCATTGCCAATGTTTATTCCACCAATTGTTATTTATTATATGAAATAAGCTAGATGCTATCCACAAGGAAAAGCTGTAGGTCTAGCGCTTGATTTAAGTAATTTCTTTATTATTAATCATTAGGTTTATCTGGATTTTTCTTATATTGTGGTCTTTCTGTTGGAATTGGAATATTCCCATAATATCTAAAGGTTAATCCAACTGATTTAGAATCTTAATATCAAAATTTAACAAATAGTAAAGGTAATAAGATTAAAACAATCGTTTTTAATAAAGGATTATGAAAGTTGTATAAAATTATATAAACAATTCATAGATTAATTAAATTATTATAGTGATGAAACTAGTCTAAATGTAAATTAATCTAGTTTCTTCTTAATTCTTTTGTAAATAAATTTCTATTCGATATTATATCATTTTATATATTCAATCAAGGTATTGATTTTAATATATGTGTTGACAATCTTATTTATAATTTTATTTAATTTCAAAAATTTTGGTTGTTTATGAATTGTTTTCATAAGCTAAGAACAATTAAACAAAGAAAATTTTAAATTTCTAGCTTAAAAAATAAACTAGATAAAAGAAATAAAATTTTAAATTTTTTTTATATTCATTATATATTCTTATAAAAGTATTATTTAAGAGATATAAAAAAGCATAATTAATAAATCTATCTGTGAATTATATGGGTAATAGGCCTCAATAATTGCCATAATAAGTCTAAAAGTAGTCTGTACCTTAAACAGAAGAGTAGAAGACGAATAAACCTGTTGTTGTTACTACTGTTATGGAGAAGAAAAAATAAGAAGACAATCTTGAGACAGAATTTTTTAAATTTTTGGTTGATAAAAGTAGAAAAGATAAATGGAAAAAGTATTTTGAAATATAGAAGATCTTTAACATGGAAGACTTGCTTTCTTCTTATTAAATGAATAAAGAAACAAAAACTGGTAAAAGACTTAATGAAGCTGAAATATAAATTCTAAATAACTATCTATTACGATAATAAAGAGCAGATGATGTAAAAATTAATATCAAAGAAATACAAGATTTAAAAATATTTAAATAACCTGAACCTTCAGATTAATTTTATCTATAAATCAGAAACATTTTAATAATAGGAATAACAGGATAAGGAAAATCAACATTTATTAATAGTTTTGTTACAGCAATAGAAAAGGAATTTAAACCTAGAGAAAAAAAATAATTTGAATTAGATTATTTTTAAATCATAAAAATTAAGGATTCTTAAGCATAATCTGATACTAATTAAGTTTCCTCTTATAAATTTACTTATAAAAATTGCTTACTTAATCTAATTGATACACCAGGTTTAGCAGATACTTAAGGTCCTTAAAAAGATTAAGAAAGGATTACATAAATATCTGAATACATTAGAGATGAACTTTATAATAAAAATTAAAAACTTCATGCAGTTTTATTTGTTTCATAGTCATCTACTTAATATGAAATAATTGAGGGTAATCCATCTCTTTTACAATTATCAATGTTAAGTATTTTGAAATTATTTGGAAAATAAATGTGTTAATTTACAAAACATTGTCTTACTTTTTCAGATTTCACAGCTACAAGTACTTAAAATTTTGAGAGTTAGGATTCTATATTTTATTCAATTAGGGAGGAATAAATTTTGATAAAATAAAAAAAAAAAAATTAATTATAGACTAATATAATTCATGAAACAGCTATTCAAAATGAAAGTGAAAACATATTTAATAGTAATAATTTATAAGAAGAAGAAATAGCTAATTAAAAAAAAGAAGAATTTTATTATTAGTTCTAAAACTCTGTATTTAGAGCTGAAAAATAAGGATTCATTGAAAATATACATTTTAAAAAAAATTTTTAAAACTATCAAAATCTATTTGAATTTATATGTGATCCAAATAATGAAGGATTTAGTTTAGATGAAACAACAAATGTAATTTAGGAGAGAGCAACAATTAAATATAAATTATAAGATCTTTAAGGACAACTCTTAATTTTTTTAAAAATTATAAAGTCAATAGATGAAAATACTCGTAAATTGTAGATTTATCAAAACAAAGCAGAAGATACAAAAGGTTATGAAACAAAGCTATTTTTAACAGAATGGGAGAAAAAACCTATTTTTAAACATGGTAGGAAAGCTTACTCAACTAATTGTATGGAATGTAGTAAAACTTGTTGCTTAGCATGTGAAAGTTAGAAATTGTAAGATTGTGTACAGTTGATTGATAAATGGGTGGAAACTAAATACATAAAATATTGTGAATGCGGTCATTCAATTGATTTTCATAGTCAGCAAGAATTTTCTTATCAACCTAAGCAAGGTAATATATTATTCTATCAAAGTTATAAAAACTGAAGTTAATGAAGAGTTAAAGAGTGAACATAGTAATGCTTAAAAAAGTAAAGAAATGATTGATGGTTTACTTAAAGAATAAAAAGAAAAGCGTAAGGCAATAAATAAAGAAATTCTAAATGTCTTAAAAATAATGAAAGATTGTTTAACTCAGTTGTTGTCATCTGCTCTTTATAAACTTGATATACTTGATGTTGAGGCAATCGATTTTGTTTTAAAATTCTATCCAGAATACAAAAATGTTTTACAAGAATTTAAAGATAAACAAGAACTATTAATTACATCTGAAACAAGACAATAAATTAAAAAAGATAGATTGTTGGCATCTAAAACACTTTAAAGTATTTAAACTTAATAGTTTTAAAGTAAATAGTTAAGGAGATCTTGAATAATGCAATTTAATATTTTCAAAATCTTTAAAATTATCTATCCTAAAATTAAATTGTTTTGATATTCAATAATGTTTATGAAACTAACAGTTTTCTGTCTTTGACATCTTTTCTAATTTGTTAACTAACTTTCAAATCATCTTATGTGTAAAATTCTTAAAGAGCTTCTTTATATTCAGGATAGAATCTTAATACAAAATCATAAGCTTCTTCATCCTAAATATCTACTGTATATAATGCTGAAGATAATAGTGTTTCAAAACATTTTTTCATTTAAATTAATGTAATTTTAATATCTTAATGAACATAATTTAAAGATTCTTATAAATTAGCTACAATTTACTTAATTTTTTCATATTAAGATTTTGCATTTTCATTCTCTTTTTGAAGATTTAAATTTATTCTTTTTATTTGCTCAGTTGTAAAACTCCATCGATATTTTTCATTAATATGTTTATCTAATAAACAATTACATGATTAACATATAATTTTATTTTTTAAATGGATCATTTATATACAATTTGATAAATGTTCATTTTTTACTGCACATATTTAACAACAGGTTTTATTACATTATAAACAATTTGTAAAGTAAATTCCTTCTTGAGGTTGAAATTCTCTTTTACATTCTGTTACGAATTCATAAAATTCAAAATTTGATGATTCTTCAATCCTACTTTGATATATTTAGATTTTTCTTATACTATCATTTATCTTATTTTTATTTAGTATCAAATTTTTTAATTTCAAATTTATTTGATCTCTTTCTTGTTTGAGAATCTTTCTTTGGGCAATTACTTCAACACTATTTAAAAGACCAAATCCAGGACTCTTTTTAATTCTTTATGTTATTAATGAATAATTTTCTATATTTTTTTTAATTTGTATTTTTTCAATAAATCCTAATTTTTTAACTGAAAATACAGAATTTTAAAATTAATAATATTACTAATAAGTATCTTAAACATTTATATCAATTTATGTAGAAAAATTAGGATCTTAGAGTTATTTTGATTATTCTTACTGATTTATTTTATTTTCATGAATAAATTACAATTATGATTCAGTTAATGAATGGAATATAGAATAAGGACTCTCAAAATTTAAAGTGTTAGCAGCTGTAAAATCTGAAAAAGAAAGACAATGTTGTGCATATTTACTCATTTACTTTCCAAATAATTTTAATATACTTAGCATTGAAGTCTGTAAAAGAGACAATTTATTATCAATCACTTCATATTAAGTAGATGATTATGATATTATTAAAACAGCATGAAGATTTTGATTATTTTCATAAAGATTGGATTAAAGAAATTTAGCAATATCATCTACAATTCTTTAATCTTTTTCTAAACCCTCTGTATCTCCTAAACCTGGTGTATCAATCAGATTGAATAAGAAATCTTCATAAATAATTTAATAAGAATTAACACTTTAAGTATGAGATTGTACATTTTTGTTATTAGGCTTGTCAACATAAAATCTAAATTGAAAATTTTCATAACTTTTTGAAGTATTAAATCCTTTTAAATATGTAATAAAACTATTTATAAAAGTAGTTTTCCCTTATCCAGTTATTCCAACAATTAAAATATTTTTTATATAATATTACTTATCGTCAATAATTATAATATCATCTGAAATCTTATTATTTTTTAAATATTCTGATATGTAATCGGAAGTGATTAATTTCTATTCTTCAAATTTTGCTTCAGATTCTTTTTATTTTTTTAAAAAGTAATTGTTTAGTAATAGATGTTCTGCTTCATTACATCGTCTTCCAATTTTACTTTCTTTATCTAATCCATATGCAGAAATTAAATCTTCCATTGAAAATATTTCAAATGACTTTAAACATTATTACCATCTTTTTCTTCTATTTTCATCAATTATAAAATTTAAAAACTCATATTCTATTTCTTTCATTCCTGTTAAATTTACTGTAACTGTTTAATTAGAATCAGGCATATTTTCCTTTGTATTAGATTATCCTTGCTAGTTTCCCATTTAATAGTTTTATTATAAAAATAATTATTTATTTATTTTCAAATAATAATTCCTCATTTCGCTTGTCTAAATACTATATTATAAACTATAAGAGGTTGTTAATTAAATCTTTTTGATATTTTCAAAATTTTAATTAAAAAGAATTTTAAGCAACAACCTCTTTTATTTCGATTTAAAATTTACATAATTATTTCTTATATAATAAATGTGAATAAATGTTATATAATTCATTTTGCAAATATTATTTAATATATGATAATTGTTTTAGTTCTTCTAAATGTAAAAACATAGCGACAAAAGCAAGAGAAAAGTTCCAGAATATATTTATAAGAATTGATTATTCATAAAATATTATAAACTATACTTTTGTTATCATCCTCCATCATTTTAAATTAAACATTTGAGATTGGAATATATATTGTATCTGATTTCAAAATGTTAAGGGAAATATTTCTGATGAAATTAAAATTTTAGAGATATTAATTTTGATACTTATGGTGAATGAATAGCTTAATATCATAGAAATTAAGCAGAATTTTGTGAGAAAACTATTATTGGATTACTTATAAAATTACTTTAAGGGATTTCAAAAAGAGAAGACTTTAAGTAAGTATAAATCCATTTTGTAATTTTTAGTTTAACGAGCTTTTAGACAAAATACAAGAATCTGCTTTATGGATAGATATATGGATTTGAAAATTGTTTCGGAGTAGAAAAAGATAAACTTTACTAGTAAATATATTTACAATAAATGAATTTATGATATTAAAAACAATCATTTAACCAAACATAAAATTATACATTTTTAGTAATAGCTTTATAATTTATTGACGCTTGTATAAAATGAAATTCTTAAAGAGTAAAATTAAATTATGACCATTTTAACGTCTGAAGATAATGAATATTTTCATATAGAAAAGTATTAAAAAATTGAGTTTACAGAAAATGTAAATATACTTTATTTTATTTGAAAGAAAAAGAAAATTATTGGATCATTTTTAATGAAAGAATATAAACAGAGTTGCTAAAGAAATAGACATAATGAATATTAATTATAAAAAAATTATATTTATTAATTGATTGAATATTTGAGAGAAATCTTTTTTAGGATTGGCAATATAAATAGATATTAATTGAAGTTAGTTGAGGATGGATTAATTGAATAAATTTAATGATAATGAAATGGAAAAGAGGTGAGATTGGAGAAAGCGAATGATGGATATAAAGAATAGAATAATTGATAAATAAATATCAATAAATGAAATGAAAATTATATGTAAAAATCAAAGATTTAGTGAACAATATTATTTATATTATAATGGAGTCGAATACAATATAAAGCGTGTACATTCCTGATCCTGAAGAAAGTATCTTATTTGAATGAATCTTTAGAAATTGTGTATAAGAATGTACGTAAACCTAATTTACCAGCAACAGCTGATATAGCATACTGTGAAATTAGAATAGCTGAACTAATGGCTGAAGTTGAAGCTTAAAAGGAGCATTCATTCAAAATTCAGTAATAATTAGATGTCTATGTTACTTATGAATAATCAGTATATATCCATTTTAAATTTAAGCTTATATAATATGAATCTAAAAACGCAATTTTGTAAGAAGAAAATAAACAATAAAGTTAATTGCTTTAAGTAAAATCAAGGGATTTAGAACAAGCATAATTAAAAATATTAGAATTAGAGTAATAGATAGATAAGTTAAGAGAAGTGGACTAAGAATTTTAAAGATAGATATAGCTATTGTTATTCAAAGATAGAGAGATTTAAGAGGTATAATGAAATTGTATTTATAAATAGTTAAATAACAAATACAATAGTTTAGAATAGTTCTTATAATAAAATAAGAACTGGGAATTAATTAACCAAGATTTAAGAAATTAAATAATCAATTGGAAACATGATGTTGAACTTTGGAAGGATAGATTTACAAAATCAGAAAATGAGAGAAAACGACTTTTAGAATTAAGAGAAGAAGGATTAAAGAAATATGATCTAATAGAGAATGTAGATACTTAACCACATTCACCTTAAGTGGAATTAAATGAATAATAAACAGAAAAGTAGAAAATTGATAAGAGTTCTTAAAATAATTCTTAATTGCTTTAATAAACACAAGTTAATTTATTTGAGAAGGAACATTAGAATAGTTTATTAAATAATGAATTGAATGGTTTGAGATAATAGTAATTAGAATTTTAGAAATAAATAAGTGATTTAACTAATTAATTAACTAAATTGGATGAAAAAGATAAAGAAATATCTAGATTGAATGGATTATTATAAGAGAAACCAAAGATTTAAATAGTGAAAGAAGAAAAGATAGTGATAGTTGAAAATTAAGCATTAGATGAAGAGAAAATAAGACTTTAAGGATTATTAGATGAAACAAATATTCGTTTAGAAAATTCTTTTAATGATATAGAATAATTAAAGAGTAAAATATTAACATTGGAAGATGTGATTTAGAAAGTATTGAGTAATTAAAATATAATAGTTATAAAGAAATAATAGATAGATATAAAGATTATAAGAGTAAATTGATTTTTTACTTATTGATAAACAGAATTTGTAGAACTCTAATATATAAAAGGATAAAGTATTAAATGAAACCTTAAATCTTTTAAGATAAAAGACAATTGAAATTTAAGAGTTGTAGTCAATTGATTAATAATTAGTAATTGCAAATGAGAAAATTAATTCATTACTTAAAGACTTAGAATAATAGAAAAAACAATTAGCAGAATTTGATTAATTAACATAATAAGTAAAAAAATAAGAGCATCTTTGTTAAGAGAAAGAGAAGGTAGTAAAAGAATAAATGTTACAGATATAGTAATTAAAATAAAATAGAAATTAAATATAGAATGAATTAAATGATAGTAAGATTAGAATTAATTTATTATCAAAATATGAATCAAGAGTGAAATCGTAATTAGGAACAATATAATCATTAAGATAAGAACTATAGGAGACTATGGCTGGATCTGAATAGTGGAGAGAAAAATACAATTAAAATTGTTCAGAAATTAGTAGATTATAAAGATTATTGGATGTTTCATAATAAAGAATCATAAAGTTATAAGAGGAATTGAAAAACTTTAATAATAACTTTGAATTGGGATAAATTAAGATTGAAGCAGTACCAATAATAAAGAGAATTGAAAAAGTTAATATTTAAGATAGTAGTTAAATTGAAAAATTATAAAATTAATTGATATCTTAAGAATTAAAAAATGAATCTTTAATAAGAAATAGATAGTTTGAAATATAAGGTACTTAAAGAGAAATAGATGCCTTAAATTAACTATTGTTATAGAAAAGATAAGAATCAGAGTTATGGAAAAATAAATATTTAACATCTGAATAATAGAATACAAAATTGTAAAATATTAATGATAAATATAAATAACTAGTATTAAGATTTGAAGGATAGAAAACTACTATTTAATAATTAGAATCAAAATGTTTAGAATAAGGATAAGATATTGAAGAGTAAAGATCAAAAATATTCTCACTAACATTAGAACTTAATTAAGTTGAAAGTTATAAGATTGAAAAAGAATAATAAAAAGAGAGGGCTCTTTAACTTTATTAGGAATTAATCATTTCATAATCTAGAGTAGCTAGATTAATTGGAACAATTAATGAATTATAAAGATAATAAAATTCTAAATCATAAGAAACAAAATTTGTATAATAAAAATCAGATGCAGTTGAAAAAATGAGATAAAAGATAGTGGAATTAGAAATGGAAATAGATGATACTAAGGATGATTAAATTAGTGAATTAGAATAAAGAATATAGATTTTAGAAACTGAATTAAAAAAATAATTAGACATTAATGGATAATTAGTTAAAGATCTTTAAAATATAGATAGAAAGAAATAAGATATTTTAAGTGAATTATAAACACTCTAAACAAGTGAATCAGATGCAAATTAATTAAGAATTGCATATAATAAGAAGGTTAAGGAATGTGAATAATTAAAATCAGATCTAGATAAAACTTAGTTTTTGATTTAATCTTATGTTTAATAGATTGATTAATTAAGAGAATAAGATTTAAATTAAAAGAATGAATTATAAAGATTGAAGATATTTAATAATAATCTAAATAAATAAATTGCATCATTGTTGTTGCATTTAAATTCTTTAGAATTAACTATTAATACATAAAGACATAAATTAGATATATATCCTGAATTTGAAGAAAGAATCAATGATTAAATAGTAAAACTAAATAATTTAGAAAAAGAAAATAATGAATTAAAATTATAAAATGATATACTTAATGCTTAATTAAGTTAATTAGAATAGAATATAATTAGATTATAACCATTAGAATAATAAGTAAATCTCTTAAAAGAAATGATAAATAATGATAATAGAGAAATCTGTTTATGGTAGACCAAATTTTAAGATTTAGAAAATGAACGTGTTTAATAGAATGAAGATTATAGAAAGAAGATAGATTAATATAAATTAGAATTAAAAGATTAATAAAATTTAGAGATGACTATTAAACAATAATAAAATGATATTGATGATATATCTTAAAATAATTAAAAATTATTAACAAATATTAGGGAATAATAGATACAATAAGATAAATTATTAAGAGATTTAGATAATAAAGATATTGAATTAAAGAGATTATAATAAATTGAATAGGAGTTTAGAAAATTGTAAGATTTATTTAATTAAGAAATTGAGAAGTACTAAGATTTAAATGAGAAATATTAATAATTGTAAAATTAATATGATTAAACAAAGAGAGAATAGGAGAAATTAGAAAATAAATGTGCAATGATGTCTAGTGAAATTGAAAGGTTGAAAGTTATGCTAAAAAATAAAAATTAAGATTTAGATTTGAATAAATAACAACTTCATTAAAAAGAATAATAACTTGATTAATTATAACCATTAATAGTTGAAAATAAAAGATTATTAGAACAGATTTAGAAGTAGATTTAATAAATTGATGAGTTGAAATTGCAAATGATTTAATTATAAAGACAATTAGATGATAAGAAGAAATAATTAGAATAGGAATAAATTAATTAAGAATAATAGTTGGATGAAATTAATAGATTATAGAATGCATTAAGAAATAAGGAAGATGATATTCACTAATTTAGATAAGTTACAAAATAATATGAAATTTAATTAAAAGATAATAGGAAGGAAGAGGATTAATGGAATGATTTACAAAATGAAATAAATAAATTAACTTAACATGTGAATTATTTGAATGAAATAATTGGTTAGAAAAATATAGAATTGGAAAATTTACAAAAATAAAATACTCAATAATAATTATAATTATTAGAGAATGAGAAATTAGATTACAAGATTTTAGAGAAGACTGTTGAAGCTAGAGAAAAAGAAGTTGAAGATTGGAGAAGAAGATTCCAAAAATTAACTTAAGATTAAGAAAAGTTGTATAATGAAAAATTAGAATCAAATAATAAATTAGCAAGTTAAGAATTAGAAATTGAAAGATGGAAAAGGAAAGTTACATCAAATGAAGGTGAATTGCATTTACTTAGAAATATTATAGATTAATTGAATGTTGAAATAGAACGTTTAAGTAAATCGAGCGAAGATTTATTATAAGTAAAATATTCTATCAATTATAGGATAATGAAGGTTGGAGAGAAAAGTATTCTAAAATATAGCAATAAATCCCATCTATGTTAGAGTTGATTCCACCAATAACTCCTGGAAACAGTTTTAGAAAATCAGACAAGCCATTATAATAATGACTATGATGAGTTATTTTAATAAATATGTATAAGGAACGCTATGTTGCTTTATTCGAAGACCTATACAGCAAAAATGATAAAGTCATTAAATAAAACTTTAAGACATTCATCTAAGCTTTCTTTCAACCTTTCAAACCTGATAATCCATACAAATAAACTTGGGATTTAGTTGGAATGCTTTTCATTTTTGTATAAATTATTACAATTCCTTTGATCATAACATTTTCTATAGAATTAGATCTCTTTTATGATATTTGTAATCAAATTATGGACTATTACTTTTTAGTAGATATTATTGTCTCCTTTCTTACAGGCTATTATTATAAGTATATTCTTAACTATAATAGAGGAAATTTAATTACTTCTTACAGAAAAGTATTTTGGAACTACTTTTCAACTTGGTTCTGGTTAGATTTGATTTCCTCGTTTCCGTATGATATGGTTATAGAATTAACACTAAAATCCGATTCAGCAGAATCCTTATAAAGAAATTCATAAATTTTAAAAATAGTTCGTGTAGTACGTTTTATAAAAATACTACGATTAATGAGGGCTCTAAAGTTAAAGAAATATATAAATCAATTAGAAGATTAATTGATGATGGCAAAATCCTTAATTTCCTTCTTTGCTTTTCTAAAGATTTGCTTAATTATATTATGTTTAGCTCATTGGCTTGCCTGTATTTGGAATTTAATTCGGATTATTGAAGGTGCTGATCAAAATTGGTATACTAGATATTAGGAATATTAATTAGATAATTACATAATATATTAGGATACAAACTATTGGGTATCGTAATATTTAGTGGCGATATATTTTTCTGTAACAACGATGATAACTATTGGATATGGGGATATCTATCCAATTACAACAATAGAAAGATCTTTTGGTGTTATTGTTATGATATTTTCATCAGGTCTATTTGGATATGTAATGAATTCAATAGTTTTACTTTTTGAAAATTAGGAAGAGAGTGTAGCAGAGTTATTATAATAGTAGGATAATGTATAATTATATCTAAAGTAAAAGAGAATTAATAAATAACTAGTAGCAAGAATTAAAAATTATTTGGATTGGTTATAACAATAAGAGTAAATCTAGCATAGTTATGAACAATAAGTAGTTTTAAATTTATCAGAAAATTTGAGAAGAGAAATCTTAAAATTAATTCATTAAAAAATAACTTAATCTTGCTTATTCTTTTCTTCAAACTTTTCCTTGCAGTTATTATAGAAACTAGTTTATTATTTTAAAGAGTAAACTTTCAGTCCTTAAGATATTATATTTTAATAAGGAGATATTGAAAATAAATAAATCTATTACATTCTTAATGGCAGTGTTAAAATTGAAAATATTTAATATGAATTGAAAAAAAAAGAATATTTTGGGGAAATTGCATTTTTTGCAAATGTTCCAAGATGCTCTACTATAGTCGCTACTAATTTCATAAATTTATTAACATTATCTAGAAATTAATTTCTTCAATTACTATCACCAGAAGACATGGAAAAATATTTTGAAATCAAATTTTAAATTGAAATTGAATAAGATTTTACATCTTTAAAATTGAAATGTTATATGTGTTAAGAAATTAATCACATTGCAATTTAATGTCCTTTTTCTCATTTCATAGTTTCGAAATATGATACAATTAAAGTTATCAAAAAGTTCTAAATTAAGTGTTAAAAGAATAAAAAGAATAGATAAAAATATAAAACACTCTTATTATTAAGAAATGAGAAATATCTAAAGGCTCAGAATAAAATTGACAAAGATATGCTGAATATAGAATATTTTTTAAATAAAAAAAAAAATCTGACAAAATTTAAATTAGCATAAAAAATGTTGAGAGATAAATAAGTTAAAGATTCATTTGTAATTGAATGTCTAAAAGAATATACAAGATTCATACCAAAATGTAATATCAGCACTATTATATCAATTGTTAATAGTAAGGCAGAAGTTAATTAAAGATTGTTAGAAGATAGGAGAGAAAAAGAGAGAAAATAAAGAACAAAAGAGAATGCTGAGAAGTTTATAAAAATGTTGTAAATAAAAAAGTAAAATTAAATAAAATTTAATATTTAAAAGTAAAATACAAGTAGATTATCTATTGATAATATTTTGAAAGTTGCACAGAGAGAATTGGCAAGAAAGCCTTCATCAAGTGAAGAGAATAGAAGGAGACTTCTAAATGTATAGGAAAAAAGATAAAAGAATTAGAAGAGTTTTAATTCATTTGAATCAGGTGGTAAAATTTTATTGACATTTTCTGTAATTCCTGAAGATGCTTTTGAAAGTCCAGCATAGGAACTTAAATATTTTCGAAAAACATTAAAAAGTTCGCATGTTTCTACTAATGTAAGTATAAATGAAGAACATTATCCTGATGTATATTCAACATTTCAAAAAAGATATTCGAGTCAAGAAAAGTGTATTGCTTTTAATTCTTAATTTTATTCTACTACTTGTCTAGAGAATATGATTTATGTAGTAATAAACCACAAATTATAAAGTTAAAAATGAGTAATATTTGTATATGTGAAACTTATGTTTGTATAAAATAATTGATATTATATAACTTTAATAGATGTGGAAAGATTAATTTGAAATTGTAAATGTAAGTTATTTATATATATATAATAATATAAAATGGATTATGATAATATGGATTTTACAAATTATACAAATGAACAGATTGGAGAAATGATAAAAACATAAGGATTGGAGAATATTACATATGAAGAGTTGATAGCAAAAAAGAATAAGAGAATAAAAGAATTTTATGAATAAGATTCGAAACTGGTAAAAAATGATTTATATAATGAAAAGTAAGAAGCAATGTTGAGACATTGGTTATTGAAGAGAAAGAACAAGCATTTGATAGACTTTAATGATAAAGAACGTTCTTAATTGAAATAGTACTTTAATTCTTTGGATGAAGATGGATCAAGTATGAAATGGGAATATTAATGATTAGAGTCAATAGGTATAGATGAATTGGAAGAACCATTAATTTCATTGGGTATAGCAGAATCAAGAGAGGATGTTAAGAAATTGATTTATACAGTAGATGATGATGGTTCAATTGAGTTTAAAGAGTTTTTGGAGATTATAAAAAATAAAAATGGAGATGGTAAGAGTAATTCGAAGGAAACAATGGTAATAGATTTTTTTAAAGGTAAAAGAATAAGATTATTATTGAGACATGATAAATGGACGTTTAGGACATGGAAGTAATTAACCAATAAATAAGAATTTACCATTTAGTTTGATAATAAGTACAATAAGAAGATAGAAGTTGTTAGATGCATTGATGGCAAATGATCCAAAGAAGAAAGAAGAAGGAGAGAAGGTTATGAAAGCTTATGGAAAATTGATTTCGTAAAGAAGAGCTTAAAAAAATGATGGCTCAATTTAAGGTTCCAAAAAGAGAATATGATTTAATAATGTTATTAATTAATTTGTATTGTCATTATAAAGCAATGTGTATGTAAATAATAAATAATAATAAAAAAACACACTAAAAATGTCAGAAGAAATATAATAGTCAAATTCAGGTTAATAATTGATAACTCAATACTTCAATCAAAATCCTGAAAATTCATAGGATAGATAAAAGATAAATAGAAAAAGAAAGATTGAAACAGAGTTACCAAAGAAAAAGATGATGCCTAAATTAAAAAGTGATGATGAATCATCTAATGATAATAATTAATAAGTATAAGTTAATCCACCTAATTGTTAAAAAATCTACAAATACTTGAAACCAATAAAAGATCTAAGTAATGAAGCGGGTAATTAAAATAAAGCATTATAATTAAAAAATACAGAAGAAAGTAAGTTAAAAACTTTAGGGAACGATAAACCTGCTTATGTTAAACCTAAAGAAAGTAAATCTCTTATTTAACCAATTTAAAAATAAAGTGAGGATGATACAAATAAATTATCATAAAAGTTAATTGAGAAGGAATAAGTTGAAAAGTAATTAAGATAAGAGAAATAACAATTAGAAAATGAACGTTAAGAATTAATTTAATAACATAATGCATTTAAAAAAAGAACTTAAGAAGTATTTGCTGAAGCTTTAAAATAAGTTGAAGAATTGAAGCGGGAAAAAACGAGAGAATATTTAGAAAGAGAACGATATAGATTAGGAGAATTTGTTAGTTCTAGAAATAATGTTAGATTTGTAGAAGAATGGTAAGATGGATATGAAATTAAATAAGTTAAATAAAATTTATAAAAATTAGAAAATGAAAGAAATGAGTTAGAAAAATAAAAAAATGAAATTAAAGATAAATCTTTATCTAAAATTTAAAAAGATAAACAAACTAAATTATTATTTGAATTAGATTTATCTAATGGAGATTTAGATAATAACTAAAGAAAACTTAGAATATAATTTTAATTATCAATTCTCAAAAAAGAGGAAGAAGAATTAAAATTAAAACTTTAAAAATTAGAAGAAGAAAAATAATAATTAGCTTATAAAACAAAAAGATTTATGGAAGAATAGAGGTATTTATTTTAAATTATTTAAGTTGTCGATATTATAGAGCAGAACCAAAATGGCCATTAATTGCTTCTAGATATTAGACTTTAGGTTTATTAGGAAAAGGAGGATTTTCTGAAGTTTATAAATCATTTGATTTATTAGAATTTAGAGTTTGTGCTTGTAAAATTCATTATCTTAATCCATAATGGAATGAAAATGCTAAAAATAATTATATAAAACATGCGCTTAGAGAAAATGATATTCACAAAAGATTAAAACATATTAATATAGTATCATTATATGATACTTAAGAGATAGATCAAGATTCTTTTTGGTATTCTATAAATAATTATAAGAATTAGTACTGTCTTAGAATTTTGTGATGGAACAGATCTCAATTAACATTTAAAAAAATATAAACTTTTAGCCGAAAAAGAAGCTAAATTAATTATAAGATAAGTATTGGCAGCATTACATTACATGAGTTGTAGTCCTACTAAAATTATTCATTATGATCTTAAACCATAAAATATTTTATTTCATAAAGGTGAAGTTAAAATTACTGATTTTGGATTGTGTAAAGTCTTAGATTATGACACTACTAGATAAGAATTAACTTCTTAGGGATTAGGAACTTATTGGTACTTACCTCCAGAATGTTTTCTAGAATAAACTAATATTTAAATTAGTACTAAAGTAGATGTATGGTCTGTAGGTGTTATATTATTTGAAATGGTTTATGGCAAAAAACCTTTTGGAGATGGAATGTCCTAAGAAAGAATTGCCTAAGTAAATTAATATTCATATTTTAAAGGAAAGAGTTATTTTAAATTCTTATTAGGTTAAATTCCCTTAAAAACCAAATGTCTCACAAGAATGTAAAGATTTCATTACTAAATGTTTAACTTATAATATGGAAGCCAGATGGAACATATCAGAAGCATATTACTGTAATTATATCTAAAATCTAAAACCTACTAATTGAATTGTTAGTATTTATTTTCTGCTTTATAAAATGATATAAAATTTTAATTTATATTATGTTCATCTAGTATATATTTAAAAGTCTATCACTTGAAACTTCTAATAAACTTTTAAATAACAATATTATCAATAACTTTAACTATTTATTAAAATTTCATCATCCCTAAAGTATAAATACTATTCTTAAAATGAGTTTACTTTTTAATTACTTAAAGAAATTACTCTTATAGAAATCATTTATATTATGCTTATATTTAGGAGATTTAATTAGTACTTACACCATTTAAATTTCCATTAAGATCACTAAAATAAACCCTTAAACTAAAAAAAATGATTTTTCAGTAAAATAAAAGAAAAAATTAACAGAGGAAATTTTTTGAAAATGCTTGAAATTCTTTTTATATGTCATCGATTTCATGTTTTAGAGTTCTGTTGTAAGTTTTCATAATTACAAGAATATTCTCAAGTTCTAAATTTGAGATAACATTTTATAGAGATAATTAAAATTTTTTTAAGTTTCTCATCCAAAAAAACCATAAAAAGAAAATATTATAATGAAATTTGATATTAGTTTATGAAGTGGATATCAATATTATATTAATTCATTCTTCTTCTTCCATAGGCTCTAAATTATCATCATCCAAAAGATCTGGAGGAGCAATTATGTCAAAAACTACTCCCTCTACTTCTACATTATATTAAACTTGGAGACCTAATGATAAAATTTGTATGTCTACTGTGAGGGTTGTAAGGATTAATAATTTTTTCTTAAGGTTACTGCGTATATTTATCTGCCCAGGTCATTCTGGTTTGGGTGTATACATAAGTTTTCTAAGAGTTTTATTGTAAAGAATGGTGAGTTTACATTTTTTTTGAGGAGCAAGATCCCATTGTATGTGTTAATTTAATTAAAATGTTATTTTACTAAAGAAAAATCCATTAGTATTTATATTACACTTCTTAATAAAAAACTTCGTTTTTAATGTCAATCAAAAATAAACCAACATCCCTAACTTATGTCTATATTATCAATGTACAACTAGAATGTTTGAACTATAATTTTTAATTCAAGCAGTTATATGAAAAATAACTGGCTAATAATTTTTATTAATTATTGAGACACATTAAGTTTAGCTACGATTCTTTATAATATCTGAAATCAAATAGCTCAATGAAATCTACTATTATTGGTTAATTTACTATATTTTTCTATCATAATTATTAGAGAATTCTTTTAAAACCATCAACATCATATTTTATTACTTATTTTTTTATAATTAAAATGCTCACTGCATATAATAAATCAATTATTTATATTATGTCTTGAATATAAGAATATTTAAAACCTTTTTAAGTAAACTTGCTTTTTTTTCATTTATTTTTAATCCTTTTTACATTTTCAGATAATCATGTATTCAAATTTATATTGTCATTATTATTTATACAAAGAATCTACTCAAATTTTTATTTTTCTTTACTCTTGAATCTTAGTAGGATTAATAATCGAAAGTTAAGAAGATAGAATCACAAGAATTTAAAAATATTTACGTAATCTAATCTAGTATATGAATTGATAATTAATTATAAATTTTTTTATTATCTAAGAAACTCTTCTTAGTAAAGGTGTGGAATATTTCAATAGGATGTAAATATAAATTTTAGTTACTTTTTATGAATTATTGTATATGGATGCTTCCTTTATCTATGTTTTCTAAGAATTTTGAAGCAAATTTAGAAGCAAGAAAAAATTGCCTATAATTAAATTATATTTTTTTAATAAGAATCTCTAATATGAAACATAAAAATACAAAAAATAATATTTGAAAGAACATAGAAAAACTTTTATGAGTGATTATTTGAAATATTATTTTATTAGGGCAATAAGATTTTAGAAATAAATATAAATAAGACTTAGACAATTATATATGTTAAAAAAAACAATTTAATGATATTTAAATTCATATATAATAAAGTTTGATTCTATTTGAAATTTGACAAATTTCGAAAATAATTAATATAAAATTGTGATTCTAATAATTTACAAAATTTATATTATTAATATGAAATATTTTGTACTATTGATTATAGCTATGACAGTGATGAGTGAAGTCACAAATGAAGGAGTAGTAATTGAATTAACATCTGATAATTTCAATTAAGTAGTTTTGGAATCAAAATAAGATGTTTTGGTAAAATTCTTTGCACCCTGGTGTGGTCATTGTAAGAATATGGCTGAAGCATATAAGACATTAGCAGCAAATTTGGCTAATAATTAAAATGTATTGATAGCAGAGATGGATTGGACATAACATAAGACTGATGCAGTAGACATTAAGGGATTTCCAACTTTAGTGTTCTTTAAAAAAGGCGGAGAAAAACCAGAATAAATAAGATATTAAAAAGCTAGAACTGCAGAAGCAATGGCAGAGTTCATTAATGAAAATACAAGTTTCTAAAGAGAAGATCTATGATATATGTATGTTATGTATGTATATTGGATGTATAATTTAAATATTTTCTGATCTTTTCATTAATCATTTTCAATCGACAACATTTCCATATAATTAGACTTCATAAACAAAATATTTTCATTTTTAAGTAATATAAGAATTTTGAATATCACAAAAAAAAGTGATGGCAAACTTAATAAAGTGAAATGGATAGATAAAAATCTATATATATCGATTTTTGAGAATACATTTACAATTAAAATCTTTCTTATAGTGATAATACTCTAAATCATCAAAAAAACTTATTTTCTACTATGTTTCAATAGTATATAAGTAAACTTCTTTCCTTTAATTATTTTTTTGTTTTTTAACTTGAGTAAATTTTTTTTGCTTTCATGTATTTTGAATTAACAATTTGTTAGATTTAACTTTATAGGTTTATGAATAATGCTCTGACATCTCCTTATCTAAAACTTTCTTGCAATCTTTATTCATATACTTATGAAACCTTTACAGCTTATTACATGAAGATTTAATGCTATAATTAAAAATTGAATCAATACTTGATTAAGTTATGACATTCCCATAAATTATTTAATTATTTTCATGAATTAGATCTTTCTTTCTGATTTTTCATATACTTCTGTTATTATTTCAAAGTTTAAGTCTTAAATTTTAGTAAATTCTAGGATAAATTAAATAATGTTTATATTGATAAACGATAAATCAATGNGACAAATTTCGAAAATAATTAATATAAAATTGTGATTCTAATAATTTACAAAATTTATATTATTAATATGAAATATTTTGTACTATTGATTATAGCTATGACAGTGATGAGTGAAGTCACAAATGAAGGAGTAGTAATTGAATTAACATCTGATAATTTCAATTAAGTAGTTTTGGAATCAAAATAAGATGTTTTGGTAAAATTCTTTGCACCCTGGTGTGGTCATTGTAAGAATATGGCTGAAGCATATAAGACATTAGCAGCAAATTTGGCTAATAATTAAAATGTATTGATAGCAGAGATGGATTGGACATAACATAAGACTGATGCAGTAGACATTAAGGGATTTCCAACTTTAGTGTTCTTTAAAAAAGGCGGAGAAAAACCAGAATAAATAAGATATTAAAAAGCTAGAACTGCAGAAGCAATGGCAGAGTTCATTAATGAAAATACAAGTTTCTAAAGAGAAGATCTATGATATATGTATGTTATGTATGTATATTGGATGTATAATTTAAATATTTTCTGATCTTTTCATTAATCATTTTCAATCGACAACATTTCCATATAATTAGACTTCATAAACAAAATATTTTCATTTTTAAGTAATATAAGAATTTTGAATATCACAAAAAAAAGTGATGGCAAACTTAATAAAGTGAAATGGATAGATAAAAATCTATATATATCGATTTTTGAGAATACATTTACAATTAAAATCTTTCTTATAGTGATAATACTCTAAATCATCAAAAAAACTTATTTTCTACTATGTTTCAATAGTATATAAGTAAACTTCTTTCCTTTAATTATTTTTTTGTTTTTTAACTTGAGTAAATTTTTTTTGCTTTCATGTATTTTGAATTAACAATTTGTTAGATTTAACTTTATAGGTTTATGAATAATGCTCTGACATCTCCTTATCTAAAACTTTCTTGCAATCTTTATTCATATACTTATGAAACCTTTACAGCTTATTACATGAAGATTTAATGCTATAATTAAAAATTGAATCAATACTTGATTAAGTTATGACATTCCCATAAATTATTTAATTATTTTCATGAATTAGATCTTTCTTTCTGATTTTTCATATACTTCTGTTATTATTTCAAAGTTTAAGTCTTAAATTTTAGTAAATTCTAGGATAAATTAAATAATGTTTATATTGATAAACGATAAATCAATGTTATCATCCTTTATACAACCATCCAGTCCTACAAAAAGCTCCAGCTAAAACTAATGAAAGGATAGCCATTAACTTTATCAAAATATTTAAAGAAGGTCCTGATGTATCTTTGAGAGGATCTCCAACAGTATCACCTAAAATTAATATTTATTTAACCAATAACAGCAGCTTTATGTTCATCTGAGCCCTTTTTTTTAACTTCTCCTGCATCATTTCTATAAAATCCAGCTTCTATGTATTTCTTGGCATTATCCCAAGCACCTCCAGTATTAGATGCAGAAATAGCCATTTAGACTCCACTAACTAATGCTCCAGGTAATAATCCAGCAACAGCTTATGGTCCAAAGAATAAACCAACAGCAGTAGGTGTAACAATAACCTAAAAGAATAATAAATAAATGAATATACAAGTAATCCAGGTGGAATCATTTCTTTTAATGATGCTTTAGTAGAGATAGCAATACAAGCTCTAAAATCAGGTTCTTCTGTTCCTGCATAGATTCCTGGATGTTCATGTAATTATCTACGAACTTCTTCAACCATTTAAAGTGCAGCTTTTCCAACTGATTTCATAGTAAATGCAGAGAATGCATATGGTAACATAGCTCCAATTAATAACATAGCAAAAATGACTGGATCATCAATTTTAGCACCTTGTGCAAATGGGAATTCTTCACCTACTTTATAAGTTTATATTCTAGTTAAATATCCACCATAAAGTGATAATGATACAAGTGCAGCAGATCCAATAGCAAATCCTTTACCAATCGCAGCAGTAGTATTACCCGCTGCATCAAGGGCATCAGTAGATTCTCTAACATTTTCTCCCAATTCACTCATTTCAGCAATACCTCCAGCATTATCAGAGATAGGTCCATATGCATCAATAGCTAAACCAATAGTTAAATTAGATAACATTCCTAGGGCAGCTAAAGCAACTCCATAAAATGATAACATTTTCATAGATAATAAAGCAGTAATAGCAATAGCAATAATAGGTACAATAGTTGATAGATATCCTAATGCTAATCCATAAATAATATTAGTAGCTGCTCCAGTTCCACAAGATTAAGCAACTTCTCTAACTGGAGTATAGGAATGAGATGTCATATACTCAGTGAAATAACCGATTAATAATCCAGACCACAATCCTAATAATGAACAAAGAAATGCATGATATGGTTTTAGATCTGATAATTAAATAGAACCATCAGCAGCTATCATAACAAAATCAGAAGGTAATGACCAATAAGCTATTCCTATAATAATTGGAGATAAAGCAATTGTAGATAATAACAATTAGAATTTAAGTGTAGATTCAATTTTATTAATATGATTTACTTTAGAAATATAAACAGCATAAGCAGATACTAAAATGCATATTCCAATTCCAAATGCTGAAACCATTAATGGATACATCAATTAGCCAATTTCAATAGTATTTCCATTTTCAGTTTATACTCTTAATTAAGTTGATGAAACAACTAATGCAGCACAAGTAGATTCTGCAAAAGAACCAAATAAATCAGCTCCCATACCAGCTATATCTCCAACATTATCACCAACATTATCAGCAATTGTTGCAGGATTCTATTATATATATTTTATTTATCTACCTTTGGACTATCTTCTGGTAAATTCTTCTCTACTTTACCAACTAAATCTGCTCCAACATCTGCAGCTTTTGTATATATTCCACCACCTACTCTACCAAATAAAGCAAATGTTGATCCACCTAAACCATATGCAGCAACATAATCAAACATCATCACTAAATCTTCATAATTATTTTCATCACTCTTCACTATTATTGCATTGTAAATTATTATTATCAATGATAGAATTGATAATGATATTGATACCAATAAGAATCCCATTACACATCCTCCTCTATATGCCATCTTTTTTTATTATAATTCATTATTACTTAAAACGCATTCGCTAATGATGTTATTGCTGAAAATGCTGTTCTAAAATTTGCTGCTGTTGCTATTGCCATACCTAAATAACCACAAAGCATTGATGTACCAGCTCCTAATATAAATGCTAATGATGACCATGGTGATACAAACTATTATCATCTCAAATTCATTACTATCAATAATACAGCCATTATAGCCAAAAATACTGAACAATCTGTGTATTCCTCTCTTAAAAATGCTTATGCCCCCTATTTTTTTAATTATTATTTATATACATCTTATATATGTTCTCCTATTTCTAATAAAGTCTCAATCTTCTCTTATTCTGCTCCCTAAAGTAATTCTGTTAAACCTTCATGTTTATGATGAATCTCCACTTTATGTACTGCCATCCAATTAAATATTGCCCAAACTATACCACAAGCACATAATATAAATATAAACACTAGTGCTGTTACGAATTCCATCTAATTTTAAATTAATATTAAATCTTTATTATTTCTCTCATAAAATTCTCTCTCAATCTTAACAATTGAAATGAATTATTTTTGAGTTCTATCAATTCTTATATACAATATAATTTTATATATCTTCATACTACAAAAAACATTAACAGACTTTTTTACCTACTCTCTTTTTATCCTATTCAAATCTATTCATTTTATCCTTCTATCATCATAAACTAACACATACTCCCTTAAGCTTTCAACATTTATAAAAAATCATGTTGATTATAAATTGTTTTGTATAACTTTATTTATTTCAATAAAATAGTCTTAATTCAATATTGCTAATTTTATTATAATATTTATTAATCAAAACTTATACTAAAAAAATTATATTATGTATTTTTAAAATTATTAATATCTTTTTTCCTTATTTAACTATGGGCCAATAAACTAAATATTTATAATCAATCATAAAAACATTATTATTCTAGACTTAATTGTTATTATATTATCAAATGAAATCATTTAATAAATGCACTTTCAAATTACATGAATAACAATGGAATATTCATTAAATTAATGAATTCAATAATATTAAAAAAAATATTAAGCGCTTTATATGTGACGATTCGAGAATCAAAATCAAAAAGTTACTTGAATCCATTTTTTATTTGGATTTTGTATAACGGAACAAGATTAAGTCTTATTCTCAGAGTAGATTAATTTAATGGGAAGGAGTACTAAGTATTTACAATTTAACTATTTAGGATAAATAATTGATGCTTATAAAAAACCTAATCAATTGGTTTCATTTCTTAACACCTATCAATTCTATAGAAATTGATTAATTTTTATCTCTAATTGTGATATTAATTGCCATTGTTCATTGGTTATCTTCATTAATTACACTATTTAGTTACAATTAGATCAGATTTTTCAATTAATTTCAAAACTAATATTTCACATATCTACAAATGCTATATCTCTGTCCATCATTTAGTTATATTCATTAATTAATATACTAAAATGACGATAAAATCATCGTCACTTTATGCTCAGTACCTATTATTTTAAATTATTCAATATTTACATACATTCAAAGAAATTATTTATTACCAAGCAATAATCCCTTCACAAAAAGATATCGTCCTTATAATTACCTTGTTAATATGACTGAAATCATAGCTTTAGTCATTTTCCCCTATTTTGATGAAATGTTTTAATCTATAATTCTACTGATTTAATTCCTAATTTAATTGAGTGATGCAATTTTAAACTAACCTTTTTCATAATAAATGAATCTGAATTATTGCATTAGTTCATCAATATTATTCTATTGTTCTCTATTTAAATGTGTAAGTATTTATTGGACTGAAACTTAATTTATGTTTATATGTCTAATTTTTATTCCATTTTTAACTGTAATTACAAAGAAAGTGTTGAAATAAATTTATGAACAAAACTTAGACAATTAAGATTTAAATAAATAATTAATCATTCAAATTATTGATGAATTTCATTAAAAAAATAACAATTTTCTTCGTGTTAAAATCTTATATATTTTAAAAACTCGACATTAAATATTAAATAATAAAAATTTGAAATCAGATTAATAGTTTAATGATTATATTTTCACAATGTTTAATCGATTCATAGAATCTTTAGCATAATAAGAGAAATATTTAGATGAAGATTTACACACTTACAAAATAATGTTCCTGTATTAAACTTATGATAAATAGAATCTAGCTTATATTTAAATAAAACAGTTTTAAATATATAAAGAATTTCAAACTATTTATTTTAGTATCTTGGAATTCTTTTGTTTAGAAAAGATTCAGAATAGTATAAAGAATTCAATTCATCAAAATTATGGAAGATTGGAATTATAATAAATAAAATAAAGTTAAATTTTACAAGAAAAATGCTAACCTTTGATTATATAGATATTGGAATAAAAATTAAAATATTGGGATTAATTATTAAATGGATATGAAAATATTGAATAATTAAGTGATGTATCTATTCATTTAAGTGAAAAAGTAGTGAATTTAAAGAATATAGTATTTAAAGAATTAAACATATAAATATTCACTCTTTCTAAATAATTGCTTAAGCTTAATTTATTAGATTTGCGTTTGTTATCATAAATATTTGCAACAGTTTTAAATGATTTTCATATAACACTTCAAATAGAATAAAGGATAGAAGAACTTCTAAATTTAGAGAGAAATATATAATCTCGTAACATATAAAATATTGCCTTATTAAATGACGATGTTATCATAATTCCAGTAAGTATGATAAAAAACTAAGGATAGATATTGAGCAAAAATAAATAAAAATTATTTAAGTTCTTTAAATTTCGAAATGATGAATCATTTCAATAAATATCCCACATCAATACTATTGTGCCATAATACTTACAGAAATAGCATGATAAATTCTTAAATAATTTTCTTTAAACAGGAGAGTCATCATTATTCATTAACAGTTAGGATGTATATCCTATTTATAATTCTGGTTTCTCTTTTAGTGCGACTTTATAATTGATATCTTCTTATGATAAAATGGATGATTATATATTATCAGCTGTTTTAAAAAAGAGCACTGAAAATTATGATTTTATTCTGTTTGATGAATCTGGAAAAATCTTAGGAATTACAGAATCAATTCATTAATTATTATTATTTAATTCTAAAGAACCAATCGAAAATGATTTTAATAACTACATATTAAAATCTTATATATATTTTTGGTTTAAAGACATCTTACTTTTAATAAATGATTAATAAGAAGCTTTTTCAGCATAATAAACATCTTAATAAAATTTAAATATTGTAACTACTATTATTTAACCAATTACTAATTTATAATAACTTATTCAAGATCATGAAATATTTAGAAAATAACATTTTCTAACTTAGACAAATACTATGAAAACTGAACAAGATGCGCAAACAGATCAAAAATAGTAAATTAAAATTACTTGTTTTGAATAAAATTATGTAACTTAAACAAGTGAATATATCAATTAGTAATAACTTAAATCTCATTAAAATTCTGTTTACTTTTAAGTGGTATTTAATGTGAATTTTCAAAGAATGTAAAATTGTCATCCTATATTTCTTTTATCTATCAATGATTATTTTTAAAAAGAATAAAAATACACTGGTTCTTAAAGTGGTTTGAGTTCTTTTTAAAAAACAAAAACTTAATTGGAGATGAAGAGTGAATCTCAAATATAATCTGAGTACAATCTTGATGAATTAAATTAAGAATTTTTGATAAACTAAACAATTATTAATAAATTATTAATTAGACATGAAGTTGGATTGTCTGATCTAAGAGAAATAGATTAAAAAGATGAAGATATTCATATTTAGAATATAATTGATAGAGATTAAAAAGAAAGTAATTTAATTTCTCCCAGATCAAATAGAGAAATATTAATTTAAAAAGGTATTATAGAAGAAGACTCTGATTATATAAAAGGAAATGAATCTAATGTTATTAAAAGTAGTTCCTAAAAAGATATTAAAGAAAATATTTAATAAGCAATAATTCAAGAATAAAATGTTGATTTTGCTCATGAGAAATAATCTAAATCTAGTGCTACTTCAGACAAAACTTAAAATTCAATTTATAATTTAATGAGAAAATTGTAATACACTTAATAGTTTTAAACTTCTATTATTAATGCTATTTTTATAACAAATATTTTAACAATATTTTTGATAATCCTTGTTAGTGTTGAATTATCAATAGTTAGAAATTACACTAATTAATTAGAATATAGCATACCTTTAGTTAGAATTCCTTAACGATTTAATAGATTATTTTGCACATTCATCACAATAGGTTAACTTGAATTGCAATCAAAATTATTAAATTAATCTTATGGTATTTATTATGAATATAGAATATAAAATGAGAGTGCTTCAAAATAAATTGAAATATAAAATTTAATGACTGAAATTTTAAATGAATTTTCTTTTATGGAGAAATAAAATTAATTACCTATGATGGAAATTAGAATTATTAATGAATATATATATCAATTATAGAATGTAAGTATGATATAATTTAATTCCTTGGTAAATGAATATTCAGATTAATTAAATGAACTTCTTTAAAATATTGATTTATCTAATGAAGAAATTAAAAGAGTTCAAATACTATTACAATTTTTAAAAGGAAATTTAATTAAAGAATTAGATCTAACAATATCAATTGTTAATTAAATTGAGTCAAATTTTTATGATTTAATTGAATTAAATCAAATAGGATAGGTTATCTTTTTAATTATAATTTTATTGACAGTTGCTTTTCTATTAATCATATAATTTAAATAATGGCTGTAACCATATAAATATATGTAAACAATTCTTCTATTGATTGGAAAAATTTCAGAAAGAGATATTGAATTTTCTGGATCTAGATTGCATTTACTTTTAGAAAAGCTCAATCATAATCACTCAGCTTGGAAAAACATTAATTATTTTCGTGATTTCTTTTGGTAATCTAAAAAATCTACTAGCTATTTAACTTTAAGAATATAATCCTCAGAAAAATCAAAAAATAAAAATAATAGTAAAAATTAATAATAAAAAACTAAATAAACTTCTCGTATCTAAGAAACATCATTTTCTATTAAAAATATTTAAATTATTTTAATACTTTTATGTGTATTATTGTCTTGTTATGCAATATCCGCATTTATAATTATGAAAACAAATATGGATAATAGTCATCCAGAATTTAAAATAGCTATGGATTTTGTAAAATTTAAGTAAGACCTTGATGGAGTGATGATTATTTGTCAATTACTTAAAAATTAATAGATTCTTATAGATCAAACAATGGTTAGTGGAATTTTTAAAATGAATCCAGAATTAAGTACAAGGGACAAATACTTTAAAACCTTATATAGTGAATTATTAACTAGTTTTTCCCCTTTGATCATTGAAATGGATAAGATTTATTCAACAATATATAATAATGTAATAGAATCAAGAAAAATAAGCAAAGAAAATAAGGAACTATTGTTAAATTTATATGAAAAAGATCTCTGTGAAATCATACCAAATATTTTACCATTTTGTGCTTATGAAAACGGAAAGTTTATTTATTTTCCAACATTTCCCACTCCAAATCTAATTCTCAACAATAAACAAATCTATAAATATGGAATCAATGGCATTTATTAATAGTATTATTTTTATATATCAGTTAGGATTGTATCCATTTTTAATACCCATTATTCATTGGAATAAAATGGAATAAAGGACTCTGATCTTAAAAATATTGGTTTATTTCTTTAAAGCCAGGAATATGTATAAATAATTCTACCATATTTTTTTGACTTAAGTTATGCTATTCTACAGTTTTATTATACTATTATATAAGCAGCTCTTGACATTTTAGAAAATGATTACTAAATGGTTCTATAATTTTACATACTCGCAGGAATAGGCTGCATAATTATATTATATATAGTCATATTGATTAGAGCAATCACTTTATAAAATAAAGTTCGTTTAATTAGATAAACTTTAATTGTTATACCTCATGAATCTTTATAAGATTAATCTATACTGAATTCTATTAGAAAGATTGATAGAATACTTTGATTCAATAAGTTTTTGTAAGATGTTATTTAAAATATATATATGTAGTTATTAAATTTGATAAATTTCTAAACTTTCTTTAAATTTTACTTCGTTTTGTTATAGAATAATATATTTTTTATCACTCAAACAAAAAAAACACAATCAAAATCTTTTATTTTTCTTTTAGTAATTTTGTAACTATTTTATTTGTATGTTTTTATATATTACTTAAAATTGCTAAATATTATTATTTTAAAAACAGATTAAATTAAAAAAATATTTTTTAATTTCTTAAAGTAAACCTATCATAATTTATTATTTAAAGTTAAGAATTTTTTCAAACCATCACATAGCTAAAAAAATCTTTTGAATTTAAAATATTTTATTAAACAATAGTCGATTAATAGATTTATATATAAAATTATCAATTTTAGTATNGAATTATTAACTAGTTTTTCCCCTTTGATCATTGAAATGGATAAGATTTATTCAACAATATATAATAATGTAATAGAATCAAGAAAAATAAGCAAAGAAAATAAGGAACTATTGTTAAATTTATATGAAAAAGATCTCTGTGAAATCATACCAAATATTTTACCATTTTGTGCTTATGAAAACGGAAAGTTTATTTATTTTCCAACATTTCCCACTCCAAATCTAATTCTCAACAATAAACAAATCTATAAATATGGAATCAATGGCATTTATTAATAGTATTATTTTTATATATCAGTTAGGATTGTATCCATTTTTAATACCCATTATTCATTGGAATAAAATGGAATAAAGGACTCTGATCTTAAAAATATTGGTTTATTTCTTTAAAGCCAGGAATATGTATAAATAATTCTACCATATTTTTTTGACTTAAGTTATGCTATTCTACAGTTTTATTATACTATTATATAAGCAGCTCTTGACATTTTAGAAAATGATTACTAAATGGTTCTATAATTTTACATACTCGCAGGAATAGGCTGCATAATTATATTATATATAGTCATATTGATTAGAGCAATCACTTTATAAAATAAAGTTCGTTTAATTAGATAAACTTTAATTGTTATACCTCATGAATCTTTATAAGATTAATCTATACTGAATTCTATTAGAAAGATTGATAGAATACTTTGATTCAATAAGTTTTTGTAAGATGTTATTTAAAATATATATATGTAGTTATTAAATTTGATAAATTTCTAAACTTTCTTTAAATTTTACTTCGTTTTGTTATAGAATAATATATTTTTTATCACTCAAACAAAAAAAACACAATCAAAATCTTTTATTTTTCTTTTAGTAATTTTGTAACTATTTTATTTGTATGTTTTTATATATTACTTAAAATTGCTAAATATTATTATTTTAAAAACAGATTAAATTAAAAAAATATTTTTTAATTTCTTAAAGTAAACCTATCATAATTTATTATTTAAAGTTAAGAATTTTTTCAAACCATCACATAGCTAAAAAAATCTTTTGAATTTAAAATATTTTATTAAACAATAGTCGATTAATAGATTTATATATAAAATTATCAATTTTAGTATATTTCAAAGTAGAAAAATTACAATTATGCTATAATTTTGAAGCTTAAAATGTAATCTTGAATTTATTAATTTAAATTTATCTGTAAGCTAAACTTTAAAAAATTATTTTATATAATGAATTTACGTAATAAATTTAATTATATTAATACGAGAATTTTATTTTTTTAAATTCAGAAAATTTTCCTAAACAAAATTCCATTCTGTTTAACTTCATACTAAAATTTATTATATAGTTTAAAAAGTATTAATATGATTCTTCCATTTATAATTTGATAATAAATTCTGATGGCATTTTAACTGACAAAATTTCTTTATAATGGATTGATACAAAATAATATTTAAATACATATTATTTTTAAATAACTCATAATTTAATTTAAAATATTAAATGGATTTCAATAAAGCCAATTATGAATTTCTTTGGCCTAGCTTCTTATATTAGCAGTCAAGATTAAATCAGAAGGAATCATTACTAAAATTTATCTAAGACATTATATTTTTATTTAATATTTGTAAACCCAGAGTATACTCAAGATTAAGTTAAAAAAGAATAAACTATATATTTTGATATTATTACCAAATACCAACTCCTAAATAAAATATTCGAACAATATTATTAATATCTTCAGCAATTTCAGAATTATCTAATTAAAATAGATTCAAAAATTCTAACATGGTGTTTTGAATATCACAATAATATGACAAAAAGAAATTTTAAAAGGGTTTTTATTGGATAGCAAATTGATTATTTTCATTTGTATCATATTTAAGATTATTGATTTCATAATCGTAATCTTGATTCAAATATTTTACAAGGGCAGCAGTGTATCCTAAAACTCCATTTTAAACTATATCATTTATTGCATCTATACTATAAATAATATATTTAATATACTTGGAATAAGGAAGGTTTTATCGAGACAGATCACATGCTTTCATAACATTCCAAGAAGTAAACTAACAAATATCGAAATTCAAAATATTGTCGAATCTACTTTTTTTATTGTTTGCATTAGCATTTTCTAAAATGACCTGAGCAACTTCATTAATTAATGGAGACAAACTATCCTTATATTAAATTAATAACTAAATTGCAAAAGTTTAATTAATATAGTTTAAGTTATTATTAGGGATTAATTATTCTGATTTTACAATTCCACCAATGAATCCAACAGAATCCATATTTAATCTAAATTATCCATATTTTAATGTAGCTGTTAGAGATGGTTAAAAGTTTTCATTTTTTTACATATGAATCAAATAACCTGATAATAAAAACGCAGTCCATAATAAAGTTATTAAAAATGTAATAAATACATTCATTCTATTCAAATAATAGGTTCTTTATATTCTTGAATACAATGCACTTGTTGATTTATAATTACTTGTTTATTAATCTTATTGTTTAAGAATAACTTTCTATGCTTTTTTATCAGAAATATCAAAGATAATATCCCCAAAATTAAAGAGTTTCCATAAATTTTAAGCTTGATCTTCTAAATGATCTTTAATTGATGATAATTTAGTTATTTGATCTAACGATTGATTTTCATTTAATCTAGACACTAAAAATAAAATAGATTTAGTAATGTGATCAAGAAATAACCAAAATCTTAGTTAAAATCCAACAAAAAATAAAATTGAAAATAATTCCATAAGCATCACAACCAAAAATTAAGATTTTACTTAACTTTATTGATAAATTGTGTCTTCAGATATTTTAATAATTAATTTATTATGTAGATCGATTAATTCCAAAAAGTTTTGTCTTATAATTCCTTAAGTAAACAATTAATCATAAGATGGTTTATCATTATTTTTATTAACAATGTACATATCATACATTGTTTCATACAATAATGAATAAAAATTTTATAATTAATATGTTTCTTTGTCAATTTAACCAGATTTTACCTACTTAAATTCAAAATTTGATAATCCTAATCTAGCAGCAGTTTATGGTACATCTATACCAAAAGATTGAATATTAGATCTACCATAATTAAGCATATCATCTAATGTTTCAAGATTCCTATTATATTGAAACTAAGACAATTTAAGTATATCTAAGGTATGTAACTCTGTTCCCCAATATTAATAGAATACAGATGTATAATAATAAATTATATTTTAAGGTTTCACTAAATTGATTACTTATTAAGTTTAATTCTCTAAATTATCTTTTATTAAAAAGACGTTTAAAATTTCACAAATTACCATTCCAATCAAAATTAGTCCTAAAATCACTGAAATCTTCTTTAAAGGAGTGATTAAATTTTTATTAAAATATAATTACTAAACTATTAATATTGACTCTTTAGATGTTGAATTTGTAGATGTTCTAGATGGATTTGATGCAAAATCTAAAGCATTCTCTTTATTTTATTATCTTAATTTAATTTTATCAAAAATATTTGATCGTTTTTTTACACTTTAACTAAATGATTCTTATTTCAAATTGCCTATTTCTTAATCATTTTCATCAAAATCTTATTGCATTTATTGGATATTCTAATATTAATTAATTATATACTTGCATATCTTATTCGATTTAAGAAATGTCTTCAATTCTAATTTCTTATTATTAAGGTTTAGCAAATAGAGGTTACGATTATTTAAGAATTCTACCTGTATCATATAAATTAGATCTTTCTGAATGTTTTAGTTACATCTAAAATTTTAAGTTTGTTTAATCAAAACTCAAATTATTACCACTTTAATCAACTAAAGAATTATCTTTGTTATTATGCATAATATTATTCATGAGTCTTATTTCTTAAATTATTTCTTCTTACTGATTCATATTTTCTGATGTCAATTCAATTTTCATAGAATTTTATATAGTTTCAATTTCATTAGATTCTTAATTATATGATCTAATTGTTTAAGGAGTATAAACATTACTTGAAAATTACCCGATTGTTTATTAGGAATAATAAAATTTATATTCTTTAATAGTAAGCATAAAATATCCAATACTTCCTCCCTTAAATTTTAAAATCTTGAACTATAAACTATAAAATATCCCTAATTACACTGATTATTTAGAAATGTCTTCAAAAACAATTAATTCCTTAAGAGATTTTGATAATTCTGGATGTAAAAGAATAATAGGAATATTTTCAACATTAATTTAATTAAAAATTGTATTTTCTATTTCACTTTTATCGTAAAAATCATTTTAAGTATTGTTCGAATTATTAGAATACTTTGAATATGTTTGAGATTTATAAGACATGAAATTGTAATTATTTTTCTATTATGTACCTTAACTTCTTTTTCTAAATTGAGATAATAATAGCTAAATTTGTTGTAAACATTCTTGATGATTTATAGGAATCATCCAAGTAGATTTCTAATTATTTATCAGATAGTTCAAAGATGAACATATTTAATTTCTTAATTCTTCTATTTAATTTTAAATATTAGGAATATAAAATTAAATTAAAGGTTATTTTAATAAAAAATCCTTTACACTAATTGTATTAGCTGAACTATCGTTAGTCTTGCCAATAATATTATTATAATATTAAGTGTTATTTTTTATAGCTTCATTATAAAACTTTGAGGTTATTCCTAATATTTTTCCATCTATACCAAATAGGATAGTTTCATTTTGACATTATTCTTTAGTTACAATCATGTTTAAGATGAAATCGTCTGTACCATTATAGAAATTGAATAAATTAATACTACAAGGTTCTATATAACCAGAAGGACTTTAGTAAAATGATGATTCTCCATGAATCATTAATTTTGAAAATCCATTTTATATATAATTTTCCATTAATTATTCATGAATTTATGATAAATAACTTGGCATAAGTTAGGAACAATGTTTAATTGCCTTACAAGTTTCCTCAGTTTCATTTAAAAATTTTGACATTTACTTGTAATTGACATCTATCAATTCACCTCTTTTAGAAACAAAACTTGATTTCAAAATTACAAGTCTATCTATTTATTTATTATATTAAAATTTACCTTAAACTAATTAAATATTGTCTAATGATTCATCTTGCTTAAATCTTTCACTCTTTAAAAGGTCATCTATATTTTTCTCTATTTAAATAGATTAAAATTAATTAGTATATATTGCACAATAATATATTTGAATTATCCTTAAACTTATAATATCAGTTCCTTATTAATTTTTTAATTTATTTTAAATTAAATCAAATCTATTTTCAATCTCCTCTCTACATCTTTACATTCTTTTGGCAGTTTTTAATGCTTCCTATAAAAATTAATCAATATCTTAATATCCATTAATCAATTTATTCCAAAAATTAATTTTTGCCTATATTGTTTCAATAAGATGTGGAAATAACAATTAAGCAGAATGAGACGTATTATAAACAGTTTAAACATCTAAAGAATTTTAATGTTCATTTGTATTCTTTATAGAAGTCTTATTTTAAGCTTCTTTTTAAAATTATTTGCTTATTTTATTAAGTTCTTCTGCCAAATTATGTTGCCAGCATCTATAATATAAATCAGTAGGTCTTAATAATAAGAGTCTTATTAATGCTTTTAAAGGAGAATGGTTACTGATATAATCACAAAATAAAGAAACTATATGATTATTTTACACTATTTTTTTATTTGCCATTCCTCTAAAAATGCATTCAACGAATTAAGAATGATATTGACACTTTTTGCAATTGTGTATTTTCTATATTATTTAAAGTATAATCCTAGATTTTACTTTGGTTTCTAATCTATTTGCTTCTTCAATTTTCTTATTATAAATATAAATTTACTTGTAATGTTATTAAATTGCCTTAATCTTTAATTGTAACATAATAATTTTCTATATAATCTACTAATTCAAAAAAGGTTCCAAATATTAATGATAATATTATTAAATATTCAAATAAAGACAGTTTCATGAAAATAGATATTGAAGAGATTATCGAAATCAAATCTATGTAAAATGAATATCTTGTATTAATCAGATTTATTGTTTAAAACATTGTAAGTAAATATTTGATTAATATTAGTGTTAATCTTAACGGTTACATTAAATCAATACTCTTAAGAATAATGCTTATGAAAACTCCAATTTGTACTATAAAATTGTTGAAAAAAGAATAGTTTAGCATTAAAATATGATTATCCCCCATAAGTGAATCAGCTCTTCCAAAATATATATGTATAGCATTAATTGTTAAAGAAATAGTTAAATTAAAAATGCAAATGATAATTAAGGTTATGTAAGTTGTTGTATTACAAAATGAACTTTCAGAGCATAATGATTTTTAAGTGATAAAATAAAATGATGAGTATGTTATTGGAATGTAAAAGATTAATGTATAATGCAATAAAAAAAAGTGCAAAAAAGTGTTCATAATCCTTTATATAGAGGCTGAATTCTTAAAATAAATGAAAGCTAGAATAAGGATGGTATGCAAAGCAAAGAATGCAATAATTACTAGAATCAATTAATTATTTGTTACAACATTAATAACAAAACTATATGACGTTAGTTAACTTAAAATCCTACAATTCAAATATTTTCATACTTTAATTCTTAATGAGATTCCTAATTTATGTTATTAATTATGGCTATTTCTTGTGCTTTGTTTAATATTGTAAAAATAATCATTAAACCTTTAATTGACTCTAAAGAGTTTAAAGGATGCATCAAATAGTAAATTTCTTTAAAAAGCTTTTCAGTGTTTAAATTTTTCATTAATTATTTTAAATATTGGATAATAATATAATTGTTCTATAATTGTGGAAAAATTAATTAAAAATGTAAGAAAATAGCAAACTTATATATCAAATAAAAATTAATGAATCACCTTGATTTTCTAAACTGAAAAAACTAAAAAAAGAATCTCCCATTTCAATAATTTCTGTTGGTTCAAATCGACAAACTATATGTCTATTTTCATTTGTAATTCTTAAACATTATTATAAGGGCATAAATTAAAAAGTTAAAGTATCACCTTCGCTGAAAGTAAAATTACCTTTTCTTAATAGTTTATATTTATTTTCATTCCATTCTTTTCTTTTAATTTCCCCTAATTTATTTATAATAAAATCAATTGAATAATGACATAAGGTAGAACAAATACCAATTAATAAATTACCCTTTAAAGTTTAAATTCTCATTCTCCAAATAATACCTTATATTGCTTGGGTTTTTACTTTATGATTAATATAAAAGTGAAGAAAGTCATTTTTTTATTTTTATATATTAAATGATGGACGAATTAATTTAGCCTCTATCACTTGGTTACCAGTAAATTAATAGTTCTAAGTAAACATTGTTTTGAATGAGAACTAATGCAAAGTATCAAATGATTCTCCTTTTAACATTTTACAGATCTTTTATTCTAAATATTAATTCTTTTAATTTAACTCATCTATTTTTTTATTTAATTATGTTATTTAATTATCCTTATTATTAAATTATTGTTATACACAATCCTAAAATAGAGATAATAACTTACATCTACAGAATGAAGTTAAAATTATTTTCTTGACATTTTATTGTAACATTTTGAACATTCAATATTTACTTGTTCACATTAATTTTCATGTTATTCTAATTCATTTTATAATTATTAAAGTCCACAACCAGAACAATTTATTCTTCTAAAAGGACATTATAAAATATGTTTTTAAAACTATTCATAACCAGGTTTAGTATTGCATTCTGCATATATACAACTTAGTTAGATTGAATCTAACAAATTATGTATTATTGGTATGGATGTTTTTTTAAATGGTTTTTTACATTTTGGACAATTAGGTAAAGTAGTTTCAATATGAATTTATTAAGGCATTTCAGAAAAAGAACTAGATTAAGAACTGTATTGTGATCCAGATCCAGAATCAGGAGCAACAATTAATGATTAGGAATAAAGTGATTCTTATAAGACAACATCTCCTGCTTAATCTTGAATCCATTTATTTATACAAACTTCACAATATGATTAGAAGCATTTATCCTATCCACAAGCGACTGGCTTCCATAAAATATTTAAACAAATAGGACAAATTAAATGGTCAACTTCTATCTTAGATTAATATAGTAAATTTTTAGGAATGCCACTACATTTTAACAGTTCCAGAGGGTTTAATAAATTACTTTACTCTGTTTACATGATAATTAATATATATTATAATTATATAATCATAATTAACTTCTAAATAATTCTGAGTATCTAACAATTTTTTTAGACTCGATTTAAGTCATTTTTCTTTTGATATTTGTTAATTCAACGAAAGAACTAACACTTTTTGCTTATCCCTTAGTACTTAAGTATTAAGTAGATCCAGCTAGACTTCTAAAAGTTTCCTTGAATTATTATGAATTTTTAGGAGATTTTTCATGTTTAGATAATATTTATTCAGAGATATGTCTTCTTGATTTTAATTATTTTTAGGCAATTTCTTATTCCTTTTGATTGTCATCCATAATGACTTTGATAGCCTTTTGAATATATGTTATAAAATACATTTAAATTAGTTTAAATCATTTTTCTAATTATTTATTCTTCATTAATTTAAGGTTTTTGTTCTTCTTTTTAACCAGATATTTTTTAATAAAGTTTCATTAAAGCAGTTTCTTCTTCTAAATTTTACAATTTCTTTTTCGCTTATTTTAAACCTAAAGTATTAGAATGCTTAATAAGTATTTTCCTAAATGGAGTTTTTATTTTAGGTTTTGGTTTAAGGGATTATTCAAAATTTTATTACTATTATCTTTTTTTCTTTAATCTTTCTTAAGCTTCTAAATAGCCAGAAATTAATTAAAATTCAGTTTTGATTTCATTATTCAATTATTTTAAAGAATCTGTTTCTTTAGGTTCTGCAATAGCATTTTTACTAAATTATCTTTTGAATAAGAGTATTGCTTTACCTAATTCACAATCCTATTATTATCTTTAATTTTCATTGAGTTCATCTTTGCATGTTTTTTCAATATCAGCTAATGAATAGAATGCTTATTCTTTTTTTAATTGATTAACAATAACTCCAGCTAATTCAGAATCTAGTCTAGGATAATCTGATAATTCAGTTTTACAATATTAAGTAAAATCAGTTGGTTTAGTTCTTTTTGAAAATGATGAGATAGAATTTTATTTGACTAATTTTGATTCACTATCTGATGAAATTAATTTATTATGATCATATCCATCCTGTGTAGTAAAGGATTGATAATTTTTTGATGTTTATTATTATGTAAGATCTCTTTCTGTTCTACTACCTTTAGGTACATTATATAATAAATAAGGAGATGGAAGTTTAATAGGAATTGGATTTAATTTAAAATATTGTTATTTATTAAGTTATTCTATTTTAAATTTAAGATAGAATTTATCATCGAGTATTTTTTAATAATCATCTTTAATTTATGATGAGATTTTCTTAATTTCAGTATCATCATCATCTGATAAAAATGTAAAAATTATATGTCTAATTTCACATTCAGTTTATATGTTATCAATATATTTTGAAATATCTTATGCACGACTATAGATGAGAATTCTCAATTGATTCTCATCCTCTAATCTTAAGATTTCATTACAAAACCATTAAGCTAAATGAATGCATTCATTCATTTTAGAATATTCAGATAAATATTCATAACATAATGATTAGAGATATAAAATCATAATTAATTTCATTATGTATTATTCTACAGGTTATAGATCAGAATCATCAATTATATTTGGCGTTTTTCTTTTTTTCAAAATAATGAAAATTAGTTTTTGCAAATATAATAATGCTTTTTCATACTATTTTAATGAGTTCTTAAATTCACATAATTAAAAGTAGAGTTATCCAAAATTTTAATAATGATCAACGAATATTTTGATTAAATCAATATTTGTTGTATTTTACATTTCTTAAATTTATAATATTTTTTCAATTTTAAGCATCATTTTCAAACTGTTTGGTACTTCATTTGTGATTTTAAATAATTTAGCATATAAAATTAACTATTTGATTAATAATGTCCAACATTCATTTAAATAAAACTTAACTATTGATATACTTATAATTTATACTTTTAGTTTTATCCTTAAGCTTATAAAGATTAGTTACTTTTATTAAACTTCCAGGTATACTAATAGTCTAATGAATTCTCTATCTCAATCGATTTAATCCAATTTTTTATTCGATCTAAGAGGATGTTAATTCTTCAAAATGTTCAGTACCTCTCTCATTTTTGAGCATTCTTTAAATGTTAATGTATATTATAGCTGTATATAAATTGCATCTATCAAGCAATAGATCCACTTTAGATATATTATCACCATGAATATATTCCTTTATTAAACTTTGGGCTGCTCTTATAAGTCTTCTGCTTATTTAAATATTAAGTATATTCATTTCATTATGAGAATAATTAATGAAATGTTTATCTAACATTAAGATAACTTTTCGATTTCCATTCTTTTATGTTAGCTTATAGTACCTTTTTTAATAAACCAGATGCATCATTTAAAATAATTTCAATTGGGTATTTCTTCATCACTGGTGATTCATAATCCATATTATTAATATATAATATATTATATTAAAAGTGAAAATATTAGTTAGATANTCATCTTTAATTTATGATGAGATTTTCTTAATTTCAGTATCATCATCATCTGATAAAAATGTAAAAATTATATGTCTAATTTCACATTCAGTTTATATGTTATCAATATATTTTGAAATATCTTATGCACGACTATAGATGAGAATTCTCAATTGATTCTCATCCTCTAATCTTAAGATTTCATTACAAAACCATTAAGCTAAATGAATGCATTCATTCATTTTAGAATATTCAGATAAATATTCATAACATAATGATTAGAGATATAAAATCATAATTAATTTCATTATGTATTATTCTACAGGTTATAGATCAGAATCATCAATTATATTTGGCGTTTTTCTTTTTTTCAAAATAATGAAAATTAGTTTTTGCAAATATAATAATGCTTTTTCATACTATTTTAATGAGTTCTTAAATTCACATAATTAAAAGTAGAGTTATCCAAAATTTTAATAATGATCAACGAATATTTTGATTAAATCAATATTTGTTGTATTTTACATTTCTTAAATTTATAATATTTTTTCAATTTTAAGCATCATTTTCAAACTGTTTGGTACTTCATTTGTGATTTTAAATAATTTAGCATATAAAATTAACTATTTGATTAATAATGTCCAACATTCATTTAAATAAAACTTAACTATTGATATACTTATAATTTATACTTTTAGTTTTATCCTTAAGCTTATAAAGATTAGTTACTTTTATTAAACTTCCAGGTATACTAATAGTCTAATGAATTCTCTATCTCAATCGATTTAATCCAATTTTTTATTCGATCTAAGAGGATGTTAATTCTTCAAAATGTTCAGTACCTCTCTCATTTTTGAGCATTCTTTAAATGTTAATGTATATTATAGCTGTATATAAATTGCATCTATCAAGCAATAGATCCACTTTAGATATATTATCACCATGAATATATTCCTTTATTAAACTTTGGGCTGCTCTTATAAGTCTTCTGCTTATTTAAATATTAAGTATATTCATTTCATTATGAGAATAATTAATGAAATGTTTATCTAACATTAAGATAACTTTTCGATTTCCATTCTTTTATGTTAGCTTATAGTACCTTTTTTAATAAACCAGATGCATCATTTAAAATAATTTCAATTGGGTATTTCTTCATCACTGGTGATTCATAATCCATATTATTAATATATAATATATTATATTAAAAGTGAAAATATTAGTTAGATACATAAATTAGATTGATTGTTTTTTAATGTAATTGTAATCAATCTAGACTTAATTTAGCCATTTTTAATGCATTTTCATATGATCTAGCTCCTCCAATAAATCCACTGGCATGAACAAATACAATATCATCAATTCCAGATATATTTTTCAATTATTCCATATCCTTGATACCTCTCCATTCTTATTTTAAAGATTTACGATTTTCAAAGCTATCTTCATTACTTGATACAGCTTAAACTTTCCAACCTTCATTTTTATCAGGATATAAAACAAATTTAATTAAACCAACAGTCCCTTTTTCTTGTTCAATTTCAAAGATGTGACTTTTCCATGGTAAAGCAATTGGTAATTTAATTATTTATCCAGATGGATCTTATTGAAATCGAGTTTCAAAGGCTTAATAAACATAAATTCTTCCAGAATACCACCCTCTAGATGAGATGAAATAGATAAATACAAATAGATTGATTTCACTTGTGAAATAAGTTCATTATTTACAAATTCAAGGGCTTAATGAAATTTAATATTTTCATCCTAATTCTTTTCACACCAACTAGGATTAAATCTATTAATAACTGCTGATAAATGTGTATTGATTTAATATTTAATTTGATCTTAATTAGGATATTAATTAATTCCATTATCTATAGCATCTATACTTTATATGAAATTCTTATATAATTTCAAATACATTAAGTTTAGACTCTAATCATCCACTTTTTCCTAAAATGATTGAATAAAAATAATATACAATTTCAACAGTAATATCAACTGTAGCAATAATATGATTAATTATATTCTATATAATTTCTAATCCAAAATGTTTATATATTAAACCTGCACTACTTAAACGAATATGAAAATCTTTAGAAAATGAATCCTAGAATTCTTTTTAATGATGATCATAACGATGTGTTAATGGATCATAAATGCCTCCAACATCTACTAAAATATCCTATTATGCCCAAATAGCTGGATCTCTTGTTCTAGTTATAATTCCATTTTTGAATTCATTAGTATATTTAGTCAACATTGCACATGCTAAAACTTCATCTACATGGAATGCTCCATTATGTGTTCCAATTTTCTTAAATACTTATTACATTGTTAATAATAATAATAAATATGGATTTGTAATTATTCTCTGAAATTACTTATTGGATTGTGTTAACATTTTCAATAATAGGAGTGTTACTTTCATTATTTTACATCTTCATTTTCTTTAGAATTCCAAAATTACACAAAAGTCCAGGAGATATTTATTTTGGAATGAGTATTGGAGAATTGATTATAATGTTGCATTAGTAAGTAAAAATGAAAATTGATTAGTTTAACAGATTCTATTGTCTAATTAAAGAGTGATATGAAAAACTATTCAACTAGCAGCTTATGTTACATCAATCTTGTAGCATTTACATTTTCAGTCTTATTAATATATTCATATACAATTTAATTGTACATGCATATGGTTATAAGATTAATATTCACACTTTAAGCAAAAAAAATTAATAAATGGTAAGGACATCTTGTAACATGGATAATTTCATTTTTCTATGCTTTAATATCTCTAGTATCTTTTTAAGAAAGTTATCTTTGTGGAGTCACACTTTCTTCAACTGCACCATTTACATTTATTATATTGTTACTTAGTTTCTTTGTTGTAGCAATCACAGCTAAACAATACATTAAATAATAATTTGAATGTCATTAAACTGTAAATCATCTCATATATATATTATTTAGAGTAAACTTAAAAAACAAGGTGCTAGTTTTGTATACTACATAACTAAATTATTTATTGCCTAATCTATTATTATGACTAGTTTTATTTTATTTGCTATGGCTGCATATCTCTTAAATTAAATCAATAAAATTCCTGAAAAATGTAGTCCTAAAGATTAAGGTTGGTTAGCTATACTTAGTTTTTTTGCTTAGATTTCAGCTGTCACTTATCCTATTGTTATACCTATTATTAGATATTCTGATCCTTTTGTTTTAAAACATATTAGAAAATATTTATTTTAACATAGATAACCATTAGATACTAGTGATATTTCATTAATTGTATAATCATTTCATCAATCAAGCATGTAATTATTATTAATCTAATTTTATTAAGATAATAAAAAAAAATTAGTCTTGATGGTCTTAGTCAATCATTAATTGAATAAAATACTCTCTAATTAGAATAATAAATTTTCAAAAATCAACATTCATCATCTGATTATTTAAGATCTCATACTGCTTCATCTAATGGAAGACCAAGATAACTTACTATTTAAAATAAATTAGAAGATCCTTTTATTCATCAACTTACTAATCAATTAAGAAGTGAAATAATTAAAAGAATTATGGCTTTAATTTTACTCTAAGAATAAGATAAAATTAAATCTATTAACTAGAATTAAAATTTTAAAAAAATAAGAAGATATCAAGCTAATCAAGATTATAATGAATAATATGTCTTTACTGTCAATTAAATATTTTTAAAATAAAATTTTGAAAATCATTTTTAAAGTTAAAATAAAAAATTTAAAATGATTTCGTACGCTCCTGTCATTTTTAATATTCTAACGTATTTATACTATCATATTATATTAGAAAGTAAGATTTTGACTAGTTAGATATAGCAAACTGTTTAGATCTTGAAACTAATTAAGATTAAATCAGAGAATGTGCTTAAACTACTGGGGGAAAGTCAGGAGAGTTCTTCTTTTTTAATTATAATAATAAAGTTCTCTTAAAAACTATAAGTATGACAGAATTATAAACTTTAATTGAGATTATTGAATAATATTTCTGGCATTGTACTAATAATCCTAATACATTAATTGCTAAGATTTTAGGAATATATACATTTGAAGGATTCGAAATTGGAAGAATTTCTATGATTCTTATGAAGAATATTGCTAAAATTAATAAAATGGCTATCACTCGCAATTTTGATCTAAAAGGTAGTAGTCATGATAGAGAAGTAATTAAATCTACTAAATCATCTGGTGAATTAAATTCTTAACAATAAGAATTAATTGTATCAAACCATATAGTACTCAAAGATTTAGATTTCTTAAAATTAGAAAAATAAATTAATATTAGTTCTGAATTCAGTACAGTTATTTATGAACAATTAGAAATTGACACATTATTTTTAAAGTCTTTAGGATTTATGGATTATTCTTTATGTTTGATTCTTGTTGATTGGCTAAGTTTTTATAAATCTTAACTCATTGATGAAATTTAAGATGAAGAATTAATCAATAAGATTATCAATTAAAAAATAACTAGATTGTAACATTGTTATCCTAGTTTAATCTAAAAAGGATTCTATTATCATATAGGAATTATTGACTATTTGCAAAAATATAATTTATAAAAAATTACTGAAAAATATGCCAAAAAGTTTATGAAATTAGATTCAAATCTAGATACGTCCTCATAAAACCCTTATGAATATAGAAAAAGATTCTTAATTTTTATGAAGAAAATTTTATGATTGTTTTTAATGAATTATTGTTATTCTCCTATTATATTAAATTTATATTAATATTTACTACATTTATTCTAGTAATATAACAAAAAAATAAATCAATAAGATACTAAAATAGAATTATATTTTTGAAATATATATAATGAATCTATTTGATATTGATTGATAGAATTTATATATAAATTTAACGAATTGGATGAATATTTTTGATTCTATTTAATATTATATAAATAAAAATAAATTAGATAAAAATTTATAGTAAATAAAAGGTAATTTTAAAATGAATTAAGGTTCAACATTAGAAGAGGAATTTTCTTATTTAATTTAATAATCAAAGATATGCAAACGTGTTATTGTTGATGCAAAAACCTCAATTAATTCTGTATGTATTTCAGAAGACCATAAATAAATAGTAATTTTTCATCATCTTAATGGTGGAGGTTTTCTTAGTGTTTGGGATCTAGAAACATTAAAAGTTAAATAAAGAATTGATATACCTAAACTATACTCTGAGGATGGCTTATGCAAATTTTCGAGAGATAATAAATATATTTTCTTTGCTTTATACAATGATAATAAACTTTAAATTATATAATTAGTTTCGAGAAGAGCTCGGGTAACAGAATGTCATTTAGAAGAAGCATTAAAATAGATGGAAATTTCAATTAATCCAAAATATTGTTGTACTGTGACTTCAAATTATTGTTTGTTATGGAATTAAGATACTAAGAAGGTTGATCATAAGATTAAAACAAATTTAAATTTTATATGTTGTTGTTTTAAAAACAATGACAAATAATTAATTACAATTAGTTATTTAGAAGATGAATATACACAATTTAATTGTTGGAGAACAAATAATTATAAGGTTAATAAAACATGGGCTTGTAGATATGTATCAAAATAAGCTAATTGTTTTTTATTAGAAAAATAATAAATTTTAATAGTTGATTATTATGATGTCTAAGAACACTATATTTAAATATGGAGTTTGATTGGATATTCATTAATTAGATCATTGTACTAGGCAATTGATCCATTTTATATTAGAAAAATTTATAATTCTAAATTAATAGTTGAATGTTAGGATGAGGATGATGAAGAAGAATAGAATACTCAACATTAATGGATAGGATTTTTTGATATTTTAACATTTAAATATAGAAAATTTGAAACATTTATTGATTACGGTTTAAGATATTTTGTTTTACAGAATGCTTTAATAGTTGAAAATAGAAAGAAAAAATCAAATAATACAGAAATAATTATCAATTTAAAATGAAAAAGAAAATATAAAAACTATTTAAGACTGTGAATTTATTTTTAAGTTCATGATTATAAATAAAGTCTTTTATAATTTTAATAAAAATCAGTTTTATATAATTTTATAGTTAATATATAAGAAATTTGATGTCTTCTTAAATTCCATAGCTGATGATAACTGAATAACCTATGGATGAATACTAAGATTTTATTAGTCATTCACTATCTGATGTTTGTTTTTCAGTCAGTAAAATTTAATGTAAAGGTATTAATGTAAGTGAGAATTCAATTGATTAAGATTACTAACACCATATAAATTCAACTCCTTTATCTCCAAACAATATTAATTTAAATAAACAAATAAATGATTTCTCAGAGCAAAAATAAATTATATAGATTCAACAAAGAAATAGTGTAAGTTCAACTTAAGAAAGAGTATATAGAGACTTTTTTCAATACTTCCTAATTTAAAAATTTGTGCATAAGATATCTTTTAAAAAGAAATTAAATTCAATGTTTGATAAGTATCATTTTGAAGTTATTAATGATTTGGGAGCTACATTTAATTTAAATTTATTCAGAGAGAATACAATAAAAATGCGACCAATAATTGTCAAATAGGTTTAACAAATAGAAAACTAATTTATATTAAGATTAAATAAATTACTAACATTGTTATCTTTAAAATGGAAGACTTGTATTAACAAAATTCCATTAATATACCCAGAATCAAAATTGAAAATGCTTTGGGATGCTATAGTTACTTTGGCTAGATTTTATTTTATATATGTAATACCAATAGATTTGGCATGGGAAATGCAATCATTTATGTTTGATATCTTAATTATACCTACATCATTAATGCTTAGTTTATTGATAGTAGATTTTGTATTAAGTTTCAATAATGCATATTATGAATTTGGATCAATAGTAACAGATAGAAAAAAGATAGCTTAATATGTATTTACAAAAACATATGGACTAGATATTTTATCTGTTTTGATTTTAATTACTTTTTTAATAATTTCAGTTGTTCAATCATAGTAAGTAAGATTGACTGAAAATTGGTATAATTTATTATTGCTATTATTTCTAATTTAATATAAGAATATATCTAAATTATCAGAATAAGTTGAAGAAGTGTTGAATTTTTCAAAATAAGTAAGTTCTTTATTAGAATTAGGTAAATTGATATTATTGTTATTTTTTGTTTTACATATATTTTCTTGTCTTTGGTTTTGGGTTGGAAGTTATTCATATAGAAATGATTATAAAACTTGGTTAAATTTGAAAAATTTGGAGGAAGCTGATTGGAATACATAATATTTATATTCATTTTATTTTTCGACCGTTACAATGTTTACAGTTGGATATGGAGATATTACTCCATAAAGTACTTTTGAAACTATACTTTGCATAATGTTTATGATGATTTGTAGTATATAATTATCTTACAGTGTAAGTACTGTAGGTGCAATAATTGATAAGATTTCATTCTATTCAAAAGAAAAAAGAAAGAAGGTTTAAACAATTAATACTTATATGTAACATAAAAAGATTAGTTATGAATTATAATTTAAGATAAGAGAATATCTCAATTATTATTGGTAATGTAATCAATAAGAAGAAACTGAAGAGGAAAAGAATATAATTAATTAATTATCAGAAAACCTTAGAGAAAGCTTATAATTCGAGGCTAATTCAATGATATTGAATAATTGTCCATTATTTAAAAATCATTTTAGTGAATAGTTAAAAAAAAAGTTAGTTAAAAAAATTAAATCAATTGTAGTTTAACCAGAAAATATAATTGACTTTAATCATTTATTTCCTAGTTAAAAAATGAATTAATTTATATGTTTTGTAGAAGAAGGAGAAATTTAGATATTTATAGAAAATGAATTATCGTAAAATCATGTTTCATATAATTCGATATCAATAGTTAATACTATTTCAAAAGGAAGTAGTCTTGGTTTAATGTCATTCATAACTGGAATTAAGGCAAGAGAAAGATTCAAAAGTATTGGTTTTTCAAAATTGTTGTTATTATCTCGAGATGATTTCCTTAAAATAATCCCTGAATTTCCAGAAGATTATGAAGCTTTTAGAGAAATGCATGATGATTTAATTTATAATTCTGATTCTGAATTTCTTAAATTAGCTTGTTTTTCTTGTAAAAGTGTTTCTCATAGAGTAATTGATTGTCCATTGGTTCATTTTATACCTGATAAAGAATATTTAGTTAAAAAACATTAATTTTCTAGAGAGTAGAAACGGAATGAAACTTTTAAATTTAAATTCAGAAGGAATCCTAAAAGATAACATGGATATTTTTCAGCTTATAATGATATTGATCTAATTCAAGAAACTAGTGATTTATATTAAGCTGATAATTATAAGTAATGTTTATTTTATGAAGAATTGGATGATGAAATTGAAAAAAATAAATTTTAATAAATTAATATTGCAAAACCATCTAATTATCTACTTTAAGATTCAATAAAAGAAGAATCTGATGAGGATATTCATATGGCTATGAATTTTTTAAATTCAAAAAAGAGCTAAATAAATAAAATCACTAAAAAATCAATATCATTGTTAGTAGATGAAGATTTAATGCCTCTTTAACATCTTAAAGGAATTAATAAATTTAAAAGAGTAGTTGAAGTTGTTAAGAGTTTAAATAAAATAACAAATCGTAAAAGTTCAAAGGCTTAGACAAAAAATATTTTAGCATCTTTAAATAGTGAAAATTATAAAGAATCTGAATAAAAATAATTATTAAATGGAATATAGAAAAGATTAAAATATATTGAAGATCATAATATTGAATGGATTGAAAAAGATATTTAGGAAATGGAATTTTTAAAGTTGAGATTATAAATGCTTATTAAACTTAATACTTAGAAACCAGAAAAATTTGATTAAATAGAAAGTGTTAAATAGTATAAGTTTTATAATATTCATAATAATGTTGATTAAATTTTGACTCTTTATAATGAATTTTATAAAGTCAAATTGAAAGAATAATAAAACATTCCTTAAGTTTTTAAATAATTTGTGAGATATTTGATGTATCCATATTCATTTATTCATAAATATAAATTTAAGTCAGATAATTTTAATGTGAGAGAGATTAAAAAGGAAGAGACAAATAATAAAAAAAAGAATAATAAATTCTCAAAATTATTGACATTGCATAAATAAAGTAAAAATTTAAGAAAGAAACTTAATGTGAAGAAAGCTTAAATATAACCACTATGATTAAATAAATAATAATAATCATTATTACATTTCTTGCAATTATTCTTTATAAAATAAAGAGTCAGGATGATTTTTAGGAAGTGTTTTATCTAAGATTTATATACATTTCGTCAAGCATTATTAAGCTGATGAAAAGTTTCCAATTTATTTTAATAAAATACCTAAATTACCATAGGTTGTGGCAACAAGGGGATGATCATCTCCAGTTTAAGATTACTTTAAAATAACTAAAGCATCAGCAAAGAATTTTTAGCTTTTGTCATATTCTTATAAATGCTTACAAGAATTTCCAATATTATTTAATGTTAAGGCTACTTCAACATGATTTTCTCCTAACTTACTCTTTTTAATAACCAATGCTTTTTCATATTATGATTTTGCTTAATGATAATCTTCCATTTCAAATAAAACATTTCCAAGAACTTCAATAGTAGAAGCAACTTCTAAATTTCCAGAACCTTAAAGTTTTTCTCTAATAGATAAAGCTTCTTCAATGTTTTTTTTAGCTTTTCCTAAAGTACCTTTTAATCTTTATATCTCTCCTAACATAGTCAATCCTTAAGCTTTTAATAATAGAGCTTAATTTTATAATTATTAATTTTAATTATTATAACTTAGCATACTTTATTATAAATTTTAATTTCCTTAGGCATGTCCTAAAATAATTAAATTATGTAAACCTTCAGTAATTCTAAGTCCTTTTTTAACTCTTTTAAGAGCATGTTTATAATCACCTAATAAGGAGTGAACTTTTCCTAAATTAATACTCATTTTAGCAAATTCTAAACTATCTGGTCCTTTTTCTTATTCAGTAATTCTACAAGCTTCTTCTAGAAATGATCGAGCTCTAATAAGATTTCCTTATAATCTATATCCATTAGCAAGATTTTCTAATAATAGTGCTCCTTCATAACTATCATCTCCATTATGACTATAATAATAATAAATATAAATTACGCTTTTCTAATACAATCTAAAGCTCTTTCATAATTATCTAATGCTTCATTTAGTTTATTTTATTCTCTTAATTGATGTGCAATTTCATTATATAATATGCTAGCCTTCATAAAATAATCTTATGCACTAGTTAAATTATTAATATCAATAAATCCATTAGCAATATCAAATAGAACTTCAGCAGCATGAATATCATCTTTAGCATTTTCATAAGTAACTAATATTTCTTCCATTTTTTCTAACCATTTTTCCCATTCAAATAGATCATAATAAGCAATAGCAATTAATTAATAAACTTTAGTAGATTCAATACCAGCATATTTTTTTTTATATTTCATACTTTCAACAAGATTATCTTCATTAATAGGTATTTCTGATAAATAAGATTTAGTAAATAAAGATAATTCAGCAGGTGTTAATCTACCTGATTCATCACCAACTAACATCAATTTTAATAAATCATGATAATCATTACTTCCTCCTCTATTTCCAGCACGTTAACTATTGAGTTTTTTCACAAGATTTCTTAATTCAGTACTTTCAAAATTAACTTCTAATTAATCCATCATTAATATATTCAATCCTAATTAATAAACATCAGATAAAAATGGATTATATCTACCAACACTTTATGTTCCACTTGCATCTACATATTTTTAAACTTCTGGTGGTAAATAATCTGGTACTCCTCTTATTGTATTTAATAATTCTTCATTTACTTATTATATATTTATTCCTAAATTATTTAATGATAATTAATTATGCAAATTTTATGCTTTTTTTATAAATTTAGCTTCTTCAAATCCTCCTATTTTATATGTTTTACTTAAAGAACAATACCAAATATTATGAGGACGTAAATCACGATGAGTAATATTTAATTATTCTAATTATCCTAATGCTTATGCTAATTCACCAAATACATGTCTTATTTCATCAGAAGTCCATTACCAATTATGAAATTTACGAAAAGATATTATTTCATGTAATGTTGAATCACAATATTCCATTAATAATATTATAGATCCTTTTGAATATTCTTTATCTTCATTTTCTAATATGTAACAATCATATAAAGATATCAAATTCTTATATTTATTTCCAATCTATTACATTATATATATTTGATATAAAGCTTATTTGAATTCATAATCTTCATAATCATTGAAATTTATAACTCTAAGTGTGTATTTATTACCTGTTTTCTTATCAATTACTCTTAATAATGATGTTTCAAAACAATTTGGATCTATTATTACAGACTATTTATTATTAAAATCACATTACTTCATCAATATACCAATCTAATTCATCTTTATATGAATAATCATGACAAACTACTCTTATTGATATTACAACAGAATCATTTGTTGCTAAATGACTATATGGTTTTAGGTTCAAAATGAAATCTTGTTATCTTTCATTTGAAAAAATATCTAATTATCTATCTCTCTTTCTTACCTTTCTTATCATTTTCACCATTTGATAATAGTACTTGATGAAATCGTTATGATTCAGCTTTCAGTTTCTATTACAATCTTACTGGAATTGCCTATGCAAATGCTTATTCATTTGCATCTCTATTTATTGCTTAATTTCCACAACATTGATTACCCATTTTGATTTTTATTACGTTAAAATATTATATTCAATTCTCATATATTTATATATATATTTAAATTTCAAATTATGGAACTAGAAAGATCAAAAGAAATTCTTAGTAATCTATTAGCTAAACAAATTGATTTAAATGAACAAATCTAAAATGAAAATGATGAATTAAATATCAATCTTAAGTGATTTTATTATTCTATCTTAGACGATTACTTAATCTCTTAAATTAAAAAGATAATCAATTATAAGATATTTAAAATAGAATTTTATAAGTTGATCAAACTGAAAATCAATATTAAATCACTATTTCTTAACAAAAATAATTTATCTAATAAATACAATCTGAAAATCAAGAATTATTATTATAAATTCAATAATAATCAGAAATTAGAAATAAAATGGAATAAGAATTATCTAAAATTATTGAATCTTTTGAAAAAATGTAAAAAATTAATTAACAATAATAAGAAGAAATCAATTTACTTTAAGAAAGAAATCAATAATTAGAAGAAACCTAAATTACTAATTCAATTTAAATTGAATAAAGTTAAAAATAAATCAAATTACTTATTAGCTCTAATGAAGATTATGAAAAATAAACAGATATACTCTTAAAGCAAACTAATGAACTGAAATAAATATAAATTAAATTACTCTACAATTTAGATGCAATATAAAAAGAAAAAGATGATATGAGTACTTAATTTGATCAAAAATTAATACAATTCAAATCTTGTTTTCAAAGTACAGCTGAAAATACTAAAGATTTAACAAATCAAGTAAATGAATTAACTGATCAACTTTAACTACTCTAAAAACAAGTAATTATTATCTATTTAATATATTAGAATTAATAATTAATAGAATAAATTGAAAATTATCAATCACTTTCTCTTAAATTAGAATAAGAAAGAGATAAATATCATAAAGATTTAGAAATTACTACTTAAAATAATGTAAGATTATAAAAAAATAATTCAAATCTTGAAATTTAATTAAGCCAATTATCACAAGATCAAGAATCATCCATTAAAAAAGTAAAAAGTTATTTTTATTTATTAGATGAAATATGCTATAGAATAAATTGATGAACTTGAATAAGTTAATGACAGTTAGTTAAAATAAAACAATGAACTAAAATAATAAATAAAAAAACTACAATATCAATAAGATTAGATTCTTCAAGAAAAGCAGGTTATTTATGAATAATTTGAATAAATTCAGAAAAATGCTCAGTATGATCATGAAGGAAATAGAGATAAATATATTAAATTAGATAGATCATATAAAGAATTACACTGTCAATATGATGAATTATTAAATAAAGTATCTATGATTTTGTATTTATTAGTCTAAAATTTAAAATTAGACTTTTGAAGAATAATAAGTTTAAATTTAATTAAATATTAAAGAAATCAATGAATTAAAACATAATTTAAGAGTTTTACAAGAATCTGAAAGAAAATTCTCTTATAATTATGAAGTTATGAGTAAAGAAAAATTTATAATAACTTAAAAGTTAGAAGAGTCTTACTAAATAATTAAAGATTTAAGAGATTAATGCTAATTATTTACAGAAAAATTATAAAAAACTGAAATTTTTAATAAATAATTACTTTTAGAAAGTGAATAATAATAAAAACAAGTAAGAAATTTATTATAATTATAGATAAAAGCTTAAGAAAGTAAAATTGAAGAACATGAAGTTCATATTGAATTGTTATAAGTTTAAATTAATCACAAATAAACTTAATAAGCTGAAATTGATAGATAATCAGCATTTAAATAATCAACAACAAAGAAAAGTTAATCAGTTAATAAGGAAAATAATAATGAATTAATGAGATTAAAGAAATAAAATACTGAATTAACAAAAGAGGCTATTTCTTTAAATGAATAGATATTAGAATTAAAAGTAATTATTGATAAATATTATTAGAATGTTATAAATAAATTAAATGATTAATTAACACAATAAAGTAAAATTAAAACAGGTTTAGAATCAAGAATTCAAAGTTTGATCAAAGTTGTTGAAGAATTTTAATAAAAATAGATTTTAAAATAATAGGATAGTTTAACAAAAGAATAATTCTAAAATTAACAAGAGTAAATCAAAAAGAATTTTTATATTTAAATTTAATAGTTAACTAGGGAAAATGAAGAATTAAAAAAATTATTATCAACATAAGCAAATCAAACTTTTAATTCTACTGAAGAAGTGTCTTCTTTGTAAGATACAGTAGCAGATTTAAATAGAGAAAAAGTAAACTTAATTAGAGAGTTGAATCAAGAACATGAAGCAAAAGTTAAATCTGAAGCTGAAAAAGATAAATTGAAATAATAAATTGAATAATATCAACTTGAAATAGAGAATTGTCAAAATTAATTAGATCTCTATGTTAAAGTATTAAAATAAATGGATGAAAAGCTAAAATAGTAATGATAGAACATTTTTACATCTGAGTATTTCTCCTTTATTAGTTTTATATTAATTCTCAATATCCACTGTTTCCTTATTTAAAAAATAAAAAAAAACTTATCATAAATTTATCTTTTAAATTCTTTAATCATTTTTGATTTCAGATTGAAATATATTAATATTTAAAGTATTATATTACTTAATTTAAATTTATTGTGTTAAAATTACTATAAGTTGAAATCTATATTAAATATAGGGATATATGGTTCTCTAAAAAAATACAACTAAACAGGATTGTTGTAACTTAGAATCAATCTTAATTTACTGATAAAATATTTTGTATATTAATTAATTTGTTTTCAATTAGAGACATTTAATCAATAATGAAAAAGTTAAGATATTAGTGTAAAAGCATTCACTATTTGCTGAATTTTAATTAAAACTTCCCTAGTTAACATATTTAGGGATTAAGCTATTTTTTATATTTGGCATAGCTTTTCAATTTAAGTGGACAATTTAAACCACGGCCAGATATTATGTAAAAAATAAATTAATAATAGTGCAATCTACACTCTTCTAAGAGGAACATTCATTTTTAACATAATAGATGACTAATACTCAACTTTAATTCAGATTCTCTTTTTAATTTTCAATGTTACTCTCATCATTTGTTTATTGGCAAACATTGTATTCAATTATATAAAAAGCTCAGAGAAATGGACAAAGCTAATTTTAATTATTAATTGGTTATTAAACATGTATCACAATGTTTTTTTTATTCCAATTGTATGGTTAAATATAAAATTATGCTTTACTTAGTCAATACTTCATTTTACAATAGCTTTAATAAACTTATTGATATCTGTATTTCTGACATTTCTAGTTGTATTTTTTAAGAGAGGTGATTCTTTAAATTAATTTGAAAATGTTAACAATAATATTGTTTTGCTTAGACTTTTAGTAAAACTTTTAGAATTATTTACTATTTATTAATCATTTTTAAATGATACTATCTCCTTTACATTTTAACTTATAGTTTTGTTATTGAATATATTACTTAATGCATTAAAAATCACTGACTCATCTAATTAAAAAGTAATTTTAAATCTATAATTTTTTGTCTTAAACTTTATTTTACAAACAAATCTGACTCTTATGGATTACTTGATAATTTCTACAGTTGTTCAGCTATTTTACAAATCAATATTGAATAATAAAATTCAGTAAATACTTCTGTAAGGTGACACTATAATAATTTGTCAATTAGCTGAAAAAATCTATAAAAATTGTTTAATTGATAAAAAAGCTAGAATATAATTGTAAATATTTAAAATTAATCATAAATGTTAAAAATGCAAAGCTTTTTATGATATAATTGAATGTATATTAAAGAGAAAGGCAAAAAATGAAAGAGATAAATTATTATATGCAAATTTTGTATAAAATAAATGGCCATTAAGGGCATTAGTGGAACTTCATAAAGAATAAAATGAAAATTTTTACTACTAATCAGCCTTATAGACTTTTTAAAAATTAAATGTATCAAAAATTGAAATTGCTAATTATATTTTTACTTCATATAAATCTTAAATAGTATGCAAATCAGTCATAGATCACTTTTTAAAATTGATAGAAAATTTAATAAAATTTTGGAATTAAACAGCTATCAATTAATTTGATTTAGTTCAATTTTATTAATAATCACGTAACATTGGATTATAAATTAAATAATTGAATTAATTAGTTGAGAGTATATATAATATAAAAAACCATAAATTATGGGGAAGTTAATCATTAGATGTAATAAGTTTAAGACTATAATAAGTATATTATTGTATTGCAAAAGTTGACCTAATAAAAGTATTAAATATAAATTTTATTTAGGCATAATTAATGGAAGAAAAAATTAATGAAGTATTCAGATTTGAAAAATATCAATAGTTTATGACTATAGATAGCAATTAATTAGCAATGAGTATATATGTTATTTACATAAGATAGGTCTATGTTATTAAAAACTTCTTTAATTTATAATATAAATAAATTGATCAAACCAAATTATGAATAGATGAGTTAATTTCTAGAAATTTCTATTGAAGAAATAACAATGATTAAATCAAGTTAAGATTTAATGCCTTAATATTTGGCTAATATACATGATTAATTAACTGAAATATTCATTTAAAAAGGCAAATCTAATTTAACTTAATAAGGATAATCTACATTTTTTTAGAATCCTTAAGGATACATAGTACCTTGTTATATTCATATTTTACCAATTCAAGGAGATAATGATTATTTCATTAATGTATTATTAACAAAAGAGTAAAATTACAATGAATAAATCATATTTGGTATGAATGGAAAATTGTTAGGAATGACTTAAGGTTTTTTTGAATTTACACTTTAAAATTAATTTTTTGATAATTATTCAAAGAGATTTTCAATAAATGATATTATTGAAAAAGGAGCTCTAATCTAATATTACATAGAAAACATTATTGAATAAGTAACTAAATTAAAATAAAACATTGAAAAACATTAAAATTATACTCTGACAGAATTAATTTCATATTGGTAATATCCTGAAAATCACTTTAATTGTGTATTTAGTACTAATTATATTATTAAACAGCATTATTCATCTAATAATGTACTATCTTTTTCAAATTTTATCTCTTAAAAGACTTATTTATAAACTTCAAAACCAAGTACAGTTTAGATATCTGAGTTTGATGATTCACAAAATAGTAGAGAACTAAATTTTGATGGATGTGAATGGTATATATTAAATAATAATTACAATAATTCAATCAAATAAATGTTAGATTAATTAGGTGATAGCCAAAAGACTAATCGAGCAAAGATTTATTTAATATATTCATTAACATTTCGAAAAATTTAAATTGGTAAAAAAACTTTAGGATATTTTTAATTGGAAATTAAAGATTGTAAATAAGATTATTCACAAAAACAAAATTCGAATTATTTTACTACTTTTTAAACCAGAGTATCAGGATCTAGCAAAAAAGATAAATTTTCTTATGGTTTTCCTGAAGAAGATATTGAAATAATTAATTCAGAAAGACCTTAATCATTTGAGGAAGTTTAAAACTAAATTAAAAATATAAAAATAAAGAATCATTTTTTATACTTAAATAAAATAGAGCATGATCGCTAAATAGTATATAATAATTACTTATCTTCTATAAGTGTAACAAAATAAAAAATATAATCTTATGATTTTGAAAATACTTCTAGATTATTGAAACTTTAAACTGATAGATAACCAAAAAAATAACTATTAACAACTAGAATAGAATTATAGAGTATAAATATTTAATAAGATGATGATGACATGATTGAAGCAGTTGAACAAGATTTTTAAGAGATTATTCTCTAAAGAAAGATAATTAATTAGCAAGAAATAGATGATGATAATAATGATACAGAAAAAGAGAAACCAAACAAAGAATCAAATTAAAAATAAAAAACAAAAGCATAACTAGAAATGGCAAGTAAAAATACATTCAAAAAAAAAATAAATACTTTAAAAGATATATTCCTGTATTTAGATCATATTTCTAAATAAAAATATATCATATCATGCCTTTAGAAATTTACATATTTTTCTGTATGTGTAATCCTTTTGTTAATTATCAATATAGTTTTAGAAAGTTTTGAAGTTTAAAAACATATTTAAAATAATGATGACTTTCTCATAGATACTATAACTAAAGTAGAATTTCATAAAAAACTCACAATCTAATTAAATTTGTATGCTCTTTTTAAATTATCATAATTTTCAATCATTAATAAAAATTAGTATATAATTTAAATGGCTTAATAACAAGCCTAGTCAATTTATCACTGGAATAAACCTGAACATGAATATTTAATATTAAATAGTTATATTAGTGATGGATAGATAGATTTAGAGTAATTCCATATGATTTTAGAATAATTTAATACTGAATTGAGACAAATTTATCAAAATTCTTATTTTCAGACTTTTAATTTCACAAATTATACTCATTATATATTTAAATATTTATATAGAGAAATTATATAAGATCTGGATAATTATAAGGATGAGTAACCAGATTTAATTGAAACTATGTTGATTACTATCTTATGCTTTTTTTTGGTTATATATTAAATAAGATTTCTTTATGCAAAGCAATAGGTAATTACTTCAATTTTGAAATTGATATAATAAACAAATATAACAAAAATATATAATCACATAGCTAGATTATCTACTATAAAAGAAACTTTTGAGGCTAAATTAGATCATAATTAGAATTATAACAGTAATTCTAAGAATTGGAAGTTAACCTCTTATCTATCAATAATTTAAGAAGGCTCTCATATTGAGAGATAATAAAAAAAAAAAATTCATGAGTTAGATGGAAATTTAAATCATCATTACATATTTCCAAACTTTATTGTTGTTACTATTTTATGCTTATTTATATTTACAGGATCCATATTGTAATAAAAATATTATTAAGACAAATATTTAGAGATTGAAAAACAATTTTTAAAATTAAATATTGTCCTTGATTCTGGATTACTTTATGGAACACTTATTAAAACTAATAAGATTTTTGAACTTTCAAATGAATTGACTGTGAGATTAATCAGTCAATTTGATGATTGCATGAAATTATTATTAGAAATTTCTAATGATATGATTATTAATCTTGAATTCTTATAAGAAGATTAAAAATTTAATTTTTTGATTTCAGATTATTGCTTAAATTATAGAGAGGATATAAAATATTGTATAGATGATTAATATCCATATAAAGATATGCATTAATTAATTGAAAGAGGAATGATGAGTTTAATTAACAATATTTAAAAATTAACAATAACAGAATTTTAATATGAAATAACTTAAAAATAGTTTTAGAATAACCCAGATGATAATTTGAGTTTTCTTTAAAGTTAAGCATTTATAAATACATTTTTAGTGTATTTTTCTGAAACAACATAAATTTTAAATTAGTAAATAATTCAAATATATAAAATTGAAATTGAAAAATTTAATGGATATGTTTTTTTGATTTAGTTTTATGAAATAATTGTAGGGATAAGGTAATAATTTGAATGATTTTTAGTGTAGTAGTAATTTATTTGATATATGGATATTTGACTTAATTATATCATAGAATAGATTTTTAATATATAATTTTATTTTTAAGAACAATACCAAATGAATAGATGCATTAAAAAAATTTTTTGCATTAAATAAAAAGCATTATTCGAGAAAAATGATAAAAAAACATTATGTATTTGATTAGTTATTGAGAAATTTAAAATTTAGTTATATCATTTAATTTAAACAAAAATATCACTTTTTTCTGCTAATGTTGGTTATTTCAATCTTTTGATTGGTTTTTTAAGAAATTTAGAACCAGCAGAGAATCTTTATAATCCAGAAGGTAATAATTAACCTAATTTTCTGAGTTTAAATCCTTTTTTAATAGCCATAAAATAAAATGAATAGAGGGAATTTTCAGGATATGTTCTTTTTTTTCCAAAGAATTTTTATGCCCTTGAATATCTAGTGAAATATAGAATATAAATACCTTTTAATAACAGCATCATAATTATTAAAAGGTTAATAGAACTAAAAAATACACATTTTATCAAAAGCTAATACAATAGTAGTAATAGTAGGAGCTTATAATAACTAGCCTGCATTATTTTAAGTTAAATTATCAGTGATTAAAGTTGGATCATCATTATGTGTTCTTGTTCTACCAGTAATTTTTCTAGCTTGTTCTCTTGATAAAGCATGTCGAATTTCAAGATCAGATTAATTTTTAGATTATATTTATTATTTTGCTAGACGAATTTCTGTAGGAACTTTAGATGGATCATCTGTAGAACCACTTCTTGATAATTATTTCTTTGGTGTTTATTATTTATTAATAAGTTCATTTGATTTTTATTGAGTTATTTATTGTAAAGGAACTACAACTTAATCTTATTCTTCAGATGAATCTAAAGAATCACTTAATTATTCTACATTCCATGTAACTTATAATGTATTAGATAAAGTAAATACTTTCTTTATTTTTAGGATTTGTTCCTCCAAAGCCAGCTGTTTAAACAGTTTATCTTGGAGGATATGATTTACGAAGATATGCTTTGTTTTATTAATGATCATCATCAATGTCCTATGTTTGTTATTACTTTTAACTTAATTTACTCATAGTTCTTGATTAACTTCTTTATTGATTAATTGAGGAAGGTAAATCTAATTAAATAATGATAATAATTATATATAATTACCATCATCATCTTCATATGCATCATTTATTGGCATAGTATGAGAATCTCCATCTTCAATATCAGTTCCACCTCTCTCTTATTAATAAATATCTTATATTAAATCACGAGCTCTATCAGAATAGTATTTCTACATATTAAAGGCACAAACACCTTTTGTCTTTTTAGTTCTATTGAATGCCATACTTCTACGTTATTCAATTGGGAATAATTCTTTTTTAAGTATCTTTTCTTAATCTGCACAAAAATGTAATATATGACAATTATTAATGAGATGTCTATTACTATTACAACTATAACAATTTAATTATAGAGATGAAAATTCATTATTTATTAATCTATCTCTAGCATCACAAAACTTTTCATAATCATTTGGAAATGATTATAAAATAGCTAAGAAATATTCTCTCTTTATTTTAAATGCTCTTGTAAATCCTTTAGATACTGCAGTTGCTGTCCTAGCATTTCCTGTAAAGAATGCAACTTCACCAAAACATTCATATTATTTTAATAATCTAATTGAGTTTCTTTTTATAATATCTCCTAATTAATTTTTACCTGAAAATAATAGTTCCACTTCACCTTTTGTAATTATATACAATGAACAATCATCTATTTAATTACATGTAATTATTCTCTCTTCTGGACTAAATGATAATTCTTCCATAGATTAAAGAAGATTTTTAACAAACTATTCAGAAAATAACTTCATAACAATTTTACAATTTTTAAGAATATTTCCTCTTAATTCATATTATAATTCATCTTAAAGATGTCTACTCAATTTTTTAACAATAGAACCAACTTCATCATCATTCATTTCCTATTCTTCTTACCAAATATATTCTAAATAACTTCTTATTCTTGTTTAAAGATCAAACTAAATTTTATTTTTAGACATAAAAGTATTAATTAGTGTAACTGATCTACTATATTCCATAGTACCTTTATACATATTTGATACAAATATTCCTATACTATTAACAGAATATGCAAAAACTATGCTTGCAACAAACATTGTGATATTATTGATTAATAATTCAAGATCATTTTATGCTGTAATATCTCCATAACCAACGGTTGTCATTGTCATAGTAGCCCAATAAATTGAATAATTATAACGAGTACCATTAGTTCTATCTCTTAAATTATAGGCATCTAACCATGAAAATGCTGTAGTATAATGTGCTATTCCATGCCATGTACATCCACAGATATGAGCAATAAATATTATTATCATTAGTAATTTCATTAGACCAACCATATCATTTAGTGAACCATTAAGGTTAAAGAATCTATATAGTATTATCATTACTCTTAAATTTAGGCTAAGATTTTATTTATCTTTGTAATTCTAAGAATATAAAATATTGCACCAAGAACTATTTGGATTATTAACATGTTACTATCTTTGGAACTTAGGTTTGGAATAAAGAATTAAGCTGAAACTGTGGATAAAGAGACCATAAATAAAATGAAATATTTACCAAATCTACAAATGCATATTAATTAAAATAATTGATTATTACTCTTTTCCGATCCTTTATAATCTATCCTTTATAAATAAAAGCCAAATTAAGTCCTACAACTACATCTAGTGCTAAAATAGAGAGAAGCACTATTTCTATAATCTTACTACCATTATCACCATTAAATAATTCACTTATATAATATATTTCAAATGAGATCTTGTAAGGCAACCAAAAAAATATCATAATATAAGTGAGTATTTGAAAAACATCCCAAATTACTATGAATTTGCTATAAGGAGTGAATACATCAATCAAAGTCCAAAAAGCTAAAGATGAAATCAAGGATCTCTAATTTGAATGAGTAATATTTGAAAACCCATCTGATTCAAATTATAAATCATCTAATTATTCAATCTAATAAGCAGATAATTAATGAAGTTTTCTTAAGTAAGATCTATTCCATAAGTTGTTAATAAAGTTGTTTTGTAAACTTTTTGCAATGATTAATCTTAAAAACTAAGGTTTGCTATCTTTTACCGAATCTAAATCATCTGCTTCATATGCGGATTAAAATTCAGATTTTCTTCCTCCCATAGTTTTAAATCTCTCCATATTCTTCGGAGTCCTTGGAGGAGTGTTTTAAAGAATTAGATTTTCTGGTACTGTAAACGAATTTAAGCTCCCTCCTTAATTATCGCCTTCTTGCAATACTACTCTATTACTTAAAAGATGATGAATCGGTCCTTTAAATTCTCCATCAGCTAAATTATTTCGAATTATACTATCCGAAGAATCAAACATAATTATAATATTTTGTGGTTAATTACAATCTTTTTAAATAAATAGAATTACAATAATCCTCCAGAATATGTTAAGATCATAACAAATATCAGTATATCAATTAGTAATGCATAGACAAAATGTTTGGTCTATAGTTATTCAATTGGGATTTTTACTAAAAAAGTATAAATAATTCAATCTGATCTAAACCATTTTCCAATTATATTTAATCCTATTTTAATATACTAATCAAAAGTATGATGATTTATTAAATAAATTGAATTTATATTTGTTGAAATAGCATTAAAATTATCAATACTTAAAAATTATACTATCTCTACTAAAACTTTTATGAAAATACTTCCTAAAATTCATAAATAACAATATTTGGATGGATTTATTAGAAGAATATATTATATAATCAAATTCATCCATTCATTAAATAAAATAGTGAGATAATGAATAATACAATATTATTAATGATTAGTTGGATATTTTATAAGAATGCAGAATATACTTAAGAGAAAATTTCATTGTCTCTAGGGATTCTAAAAATGATTATTTTATAGTTTCTTTAAAATAAGAAGAAATCTATCAATCACTTTATCTGAATGATATAAAGAGTTATCAAAGGAAATGCATTTAATCATATCAAAATATGTCAAATTAAAAAGCACTATTCATTACTGTAATTAAATCCAGATTAAGGAATTATGTTAAAGGAATACTATAAAAATTCAAGAATCTATCTCTTTTAATAAATTCATACTAACACTCATTCTCAAAGCATTTGATAATATTTAAATGGTTTAATTATTAAACTCAAAAAGATCAAATAAGTAAATAAGCAAATATTGCTCACTTACTAGCTTATAAAACTAATTATTATATTCAATTAAATTAAAGAGTTACTATCAAATAAATTAAATATACAAGGCAATCCTTTTTAGGAGTATTTTGGATTCCAAAAAATATAGATTATTTTATTTCAAGCCCTTATACTTGTTAATAAAAAGAAATAAAGATACTTCTAGATGTTAAATTTCAAATCAAAATACCCCACACGACTACATAAATTGGTCATGGTTTTTGTTTATAATAAGAGTGACTCGATAGATACTTATATTAGGAATTTATAAACTTGATTATGAATTTGAATCATTGTATGAATTGTGATACTTAATCGTGTTGAGATTCTTAAATTTTTATTGTGGTTGAATCTATAATGATTTTGTAAGTCTATCATTAATACACTTTAGAACTTGTTAAGTGGATGGATAAATGGCTTCCAATATATTACATAATTGCTCATATCATTTTGGATTGGCTAGGAGAGTAGTTCAGAATTAGATATAACATAACATTATTTATACATCTGAATGTATAATTGTTAAGAAAAATACTTACTGAGTTTGTTGTATAATTTTTCGTTTAAATTGTAAGATCTTATCCTATATAGTTAAAGTAATTTAACCCAAATTATATGACTATTAATTCTGTATTTCGGATGATAGGAAAAACCATCTATTAGTGTGAATTCTAATGAATTAATAACAGAAATTTTAATAAATTGTAACAGTTAATAGTATTCCTTAGATGTAAGTTTTGAGATATTATAAAAAGGTTATAAAATATATAGAAAGAAGAAGAATATAATCAGAAAAAGTAGTGATCTATTAATAAAAGGATCTAAGGTGATTGAATAACAAATATAAAATATTTTAGATGAAACTTAACAATAGAAATTATTATTGTAAACAAATGATCAATATAAATTGAGTTCAGATAAAAAATTCACTGAACTGATAGTTCATGAAACTATAGAAACAATTGAATTTATTTTAGGTGTGATATCAAACAAAGGTAGTTACTTAAGTTTGTGGGGATTGAGTCTTGCTGATTCTGAGTTAGCAGATATGTTTTATTGTTTAATTTTATAAAGTTCTATGATAGATTGAAGATAAAATGGGTAGATTATTAGAATTAACAAAGGTATTACTAATAAGATATTCAATTTTGGCTTTAGTGAGTTTTTAATTATTGATTTGAATAGATACTATGGAATGTTCTTGACATTATTTAAGATTTAAATAGGTAAGAAATGAAATTAAAAAATAAAATGTAGAATTGCAGAATAAGTTTATAAGGGAGGAATAGAAGTTAATGTATAATCATTATTAGATATAAATAGATATTGATAAATATGAATATGAGATATAATTCATGATTGTTCTCCTTATTGATTATATTTTTGAATATACTTTTAGAATTTTTAAAAGTTAGCGTCACTGTTAACATTATATGATTATGTATAATCTTCGTCATTTTCAAATACAACTTGTTTAGTGGGGAAATATTTCTTAAATACTTGGCGATTGCCTTTAGCATATTCAGCAGCTCTTCTGATAACTTCTTCATTTGACAAGTTTTCTCTTTAGCCCTTATTTAATCATGAGTAACTTACAGGGAATCCTCCACTTCTCATTTTGTAAAGTTACAAAAATGATTGTAATTAGGCTTATTATTCGAATTCATCGAATTGAATTCCTCTTAAATACAAATCAACGTTATCCCATATTGAATATATTTCATCAGTTGGTTAGGTGAATTATGATGAGACACTTTCATTTTTTGGTCTGATTGATTAAGATTCTTTTTTTGGTCTTATTTCTTCATTAGGTTCTTCAATAACTAAATCTAACTTGTTTTGATTTTAATTGAGATCACTATAAATATTAGATGATTATAGTTGTTAGTGATTAATATTTTATTAATCTTAAGATTTTTCAATTTCTTCTTCTCTATATAATAATACTTTAACATCTTGTTTTTCTTCTTCATTTTTTTCTTCTTTTTTTTCTTCTTTGAATTTATCTTTCTCAACACTAGTCCTTCGAGATTGACGTAATGATATAGTATCAATAATATTTCTTCTAAAAGAAAACAAACTTTTATGAGTTGATTCACCTTCATCTTCAGATCTTGGAGAGTTTAAAGATGGTAATGTAGGCATAGTTCTATCTGATGGTAATTATTTAAAATGAGGACGTTCTTTAACAACTGCTTTAATAGTGTCTCTGGTTTTAGTTTTAGTATGTAAGCGTGAATTACGAATATGTTCTGATGACCTATTTGGGATGTTCATTGTTCCAATACTCTAATGATTTGAAAGATCTTACCTTATTTATGGTAATTTAAGAGTTGATCTAACAATCAGATTTCGATCTATAGGTTTTCCTATAAAGGTTTTTTGATATTACTACATTTTAAGATAATTTATATATTAAATATGTAAATTGTATTAAAATTTAATTTATATAACAAATATAAATTAAATAAAAATGATCATAGACAACATTATAAATGTGCCAATCGTTTATGAATGTTTCCTTAATAAGTGTCTCCAATCAAATAAGCAAGTTTGTGAGCATATTGTACACATGCTGGTACTCTAAAAAATTAAATACTAAAATAAATTACCTCACAGCTCCAGTCCAATTCTAATAATTAAAACATTAATAATAGGTTAATTGCCAGAACAATTCTTCAGTCCAATTAGTATTATTTTCTAATACTCTATAATGGGTAGGAGTACAAGTTCCTTAGGTAACATATTAAGCGGTAATGAAATAATCAAAAGAAGATGATGTAATCTTATCAGCGATTACTGTACCTGAAGGAGGATTAGAAAGTTGTGATTTCATTTGTTATTGTCCTCCACCATTTACCATAAAGAAACGATCATTTATTTTCTTATTAATCATAATAACAGCAAATTAAGGATTGTAATTTTTATTGATACTTTTAATTGCATTTTTCATTTACTGGATTTCAGTTTGTTTAAGTGCTTCTATTTATGCATTTCCTACTCCATCTCTAAATATTATGATAGTATCTGGTAAATATTTTCTACCATTCCTTTCAAAATATGCAGAAATAGCTTCAACAATTACTCTTCCTACTTCATGAGATAATTCTTGGCCTTCTCTCATTATTATGGGTTTAGCAAATGTATTTAGACATTCCGATTCTAAATAAGCTACAAAACCCATACAAGATTTTCGATTTGTTAATAGTTTATGATAAATATCGATACCAACAATCATAGTTCTATCTGATATACCTTATGGTTTTGGAATAGCCCATAAAGGATTACCCAATTTAATACTCATCTATTAAGCTATTTTAGAAGCTACACTAGATGGATTTTTAGTTCTTAAAAATTTACTTAAGATGTTTTAATGACTTATACCTTGATCTTAAAAACAATACTTTTTAATTTATCCATAAATTCTATCTTTATCTCTCTCATTAACAAAAGTAACTATCATTTATGGAGGTTTATCACCAATTTCAGTTGTTAATCTCTATAACCAATTTTATATATTGTTATCTTTCAGCATAACAAAGTAAGGTCTTTCAATTCTGATTCCAATTTTTTCTCCTTGTTTTTACAATTCTGATACTATAAAATCAACATCATCATCATCATTCTTACCTTTTGATTGATACACCATAAACCAATCTTAAATATGAGAACTTTAGAAAACAGGATCTTTTATCATAAAAAATCCACTTTAATCAGTTTAATATTCTTTATTCCCCATAAATATTCTAGGTGCTTATAATTAAAATCCTTATACATTTTGATCATCACTTAACTGTATATTTTATTTACATAAATGTAATTTTAAATTCTAATAAAATCCATAAATTTCATCATCTCTTTATTGTGGTGTTAATTTAGTATATTTAGCTACACTTTACATACATTTATAATCTCCTCTTTAACGATCAGTTAATCCTGTCATTGTTAATAATTCAGGGACTAAATATGCTATTTTATCTTAGTTTCTTTTATCTTTATATACTAATAAAGGTTGCTGAAGATCTCTAATTTAAATATTATATCTTTATTTATAATATTCTTAATAAGTAATTTATTTTCCATCTTATAATTGAAATGTATGAGTAGGAGTTAAACCAAACTCAATTTCATCAATTCGATATATTCTACAATTACCATAGGAAGCTAAGACACTTAAACCTATCATTTCATTTTTAATATCCTGCATATTTCTAGTATTGATACTCATCATAAATTCTAATGCAGTTTAATCTCTAAGAACTCTTGATGCAAAATCTATTTAAAGGAAAGGCATCCCTTAATATAGTTAAAATGATGTTTTAACACCTCTCCATACTTTTAATCCATGTTCATTTATCTAGAATTAATATTATTAAAATAATACTCTATTGCATTCAATATTCTTTGGATCATAAAATTTAGACTACCTACCAATTTCAATCATACCCATTTCTTTTAAAGACTTTTTAACTGCTACATTAATTGATTATGTGACAGGATTAGTCATCATCTCTGATAAATCTGATAATGTATATTCTTTCTTATGTTGAGCAATAACTACATATTCTTATTCTTGGAATGATGCCTTTGCTATTAATCTATCTTTAACATTGAAAGATGACCAAATATTCTTGCCTCTTAACTAAAATCATCTAAATATTTATTACTGTAAATTCTTATAATCCTTATATTTAAAGATCTTTTGTTGCTAATTTAACAATCTCTTCACGTAATCTACGAGCATCATCTGCTATTGCTGGATCAAAATCAACTGCGTAAATATTAATCGCTTGATTTTACTATATGAATTTCATTGGAAAATGATTTGATATTAGATTGATCCTTCTACTTATTTGTTCCAACCTTTATGATCTTCCAGGTCTCTTTGGTAAATCACTTATTTTTTACATAAATATTTTTATTTCAAACTTTACAACTCAAATAGCGAAATCTTATTAAGGATTTTGAAAAATGGGTTAGTCCAATTTACTCTCATTTTGTCATAAATAATACGATACTCCACTTATTCAAACCTTATCTTTCACTCTCTCTCATAGAAATTCATATCAATTTAAACATGAGATTGGACCCTATCTAAATCAAACAGAATCAGACCATTACCAATAAAGAGAATCCAATACTATACTTTTAAATACAAACTTTCATTATTTTGATCTTGAAACACAACTTATTCAAAAATACAATCATTGTATATTCCCATAAGACAAATCACTTAAAACATATTATATATATAGCAAATAACATTATATCAATCTAATTAGATAAGGTTCACCGTCTAAATTAAAATGAGCAGCACGGAAATCAATTATTTTGAAAAAATCAATATCCGAACAATTATCTTGGATAATCACAACTAATCAACAAAGATAACAAAAGAACACTAATTGATCATACTTTCTGTTAATGATTATACTATTGTACATATTCAATTATATCACATACTCTAAGCTCTATTTAATTTATATCCAGTAATTAGATATTGCTAAGGAATGAATTTCATTGCAGGATTTCTCCTCTGAGTTTCTGGTGATGATGAATATTATAGTTATTATTGTTTTGTTACATTACTTAGACATCCTAAATTTATGATCTATTTCAATAATAAATCTAAAATTCAATTACTTGGATTCTTAGAATTAATTACAAAAAAATTGATACAAAAAAACAACCTTCTACTTTATAAAAATATGTTTTAATTCGATTATCTAGAATCCTTTTGGTTAACTAAATCATAATCACACAATTTTTATACAATTTCAGATTATAATACTAAAACTCTAGAATTATATTATTGCTGAAGGCATCTTTTATAGTAATAGCTTAATTTCTTTAAATACTTACCACCATTTCTCATCACAATACTTGATTAGTTTCATTTTTAAATATTAGCTATAAATGATATTTCGGAAATTGCTTTGTGGTTATAATAATTTGATTCATAGTCTTTTGATGTACATAACCTAGAAAATTAAAATAAATATAGAATACAAAGCATGAAATATAGCAATATACAAAACTATGTTGCAAGGGGTTACCTTTCATTGATTAACTGAAGTCTTTACCAAAAGGTTTAAGCCCTTTTTTACTTAATATGCTTAATTGATATAAATAATGAATAATTATCATTATCTTTTGAAATTCATTATCATTGGTGATACATGTAAATCCAAATGTATAATATTTTAAAGGTGTTGGTAAAAGTTGTCTGCTTCTTTAATTTACTGATTCGAGATTCAGAAATGAACATGATGCAACAATTGGTGTCGAATTTGGATCAAGGAACATAAAAATAAACGATAAAAATATTAAAATGTAGGTTTGGGATACTGCTGGTTAGGAAGCATTTAAATCAATAACAAGATCATATTATAGAGGGTTTTGAATTATATCTAAACTAGATCAATTGGTGGTATTTTAGTATTTGATGTGACTTCAAGATAATCGTTTGAGAATGTTGCAAAATGGAATTAAGAGATATAGGGATATGCTTGTGATAAAATAGAAATGACATTAGTTGCAAATAAAATAGATTTAGATGAAAAGTATTATATTATTAATATACATATAAGACGGGAAGTTCATACTGATGAAGGATTAGCATTTGCTAAAAAACATGGATTTACATATTTTGAGACTTCAGCAAAAACAGGAGAAAATGTGAACAATGTATTTGAAAGTATGGCTTAAACAATAATGAAAAGGATTGATACTGGAGAAATTGATCCATCTTAAGAAGTTTAAATCATTCATTTAATAATTATAGATATATGGAATTAAGTAGGGTCCTGGAAATACAGAGTAGCCAAAAAAATAAGCAGCATCATAAGATTCTCAAAATCCTAAACCTTTAATTGGCAATACTACACCTTCAAGTTATAAAACAGAAGGGAAAAAGAATGAGGGCTGTTGTTGATTGTTATGCATATATAATAAAATTAATATAATGCAAACTGATTATTTTTCTTTAAGATCAGCATAGCCAAATAGTTAAAGTATTAAGAACTTGGATTAATAAATTAGAGGTTAAAAAACTACTTCATAAACAGTAGACTCAGTTCCATGTATGAATTGTGAGAATTTAATTCCTATAAATGAGATTGATTAACACACAATGAAATGTCTAAGTGTTTCAAAAAGTGTGACAGCAGTACTAAAATCAAATAGGATCTTAGATGAAATAAATTTTAAGATTTCGAAATTGAGAGAGTCGATTCAACAATTAAATTTAAAAGAATAGAAATATGAAAACAATAAGTATTTAATCAGAGCGGATGAAATGTGTGAATAAATTTAGTTAATCTAAAACACAAATTAAATAGAGTTAAAAAAGCTACATGATTTAAATTAAGAATTACGAACAATAACAGAATCTTATCATGGTTCATTAGCTATAGCATTATATTTGGAAAGATTGCATTCTTTGGGACTATAAAAGTAAACATAATTAGAAAAGGAAATTCGAACTCCTAGGATTGATACTCAAAAATAGAATAGTAATCATGCAAACAACATAAATCCAACTAACTAAAATTAGTTGAGTAGTAATTAATTAAATAATAATTATAAACAATTACTATAGTGAATAATAATCATTAACTAATCGTTTATAATAAAATTCAGAATAGAATAGAGGATCTCAATTATTATCTCCATCATAATTATTTAATTCTCCATATGGAAGACCTACCATAATAACAAAGTTCTCAGGTAGTTAAGATAGAAACTAAATTTATGATATGAAAAGTGAAATTTTAACTAAAATATCAACATCTTAACTTGATGAAAGTGAAGCTAATTAAAATGATAGTGATCTTAATAATTCAAATCAATATAATTAATAATAAAGGATATTCTATTCTAAATATTTAGCTTAGAAAACTAAATTATCTAATACTCATCCATCTTAAAAAATACCTTTATGTATTCTACATAAAGAAATGCTTCAGAGAAAAATACCTAATTCAATGTGAGATAAATTCATTAATGATGCTTTAAACAATCCAGATTAATATCTAGATATGAATAAAGTGTAAAATAATCAAGGTTTGAAGAATCATTTAAGATAAATGACTTAAGAACACTAATTTAAGTAAAGAATACATAATATTTGAAACTAAATTTAAGGATATATATAATTAAATTTTCTTTAGATTTTATTAAACTAATAGATCATTTTTATTATATTCTTTTATGTAAGTTGTCAATTCAATATTTGATTATATAAATATATATTTACTTCTATAAATAAATCTAATAAATAATAAATTAATGAGCATAATTAGAGAAAATTATTAAAATAGAGGTAAAGTTTATCGTTGCTTTGCCATTTTCAATTGTGATCGATTAGAATTTATTCATGTTTAGAAACGACGATGCAGTAAATCATATGAATCCTCTTATTAGGATGTCAAAGATTATGCTGAAAAGTGTTTCTCAAACCATTCTAAAGAATTGAATTATAAGAATTCATATTCAGAATGGTTTGGAATCTTAGATTAATTATAAAGTAATAATTTTACTATCATCATTTTCTAGAGTGTTATTTCATCTTTATGTTATTTCCCCATAGTAATATTACACTTGTAAAGGAAGCATTAAATGAAATAATTAAACTAGTAACCTCTATTCCTAACTATCACTATGTAATAAAATCAATATTTATAGTTAACTTCTGAACAATTGGATTAACTAAAAAGAACAGAAATCAGAAAACTTATTGATAAATTGGAAAATTAATATATTGAAAAAGGGGGTCCAGTAGGAATTCCATCTGATGATGAATCAGCTGGTAGCAGAATTTATAGTTTTAATCCTATTAAGTATAATTAATTTTTATTTTAATCTTTAGAACAAATCCTTAAAGTTCATTTAGGTCTAATGCTCAATTATTGTAATCAAAAAATGATACTGTATAATATTATTCCAATATATTTCTAGAGAGATATTGTTTAAACTAAGTCTCTAGATAGAGATTATGTAGAATTTGGAGTTTACAGAGGATTTGCAATATACAGTCTTTAATCTGATAAAATCATATTTTAAATATAAAGAGGATCTAAATCAGCATTTTCATAATCTATCAATAATATTTCAAAATTTATTAGATCTTAATAATCAGATAAAAATTAAATTTTCATTGAAAAAATTAATTCCAGAGCAGAATGGCATGGAAAGTATAATAAAAATGATGGTATTATATCTTTATTATTTTTAAATAGAATGCTATTATATGGTTATGACTTTTTAAAATGCAGATCCAGAATAATGCAATAGCACTTTAAAATTAGCTATAAATAGATTTTCTAAAGATCCAAATTTTGTTAAAATGTCTAATTAAGAACTAAATGATAAATTTCTTTGGGACATCAGTAATCTCTTGAAATCCTCAGAAAAACATTATGAATATGATCATGGTCATTTAGGAGTTCCTAGTGATGAAGAAATCAAACCTAAATTAGATTTATTAAGATAAAGTACAATTGGTTAGACCAAAAATTATTCAGCTTTTTCAGCTTCTAAATTGGAATTAATTCAAATGTAAATCTTACCAAGATCATAATTATAATAACTTGGAATTAATGATTTAGATTCCCCAATTTAAACTAAAGAAACTGTTTTATCTAAGCTTAATTATTTTGAACCAAAAGTTGATGATACAGAAGATATATTATAATATGGTGTTTTTACATCTCTTATTATTCTGTTAATTATTTTTGCATATTTGATTTAAAAATGAAATATTATTATTAAAAATATTCTAAATACAAATATTTTTTTTTTATGGAAACAACAGCAGCACTTACAACAAATACATTTAAACTAACAGGAAATCTAAAACCACTTGATAAAGATATTGTTTAACTTTAATAAGATTATGAAATTATGAAAAAGAATAGAGAATAAGCTAAAGCAGATTTATAAGCTAAATTTGATGAAGTTTATGAGTATATTCTTTATCTAATTATATTATAGTAAAATTACTCAAACAAAATAGATGTTTGTTAAATTAGCTGTTGAATTAAATGGAAAGATATAAACATTTCAAAAAACAAACAATACAAATATTTCAAGTTACCATTTCATTCATATAAATAGACTTGGAGAATAAACATAATGATTAACATAATTCATTTAAAACTCACACAAATTGTTAGTTGGCTACTTTAGATTCTGATATTGTCAAATTAGATTAAGCTATTGAATAAGAAAAATTAGATAGAATTAGAACTGAAAAAGAAAACATTGAAAATATTTAAAAATCTATAGATTGTATTTATATATAAAATTATAATTAGAATTATTTAGTAATTTTGAATTAGAAAAGTAAACTAGAGTGTCAAATGAAAAGAAAATATTAAATACTATAAAAGATACTTCATAATAAATAGATTAAGCTATCAAGAATGAAGCTAATGAAAAGGAACAGAAACATCAAGAATTAATTAAAAATATTAATCATTCATTATAGTCTGAAAATCGTTATTCAGAAGGATTTAGAAATAATACTGTTAAAGAATTTCATCTACAAATAGATAATATAAAAGATGAAATCAATAATAGATTTGATCAATAAGATAAAGTTGTTGATGATTTAAGATCTGTTATTAGAACTATTTAAAATACACTTGGTATCCTAGGTAAGGATGTTTGATCTTTTGTATTAAAATATAATAATAATAATTAAAATATAAATGTAAGTTAAATAATGCATGTTTTGCCAAAAATTAGCAACTGATGGATCTTTTCAGTTAATACTTAAAAGAGCATTATATTCTAAATACTCTTAATCATAGAACTTTTTTTATGAAAAAGACATTAATGATATTTTAGATGAAAAATAAGTTAAATCTACTATTCAAAACAAAGATAATACCTAATTTAGTGAAGAAAAAGAATATATGCGTAGGTAATGAAAATAATAATATCATTAAAAAAGATTTTATAGATTTTTTGAAAGTGATGATAGAATTCCTTCATTATTAGAATATTATAAATACCATATTAATATTCCAAGAAACTTTCATTGTAAATAAATTAATAAAAGAATGGAAAAAGTTAGGGAAATCTAATATTGCAAAGTTAAAATGGAATTAGGACTATATGAGGAAGCAAAATAGTAAACTCCAACTAAATTTAAAGATTCCTCTGATGATTGTTCTGTTAGTTAACTTAAGTATTTATTAAAAGATCTTAAACTTTAATCAACAGACATATCAAGAGTCAGTAATACAACAGTACTTAAAGATTTAGTATAAATGATAGGAGAACCATAAAGTAAATCTAAACCATTTTAAATTTTTAATCAAAATAAATAATTTAAAAAATAATTTAAGCCATCTTAAGAAGCTTAAAAATTAATCTATTAAAATTGTTAAGGTACTCTTAAAAAAACCATTGAAATGTAATTAAAATAAGCGAAATAAATTAATTCTCCACCTTTAACTTAACGTATTCCAAAACCAATCCAAACATCAAGATAATCTTCTGCTCATAAATAAACATCTAAAGTTGAAATCCAAACATAAACCCTTAAAAAACCACCATAATTAAAATCTAGATAAGCATCTCTAGGAAACATTGAATTCACTAAATCATGTATGAACACAGCTAGAAATACACCTCAATAAAATGAATTACTCATTGAATTAGCTAAGAAAATGTTCTCGACTAAAAGAACTATTAATAACAGCAATCAAAAGAAAAAAGCTTTTCATTTGAATCAATAACAAAATTTTTTTGTTAAAGGTAGAACTAATTTAGCTAATTCTTCCAAAAATTTTGAAGATTTAAAAAACTCTATGAGAAGTTTAAGATCAAGACATCTAACACCAAGTTAAATTTGTGTTTCAAATCATGGAACTCCTAAAATTAAAAAAAAATGATATAGAGTGAACTTATAATATTTATATTTATATCTTTTAATTGTGAATAATTTATTTTAAAATAAAATATAATCAATTTCTTTAGGATGACTTTGGCTCTTCCTATTTTTAAGTCTAAATTTAACTAATTAAATATTTTAAATAAATTTACTTTTTTGAAGGTATTTACATCAACATTGTTGTTCTATGAGGTAGTTTTAATTAAACATTATTTTATTTTGGCTTATGTTAAAATAAATCTTACTTTTTATTGTTTTTGTACAATCTTTGTATCTTCAATAATATTATTATCATTTTTTATTATATCATTTTAATTTTATTTTTCATTTGAAAATGATCTATTTCTTGAAGATAATTAACTTATAGTTAACCTTGAATGGTTTACTATTTGATTACTTTAAACATTGATGGTTTACTATTAAGAATTGCTATTGTCTTAATTACTAATTGTAGACATATTATTTAAATGTAGTTAATTTTATAAGATGCTGTTTTAATTCAAACTATTTATTGATTTATCTACATCTTAAATAGCATTTCCATTATATTAATAAGTATCAATATCTGTGTTTAACTTTTAATTTGCTGGAATAAAGATTGTTTCACAATCTAATTATCTTTCATTCAGTTATGTAAAATCTTTTTTTTTAATTTTATTAATTTGCTGTGGATTAATTTTATTTTATTTCTTCATCATTGATTTAATATTATTTCTTACATAATTAACATCATTTTATTATTATTATGTATATTGTAAAGACTTTATATCATTCTAAATTTAATTAATATATATTTACTTGGAGATGATTAATTTTTTCAAGAATATCTGTTTGTTATGAGACTAAATTTTATTGTTATTATTTGTAAATTTGCATAAAAATGCCTTCTCTTTGAGGAGAAACCGATTATTATTAAATTGCCTTTGTTTATGATGATTATACTGGATATTTCTTATATAATAATATATCAACCAAATACTACCTTATTGTTATTAAATATTTGAATTTTCGAATTTAGAATATTGTCTGGCTCTAATTTCTTCTAATTGTTTTTATACAAGCTATTCAGCTTTAGCATCTTCTATTCTTTTTCTATCCTATTCTAATTTCTGCAACTTCTTCTTTTCTTCAATTTATTTTAATAAATATTCTTTTAATCTATTTACACATAATAGAATCATATACTCTTATTTTCTTTATTCTTTTTGTATTAATTAATTGGGATCTTCATTCATCAATTAAAAATGTCCTTTAATATTATAAGCATTTTATAATTTTTCGACTGATCCATTTTATTCCATTGAAATATTTTATTTGTATGATAAAGATCGATCTCTATCATTTTAAAATAAATTGCTTCTTCTTGGAAGGGAATAGTTTGCTTATGCTCTATCAGAATTATTATTTAACGATAAATTTAATTAATCCTTTTGATGGCTTGATGGATATATGGCTAATTAAAATAAGCTGCTTTTTAAGTTCTCCATTGAAGATTGATGAGAATTTAACATATCTAAGATATTATAATAATAAACTTTAAGCAGCTGCGTAAAACATTGTTTTTCTAGGATTAGAACTTAATGTATTCATGTGAAATTTAAAATATTTATAAATTAATATTAAATTGAAAAACTAATATTTCAATAATTAGTTTTCCCTTTCTTGTATTTTAAGTGAATATTATTGACGATATTATTTCGGAGTTTCATTTATTTTTCAAATAAATTATTTAGAATTCATTATTTTCATATTTTGTTAATAAATTTTCTAGATCAAGATTAAAGAATACTTAATATTTGTATATTTGAGTAGTTACTCATTTAATATTTGTTATTTAGCTATTTTTAAGTCAACTCTGAGTATTAATTATATTAATAAGAAATTTTTTAGATTATACCTTATTTGATCTAAATTATTTATCAATTATACTTATCAGTATTAAATGTTTTGTAAATTCAAAAGAGATTAATATTAATCATAATCTATTGATTGAGTGAAATTTTGGATATAATTAATGAGTAAAAATTATAATTGAATTTTTGCAATTTGCATTTGTAAAACACTCTGTTTAATTTTTAGTATTAATCCCTAATTCAAAGAATAATTGTTATATTGAATTTAGATTAGACTTTAATTGATGATTTAAAGTTTTCAATGAATTGAAATAGAAATTTTATTTTTACTTCTCATTTTAAAGTTAAAATTTGTAATTGATTTTATATTTGAAATTAAACAAATGAAATTCTTAAATAGTTGAGGATGTAATTTGATTTTGAGAAGAAAGGTTATTTATAATTAGTTTGAATATCAGATTATATTATAAATATTGAATGAATAAGTTTAGAAACAAAGTAATAGTATTAAGGTTAAATTTAATATAATGCTTTAAATAACTAAAGTAGTTATTAAAATGATTTGTTAGTGTGTTTCTATAATTGAGCGTCATAATAATCTATAATTTTAATTTTGGTATTCAATAAATTAAATTTGAAATAGAGATAGGATTTGAAAATAATTGATATTCATAATAAAATTATATTAAATGCTACTTTAGAATAAGATCTTCAACAATTAATTTATAGTTCAGAGAAAGATATCATCTGGGTCTTTTGGGATAGTTTATTAAGGATTAGATTAAATTAATAAATAAGAAGTAGCAATAAAAATAGAAAGGGAAGAAAATGAAGAGGTTAAATCATTAGATAGGGAAGTTCTTATATTAAAGAGAATGAATGGTATCGAAACAATACCAAAATTGATTTGGTTTGGGGAAGAACATGGTTATAATATATTAGTAATGGAACTGTTAGGAAGAGATCTATCCTATCATTTTAAGCAACTGAAACGTTTTACTTTAAAGACTGTATTATTAATAGGGATCTAATTAATGACTGTGTTAGAGAAAATTCATTAAAAAGGGATTATACATCGAGATTTGAAACCAGAAAATATAGTATTAGGATTTGGAAAAGAAAATAATAAAATATACATAATTGATTTTGGAATAAGTAAAGTATATAAGGATGCTAATAATCATCATATGTATAAATGTGATTAAATTTAGGCCGTTTCGTTAGAATAGATCATTTCTTGGAACTACACGTTATGCTTCAATAGCAGCACATTTAGGTTAAGAATTGAGTAGAAAAGATGATTTAGAATCTATGATGTATATTTTACTCTATTTTATAAGAGGGTAATATAATATTAATATTAAGATAGTTACCTTGGTAGAATATATAAAATATAACAGATGTAGAAAGAACAAAAAGAGTTGGAGAAATGAAAATTTTAATGTAATCAGAAATGTTTATAGATTAACCTAAAGAATTTTAGAAGATTTTCGAGTAAATTATTTAAAATTTATAATAAGTTATATTCGTTAATTACCCTTTGATTAAGATCCAAATTATAAGATGATTATTTTTGAATTTAAGAAAGCAGCAGATGCATTAAAAATTAATCTAGATGGAAATTATGATTGGAATGAAATTAGATCATCAACTAACTTTGATTCTTTAATTCCTCATAATTCTATTGAAATGAAAAAATCTATTGAAAAATAACTCTCAGGAATCTTTAATTATTAATAAAAGTATTTTCTATTTAATTTAGTTCCTTTAATTTCTTAGCTCCTCCTCCATAAATATCTAGTAGAAATACATTTAATTGTAGAGAAGAAAATAAGAGATTATCTGTTGCATCTCTATAAGGTTATTTATATATATTCTATTTTAGGAACTTTATAATGTTAATCACTTAATCCTTTTTATTAGACTTCTAGAAAATATTCCAATGATCAAATTGATTTTGAAACTGATTTAATTAGTTATCAACAAAAAGAATTTTTCGATGGTTAATCTCTTATTCTAAAGTATACACATTTACATAATTAGAAGTATTTATTTATTTATTAATTTTAGATTTCATTTGTTATCAACTTTAAATTGAAATTATTTCATATGCATTCTTATTATATAATCATATAAATGTAGATTCCACTCTTTCTTTTTTCTAAATTTATCATTATATATTAAATTATTAATACTGTATTATTATATTATATTTCACATTCTTTACTCAAATCTTTTTATAGCATTATAAACTTAAACATCTAATAAACTTTCATGAGGTAACAATATTAGAGCTTATCTAATTGCTCTTATTTATTTTTATAATCTTCTTGTATTATAGATTATCACATAAAATAATATAAAACATGCACTAAATCCATAAATTATTGTATAGATTAAATAATTTTGATAATCCAATTCTAATATATCTACAGAAGTAATTATGATTGTCTTATAAAACAATTCAATCGCTTTATTTAAATCATAAAAATAAGGCAATAATATTTAGTAATATTCTTGAGTTTTTAAGAAATTCTTTATTTCATCTGCATCACTTTCTAAATTTCCATTTAGTTCTTTAACAAATTTACTTGCAAATAACGCTGATACTCTATTTTATTAATAAATATATTTACTCTTAATAAATACCATTAAATCCTTATTTTAAACGTTCTCGATTATTATTTATTTCCTCTGCACTTGGATAATCAGGAAAATAAGTAAATTTGCCATTCTAATAAGCACAAAAAGGTAATTACTCATTAATATAAACACATAAATCATTTTAATATAATCCTAATAATAAATCTTTATTAGAATCACTTATTTTTTTTGAAGCTACGATGTTTTAGTAAATACTAGAATATAAATTTTACCCAGCTTCATAACTACTTTTAAATTAATTCAATAAATCCTAATTATTTTTTATAAAAAATCCATCGTTTTTATAATATTCTGGATTTCTACTATAAATCTCGCTTTCACTTTAATATTAAGCTAATAATGGAGCATTTTTCATTAATTAACTAATAATCATTGTAGCATCAAATTCTTATTTAAATCTTACAAATTACATACATAGATTTAATTCAGGATAAGAATTCATAATATTAATATATTAGAATAAGTAAGACGATAATACAAATGATGTCATTGTTAACCATAGAAAAATTAGCATAAAATATATACGAACTACTGAATATTAAGTTTCTTAAATTCTAGTATTTATTTTAGCTCTCTATTATATCTTATTTTATTTTTTATTAATCTCATGCTATTATTTTAATTTTTGTATTTTTCTCAATTATGATATTCTACAAGTGAAGAATTCTTTAAAATAATTAACTTGCTTCCATTAATTTATATCATTTTGTAATATTTCTTTAAATGATTTATATTTAATTAATAATAAATCTATCTCTTTTTCTTAAACTCTTTAGATCATAAGGAGAATATTCTATTTATAAATATAAGGATCAACCCAAAGAGGAAATTATAATAAAATAGCAACTATTATTATAAGTAATTCAATAAATAAAAATATTAAGTAGAGCAATTCATAATTTTCAATATTATGAAAAAACTCATCTACTATATTTTCTATTAAATTACTTACAAATTCTAATAAATTATTTAAATTAGCTTTTAAGAATAACAATCTCACTTATTCATTAACTACATCTTAATAATGATCAAAATCAAAAAGCTAATCTAAAGCTTCAGTATATTCATTTACCATTTAATTAAATTGTAAAATTGAAATATTAAATTAATTAAAACTATATTAATTTACAATTTTAACTTAAGCTTAACTAAGTTTACCTTATTAATCTAATTTTGAAAACTCTTTTTCTATTTCTACAATCAAAACCAACAATTTTTCCCTTAAAATACTGCTATCTTATTCAATACGATGATCATAATAAGCTCCATGTGTTATATTTAAAATTTTAAGTTCTAAATCCATCTAACCAAATATAGTAAATGTATTATATATACGACTGAATTCATCTGGTAATCCTACAAGAGGAATTTAATATTGCAAATTATTAGTATTACTTCTTGATATGATTAATTAAAGAACGATTAAAAATAATAGAATTATAAATAAAAAAGTTGTATTTATAAAAACTTTAATAAGAGTTGTTTAATATCGTTAAGAATACTATAAATTTCGTAGAATATTAAAAACAGACATCTATGTTCTATCTGAAGTTCCACTTGATTGTGATTATTTAGCATTATCTTTAAATTCTTAATCTAATTCTTTATATTATTAAATTGCTTAAACCATATCAGGTTTATTGTTGTTTTATTAAGAACTACTTTTAGGAGCATCTTAAAATTTTTAATCTTCATCTTCATCATCGTAATCATCAATTCCAATTAATATTTCTTTATTACCTCTAGGAGAAATCAATTTAAATTATTCATTACTTTAATTATATATAGGATATTTATTTTAACTGTCCTCTATTTTTGAATCTTGAATTCTACTTAATTTATTTATTATTGGTGGATTTATATACATATTATCATTTTTATCGTTCATCTCATTTTCATAAACAAAGCAACTTTCTGTTAATTTTTCATTAATTGTACTTTTTTTTATAGTGCTATAAAAACTCATTGAAAAAGTTTATCCTTATTTTCTTGGATTAACTTTTTCAATTTCATTAATTTGAATTACAAATTAGGGTATCAAATCACCACCTATTACATTAAAAGATATTGAATATTTTATTTAGTATAAATTATCTTAATCGGCATATTTACTTTAATTATATTTAGTTAAAAATTCATTTATTAATGTGACATTTTGTTCTTTTAAAAAATGAATTGAATTGATATTTCCTTATGTAATCATTTATTCTGTTTCATTTAATTCTGAATAATATCTCTAGGAGTCTTTATTTTTATTTGTACTATTAGTTCTACTAAATTCATGATCTTACCAAAGCTGATTAAAATTATTAATAGAGATTATAAATTATGATTTAAGAATACTTCTAGTTTGCATATCTGGTGATTACAATAATTAAGTTTTCTCTTCTGATATTAATTCAAATACATTAGGTATCCAAAAGTAAATGTAACCTTTATTTAATAATTACTCTATACTAAAACCTGTTCCCAAAATATGAAATATCTATTCACTTATACCTAATATCTTTCCTTTTCTATCAAAAATAATGAAATCATAACTTTATTTCACTTTTTAAAGTGCTCCAGTGATAATATAATCAGAATCTAATTCATACATATGTATTAAATTCATGTTAACTGATTTAATAAAATTGTTTTTCATTTTAACATAAACTTCCTTGTGATATTCAAAAAATGATGAATAACCTTTTTTCATATATCTTTATAAAAGTTTATCATGAATTTATTAAATATATTGAGGCATCAATTATTCAATTGAAATGATATTTGTAAAATCCTTTTCATTCTCATATCCAAAAAACTATGCTATTTAACATCTATTTTTATTTAAAATTAAGTTCTTTTATTTTACAAAGCTAACTGCCATGATTATTAAATCTTCATTAATAAGAGTCATATTATTAATATATTCATTTTATGAATTTTTCTCTTATTAAAGAATCTCTTCAACCTTTTATTCTATATCTAAAGTTGAATGATAATCATTTAGAATTGCAGAATATAAAATTGCCAAAAGTTTTAATTCGAGTATATTAAAATGTATTAATCGAGATTACAACTTCAATGGTTCAATAGAAAAACGATTAAAAAAGGAATCTCTTATTTACCATATTTTTATACTTAATTTATAAGCACTCATTGCAAATTCTTCAATTCTTTGATAACCTTTTTCTAAATCAATCCAAAACTTAATTTTCATATCTAATATTTAAACTATTAAACTTATTGAGTTTTCATACAATAATTCAGCTTTACGAATATCTGTTAAGGATAGACTTTTGGATTAATCATTTATATATTATTTTTTTTTTTTTGACATCTTTTCTTAGAGTAAATTAGTTATTATTGTAAAATAGAGAGATTACTTTTAAGAATTAGCGATGAATATTTTTAATTCTATATATCCTAATTAAACTCTTTTGCAAGTATTTGTTATATAAAGGATTTTATAAAGTTGCAATTTTTCAAGAGTAGTCACATTTTTATTTTTAATTTGAGAAATTACTATTTCAAAAAGTTAAATAATTGTTGATTAAATTTTAAGATTAATATTATCAGTATCCATAATTATATTTTATTGTTATTTAATGTGATATAGAATAGAAATCATTTAGAGATAATTAGTCTCTTTATCATTAATTAAATCTATTATTGCTAATAATTTAGTTATTCCCATTTAATGTTTAAAAATTACATTATTTACTTGCCTTTAAAAAATTTGAGATAAAATAATTGTGATAATAGGGACTAATAGAATGAAATAATAAAAGATTTCTTCCTATGATATTTTAAATGATAGTAATTTAATGATCGAAACACAAAAAGTAAATGATGTTGCATTAATGTATTTTAAATTAATCTAATAAGAGTATGGTTATATTATAAATGAATCAATAATTAATAGAATAGACATAAATATAATCAAAATTGATGAAATTAATTCATCAAATATTTAGATAGCTATCATAATTGAAATATCAAATACAATTAGCAAGATATTATAATATGAATAACGTCTCATATAAATATTTTTCTATGGTAAAAGATAGTTTCTGTGAATAAGGAAAAAAACAATATAACAAAGAGTAATAGGAATTAAAGTGAATATTCCAATTAAAAAATCGTCATTTTGAGATAAGTGTGTATCAACATATTCAACCAAAGGAATAAGTATCAATAATTGATAAAAAGTAAAGAAACTTTTCAATAAAAACTTCCATTTTATCTTTGTAAGCATAAGAATAATAATGAGCCATAAATATGAGCAAATAATGTACATAACTATTTTACTAAAATTTTAGCTGTTTATAAGTTGTAAGGGTGTTTAGAGAGTAAACCAATTGAATAATTTTTAGAGAAATTTTAATTTGTAATCATCATATGGTTTATCAGCAAACTTATCAAAATCAAATAAAAGGCTAATTCTTTAGAAGCAAAATATTATCATTATTATTGTACTATTGATATCAGTTTAACTCTCTAACATTATTTCCACAATCTCAGATGCTCTATTTTTTAAGTATTAAACGAAAAGATTAGAGTACATTATATAATAAAAATTTTATTCATATTTATAATTTTATACAGGGTTTCTTTGTCATTATATTGATCCAACTATGAGTTGACTAAACAAATTAATATAATTTGAATTTTAAATATCAAAGTTAATTGTCCTTTAGAAATTTGTTCAATATAAATTACATTTAATAAAATTATGGAAAAGTATAAAGAACTCGATAATCAGATAATTAATCACAAACTTTTTGAAAAGTATTGTCAGTCTCAAAATTATTATTACACACGAGATATTAATGATATTTTAAGTGATGCTACTACAAAATGTGTAATCAAATATAAAGATTGTAATTTTTATGATGAATAAGTATAATGATATCTTTATTTAGGATGAATACCTTAAACGAATATACAAAATAGATGAATATCCTTCTAAAATTTAATTACTAGCTGAATATTATAAAGTATTCTTTAAAATAATAATGATTTAGTTTCATAATGATATTGCAAGAATGTTTTAAGAACCTGTAGCATCAATATTAAATAAATATTATGATAAAAAGAGGAAATATGAATATTATAGAATAGCTAAACTTATTGAAGATGAGAATAAGAAAAATCCTCATAAACCACCAAAAGGAATTGTTGGAGATAAACCATCTCCTTTAAACTCTTAAGAATCTCATTAAAACAATGATTAAGAATAAAATGAATCAAATCTAGAAAATATCTAAATATTAAAAGAATTAAGTTGTTTAAATTAATTATAACAAGTATTTTGTTATTTTTATTTTCTAGTAAATTGATAAACCAGTTAAGATTAGATTAGATGCATCCTAAACTTTAAATGAAATTTGTAAATAAATAGGTAATTGTGATGAATAATCTTCACTATTTATACAATAAATTGCAAAAACAGAAGAAATTAAATTAGAAAACTTTCTCTCATATTTAAACAAAAAATAACTAAGTACAAATAAATCTACTAATTAACCTTCTGATCAATTGATCTAATCATTATTATAACTATAATAACAACCAAAAAACTACACTAATAATTACAAAAAAATTGAAATCAATCATTTAATTAAAACTTAAACTAATGAAATTCTTAATAATAACAGAAATTATACATTTGTTAAAAATTAATTAGATTATCTTAAGAAAAAATAAGATAAAAATAAAATATCTATTGATGAAATGGCTACTAAAATTGATAGTAAATTAAGCGAATCTTTGAAATAAAAACCAAAAAATTAATTAATAACAAATAAAATTAATTATTAAAATACATCACCTACAACTTAAAATAAACCAAAAATCACAATAGGATCATTTACTCATATTAAGACTTAATAATCTCAAACTAATCATAATAAAAATTATCTTGCTAAATTATTAATTGACGATGATTAGGTTGTTTCTGATATAAAATGGTAAAATGGAGCTTTAACTCATCGCCCTATATCTGAAACTTAAAATTTTTTTAATTCTGACAGAAATAGTGCCTTTTTAAGAAAATTGAAATCAGAAAATTTTAAATTTTAAAAAGCAAAAACATAACATCAATACAATAATCATTTCAATACAAATACTTAGAGGAACAGCAAACCAAAATCAAGAAAAACTACTTCCTAAAATATTCATATAAGACAAGCTTCAAATTAAGAAAAATTAAACACTTTTCATAATAATGATCTCAATAATCATAAGTATAAGAACTCTAGAATAGTATTTTAAGAGTTTAAATAATTTTAAGGACATAAAAAACATTTATCTGATAGTAATCAAAATGAATAATTAAATGATTTAGTATGTTTAACTGAAAGAGGACCTAGTTTTGAATTTCTATTTAAAAACAATCTTAATTAATAGAGCTCACCAAAGGGGCATAATTTTAAAAAAACGAATAGTGGCCCCTTGAATCCACCAAAACTAGGTAATCCTTATGAAAAAGGAACATTAATTTAGTAAATGATAATCAAAGTAACAAAAAAAAACTAAAAATAATAAATTAATAATAATAACAAAATATCATACAAACATTCTTGACTTTTATTTTTATTATTATCAATCTATATATATATATATAATTTTTCTTATTATTATTATCAATCTATATATATATAATTTTTATTATTATTATGAGTTTTCATTACACAAATGATTAATCGATACAAGTAAACAAAGATCGTATAGAAACTTAAAGAGAATTAGATCGTTAGTTTACTAGAGTTGCTTTGAAAAAAAATAGTATGGCAATAAGAACAAAAAGTATAGCATAAAAAATATTAAATTTTGTCGGAAAAAAAATATCGGTTGATTATTAAGAAAGGTTAATTTTAAAAAGCATTCAAGCATAGAATGTAAATGCTAAGAAGTTTATTGAGATTTTATTAAAAAAAAAAAGAAACCTTAAAAATTTAAACCCAAGACATTTATCAATAATTAATGATAAGGCTTTAGGAAGTATTGATAAAATATAATCTTAATCAACATTTAAAGTTTTCATAGATAGGCTATTAAAAAAAAGACTTCTTAGGACATTTAAACCGTTTATAGAATGTTTAAGCCATTATATTATGGCCATTCCTATATTGTATCCAGAAAATAAAAGGATTATAATTTGGGACATAATAGCAATAATATCAAAACTATATTTCTTATATTTAATACCCTTAGAATTAGCTTGGACCAATCAATCTTTAATGTTTAATCGTTACTACTTTTCTACTATAATTATGCTTATTATTTTATTCATTGATTTCATAATAGGACTAAACACCACTTATTATAATGCAGGATCACTTATTACTGATAGAGTATAAATCTTTAAACATCAGATAATAAAATCTTATGGTTTAGAATGGATTTCTACTTTGTTATTAGCTATACTCTTTATAACCTCAAAATCTAATGAAATTACAACAATTAATGTCACTTAGAATCCCAGTTATCTAGTTTTATTGACAGTATTATCACATTAAATTAGTGTTCATTATAAAGCTAGTGAATATGAATAAGCTTTAAATTTATCAAAGAAAGCATCAAGTTGTATAGAATTATTGAAATTCTTATTATTAATATTTTATGTAATTCACTTGTTTTCATGCTTGTGGTTTTGGGTAATTATAATTGTTATATTAGGTTGGAAATTATAGCAGAGAAAATCATGAATTGAATTGGTTAGAATCTATAACAGATTTATAAATGATAGATTGGACAGATGAATATTTGTAATCATTTTATTACATTTGTGTAACAATGTTTACTGTAGGATATGGTGACATATCGCCAAAAAGTGGATTAGAAAAATCAACATGCATTTTTCTTATTTTAGTATCAAGTATTCAATTACCTTATTCAATAAATACTGTTGGTTCAATAATTGAAAAAATAACTGATTATGGAGAAGATACAAAAAATAAATTAAGAACTATAAATAGTTATATGAATAAAAAGAAAGTACCATATTATTTATAGAATCAAATTCGATAATACTTAAATCATTATTGGGAATCAATATAAGGATAAGATACAGAAGAAGAAAAAGTAATTATATCTCAGTTATCTGAAAATCTAAGAGAATAATTAATAATATAAGCTAATAGTTAGATATTTGCTAAAGTTACTTTATTGTAATAAAACTTTAGTATCTAGTTACAATAAAATTTATTAAAGAAAGTTTATTCTTTACAACTTTAACCAGAATAAATTATCGATTTAGATAATAATAATATTTAATTTTATTTTGTTGATGAAGGAGAAATTGATGTTTTAATTGAATCAGGTTAAATTATCAGAAAAGCAAAAAAAGATGACATTTTTGGTCTAAAAAACTTATTTGTTGGAAATATTATATAAATTAACAAACTTAAAAGTGTGGGATTCACTAAATTATTAGTTTTATCTCGAAATGATTTTTTACAGGAACTAAAAGATTTTCCTAATGATTACGAAAAGTTTTGTCATATTAAGGATGATTTAATCTATAATTATAGATCTTCTTATATTCCTAAGTATTGTGAATCTTGTTAATCTTCTGAACATGAAGTTAATAATTGTACTATGCTCCATTTTATACCTTAAAAAGATCTTATAATTAAAAGGTTCTAATTTGCCTTATTGTAAAAAAGTAAAGTGTTTAGTAGAAGACCTTTTAAGTCCTAAAGATTTAAAATTGATTAGATTGATAATTTAGATTTCAATGAAATCAAATAATAGTTTCTAAAAAAATACTACCTACCTTAGTAATAAGTAAATCCAAGTAACTTAAACACAACATCATTTTAAAATGGAATTTAAGAAGACTTTCGAGAATCTAGAGAATCAAAAGAATCAAAAATTGAATATTAAGCACCTTCTGCAGCCAAGATAAATATAAAAAGAGATTCTGTATTAACTTTATCCTATGTTCCAGGCGATCATATTGAATAAATTAAAAGAAGCATTAATAATCATAATGAGGTTAGAGCAAACAAACCAAACAATAATAAACTATTGGATCATTAATTAGATGGGATGGGAATTTCAAAATAAAATAGTTTAGCTTCAAGAAGATAATCATTAGGATTAAATATTTTGAATATGTATTAGTTAGGTTTGAATAATTAAAATAGTAATAATAATCATTTTAAATAAAACTTTAGTTAAGAATTGCTCTCAAGTATTAACTATGAAATAAATATAGACGAAGAATTAAAATAAAGATATGAACATTTAAAATCAATAAAAAATATGAATCTAAATGATAAGGAATCTATTGAATTATTGTATTTTAAATTGAAAAATCAATAAAAATATATGAAAAAAGGATTAACTGAATTTGAAGCTAGTAAGAAATTTCATGATTATTATCCTCAATTCAATGTTGATAAGCAAATACATAAAATAAATAAAATCACAGATTCAAATCTTTAGCAATTAATAAAAAAATTTATTTCTTATTTATAATATCCTGCTGAATTTATCAAAACTTATAATTTATTGCATTCCTATTAGGTTTGTTGCAACAAAAGAACTGAAGAAGATAATAGTTGAAAAAAATCTTTGACTGGTTTTATTTTATAATATATTTTTTTTTAATTTACTATGAATTTTGAACAAATCAATTCTGAATCAGAAGAACCTCATTCAGATCCTATACTATATAAAGAAATCGATAAAAAGATTACTGGAGAATTAATAAATAAAAGAAATAAAAGAAATGCGATTTTGGATTCTAACAAAATATAATAATTCAACGAATAATTGATTGTTGATAGATAGATATAAAATAGAGGTTCAATGCTATCTTTTTTTTTAAAAAACATCTATATAAAGAGATTTTTAAATAGATTATTATTAAAAAAGAAAATCAAACAATAATATCAACAAGAAATATTTAACTTTATTGATGATAAATCTGCAAATTTTACACCTGTGTAGAATAAGATTCAATAGTTTCCATCGTTATTAAATTTAGATTTTTTATAAAATGTGACTAATCTAGTAGAGAAAAAAGTTTATTTTTTTACAATAAATTCATAAGCAAAATTCCTATTATAAAGCCAGAAAGCTATGCTAAAATATGTATTGTAGGAATGACTGCAAGATTATATTTTTTGTATTTAATTTCAGTTGATTTAGCTTGGGGAGAGTATGAATTTCTTTTTTAGTCATTATCTGTAATAACGATTATAATGATTTCAATGTTGATTGCTGAATTTATTTTTAATTTAAATGTTGCATATTACTAAGAAGGGAATATGGTTGTTGACAGAAAACAAATTGCAAAGAACCTTATATTGAAATCACATGGACTTGAAATTCTTTCAACTCTAATTCTAATTTTAACCCTAATATTTCCAGATTTATAAACTTAAAAGTAGGACAGCACACTTCAAAATTTAATTTTTCTATTATTTCTTGTTCATAAAATAAATATAGATAGAATAGTAACAGTTTATGAAACAGCTATAAATTTAAGTAAGAAGTTTTCTTCATATTTAACTTTGGTTAAGTTATTGTTGTTTTTTTTTATGTTGTTCATATATTTGCTTGTTTGTGGTATTGGGTAGGAAAATATAATAAAAATAACCCAGAAAATTGGCTTAATAGAGCAGAAATTTAGGAGGATAGTTGGGATTAATAATTTTTAGTTTCATTTTATTATGCTTGTGTAACTATGTTTACTGTTGGGTATGGAGATTTAACACCTAAAACCCAGATAGAAAGAGTCGTAACTATTCTATTTATTATATTATCAAGCGTGTAGTTACCATATTCAGTTAATACTGTAGGAAATATTATATAGCAAATATCAGTTTATGGTGAAGAGAAAAAAAAAAATTAAGAACTATTAATTCTTATATGTAAAGAAAAAATGTTCCTTTTACATTATAGAACTAAATTAGATAATACTTAGATTATTTTTGGTAATTATAAGCTAGTGAAGAAAGTGAAGATGAAAAACAAATTATACAATAATTACCTGAAAACTTAAGAGATACTTTAATGATTAAGGCTAATCATTCCTTCTTTAATAAAGTCTCTTTATTCAAGGATAACTTTTCTATAGCATTTAAACAAAAACTACTAAAAAAAATTAATCATATCGTAGTTTAAATTCTTGAAGATTCAAATGAAAAACCTAATACTCCTTCTTTATTTTATATTGAAGAAGGTACGATAGAGGTCTATATAAATCAAAAACTGCAATAGTGTATCAGATAAGTTAATAAATAACAAGTATTGGAAATAGATAATTTTATTATTGGCACAACATCAACTGAAATTTTTAAAAGTATTGGTCTCTCTAAATTATTAATTCTTGATAGAAATGATTTTATGAGTGTTATAAGTTAATTTCCAGAGGATTTTGAAACTTTTTGTAGATTGAAAGATGATTTAATATTTAATTAAGATCTTTAGCTATTTGAATATAAGTGTATCGTTTGTGGAATGAACAGTCACAAGGTTATTAATTGTGCTTTTATTCATTATGCCCCCTAAAAAGATTTTATAATTAGAAAATTCAATTACCTCAAAATACAAAAAAGAAGAAATCATCTTAGAGCTTCTAAACGCTCTGAATTAAATTTCTTAAAGAAATAAATTTCAATAATAACTTATAAAATAGTAACATCAAATGAAGCATAGAATAAATAATAATAAAAATCTCTTACTTAATCAAAAAATTCTCTGGTTAATCCTCAAGGTCAAATCACCACTTTATCAAAACCACTTAAAGATTTTACAGAAATGTAGTCATAAAGGTCGGTTGATTAAGGAGAAAAATTTATCTTAAATTACAATCGTCTAGGAATAATTATAACAATTAAAAACTTAACTAAAATTTAAATACCAAAACAATTTTTATAAATGCTGTCAGAAAAGTAAAGGCTATTTAAAGATGGTTTAGTAAAAAGGATTTAAGCATGATTGATAGATTTGAAACTTCTTTTGATTGCAAATTGTTAAGAGGATTAATTATTGATCTGAAGAGGGCTAAATAAGTAAATTAAAAAGATTTGGATTAAATTGAAATGCTTTTAATAAAAACTAAGAATTTAAATAAATATGAAAGAAAACATATGGATTAGTTTGAATAGGCAAGAGAATTTAAAGTTTATTTTTAATCGTTTAATTTATCGAAAATAGTCGAGAGATTAAATTTTACTAAATATTAAAAATATTACATAAAGAAATTATAAAAATTATTACCTTATTTAAGATTTCCTGGCTTTTTTATCAAATTGTATAAAGTAAAAATGAAACACAAAAAGTTAAAAAGATCTCCAAATTTTAAAATGGATATAAAGAATAATAATATTAATTTAGTTATTTCAATTTACAAAAAAAATGCTTCAAATTTTTAGTTATCTTGAAGAAATAAGTCTCTATTAGGCCATATTTTTTAATAATTATGTCTATCTGCATTATTGAGTTAAAAAGAAATATTTTTCAGCGTAAATATTGTATTAGATAGTATTATATCGATCAAACTAATGAAGTTCATATCAAGCTTGTTGAATAAATTTTCATTATAATCATAAAATCCAATAAGTTGACCATCAGCTTGTAATTTTATAGATTAATTGCAAATTTATAAAAAAATTTTTACACAATTTTTATAATTAAATGAACATACATAGATCGTTTTTAGAGATAAAAAATTAATAATGTATAAACAATTTCTTATAATTGTCCAAGTTCTGATTCATTCAGATAAAACACACTTGTGAATACTTATGCTTTGGTTTCTTCTCATCTTTATGTTTAAACCAAATACTTAAGTAATAGAAAAAATCTCATGAATTTTATTGACAATATAAGAATTTAAGCAAAACTATTCTTGAAATAAATCATTAATTAAATTAATATAAATGATAAAAAATTAAATTTTTATATGGATCGTCTTAGAGACTATTTTGAAAGGTATATGCTTAGTACCATGCAGTGACACAAATTGTAGGTCTTGTAATTCCCAGATAAATTAATGTGAAAAATGTGTAGAGGGCTAAACATTAGGAGTTGATTAGTGCATAAGTTTGATATTTCAACTAATTATAGCTTGCATATAAGGATGCAAAAATTGTGATGACAATATTGTAAAGTGTAACCAATGTTAATCTGGTTACTAATTAAATAATTAAATTTGCTGTGGTAACATAATAATTTAAATAATAGAAAAATAAATATATTGTTAGGTATATGATACAGTATGTTTGNTGTGTTGACTAAGCAACTACTTGTACATCTTGCACTATTGGATACTACCTAATAAATGAAACCTGTACTCAATGCAATCAACATTGTGTAACATGTGCTGATGGAACAGGGGAATGTTTGAGTTGCGAATCTGGGTATGTAGTTGATGAAAACAAAATATGTGCAAGTAATTTAGTATCTCAACTTTATAATAGCTTGTTCAAATTGTACTTGTGAAAATGGTTATTATTACAACAGCACTGATAATTAATGCCAAGGTTGTGATAGTACATGTACATCATGTTCTGGCACCTCAACTAATTGTTAATCCTGTGTAAATTTTTATTACTTGAATGGGTCAACTTGCACAAATTGTGTAAGTCCCTGCTTAAAATGTACTTCACTATCCAACTGCTAATCTTGTTAAAATAAATACTATTTAGAATCGAATAATTGTTTACCTTGCTAATCACCATGCATTAATTGCAATGCATCAGGAAACACGAATTGCTCATCTTGTGAAAATGGATATTATCTTGAAGGATAAACTTGCATATAATGTGATTAAAAGTGCAAACTATGCTCAGTTTAATCCACTAATTGTTCTGAATGCTAAATCGGCAATTATTTATAAAATACTACTTGTGTTGTTTGTTCCCAAAATTGTAATGCTTGTATATCAGGAACTCAATGCACTTCATGCAATTCTGGATATGAATTAGTCAACGGTGGATGTGTAAAGTGTCTAATTCATGAATATTACTCCTCTGACCATTGTCATGAATGTTCAACCAATTGCGAAACCTGTTTAAACAGTGAAGCAAATTGCACCTCATGTGCTATCGGAAAATACATTTCTGGAAATTCATGTCTTCCTTGTGAAACTACATGTGCTTCATGCACAAATGAGAATTAATGTTCCTCTTGTATTAATGGATATTGGCTTAATAATGATCTTTGTACGAAATGTAATTCGAACTGCACTACTTGTTTATCTGAAACTGAATGTTAATCTTGTGCTAATGGCTATTACATTGATGGAAACTTATGTATGAATTGCCCAAATGGATGTTCACATTGTTCTAGTGCTTCTGTATGCATTTAATGCCAATCGAATTATTATTTGGATGGAATTTGCAAATAATGCTCTTCAGGATAGTTCATATAAAATAATTCTTGTATGCCTTGTTTAGATTCATGTGCCACTTGTGTAACTTCAGCCTCCAATTGTTTATCTTGTAAACCTAAATTCTACTTTGAAAATAACTCTTGCTTTGGTTGTGTTACTCCATGCCTCAATTGTGAATCAAACTTAGCTTGCCTGACTTGTGTTGCTGGTTATTATTATAACATTTCAGATAAAACTTGTTTAATTTGCTAAGATCCTTGTGTAGAATGCTCAGAATCTGGAAATACTAATTGTCAAAAGTGTGTAGAAGGTTACTACTAAGATTCAAACACATGTAAAAAGTGTGTGTCACCTTGTCAGAATTGTTCAAGCATCTCAACATGCAATACTTGTGTTTCTGGGTATGTCTTTGACGGAAGTGAATGTAAATCATGCGCTTTAGAATGTGTTACTTGTAATGGATAGTTGAACTCTGAATGTTAAAGTTGCAAGGATACGTATTATCTTGATGGAACTACATGCAGAAGTAATTTTTAAAAAAATTAATTTTAGAATGTACTCAAAATTGCTACTCAACTTGCTAATTCGTAAATAATGTTGTGAAATGTGATGCTTGTGCTTCTGGATATTTTGGAAGTTCTTGCGAATCATGTTCTACAAACTGCAAAACTTGTGTTGACTAAGCAACTACTTGTACATCTTGCACTATTGGATACTACCTAATAAATGAAACCTGTACTCAATGCAATCAACATTGTGTAACATGTGCTGATGGAACAGGGGAATGTTTGAGTTGCGAATCTGGGTATGTAGTTGATGAAAACAAAATATGTGCAAGTAATTTAGTATCTCAACTTTATAATAGCTTGTTCAAATTGTACTTGTGAAAATGGTTATTATTACAACAGCACTGATAATTAATGCCAAGGTTGTGATAGTACATGTACATCATGTTCTGGCACCTCAACTAATTGTTAATCCTGTGTAAATTTTTATTACTTGAATGGGTCAACTTGCACAAATTGTGTAAGTCCCTGCTTAAAATGTACTTCACTATCCAACTGCTAATCTTGTTAAAATAAATACTATTTAGAATCGAATAATTGTTTACCTTGCTAATCACCATGCATTAATTGCAATGCATCAGGAAACACGAATTGCTCATCTTGTGAAAATGGATATTATCTTGAAGGATAAACTTGCATATAATGTGATTAAAAGTGCAAACTATGCTCAGTTTAATCCACTAATTGTTCTGAATGCTAAATCGGCAATTATTTATAAAATACTACTTGTGTTGTTTGTTCCCAAAATTGTAATGCTTGTATATCAGGAACTCAATGCACTTCATGCAATTCTGGATATGAATTAGTCAACGGTGGATGTGTAAAGTGTCTAATTCATGAATATTACTCCTCTGACCATTGTCATGAATGTTCAACCAATTGCGAAACCTGTTTAAACAGTGAAGCAAATTGCACCTCATGTGCTATCGGAAAATACATTTCTGGAAATTCATGTCTTCCTTGTGAAACTACATGTGCTTCATGCACAAATGAGAATTAATGTTCCTCTTGTATTAATGGATATTGGCTTAATAATGATCTTTGTACGAAATGTAATTCGAACTGCACTACTTGTTTATCTGAAACTGAATGTTAATCTTGTGCTAATGGCTATTACATTGATGGAAACTTATGTATGAATTGCCCAAATGGATGTTCACATTGTTCTAGTGCTTCTGTATGCATTTAATGCCAATCGAATTATTATTTGGATGGAATTTGCAAATAATGCTCTTCAGGATAGTTCATATAAAATAATTCTTGTATGCCTTGTTTAGATTCATGTGCCACTTGTGTAACTTCAGCCTCCAATTGTTTATCTTGTAAACCTAAATTCTACTTTGAAAATAACTCTTGCTTTGGTTGTGTTACTCCATGCCTCAATTGTGAATCAAACTTAGCTTGCCTGACTTGTGTTGCTGGTTATTATTATAACATTTCAGATAAAACTTGTTTAATTTGCTAAGATCCTTGTGTAGAATGCTCAGAATCTGGAAATACTAATTGTCAAAAGTGTGTAGAAGGTTACTACTAAGATTCAAACACATGTAAAAAGTGTGTGTCACCTTGTCAGAATTGTTCAAGCATCTCAACATGCAATACTTGTGTTTCTGGGTATGTCTTTGACGGAAGTGAATGTAAATCATGCGCTTTAGAATGTGTTACTTGTAATGGATAGTTGAACTCTGAATGTTAAAGTTGCAAGGATACGTATTATCTTGATGGAACTACATGCAGAAGTAATTTTTAAAAAAATTAATTTTAGAATGTACTCAAAATTGCTACTCAACTTGCTAATTCGTAAATAATGTTGTGAAATGTGATGCTTGTGCTTCTGGATATTTTGGAAGTTCTTGCGAATCATGTTCTACAAACTGCAAAACTTGTGTTGACTAAGCAACTACTTGTACATCTTGCACTATTGGATACTACCTAATAAATGAAACCTGTACTCAATGCAATCAACATTGTGTAACATGTGCTGATGGAACAGGGGAATGTTTGAGTTGCGAATCTGGGTATGTAGTTGATGAAAACAAAATATGTGCAAGTAATTTAGTATCTCAACTTTATAATAGCTTGTTCAAATTGTACTTGTGAAAATGGTTATTATTACAACAGCACTGATAATTAATGCCAAGGTTGTGATAGTACATGTACATCATGTTCTGGCACCTCAACTAATTGTTAATCCTGTGTAAATTTTTATTACTTGAATGGGTCAACTTGCACAAATTGTGTAAGTCCCTGCTTAAAATGTACTTCACTATCCAACTGCTAATCTTGTTAAAATAAATACTATTTAGAATCGAATAATTGTTTACCTTGCTAATCACCATGCATTAATTGCAATGCATCAGGAAACACGAATTGCTCATCTTGTGAAAATGGATATTATCTTGAAGGATAAACTTGCATATAATGTGATTAAAAGTGCAAACTATGCTCAGTTTAATCCACTAATTGTTCTGAATGCTAAATCGGCAATTATTTATAAAATACTACTTGTGTTGTTTGTTCCCAAAATTGTAATGCTTGTATATCAGGAACTCAATGCACTTCATGCAATTCTGGATATGAATTAGTCAACGGTGGATGTGTAAAGTGTCTAATTCATGAATATTACTCCTCTGACCATTGTCATGAATGTTCAACCAATTGCGAAACCTGTTTAAACAGTGAAGCAAATTGCACCTCATGTGCTATCGGAAAATACATTTCTGGAAATTCATGTCTTCCTTGTGAAACTACATGTGCTTCATGCACAAATGAGAATTAATGTTCCTCTTGTATTAATGGATATTGGCTTAATAATGATCTTTGTACGAAATGTAATTCGAACTGCACTACTTGTTTATCTGAAACTGAATGTTAATCTTGTGCTAATGGCTATTACATTGATGGAAACTTATGTATGAATTGCCCAAATGGATGTTCACATTGTTCTAGTGCTTCTGTATGCATTTAATGCCAATCGAATTATTATTTGGATGGAATTTGCAAATAATGCTCTTCAGGATAGTTCATATAAAATAATTCTTGTATGCCTTGTTTAGATTCATGTGCCACTTGTGTAACTTCAGCCTCCAATTGTTTATCTTGTAAACCTAAATTCTACTTTGAAAATAACTCTTGCTTTGGTTGTGTTACTCCATGCCTCAATTGTGAATCAAACTTAGCTTGCCTGACTTGTGTTGCTGGTTATTATTATAACATTTCAGATAAAACTTGTTTAATTTGCTAAGATCCTTGTGTAGAATGCTCAGAATCTGGAAATACTAATTGTCAAAAGTGTGTAGAAGGTTACTACTAAGATTCAAACACATGTAAAAAGTGTGTGTCACCTTGTCAGAATTGTTCAAGCATCTCAACATGCAATACTTGTGTTTCTGGGTATGTCTTTGACGGAAGTGAATGTAAATCATGCGCTTTAGAATGTGTTACTTGTAATGGATAGTTGAACTCTGAATGTTAAAGTTGCAAGGATACGTATTATCTTGATGGAACTACATGCAGAAGTAATTTTTAAAAAAATTAATTTTAGAATGTACTCAAAATTGCTACTCAACTTGCTAATTCGTAAATAATGTTGTGAAATGTGATGCTTGTGCTTCTGGATATTTTGGAAGTTCTTGCGAATCATGTTCTACAAACTGCAAAACTTGTGTTGACTAAGCAACTACTTGTACATCTTGCACTATTGGATACTACCTAATAAATGAAACCTGTACTCAATGCAATCAACATTGTGTAACATGTGCTGATGGAACAGGGGAATGTTTGAGTTGCGAATCTGGGTATGTAGTTGATGAAAACAAAATATGTGCAAGTAATTTAGTATCTCAACTTTATAATAGCTTGTTCAAATTGTACTTGTGAAAATGGTTATTATTACAACAGCACTGATAAATCATGTAAGAATTGTGATGCAGCTTGTACAAAATGTGAAGGAACTTCGATAAATTGTCAGACTTGTGGAATTGGTTATTATTTAGATATTTCAACATGCAAGAGTTGTAATGCTCCTTGTAATATTTGTACTTCAATAAATATTTGTACTTATTGCAATAGTGGATACTTTTTAAAAAATAATAGTTGTTGGCTTTGTGAATTCCCATGTGTCAATTGTTTAGAAGCCGGAAATATAAATTGTTCCCTATGCGAGACTGGATATTATCTAGATGAATAAATATGCAAAATATGTGATTCAGGTTGCAAAAAATGTTCAGGCACTTCTATAAACTGTTCAGAATGTCATATTGGATATTATTTATCAGGGGCAACTTGTTCTCAGTGCTCAAACCATTGTAATGTTTGCGCATCAGAATCTCATTGTTCTTAATGTGATACTGGATATGAAATAGTAAATGGTTTATGTGTCGCATGCTAAAATAATTAATATTACTTAAACTAAAAATGTTTATAATGTGAAACTCCTTGTTATTCTTGTTAATAGACTGCAATTCATTGTACAACTTGCATAGATGGCTATTACTTATCAATACAGTTATGCTTTTAATGTGAATCACCGTGTATCAATTGTACATCATTAACTGATTGTTTATCCTGCATATCTGGAAAATATTTAAGTAATAAAAAATGTGAAAATTGTGAATAACCTTGTGCAACCTGTACTTCATCAGGCACTAAAAATTGTCAGTCTTGTTAATCAGGTTATTACTTAGAAAATAATTAATGTATTTAATGCAATGTTGCCCTTACAGCTTGTTTAATTTGCAGTAGCAAAATGATTTGTTAAAACTGTGATTCCACACATTATTTGAATAATGGGTAATGTTTAGAATGCTCAACAAATTGTAAATCATGTTCTAGTCAAGATACTTGTACCAGTTGCATAGATACTAAATATTTAGAAACCAACAGTTGTAAATCATGTTAGTCTCCTTGTCTGAATTGTGTAGCAAGTTCAACCAATTGCCTAAGTTGTGTAGATTCGTATTACCTTAATTAGGTTTATTGCATTAGTAATATTTTTTTATTATTTTAGAATGTAAGTCTCCATGTTCAAATTGTGCTAATGAAAACACATGTCTAAGTTGTGAAGCTGGATATTATTTTTCAAATGGGTTATGTTCAAAATGTGATAATGCATGTTAATTATGTTCTGATTCAGCAACTTAATGTTCTCTTTGTCAAAGTGGATATTACTTATCTGGAACAAAATGCATAGGTTGCGTGTCTCCTTGTTTAACTTGTTCGACAGACTCATCTTGCAATAGTTGTGTGAGCACAGCTTATTACTATTTTAATAATAAGTGTTTAACTTGCAAATCACCATGTTCAACTTGTAGTGGAGAATTTTCTTGTTTAAGTTGCATAAATGGATATTATTTAAATGGAAGTAGTTGTATTTTATGTGTAAGTCCATGCTAAAATTGTCTTTCATCATAAATATGTAGTAGTTGTGTGGATACTTATTATCTTAAAAATTCTGTATGCACAAAATGCCCAACAGAATGCAGAGATAATTGTAGTGTAGTAAATAACTAGATTTAATGTATGAGTTGTGCAGATGGCTATTTTAACAATAATTAAAATTGTGTTTACTGCTCAACTAGCTGTAAGACTTGCTAAAACATAGAAAGTGAATGCACTTCATGTGTAATTGGAAAATATTTATCTAATTCATAATGTCTTGATTGTTCAACAAATTGCATCGAATGTGAAGCAATTACTGGAAATTGCAAAGTATGTCAAAGTGGGTTCTCAATTAATGCATTTTATAAATGCGCTGAATGTTCAACTTGCAATTGTCCTAATGGATAATTTTATGATCAAATATAAAATAAATGTTCCAGTTGCGACTTAAGATGTGAATAATGTTTCGGAGAGCTGGTTTCTTAATGTAAGCAATGCATAAATGGGTATTATATTTAAGATAGTACATGTATTTTATGTGAATCACCATGCATAAATTGTACATCTACATTAGCTTGTTTATCATGCATAAGCACAACTTATTTGAGTGGAACATCCTGTGTAACTTGTTAATCTCCTTGTGTCAAATGTTAAAGTGAAGGAAATACTAATTGTTAGGAATGTGTTTCTGGATATTATTTAAGTGTAAGTGTTTGTACTTAATGTGATGTAAAATGTAAAACTTGTACAACTTAAAGTATATGCTAATCCTGTGCAGATGGATTTTATTTAAGTGGAACTAAATGTGTTTAATGTCCAGCAGGTTGCATAGCTTGCACAAATGATACAACCTGTACAGGATGCAGTTCTGACTATTATCTAGATGGAATATGTAAATAATGTAGTGTTGGATAATTTATATTTAATAACTCTTGTTCATAATGTGAATCTCCTTGTGCTTCTTGTGTGATAAATGCTTCTAATTGTTTAAGTTGCATAGATTTATACTATAAGCCAACAAATTTAAATACTTGTTAGGCATGTGTTTCCCCTTGTAAATTATGTAGTTCAGATTTTGCTTGTTTATCATGTCATAGTGGTTATTATTACACAAGTTCAAATAACACCTGCACCTCATGCTCTTCCCCTTGTTTAACTTGTCAAACTGTAGGAAATACTAATTGTTAATCATGTGTGATTGGATATTACTTAGATGGATAGATATGCAGAGATTGCACTTCATTGCCTTATTGTGTGTAGTGCTCAAACTCGTCGGTTTGTACAAAATGTGATAGCACTCACTATGTGAATAATGGTTAATGTTTAACTTGTCAACCAAGATGCTATACTTGTGACAACTCTGCTACCTGCAATAGTTGTTTAAGTGGTAGTTATTTGAATAGCTCTTTTACATGTTTAACCTGTAAATCTCCTTGTCTCACATGTTCTGGAACAGATGGTTTACTTTGCAGTTCTTGTGAAAGCAAATACTATCTTAATGTATCATCATGCACTTAATGTGATTCTCCTTGCATAACTTGTACAACTGCTACTAGTTGTAGTTCTTGTATTGATGGAACTTACTTAAATGGTAAGGAATGTTTAAGTTGCAATTTTGCTTGCAAAAAATGTTCTGGATCTGCTTCAACATGCTCATCTTGTTCAGATGGATATTATTTAAGTGCAACCTCATGTTTAAATTGTATAGCTCCATGTGCAACTTGCATTGAACTCTCTACTAAATGTTTAAGTTGTAATACATTAACAAAATACTTGATGAATAACATTTGTGAAAATTGCGTCTCTCCATGTGCAACTTGTTCTAGTGAATCCTTTTGTTTAAGTTGTGTTTCAACCTTCTATCTAAATTCTTAAAATACATGTTAATAATGTGTATCACCTTGTACTACTTGTACAACTTAAACTTCATGTTTATCCTGCATAGATGGCTATTATTTATCAGGTACCCAATGCTTAATTTGTGACAATAACTGCAGAACTTGCTGGAATAAGGCTGATTATTGTATGACTTGCACTTCAAGATAATTTTTGACTTCAGAAAATAAATGTTCACCTTGTACATCTCCTTGTTCCTCTTGTATTAATTCAGCAACCTCTTGTACTTCTTGTTTAGATCTATTTTATTATGAAACTAATAGTTGCAAGAGATGTGTTTCCCCTTGTTGGACTTGTGATTCAATAAATGTGTGCAAATTATGTTTGCAAGGTAAATATTATGATTAAACACAAAAAAACTGTCTTGATTGTGATAAAAATTCATGTATTACTTGTACTGGTACTTCAACTACATGTTTAAGTTGCGCTTCTGGTAAATATTTGGAAAATAATACTTGTAAAACATGTGATCCAAAATGTGTTACTTGTACAAGTCTGGTGACCTGTTAATCATGTGCTGTTGGTTACTATTATAATGGTTCAGAATGTATCGCTTGCACATTACCTTGCATTGAATGTAACTCAGGCTCAATTTGTACCAAATGTTAAAATGATTTCTTTAGACTTAGCTTAAGTTAATGCATTAGTTGTGCTTCACCTTGTAGAACTTGTGACTAAGATGTTTGTAAAACCTGTATAAATAAATATTATTTTGATCTTGTTGAAACAGATACAACAAAAAAATGTAAACTATGTGTTAGTCCATGTGACTTATGTACAACTTTAAATAGTTGTGTATCTTGTGTTTCAGGATTTTACTTAGATGGAACAACTTGTGTTAAATGTACTAATAATTGTAACACCTGTGAAACTGCTACAAGATGTATTACTTGTGTTAGTAATTCATTTTATTTATCTTCTACTAATGCATGCTTACCATGTAGCAATATGGATGCATCTTGTTTGACTTGTAGTGCCTAGAACAGATGTTTAACATGCAAGGAAGGTTTTTATATATATACTCAAACTTAAAATGGAATTACTACCAGTACTTGCTAGGCTTGTTCAGTGAAATGCTCATCATGCACACAGTCCTTATCTTAATGTTCAAGATGTGCTGGTAATAGATAAAACACTCCATAATGCACAACCTGTCCATATGGTTTTTTTGATGGTGGCTTATTAAATTGTGAATAATGCAATACTAAATATTGTATCACTTGTAGTGGATCTGCCAAGAATTGTCTTACCTGTATAAATTAAAGAATCTAACCTCCAACCTGCTTCTGTAAACCTGGTACTTATACTTCTGGAGATGATTGTATTTAATGTATGGCTAATTGTTCATCTTGTACAACCTCTAATTAATGTACTTTATGTAATACTGGATTCTATTACAAATAGAATTGGGATGGATTAGGAAATAATATTTGTACAAATACATGTGGTGATTCCTTTTTTTAGGATGTCAATAACTAATTATGCATCAGATGTCCAATTTCAAATTGTAAAGTTTGTATTTCAACTACTGACACTGGGTGCATATAATGTCTTCCTTCAATACCATAAAGTGCTAATGATTCTATGAATAATGTCTGTACATCCACCACTTGCAGTTTGTATTTACAATAATAAAGATAATGCTTGATTTAATGTTTACCTGGATATTATAAGAATACTGATTTTGCTTGTGCAATTTGTGATAAAGCATGCAAACAATGTCAAGATACTGCTTCAGCATGTACAGAATGCTACCCTAATATGTATTTGTAATATACAGCAGGATAATCAGTGAAAGGCTTATGTATACCAGAATGCTAGACAACATTTTATCAAAAGCCATCATCAATTCCTACTGTTTCTGGAGGTATATGTGTTAGTTGCCATTCAACTTGCAAGGATTGCACTGATGATTAAGAAATCTCTTGTATTTCCTGTTCAGCTGGAAGATTTTTACTCAATAAAAGATGTCTAACTAGTTGCGGAGAAAATGCAGGGTTTGTAGCTAATACTGATACAAATAGATGTGATTAATGTGCAGCTAATTGTACTTCATGTACATCAACTTCAGCTTAAAGATGCACAAAATGTGTAAGTACTCATTTCTTTATGTAAAACTAATGTCTTGCTCAATGCCCATCAGGATAATTTGGAGATCTAAACAAAGTCTGCTTAGCATGTAACTCTTCTTGTTAAACATGTGATGGTCCTTAAGATAATAATTGTTTGTCATGTGGAGCATCCATCTTCTATTTAGCTTCAACAAAAAGATGCACAACATTGTGCCCTGATAAATTTTATGGCAAAACAGACACATTTAGATGTGAAAATTGTATAAATGGTTGTCTAAAATGCATTAATCCAATAGATTGCTAATATTGTGACGAAGGTTTCTTCCTTAATACCTTAAATAATATCAATAATTGCTTAGCTTAATGTCCTGATGGATACTTTGGAGCAGTAACTGCTAGAGCATGTAGGATGTGTGATCCTGGATGTAAGACTTGCAGAGGCTCCACATAATCTGATTGTATTATATGTTCTGCTGGTAGATTCAATTATTTGGGAGATTGTATTGCAACTTGCCCAGCTGGTACTTTTTTAGATACTGTAAATATGAAATGTGATACTTGTTCATAAGGATGTGCCACTTGCACAGCGATTGGGATGGGTAATTGTAACACATGTGATTTTGGATACTTGTTCTATAATAGAGGTTGCTATATAAGTTGTCCAACTGGATCTTATAGAACAGGTACAACATGTACATCTTGTATATCAAATTGTTCAGTTTGTAATGATAGCATAGCTTGTTAAAGATGTAATGACTCAACTTTCTACACAGGAGTATTGTGTTCATCAAGTTGTTTAAGCAATTAATATGGAGATGCTTTAACAAGAACATGCAAATAATGTGATCCTAGTTGTTTGACATGCTTTGGAGCTAAAATAGACAACTGTCTTAGTTGCAATACTACCTTCCTATTTTCAAATTCTTGTAATTAATATTGTCCAGATGGTTATTATGCTGATTTATCAACAAAGAGTTGTAAGAATTGTCTCTCTACTTGTGCTACTTGTACAAATCCCACATCTTGTGCATCATGTACTTAAGGTTCATTTTTAACAGGAACTCCCCCATAATGTTTAACATCATGTCCTGCTGGATTTTATGGAGATTCTGGAACAAGAACCTGCAGAGCTTGTTTTGCAGGTTGCAGAACATGCTTTGGTACAACAGCGGACAAATGTTTATCATGTTTAGCTAGTGCTAGTCCTAGATTGTTCTATTTTAATTATTCTTGTAATTAAACATGTCCAGATGGAACATTCCCAAATACTTCAAATAGTAATTGCGATTCTTGTAATTAATTTTGTGGTAGATGTGTTGATGCCACTGCTAAATGCACTTTATGTAATACAAATAGATTCATGAGTCCTTTGAGTGCTGATGCTAATTCACCATGTTTAACAGTTTGCCCTTATCAATACTTTGGAGATAATATTACAAGAACTTGTGTATTATGTGCTACAAATTGCAGAAGTTGCACTAATTCAGCAGCTAATAGTTGTACAGCATGCATGAACACAAACATCAATAATTATCAAACTAATTTCTTTTTGTCTTAGAATAGTTGTGTAGGATAATGTCCAAAATAATTAGTGATGAATTAGGATGGAAGTTCTACAGATTAATAATTATATGGTGATATTACATCTGATCCTTTCTCTTATAACTGTGTGTCAAGATGCCCTCCCCTAACATACAGAAATAATTTAATTATGATTTGTGAGTAGTGCCATGTTTCATGCAGAACTTGTGATGGAATTAAAGAAGATTAATGTTCAGGCTGCTTTACAGGGTTTTATTTGTATAAAGGAATTTGTTCATCTGGATGTCCTGCAGGTACATACTTGTATTCAGTGACTTCATCTTGTGTAGAATGCAATTCAAAATGCAAGGAATGTGATGGACCCAATGCCACAGATTGTACTGCATGCTCATCACCTTTGGTTAAACAAGGTAGAGAATGTTTGGATAATTGCAATGAAGGGTATGTTGTAGTAGATTAAGTTTGTGTTTCTTGCCATTATACTTGCAATTAATGCATAGGTAATGACATATAAGAATGTATTTCCTGCTCTCTAGGATTATTCCTTCAAAAATTACAAGAAAGTGACCCAAGTGGCAAATGTGTTTAAAGTTGTAATTCATCATACTACCCTGATACTATTGATAATACTTGCAAAGTTTGTCATTCAACTTGTGTCACTTGTTTAGGTCCTGAAGAGAATGATTGTATCACTTGCAGTGGATCGTTGATGTTTATGGAAGGAATCTGTAGTGATACTTGCATAGCTGGGTACTATTTGAATATTAATGAATGTGGATAATGCAATTTGTCATGCAGAACTTGCAATGGTCCCAATTCTAATTAATGTTTAAGTTGTAGTGATTAACTGTTCTTGTTTAACTCTTAGTGTTTAATCTCTTGCATTGAAGGATACTTTGAGAATGAAGTTAACCACTCTTGTGACAAGTGTCTAGATAATTGTTTGACATGTACAAATAGCAGCACTTGCAATGCCTGTGATATTTCCAAGTTCTTCTTATTAGAGGAATATTGTTACGAATATTGTACTTCTGGATTTTACTTTGATTCTGTTCAAAAAAGCTGTTAAAGTTGCTATTCATCATGTTTCACTTGTTCTGGTCCAGAAAGCAATCAATGTTTAAGTTGTGATACAGATTAATTCTTAAAAGTGAAATTTAATTCTGATACTAGTTAATATGATTGGACATGTGAATAATAATGTGGAGAATTCTTTTCTCCTGATATCTAAAATGCTGTTTGTTTGTTTGATAATTGTGATACTAGCTGTTCTACTTGTTTGAATGATTAACCTACTACTTGTAGATCATGTAATAACTTAATTCTGTCCAATTCAAGATGTTTGGCTGGCTGTTAAGATGGATACTTTGTAGAAAATAATTCATGCATCCTTTGCAATAGATTATGTAAGATTTGTAATGATAATTCAACTGTTTGTTCATCCTGCGCAGATATTGCTTTGAGAGTTGACGATTCCTATTGTGTTAGTACCTGTCCAGAGAAATATATCAAGCATGTTAATTAACCAATTTGTGTTGCATGTGTTGCTAATTGTTAAACATGTGTATTTGATGAAAAATTAGTTGGATCAACAAAATGCCTTAAATGTGAATCAAGCTTTTTCGTTGATTTAATATATGATTCTAAAAAAGCACTAATAAATGTACAATGTTAAACCTAATGTCCAGATGGAAAATACAATAACCTTGATTCATATTAATGTACTAATTGTGATTGGACTTGTAAGACTTGTTCAGAGTCAACAAGTTTAGACTGTAATTAATGTGGTACAGTAACTCATCCTAAAACAGGTGCTATCTAAATTAGATATATGGAAGAAGGCATTTGCAAAATAACATGTTATGCTGGTTCATATGCAAACATTGATGAAAAAAATGGAAATACTTGTTTGGTTTGTAATTCAAAATGTAAGACATGTTTTGGAGTTCTAGAAACTAATTGTAGTAGTTGCTATTCTACTACTTATCTTTCAGTTGATGGTAAATGTGTAAAAGATTGCTCAACTGGTTATTATTCCAATGATTCCAATTAGAAATGTGAAAAATGTTATACTGGATGCTCTAAATGTGATGGTATAAAATCAACACAGTGTTAAGCTTGTGATAATGGATTCTATCTGTATAAAGATACTTGTTAAACAGATTGTCCAGATGAATATTTTAAAGAGGGTAATATATGTTCTGAATGTGACAAATTCTGTTATAATTGTACTGGAAAAGAACCTAATTAATGTATTTCATGTCCAAGTGATCTTTATTTCTATCCTGAGGAAAATACTTGTTATATCGAATGTCCTCTTAGATCATTCCTTAATCCATCTACATTCTAATGTTAGAAGTGTCATTCATCATGTCTCACTTGTACAAATGAAAATGAAAGTAGTTGTTTATCATGCCCATAAAAATAGGCAGATACTGATATATAAACTTATTTATTAGATGGAAAATGTGTTTAAAATTGTGGAAATCATAAATTTGGTGACCCAGATTCTTTGAAATGTTAAGAATGTGCAATATAATGTACGAGTTGTTCAATTAGAAGTAAAAACTGTATAGGAAGTTGTCCGGCAAATAGATTAACAGTACCTTAATGTGATTGTCCAACAGGATATTTAATAGATTCTCCTGATGCAGTTTGTGAATAATGTTATTATAAATGTTCAACATGTAATGAAGCATTTATCAATTGTTTGAAATGTGCAGCTAATAGAAATTAAGATGCACCATTTTGTTCATGTCCTCCTGGATACTTTGATGATGAAGAGAATAAGAATCCTATATGTTAACCTTGTGCTTGGTAATGTGCTACTTGTCAAAAAAGAAGTGATTTATGTATTACCTGCAAAGGAGATAGAGTAGGTTCAAGTTGTGTTTGTCCAGCTGGAAAATATGAAGACTCATCAGTTTAAAAAGAAATGTGTTCTACTTGTGATCCTACTTGTTCAACTTGTGCAGTAAAAGCTAATTATTGTATAACTTGCAAAGGAAATAGATATTCAGTAATATTACCTGATAATCCAATTTATAAATTATGTTTATGTTAGAATGGACTTTTCGAAGATGGTAAATCTACAAATTGTCCTTAATGTGATTTCAAATGTACCACATGTATAAGTTCAAGTTCTAATTGTTTGAGTTGTAGAGGAGATAGAATCTTAGGAGAACAATGTACTTGTGAATCTGGATATTTTGATGATGATATCAATGATAAATGTTAGAAATGTGATTTACAATGTGTCACTTGTGATAAAAATGGTTGCCTAACTTGTGCTGGTAATAGAGAAGGTCCTGATATTATAAAAATGTGCAATTGTCCAGCAACAGGAATTGATAGAAGATAACATGGATATTCTGAATGTGGAACTTGTGAATATGGAGTACCCTATATAAAAATGAAGGATACTTTAGACTCCATGAATATTATTCTTGGTGGAATTTTAATGTTCAAAGGAATAAATGATCCCACAATACCAAGTAGAGAGGTCTGTCAAAAATTATTTAATGATGATGATTTTATCAAGTTAGGAAGTGGTAAACCTCTCTGTAATGTGGATCCTAATAATTAAAGATAAATAATTGTAGTTTTTGGAAATAATGCTTAATTCTTAATAGGAGGTACAATCACTTTGAATACAAAATCAGTTTTAGGTAGAAAAGATTGTTCAGGAGTATTCTACACTAATTTCTTTGCTGCAAAAATTAATGGTCCTGATGTTCCTGCAGCAGCTTATGTAAAGTTTACAGGACCTTAATTTAGTAATTTATGTAGTAAGATCACATTCTTCCCAAGTCAGGTATTTAATGATGGTGGTCGAGGTTTGACTATGAAATCATGGTCAATAGTATCTATTGAACCAGATAACTCTAGTGTTAGAGGTAGAATACAAGCTTTATTTGATATTGCAAATACTGCCAAAAATAACAAAATTGAAATACCACCTATGTTTTTATCAGAATATTCTAAATATGTATTTAAATACACATTTGCAAACTTCTTAAATACAGAATTTAGTACAGATTACACTATTTCTACAACTACTTATGAATCTCCTTATGTTTCAATAGAAGAACTAGCTCCACATGTTTATTATACAAATGCAAGAATCAAATTAATTGGTACTATAATTCATCAAAGTTGTGTCTCTGGAACTACAGAAATCATAGCTTCAACAGTGAATTATGAGTGGGTTTCAAATAGAGTTAGTAAGGGAGATGTCAGTTCATATCTTCTTTAAGATACTAACTCCCTTGTGGGTATTAAGTCTCCAGATGTTTAATTTATTTAACTTGAAATCCCTCCTTATTCTGGTAGAGGTGGATTTTCATATGAAGTTACTTTGATAGCAACCTTAACAACTAAACCTATTTCATCAAATTATACAGTAGATATCACCCTGCTAAATTAAGGATTATAGGTGGAAATTGAGGGAGGAAACAGAATGAATGGATATGCTGTGCCTTTGAATGTTAATGGATGGGCCAAAGATCCCAATATTAAAACTGATTAAAGTGTAGGAATTGAATTAGTTTGGAAATGTGTCAATCTCAATACAAATCTACCATGTGCTGATGTCTATGACTAAGAAATACCTCTTAATAGGACTAACTCTTAGTTTGTAGCAGCCAAAAGATTCATACCTTACAATGCTTATAATTTCTATTTGAATGGAACTAAAGGAGAACTATTTGAAGTAGCTTAGGCAGTTATTGTTATCGTTGAATTAGACATTCCTGTGTTAGAATTAAAACGACCTGAATATTTAACATCAAAGAGAGTTAATATGAATCAAGAAATTAGCATTAAATTCCTTTATCCTACAAAGAACCCAGACAGTTTGTTTTATGGAGGTGCAATTGTATATGATTTCAATGTAGTGGCAACTCTGAGATTCTTCTTTACATCAATAACAATAAAATTCTGGGATAGTTTCTATGATTTAAGTGATCTTGCATAATTAGGATTTAGAGCATCAGTCTATAATCCTCAATTCTTTATGCCTTCTACTACCACTTTATTGATTAACATTAACATACCTCCTCGAAATTGTAAATTGAATGTATCACCAAATAATGGACTATCATTTGATACTTAATTCACAATAAAGGTTAGTGATTGTGAGGATAGTGATACTCCTTTCACATACAAGTTTTCATTCTATTATTCCCCAACGCAATACAACATTGATATTTTGAAGGCTTCTTCATTGAATCAACTTTTACTACTTGATTATTCAATTGACAATGAAATAACAACAATTTTACCTAATCCTTTAAAAGATTCAGCTGTAACTTAACCATTCATTATTTTAATGGCCTCAATTTCAGATGCTTTAGGAGCTTTATCTAATCTCACATCTTCTGTAGTAGTAGGATTGAATTAGGCAGATCTAAAACATAGACTTTAGGTTGCTGAGTATTTAAAGAAAAGAGAACAATAAGAAGATAAATTCTCTCCATTACCATATTTCTTTAGATCAAGATAATTAGCAGAAGTTACTTATGCTACAGATAGATTCATTGAATTATATTAGAATAGAACTAGTATGTCAATTCCAGAATAAATTAATTTATTAAATCTACTGGCAATTGGTGTCAAAGATTTAACTATAGATGATCCTTCTGCTGATCAAGATACAAATGAAACTGCAATAATAAAAGAAGAATAAAATAAATTACTTACTCTCAAATAGAGTATTTTGGCATCACTTAAAGAAATGTAATCATAAGATGTAAGTGTTGCTACAAAGAGTTCTTTAACTAAATCAATTGAAGAATTAATGAATGATGAAGATATATAATTAAGTATGAGTTCTGAAGGTATGGATGCTGAATTAGATAAAGCAGATACTATTGTTTCTACTAGTACTAGTGGAGTTAGTAATCTTCAAGGTGATATTGAAAATGGTAATGTTGACTTTAAATCCTTCAGAGAGAAAGAGAATCTCTAAAATGATATTATGAGAACTGCTGGTTTATTAAATGGACTATTAGCAGCTGGTTAAAATCAAATGGATTCTTTAGAAACTACAAGTACTACTAATACTACTACTACCTCTAATGAAACTGATAGTAATTCAACTAATGAAGCTGATGCTGCTTGGTAAAAAATGAAGGATAATAATGCTAAATTGTTTAAAGTTTAAGAATCCATCAAATTTGGATTAACTTAAACTGCTGATCCAAATGCACCTCCTAAAGTATTTTCAGGAGGATCCTTTTCTATGAAATCATCTATTGCTACTCCATCTAAAATGGCTGAATATATGGCAGGTTCAGATCCAACTAAAACAAAAAAAGAAATTAAAATTAGTGATGATGTAGAATCAAATGATGATGATGAATCTACTATCTAAACAGTTAATTATAATTAAGCTGAATTTGTAAATAATCCTTATGCTACTGATGATTCATTCCCAAGTAGATCTGTACCAGCATCTGTCTAAAATATTGAACCAAAATTACCAAATGGATCAGTCATTGTTCCTAAATAACCTATTCCTATGTCCTTTGGAGTTACAGCAGCAAAATAAGCTGCAAAATTAAGAAGACTTAGAAGACTCTATGGTAGAAGAAATATGCAATATTACTAAGATCTATATGAATTAGATGAAGAACCTGAAAGTTAATAAATCTTCTGTATAGGTAAAAGTGCAGATGGAAGTTGGAGTTCAGGAGGAGGAAATTGTAAATCTGTTACTTAAATTGATGCTACTGGAGCTGTTACTGTTACATGTTAATGTGAATAATTAAGTCCTACTTCTGTAGGTGATGCTATTGCTGATGCTTTAGCTTTTGATAAATTTGCTAAGGCATTCTCTATGGAAGCTTTATTAGCCTTACTCAATTTCCCATTCTATAAATCAGTTATTGTTTATGCTTTAGCTTTCATGACGACTGCTTTAGTATTTTCAGTTAAATATGGATTTAAAAAAGATAGAGAAGATGCTGAAAAGAAATTACTTGCTCCTCATTTTGTTGAATCAGAGTATATCAGAATTAAAGCTGAAGAAAATTAAGCTAAACGATCAGAATAACAAAAATTAAAAATGGAGAAGCAAAAGCAAATTGAACTAAAACTTCAATAAGAATATGAAGAATAATTAAGATTATAATAAGAATAACAAAAAGAAAATGAAGAATAATAAAATAATCCCGAAAGACAAATCAATACTAGTTAACAATTCCCCTTATAAGATGAAGCTCCTGTTGATATTGTTATGGTCTAACCTGATATTGAACCTGATGAATTGATGAAAATTAGATAAATGGATGAAATCAAATTAGAATAAAATGCAGATGCTCCTTTAAAGAGTGAGCCTACATATAGATCTGATTCTGATGATTCTGATAAACCACCCAATTAAGTGGTTTATGATGAAGAAGATAGTGAAAATAGCGATAATATGGAAAGTCTCTATGAAGTTCCAGAAAACATTCTAGACTAATAACCTGATTAAAAGTAAAAAGAACCTGAAGTTGCTTAATACTTTAAGTAACTCGAACCAGAGTTTTCCAAATCTTCTTTTTCTATTGCAACTATCAAATAAAAAAGTGTATCTAAATAAGATTAATCATAATAAAAATAATCATCATAATAATAATAAAAATAATAATAATAATATTAATCAATTTCATAATAATAATCACAAATTCTATAAGATTAATAATTATAATAATTAAAATCAGAAAGTATTGCTGATCTTGAATAATTCAATTAAGAATTAGAAAAACAATTCCAATAATAAGATTAACAATAATAGAAATAATAAAATAATATTTTATAACCACCTTAATATGATATGGGTGATAGCTAATAATATGAACTTCATCCAGAATTAAAAGATTCACCTATTATCAATAAAAAAGATATGGTTACGCCACCCTTCTGTCCTGAATTATAATCAAATGATTTACCTAATCTTTAAGATGATGATGGTTGTGCACTTAGTGCTATAAAAATTAATGATATAAATCAACCTGCTCCTGTTAATTAAGATGATTCATTTGAAAAAGATGTTAAAGAAGCTGGCTAATCTGAAATTATAAAACCTAAACAAAAGAAAAAATCAACTACTAGAAAGAGAAAGAGAAATAAAAACAAAACTTAAAATTAAAAAGACAAAGACAAAGGAAAAGATGTTTTAGACAACTCTACTGAAGAAGAAGATCTAAAAGAAGAGCCAGAACCAACTTATGAAATCAAAGAATAAATGGTTCAATAATGGCATAGGGATTATAAACGAAAGAAGTTCTTAGAAAGTGGATGCTCACTTAAATTTTCCCTTGCTAATGTTCTATTATTTATGTCACTATTCCACAAAATTTTATGCATCTTTTTACTTTTTGAAAGAAGATTACCTCGTCCCATCAGATTTTGTGTTTTGTATATGACCATACTAAATACTTGCTATATTAATATATTCTTTTAAGTGCCTTTAGAACCTTTACAATCAATTATATTCAGTGTTTTCTCGGCTATATTATCTAACTTTGAAATGTTTGTTATTTTGTTTTTAATGCCACATAAAGTCTTTGTTGTTAGATAAATTGGATGGGGAATTTTTATTTCTTTAACTACATTGTTAATTTACTTCATTCTTACAGCCATGGCCTTTGAAGCTAATGATTCTGGTGGAGATATTACTAGATCTAATATGTGGGGTCTCAATTTCATTATTGGATTCTTAAACACTCATTGTGTATCAGATCCCATTAAATTATTAATCGTTTTCAAAGCTGTTCAACTAAGTTTATCTGGCGCAACTGGTCTTTTACAAACGATTTTAGTGAAAATATTTGTCAATCCTGCTACAAATATTTTCTTTGAGATGATAGAAGTATGAGAAATTAGCAGAAATTATGAGAAATTATAACATATTAAACAATATATAAAATTATTATTAATTACATTAACAATTATTAAATATCATCAATATAAATCTTTAATTGATATTTGATTATTTATCAAATTTCTACATATCTTTCATAATTTTAAAAATTCTCTATCAACTTTTATATAATATAACTTTACAATGTTTTATTCTATTTTTTTTTATTCAAAATTTTACTTAATTCAAAATATCCTTTTTTAATAATTTTAAATATTCTCTACTAACATCAACCTGTCCAAATTCGAATTATATTTAAATCAAAAAATTAGTGGAATATTCTAAAAAAGTAATTTGATAATAATTTATCCTCATTTAGAACTTTATGCTACAGCAAAAAGCAAGAAAATCTTTTAATTTAATTTGATTTATTGTTTTTTTAGATAATTGATAGCGTAAGAATTTCATAAAATTCCTCCAATTTTTTTTTAAATCTTCAGCCCTTCTATGATTACTCTAATCAATAAAAAGAACTGAAAAGTTTTTTTAAATATCTCTTAAAATATTTGATAAATTTTTGCATAGATGGCATCAATACTTGTGACTATATAGTATTTTTAAGTTAATATTAATAAATACGAAAATAAAAATAGAACAATCTTTTTAGTACTTTGATTTAATCAGCAAAAAAAGTATGTTTTGACTCAAGAGAGAATGGTTACAAAACAAAAACTCTTAAGTTTCTTCAATTTAAATAAAAAAATGACTAGATGTAAAGTTATAACTTCATTGAATATATTATAATTTTTCTTCAAACTCTTGAACAACTAAAATGCCAATTCAACAACAATAGTACATAATTATCGGCCTCAGTCTTTCGAACAATCAAATTAGCTAAAGAGAATTTTCTTACTTAAAATCACTAATATTATAGGAAGAAAGTGTGAAATTGTAGATAAATAAGAAAAAACTTATGTTTTTCAATGGTCTATGTTGCAATTGTATTAAGGCCTAATTAAGACTTTTGATAATGAGTCAATAGGATAAGAATTCCAAAGAAGTTAACAAAACTGTTATGATCATCCAAGGGATACCAAATGCACCTAAATCGATTTTAAAAGCATGCAGATTAAGAATGCGCAAACTTTAATGTTAATCATCAATTTAACACAAATTTAACTTAAAAATAATTAGAATTGAATGAGGAGTTTTCTTAAAGATTTTGTTCAAGTGTATTTAATTGAGATTAATTCATAAAGTTAATTGACTGATTGATTTTTAACAAAGTAATTTTCGATATTTTTAATTTCCTGTTTAGATTTGAAAGGAAAATCACTTAAATTTTTATTTAATTATTTTAATGGGGGGAGGAAATAAAAATTAGAATAAAATGTTCAATACTTAAACACATAATTAATAATCAACTATAAATGTGGATTCTAATTTAAATTTAAACCAAATCATTATGTAAAAATTTAAGGTTAATTTTCTGTAAGAGAAGAGAGTGATAATTGATTATTATAACAGAAAAGTTATTAAATGAATCAAATATAAATCATAGTTAATCAATATTATGCATAACTTTTTTTTACATGTATGCGACTCCATACTTGGTAGATGTAAACATCTTGCCAATATTTTCATTATATTTTTGAACTGTAGAGTGTAGGTGTTTCTTCGGTTATTGCTGTTAGTGATGCTATTCAGCAGATTTATGAAAAGTTGAGTTACTAGAAGCATCACTATTTTGAATGATTTATTTGATTGCTTAACGACAATGTTCAATATCTTGGGGCTAACTTTGTTTAGGAATTATTTTTTTAAGTGGAAGAGACTTGTTCTTTGATTATTAATTCATAAATTATTTTTCAACTATTAAATGAATCCAATATTTGGTTTATATAATGTCATAATGTCGATCATTAATTAATTTAGATACAAAACTTCTAATTTTAATTCTTTGACATAAAAAAAAACAATAATTAGAATAGTCATTTCTACATCTATTTTAATTAGAATGAGCATAACCAATATAAATCACTGGTTTGTTTCGCTCTATCCCTTAATATTCATATTCTAAGTGTTTCTTTAATTTTAGACACAACTTTCAATTTCATTAAATATAGATTATATTATCAGCTGGTTAACTAACTATAATGATCAATTTTTAAGATAATTAATTTATATAGGAATTTAATTCTTTTTATAATTAATTCTTATTAATTTGAGTGATATTATTAATTAATAAACTGTCTCCTCATTTAATTGATACCTTTTTGATATATTGACTTTTAGATGATCAACTTAATTCTTTGGTTATTTTTGAAACTTATTAGCTAGAAAATCTAATTTATTATCTATACTACAAAAGTGATCCTTTTTTAGAATATGTAAATTTAAGGTTTTCATGTTCAATTTTTAATTTATCCTAATCTTTTTTTTTTAATTTTAAGTCCTTCTTGTTTAGTTGTGAATTTATTGCAGATTTCAAGAATGAAAGATTATTATTATTATAAGGTTTAGATTAAAGATAAGGTTTCTTTAGATTAGTTAATCAGATATTGGAAGATGATTAGTTTATGAGTTATTTTAGAATTAGATTAAGATTAAATGATTATTACATATTGTTAAAGGGAGTATGTTTTTATATAATTTCTTTGTAATTGATGTAGGATTTATGTTTCTTCATAATTATTTTTAACAGTTAATTTTTTTAAAATGACAGAAGAAATTGAGAGTCACATAATGCAGAAGTATGAAGTATTATAGAAAATGGGAAAAGGAGCTTATGGAGTAGTTTGGAAAGCCATAGATCGAAAAACAAAATAAATAGTTGCACTAAAAAAAGTATTTGATGCATTTCATAATTCAACTGATGCTTAACGTACATTTAGAGAAGTAATGTTTTTGTAAGAGATGTTTCATGATAATGTTATTCGTATGACAAATATTCATCGTGCAGATAATAATAAAGATCTGTATATAGTATTTGATTTTATGGAAACAGATCTGCATGCAGTAATAAGAGGTGGGATACTGGAAGAAATACATTAAAGGTAACTATATATATTAAATTATAGATATATCATCTATTAAATATTGAAAGCATTAAAATACATTCATTCAGCTGAAATAATTCATAGAGATCTTAAACCATCAAATGTATTACTTGATGCAGAATGTAATGTTAAGGTGGCAGATTTTGGATTAGCTAGAAGTCTTTTAAATTAAGTAGATGAAACTGCTATTCTAACAGAATATGTGGCAACACGTTGGTATAGAGCTCCTGAAATATTACTTGGATCTACTTAATATACTAAAGCTGTGGATATGTGGTCTGTTGGTTGCATTTTGGGAGAAATGATTAATGGAAAACCTATTTTCCCAGGAAGTTCAACGCTCAATTAAATTGAAAGAGTTCTTGAAGTAATAGGGAGACCTACTACTTCAGAATTAGAAAGTGTTTAAGCACCTTTAGCTTCTTAAATTGTTAATAATATTCCTAAAGGATAAAGAATTGGATTTACTAATTATTTTCCAAAAGCTACTCCTCAAGCTTTAGATTTAATTCGTAAATTACTTTCATTTAATCCATCTTAAAGAATTACTGTTGAAGAAGCTTTAAAACATCCATATGTTGGAGCTTTCCATCATGATAATTAAGAAAAAACTACTAATCCAATTATTATTTCCATGGATGATAACAAAAAATTCAGTATTAAAGAATATAGAGAAGCTTTATATATAGAAATTACGAAAAAATATGAAAATAAATATGAAACAAAATATGAAAATAAATTCGAAAACTCATATAAAAATATTGAATCAAATTAATAAGAAAGAAAAAGGACATAAAGTTTTTAATAACCATCAAAAAAATCTAATGCTCCACTTAATACTACTCTTCCTAGTGAATAACCTATAATTAAATAACAAGATACTAATATTTAACATGTTTAATAAAATTATCTTAAAGAATATCTATCAAATTGCAGTAAAGATTATTTAGGATAATAATAATAAAATATTAATATGAGTAAAGAATTTATTAGTGGATAATTATGTAAAGAAATTAATAAAGAAAATTAAAAATCTAAAAATGTAGTAGATGTTTCATTAAATAAGATGGAACGAGATAATTCAATTTCCAAAAAATAAATTTTGTCTCCTTGGACTTAACCTAATCAAAAACCATAAATCACAACTTAATAATAAAGACCTCCTTCTGTTAGTGTTTATACTACATTAAATTAAGCCTCTTAAAATTAATTAAAATCATAAATTCCTTAATAATAGAACAATGTAGCCGTTCCATAAAAAAGAATTAGCACCAAAATGCCAACAAGTGGTACAAGTACATCTTTTTATATTCCTTCTGAAAAAACCAATTCTAGTTTTAATTATGGCAAAAAAATATCCAAAGACAATAGTTTCATAGGTGATCACAATCTATCTACTTAATCAAATATTCCATAACCCCAACCATAATAATAAATGCATTAAAAAAGTATTAATTATAACTTATTCAATTTAGCTATGAGCATGAATTATTAAACTTATTTGATGTAAAAGGGCATTTCAGATTAAAGAAGTAAATAAACCTTAGTTAATCATCAAAGAACTTAGTCTCAATTAGGTGCTAATAATAGTGTTTTGATCAATAGATGTAAAGAATTCCTTTAGAACATGTAGGCAATCAAAAAATGAATTAAATTTTCATATACATCACTATAATTTTTTTTGTGAATTTAACATTTTAAATTGAAATTTAGAATTATTATAATTAACAATTAATTACAATATGATCATCCATTTATTGAGAACTGGATAATAAATTCACTAAATTCCGCATTAACATCTACATTTCATATTTTATTCTTTATTTTCAATATACTTCTATACAATATATATGTCACATAAATTTGTTCCTTCTATTGTATCTCTAAAAGCAATTTGTTTCCCTTTCACCCCTTTTATTATTGGATGATTAAATTTATCTAGTCTTAAACGATTTCTTTTGATTATTTTGTTATCCGTTATACTTATATCAGTTTAATTCTAAGTTTCTAATCGTTCATTCATTTTTTAAATATTATAATATATTAATCTGATATATAAATTAAATACGAAATATCTGTTGATCCTTCTTAATTTTGTTCTAAACACATATTTACTTAATGATTGATAAATTTACTGAAATTCCATATATTATTCTGATCAGATATTTCTATATCGAAATTTAATCTTATAAAAATTGAATTTCTCAATGATAATTAAAAATTAAAAGGTTATTATATACATTAAGATAAGATATTTTCATTCATTTATATTTAATTAAAAAAGCTAATTAGTATGGGTTGTGTATAACAAAAATAAAATAAAAGGACACATTTAGAATCTTTTGACACTACTTATTAATCAAATGGAGCCAAATCTAGGTAATTAAATCATATTATTTAGGCAAACTACTCATTAGGAAGTTAAAAAAGAATTTTTCAAAATATAACTCAATCCTATAGTATAAAGAAGACTCTCTCCTTAAAGATGCAAACAATCAGACTTTTGATTATTCATATTTATTTATTCTCATCTCAAGATACACTCTTTTTTACTTTTTTAATATAAATGAGGCTCAAGTTAACCAAATCGAAAACCTAAATGAATAAAGGGAAAATGAGAATTCTCAATTCAGATTAACTAAAACAATTAATCTTAGAAATTATCCAACCAATTATTTATATTTTATTAACAATCTTAAACACTGTTTTTTAAACTATCTTTAGAAAGAAGTTTAATATAAAGTAATTATAATCTTATATAAACTCTATTATAATCAATAATTGGAATCACAATAGTTCTCTCATTATATCAATAAAATCATGATAATTTAACTATTTAATATGAAATGAAATGATACCTTATGTTAACCTTTAATTTCTTCTAATGTTTAAACGAATAGTTATTAGTTTATATCCATATGCTTTTTGACACTTTAACATGTTATTTATCCTCTTTAATTCTATAAATATTTGAAACAGGTTTCTAAATATGTTTAAGTCAATAAATCTTCGAGATTCAATGCTCCTGAGATAAATTCCTTGATATCTATTGATCCTTTGTTTGTTATGTCTAATTTTTAGAAAAGATATTATATATCAACAATGATGTTCTCATATTCAACAATAGATTTATATAATCTAAGGATATCTTCTTTTTTCAGTAATCCATCTTAATCAAGGTCTGCATCATTGAATATTTTTTGTAGAATACAAACTTCTTCTTAATTAAATTAGTTAAGCATAAAAGCTAGAAACACAACATGAATATAATTTCTTGGTTTACATTTTGATAAAAAATACAAAGGTTTAATTAATACATCTGAATAATTATTCCTTTAATCATTTTTAGATAAAGATTTTTTAACATCATCCATTATTATTCTTTCAGATGTATTTTTTTCTAACATTTTTATTAAAATTCGTTTTAAAGAATGAGAAGTTCCTTCTTTGAAATATAATAAAGGTTTATCTTATTTATCCTCTAATTATTTATTATTTTTGATTTAATATGGCATTTATCCGATCAATAATTAGTAGCCAATCATACCTAAAGCATAAACATCTTCAGAATAATTTTCAAATGATGGTTCTATCTTTACAGATTAATTTTCATAAAATAAACATGTTACATCTATCAATTTACAAAATAAACTATTCATATCACTTAATAAATGAAAACTATCCATAGATAATCTTCCATGAACAATCTTTTTTGAATGTAAATAAGAAATAGAATTCACCATTTAATTTAAAAGTATCATTACTTAACTATCATTTAAACATCCATTTAAAGTACTTAAACTTCCTCCGCTACAATAGTCAGAAAGAAGGTAATAGTTTTCTGTATCTTCATAAATATTAGTAATTGGACAGATATATTCATTTTACTAGTCTTAAATGTTTTAATACCAATCTATTTTTCTAAATATTCTTTATCAAATTCTCACTCTAAGTATCAAATTTATTAATTGTCTCTACTCTTTTCTTAATTCCACTAACATTATGTTAAACTAATTTTATTTGATTTTCTTCTAATTTTTCTATATAAGAATCTGGTTTGCTTCCCAATAATGTATAAACTCTGAAAAGTCCAGATCTTATTTAGATTTATTATATTTAGTTATCAAGAACTTTGTTTGGAGATCGATTTGAGATACTTGACTCATTTACAGCATCAGATTAAGCTGTCTTTGCTAAATTTGGAGCTAATATTTAAGCTATCTATTATTTTTTTTCTATTTTAGGTTTATCATCTTATCCTTTAGTGGTTACAACCACTTCTTCTTATTTATTTGCTTTCTTTTTAGTGCTACAAGAACCCATAACGAATTATTATTTTATTATTATTGAATTTTATTTGATTAAAATCTAATAAAAAAAGTTATGCGTTATTTTAAGTTGTAATTTGCTTTATTTATTTCTAATACTTAATTTCTTCTTTTTTTATCAAGATAAAATTCAATTTTTAAAGAAACTTTGTAAAAATTGTATCATAAAACTTTTTTACCTAATTTGTGGAATCTTTTCTGATTCAAAAACAATATCATAAAATCATTTATAATTTTGAATTTAGGATGACCTTATAGTTTTCATAGTTAATGTATACTCAAATATTCTCTTTCTTTCCTTGATAATTAACAATCATAATATTTAAAGTTATAATATATGTATAAATAAAAAAGAATATTTCAAAAAAGTAACATTATTCAATTCATTGAAATAATTAAGAAAAATTTTTCGATTTATTCACTTTACAATTAATAAACCATTTATTTATTTTTAAACAAGGGTAGAGTTATTTTCTTTTTAATCTTCAATTTAAAAATCCCTTTTCTTTTTCCTTTTTCAATTATTTAATAATATTCATTTTAGGTTCTTAAAGTCTCATTTCAGAATACAACTTTATTTATATTGGTACTCTCACAAGCTTATTAAAATTGGGTTTAAGTCAAATATTTATAATTATAATTTTTATGAATTTTTTATTCTTAAGAATATGTAAATATAATGAGCAAGGATATATTAAATATTATAATTACTTTTATTGTTAATAATACAAATTAAGTTATTGAAACTCTCTTTCAAATATCTAATTATATATGGATTTTTATCATTTCATAATTTTAGATCATTTTTATTTAACAATTTTGTTCATCGATCCCAAAATTGTTTAATTATTGATATATATGTTTCTATAAAATTTCAATGGTATTGAAGAAAATTTAAATTTAGGTTATTATTTCATATTTAATTAAAGTTAATCCATCAGTTAATTTTAATTGTAAAATATTTAAATTTGTTGAGATATTGATTTAAGATCTATTTTCTCTAAATATTTTGTAAAATAAAATTTAAGCCATAAATTTTCTAATTATTATGAAATAAAGAAAAGAAATTATGAGTTAGTTTACCATGAATATCAACTATTTGAATTTAATTTATTTAGAATTGATAATAATGAAGAATTTTGTTTTAATTTCATTTTAAAATATGTTAATATTGTAGTAAAATTACATTTTAAGTTTTATTTATGATTAAAATAATATAAAAATGAACTTTAAACAGTTCAATTGTATTATTTTGACCTTCAAAATTATCTTAAACTCTAACGGTTTATGGTATATTTTTAAAAAAATATATGGTATTAGAGAATCAGTTTTGAAAAATAGATTTTATGAATTAACTTATACACATCTAGTTAGTATAAAAGGGATTAATGATATGGAAATTACAATATTAAAAATATTCATGAAACTCTAAGGATTTTGAATATTATCCCTTTGGAGAGTTACCTAAAATAAATTATAAAAGATTAATTATTCTAGGGTTGATATATTGATATTATTAGATTGGTTTCTTATTTGAAATGGATAACAATAATGTCAGAGTTATGGTTTTTTAGAAAAAAAATAAATTAATAAAATTAGAAATTATAGCTATTTAAACTCAAAGGAGAGCAGACATAATCTCTTTAAATTGAGGGTAGTAAATCTAAAGTTTATTAATTTTGTTACATAATCATAAGTTACTTCCTTAATTTCCTAATTGACTAATTGTTCATCAATTTCTATTTTTCTTTTTAAGCTTTTTGCACTTATACCTCCTTTTTAGTTTTATAATTATTTAAAACAACTTTGAAGATAATCATCATTCAAGAGATCACTTTTATTTGCAGCTGCAGTAATAAATTCATTCAATGAGATTTTTCCACTTTAATCAACATCCATATATAGGAAAATTCTATCAATTTGTTCATTTATAAAATCTTAGTCTTCAGGTATTATAACTTTATATAGATTAGTTAATTCAATTTTATTTAATTAATTATCTGCATCTTTATCAGCTTCATCAAATAATTATGTCAAGATTTATACTTCTTCTGTATGAAATGTTACCATCATAAAATAAAGAATAATACTTTAAAAGTATGTCATTTATTTTACATTAGCCAAATTTTCAATGCATTATTAAAGAGAATTTGAATTAATGGCTTAAAAAAAATAACATTACTCTTATATTTATTTCAAAGTAATCCTAGATTCTGGATTAACATCTAACATTTTAAAAAGAATTTCTTTTGCTTCATTTTCTATATTTTCTAATTTATTGTCTAAATTCATAATAACATGTTTATTTGATTATTTTTCTATCTCTAAAATTTATCCAGTTAATAATTAATAAAAAATGATACCAATAGACCAAACATCTCTAGCACTATTGTTACCTTATTCTGGAGATTAATATCTTAAAATTTCTTCTTTTAACCATTTATCTTCAATTGTATTTAAGTAATTAGATTAAAAAATAGGATTAATATCTGATAATTTGACATAAAGGTTTTTTTAATCTGAAATTGAGAAAGAATCAATTGTGAGATGACAATGAGTTAAATTTTAATTATGAATGTAATTAACTGCGATAATAATTTATTAGATAATTAAAGTTGCTTATTAATAATTTAAAGGTTTTTATTTAATTAAAGTAGAGAGAGTACCTCCTTTACAATATTCTTGAACTAAATAGATTAAATTCTTTTCTTTATAAGTTTCAATGATTTAACAGATATTTTAGCATTTCTAAAAATAATATCAAAATAATACCTAATTGTAAAATTTGAGTTTTTAAAAAAAGTTTAAATCATCCATTTGATCAATTTATAAAAGCGTTACTCTAGCTAATTATCCAGTAATGTTGTGTTAGTATATCAAAACTTATTCAGATTCTAGGTTAATAGTATTGATTTACTTTAATTCTTTAAGGCTGAATATTTTTTAAAAAACCCACTTTGAAAATCAAAAATATGTTATTTAATTTATGTAATGATTTAAGGAGTTTTGGAAGCTGTTGGAGATTTCTATCCATTTTGGTTTTTATCCTTTTTGATCTCCAAATACAGTTTTTGTTGTTGAGATTTGTTTTTATCTATTATTATTTTGGACATTGAATTTCTACTTGTAGCTATTGCTGGAGCTATTTAAATTAAAAGAAACTATACGATTTTAACAACCAAGTGTGTTATCTTCCCCTTTCGATGTTTTTTATTTAGGTTATGAATGACATATTCCCATTCTTTTTAGGATATTAAAGAGAAACGAATACAAATAATTAAATATAATTGATTTCAATATAAATAGAAATTGAAATATATAAAACTAATTCTGAAACAGATTTAATAATCATTCATCTAATTAACAAATCGCTACTTCATAACACAATTCATAATTCTTCATCATTTTCTCTTTATGTTTAATCCAAACTAACATACTATAAAATTATATATACTTCTATATTCTTCTTTAGTTTTTGAACATTAAATTAAGGAGATTAAAGCAAGCAAGATTTCTGCAATAACAAAGAGTACAAGAACAACTAAAAATTACATTGCCATTAATGTTCCTATATCATCAGTTCCTCCTCCAAAAATCAAATTACAAGTATCTTTTATTGCTGTATAATTTAACACAATTAATAAGGATATTATTCCTCTACATAGAACACATACTGTTGACATTATCATAAAATAAGTCATTATTTAACCTGATTTCTATATATATTTTGAATATAATTCAATACCTATGAAACACTAAAAAAACCTAATAAACAAGTGAAAATTCTTAATAAATGAACAACAATCAAAGCATTCAATAAATTCATCAAAGTAAAGTCTTAATCATTTAAAGGCACTCTAGTATCTTCATAAAATATTAATGATTTCTATGCTTCTATATTTATAGGACCAATCAAGTTATATATGGTTAATACCTAATTACTTTATTCTTTATATTACTAAATTGACAGTATTTACATTTAAAAATATATATTGTCTTCTCTCAAATCTAAACTCACCTTTAATTAATCTGGTCATGACTTTTTCATTTGGAATGTTTGATTCTATTTCTTCATTCTAAATTAATGGTTCTTCCATATAATTAAAATAATAAATCAAAATTAGTATAAATTCTTATATAACTCAAACAAGTTACATCATAGTCTTGGAAAAAACTTTGAAAGTGATTCTCTTTGATTTTGTGATTGAAGCAAACATTTCATCAGTTTAATTTTGATTAACTTAGAAACATTACATGAATCGTTTCTTATGTATTGATCCTTTACCATTTGATAACATTTTGAAAATCACTTTTAAATTAGGAGTTGTGATTAAAGCTTATCTATCGACAATACATCTAATAAATTCATCGCAATCTATTGTACCATTATGATCAGTATCAATAAATTAAAATATTTAATCAACTTATTATTGGGCTTAATCTTTTGATCTAGTTTATTAATATATTAATTCAAATATTTCATTTTTACTTAATTTAGCATCTCCATTCTAATCATATTTATTAAACATTTAATAAATTTCATTTTATTAGTTTTAACAAAATTAATTAACTAAAAATTATAAAAACAATGATTATATAACATTTGCTGGTTTAATATTGGTCAAAGTATTTACAGATTATTTACTAATTTATTTAGTTTAAGAAACTAATTTTCTATACAAAGGTGATTTAATGATAGAATTAAGATCAGATCTTATTGATGGATTATATTAAAGTAGTTTATTTAACAAATCCTTTGATCTTGAAGATATCTTATCAAATTATAATTCTGTTAATTAAATAATACCCTTTTTAATTTCTGATTTTAATTTGCTTGATTAAGTAGCTGAATATGGTAAATTTCCCGTTAAAAGCTTATAAAATATAATACCTAATGACCAAACATCTCTTGCAATTGAATACTCTTATTCATTGTCAATTATTTCTGGAGCAAAAAATTGTAGATGTTCAAATGTAGTTTAAGGTTTAATAAATATTGGTTTAATATCTGAGAGTTTTATATAATTGTTTTCTGATTCATCCATTCTTGAAAAACTATTAAATGTCAAATGGCCATGATTTAATCCTTTCATATGAAGATAATTCATAGATTCTATCATTTGAACTAAAACTTTTAAAGCTATAAGTTCCTCTATTCCCTAACCCTATTTTATTGTTAATGTACACAATTTCCCTCCGCTACAATAATCTTTAATTATATGAATATAATCTTCGTCTTAAAACATTTCATGTATTTAAGAAATGTTAGGATGTGACTTAAAATACTTTATATTAAAAATACTAAACTATTTGCTAATAGATTATCTATGTATTATTTAGTTTATTTATCATCTAATCGTACTGTTTCCATTAATCTAATCCTTCCAGTAAGATTATTTTGGATTATTTATTAATCTTCATTCACCTATTTGCCTTAAAGGGAAATTTAATGATCTTTGTTGTTATTTTATACAATTGAATATATTTTAGACAATTTACATGTTTAAATTAGAATAAAATTATGGATGTTAAGAGTTTGATCAGTTTAAAGAAATTTTTCTTTCTTTTTTTTTTCTTGAACAGATTCTTGAGTTTGAATCGATTAATTTTTTGAATGTTGAACTTATAGTGATTTTTACATTTGCCTTTTTTATAAATTTTCTTAGTTAGCCTTTTTCAGTTTCTAAGTACAAGACCCCATTCTTAAAATTATTAATTTATTGAAATCAATATGATAAAAAAAGATTGATATGTATATATAATTGTTACAATTGATTTATTTACAAATAAAGAAGTAGGGCCACTCTATTTCTATAAAAATACAAGCATAGTAATATTTATTATAATTATTTTATTTATTTATTAAAAATGCTTATAAATACATCAGACGATAAATAAATTAACATTCCTATACCAATTTTATAAAGGTTTAGTAAAACAAATTCATAAATTCAAGGTAAAATCTTAAATTATTATTCAAGAAAACCCAAGAAATAAGATTATTTTAAATATCAAAGTAGAAAGTTCGATAGTAAATAAAAGTATAGAGTTTCTATAAAAATTATTATCAAGTGATATTTCTATAATTCCCAAACCTATACCAAATGGTAAAATAGAAACTTATTTAAATGAAACAGAATGTAATTTCTTAAAATCAATATCACCTTTGGAAAGATAAACAATATTAAAATTTGCAGATGATTTAAGCTTTGATCATTTATCTAATTTAATGTTAGCTTCTTTTGCTTGTGAATTTGTTGGCTGCACAACTTAAGAATTTTTAAAAAAATGCAATATTAATGTTGAATATACACCAGAATTAGAAAGAGATATATAAAAGCAATTCGATACAATTATCAAAAGAAATTGATGGAATAATTAGTGTTATTTAAAAATAATAGTTATATAATTTTATTTCATGGGATCATGTGTTGCGGTGTCAAAACCGACTCAATCAAATAATCCAAAATTAAATAATACAAAACCTAAAAAGAAAATCCCTTCTGCTTCAGCTCCAGTTTCACCTAAAAATAATAATCAAAAAACAATATTTTCTTAAAAAAAAATACCACAAACTTCTAATTGCCCCTAATAATTACTTAAATTAAATAAAGTAGCAATATCTTAACATTATTCTGTTATATATGAAAAAGTACCTAGCAAAATACGTATTCATAAATTATAGTTTTAGTTAATGCAAATTAGTCTTTTGTTTAGAACAATTTAAATGGTAAAATTAGAATAGTGGAAACATTGCCAAAATCAGTTCCAGAACATTCAGAATACATCAATTAACTATTAACTCGTAATTTAGTATTTTTTTTATTAAAAATATTTAGAATCATCCTAATCTTATTAAAATATTTGATATCTATGAAGATTTAGACACATATAAAATAATATTTGAAAATTACACAGGAGGTATTTTATATATGAAAAATGATGGAATTGGTATGTTAGAGGACATAGTTGGCACAATAATTAAATAAATAATAGACGTTATTTATTATTTACATTAACATAAACTAACTCATGGAAATTTATAATTGAATAGTTTTGCATTAAATGATGAAAGTGATTAACAAACAATTAAATTAATTGATATTAAAAGTATTTTTGTAAAAGAACCAATAACAATATAGAATGCTCCTTATATAGCACCAGAAGGATTCCGTGAATAACATATTAAAGGTAAATAAAGAGATGTTTGGTCTATTGGAATTATTGCTCATTTTTTATTAACTGGTTTTTTACCATATAAAGGATCAAGTGTATAAAAAATATAAGCTGATGTAAAAAGAGGTATTTTAGATATGTCATCTTTGTAATTTGATAAAATATCGGCTGAAGCTAAAGAATTTTTATCAAATATTTTAGTTGTAAATCCATCTAATAGAATGGAATTATCAAATTTAACAAAAACTAATTGGATGATTAAATAAAAAAAGAAATTTGAAAATAAAATTAAAACTGATTTACAAAATATGAGAAAACTAAAAAAATTGAGTTTTTTACAATATTGTATACTATAATATATGTCTACATAATACCTTAGTGAATAATCATCTAGTCTTTTTTAAGCATTTAATGATATTGATACTAATAAGGATGGTAAAATCACTAAATACGAATTAATGAATGCATATTAAAAATTATATGAAAACTATGAAGATGCATTTTAAGTTGTAAATGAAATATTTTCCAGAGTTGATCAAGATGGTAATGGTGAAATTGAAATTTAAGAATATATTCTAGCATTGACAGATAAGAAATCATTGCTAACTGAAAATAATCTTAAAGATACATTCAGAATGTTATCTAATCGAAAAGGTAATATAACTATCACAAGTCTTCTTTAACAATTTAACATATAAGAAGAATTAATTGAATCAGAATTCTCTAAATTATAAAAAAAAAATGTATATTATAAACTTATATATAGATATCTTTTTAAGATTTTAAGCTCTATATGGCTGAACTTATTTGATAATTTAATGTATATTTTATTTATTCTAAAATGCAATTAACAATTATTGAAATTTAAAATTGTTATTAATAAAACATGTTTATTTACATGACATTTCCAAAATATTTAGATTTTTTATTTATTAAATAGAAGAATTTTATATATTAAATTGAAGAATTTTATATATTAATTTTTAAAAAATAAGCCTAAAATTAAACCAATTAAAATTTATATTCAAACTAGATTAGATTATTAGATTAAGTACCAACTTTAAAGCTTCTTATAAAATTAGTATAAAAATTTAATTAATTTTTTGTATTAAACTTCAAAATGTGATTAAAAACTATTTATATTTAATTAAGATCAATCAATATTTAATTGAAATACTTATTGAAATATATTCATCTTAGAATGGATATGTAAGAAAGAAAAAAAGGAAAAATGATATCATATTAAAAAAAAAGTAGAATATTGATTATTACATCGTAAAGTGATGGTAGTATATAAATATTATGTAAGTGATTTAAAGTAGTCTAACTTGTGAATTATTAAAGTTATTATAATAATAAATAACATTATTTAAATAATTATATAATTTGTTATATATATTTTTCATGTATTGATTAAATTCATCTTAAGATTACATAAATAACACCACATAATCCAATAAGGATGAATATTAAAACCATATCTAAGCAAAACTTATTTGGTTATCTATATTTTTCCACAATTTTCTTCAACTAATTATTTTATTTATTTAATTCTTCATTAGTTTTATCAACTTAAACAGTCAACTTATCTATTTAATTAGTTGTATGATCAATTTTCTAACTAATCAATTTAAAATATTACTTATCCAATTTTCTATGCATTCTCTTTCCATTGTTAAGTACCATCAATAAGAACATCAAGTTATTTATCCATTTATTCATCATTCTATTTCCATCTTTACATTGCATCTTTTTCTTCTTAAGTCATTTATTATGATGGTGGAGGTTTTCTACCATCTTAATCCATCAATTTCATCTTAAGAGCACTTACTGTTTCTACACTATTGTTAGTTTATTATTAATCAATTATTGCATTAGGATCTAACAATTATTGTAAATCATAAAGTTATTATCGATAATTTGAATATATTTTTTGTTTTGCTTAAATATTTTATTCAGGATATTTCTAATTATTAGAAATTTTTATACTTTTTTATCTTTTGATTATTTTCTCAAAGCTTCATTCAACTTATCTAATAAACTTTCAACATCTGTAACCAAATCTTTTATTTCAACATCTAATTTTATTGTTTCAACATTTCTTTAAACATTAGCATATTTGGCTTTTTATTCTATTTTAGATCTAAGTTAAAATAATAATGTATGGATTGAATCCTTTAAACTAGTAAAATCATCTCCACCTTTTTTTTCTATTTTATAATTTAAATATTTTATACAAGCTGCTGCTGTTCCTCCTAATTCTTTATCAATATTCATTAGTTTATCTAAATAAAACTAAATATGCAAAGATGCTGCCATAATCAAATTAAATTATATAATTATGATTATAGAAATTAAATAATTTTTAAATGGTGAAAATAATGATATTCCTAACAAAATATTAGAAATATCTCAAACTGAAGAAGGTTTTAAATTCTGGAAGAATGTTATTTTTAAATTTAGAAAATTGAATACTGAATAAATTGAAAAAGTTTATCATCTATTTGATTAATCTTATATTCAAAATGTTATTGAAATTCCAACAGAAGAAAAACTAACTGAATATTTATAAATTTGTACATTATGCTCCAACTTTACAGAAGGTAAATACATTAAATTTGAAGATATATATAAAAAATTACTTAAATAATCTAAAGTTTTTATTTATGACAAATTAATTATATTAGGAGAATATGAACTTATTCATTAAGAGTTAACTGATGAATAAATTAGACAAATTAAGCCATTATATTTGAAGAAGTTTGTTAAATATATACTTTTAAATAGATTAGATGAATATAATAAATATTTATCAATAATCAAAGAAAACTCATAATTATTATTAAAAATTGCTTTAAATGCAAAAGTTAAATAAAACACTGAATCAATTTTGTATGAAATTTCAAAGTAAACATCTATTCATAAAGAATTGTTTGATAGTTTAATCCTAAATTGGAGTAATAAAAATTTTATTAAACATGCCTCTTTTAAAACTTAATTGTATTGCAGTAATTTAATTGTTTTATTTATTTCAAATGGATTTAATAATGATATAATACATGATGGGATTTAAAAAAGATTAAATACATAAGCAAATATACCTAGAAAATGTGGAATATTGGTATGGAAAGCTTTTGTGAAATAATTAAATCTTGAATCAGAAGATGGTTTTGATGAACTTAATGATGAAGAGATTGAGGAAGTTTGGAATGATAAAAAAAAAGATGAAATTATAAAATAAAAAAATGAAACTTAAATAATTTAACCAAATTAAGAATTTCATGTATTTAAAATTAATTAATTAAGGATTTTGAAAATGAGTATGAAGAAGATGAATAATTACTTTTAGTAAAGAATCTTTATGATTGTATACTTGCATTAAGAAGTGAAGATTAAGTTAGGATAGATCAATCTTTGAAACATCTTCCATATCTAATTAGAAATAGTTTAGATCTTCATATTCATGGATAAACATTATGTGATATTCTAATATTAAATAGAGATTGGAAGGCTAATTAAGAAGAAATGAGAATAAAAGCATTGGTGGCTTTATCAATAATGAAATCTTAAATAACTGATCATTTAATTGAAGTTTATTTTAGTGAAGAAATTTCAATAATGCAAAGAATTTATATATTGAAGATTATTAGAGAATCAGCAATTGAACTTTCATCTAATCCAAATAAATATCAATTAGAAAATTATAACAATTTTTAAAAATCTTAAAATGATTCATTTTACTTTAAATAAATAAGCACTATTTATAAAAATGAAGAATAATCAGCTATCAAAGTTAGACCAACACCATAATCTAAAAGATGGGGACATACTAAAAGAGCTTATGAAGGACTTTAAATTGTATCACCATATATTAATAGATTTCATTAATTAACAGAACACTTTTATTTCCCTTTATTAATATATTCTTAATCCAAACATAAATTATTATTAGCAAGAGAACCTTTATTAATGTTAAATTTTCTAGAAGTACTTTTAAAAATGTTAGATTGTGGTTAGAATGCTTTTCATATTACAAAAATGGTTTCAGAAGCTTTTGATTTTTTGTTGGTTTTTTAAAAAAATAAAAATATTGAAATTGTATTAATGAAATTAAGAATCATACTTAAAATTACTATTCTCTTAAAAGGTTAGTTTGATGACAGATTAGAAAAAATTTTATCATCACTAAAATATGATGATCCTTAAGCTAAATAATTATATGATTTGATATTATAAAATTTAGGGATTTGATATTTTTAACAAATTTACAATTCATTTCTTTTATTAATCATCATATTGTTTCTCTAAACATAATGGACAATAAAAATATTCTTTATTCAAATCATCTCTCATTATTACAAAAAATTAACAATGTTTATTACGACAATTTTTAACTGTTTTTTATTTCTTGATTTATTATTAAAGTATATTTATTTAATTTATATTTAATTTCTCATTTAATAAATTTATAATTTTATCTCTTTCAAAAATAAATAATTATAAATTTATTGTTTTCGAACAATTACATTAATATCTTATGCGATCTTTTTATAACGATTAATTTCTCAATAATTCCTTTAAACAATCATTACAATAAAAATGTTAACATTACAATTATGTATATTTTTAATAGATTTCATTTTAACAATAAAAACATCTAACTTATATAGTTTTTACTTTAGAGGGTAATGAATCATTATCATTTAAATTACTCTCCTAACTATTTAATGATATCCTTGATTAACTTTAATTTTATTGATTAGTTTCACTTTATTTAAAAACCTACATATTCTTTTGTTAAGGAATTTGTTCATAATAATTTTATGATGAAATAAATATATAATCCTATTTATAGTTAGCCTTTTCTTAATCTAAAATACAATTAATTTTTGGATTATTTTAGATTATATTAGAATAATTTTATTTATTTGATACTTAAAACTAATGTAAATCAGACTGTTAATTTCTATTTTAATTAGATTCATAGTTGCTTTAAATTAATGAATCATTTTGTTTAATTCTAATAGAAGTATTTTATAAATAATTATAATCTTCCTAATTTTTTATATTTTGCTATACTTTATTAGAATATTATAACTATTATTTATTTTTTTAAGCAAATTATTGGTTATTATTTTAAATAATTTAAATTTTTGAGTTCTAAATATTTTATATTTAGTTATTTTATAGTTCTCTACTTGGCTATAATACAGATGGATCAGATCTTTTCATAGCTTCTAAATGTAGTTATTGTTATTATTAATTTTCAATTTAAGCTTATTTTTGGTTGTATTATTTATTTTAATCTCTTATATTATCTGAATAGTTTCTATATGAATTATTAATTGTGTTTTGATCCGACTTAATACCTTATATATTTTACTCTTGATTCATATTACCATTCTTATTTGAATTTTAATTTGAATTACATTATATCTAATTTTCTTCATCTTAATTTTATATATTAATTAACTTATCCTCTATATATATATTTTCATTTTCACTTTCTTCTTAATTTTTTTTCTAATTAATCTATTGTTTATCCTGCTAATAAATTTTTTCATTTTCTAAATGATTTTGTTAGCTTTTTTGGTATTTTAAATTTTGATCATCCTTTTAATCATTTCTCTTTAGTCTACATTAATCAATAATACCCCAGAAGCTAAAGCCCTTTTTATTTCCTTTAGAATTTATCTATTACTTCATAATTAAATCTATTTTATAAATAATTTTTTTCACCCAATTTTTTTATAATTAAACAAAAGCAGATGACTTCAAGATTTTAATAAAGTTTCATTAGAGAAAGAATCAACCAGATATCTATTTAAATTTGAAAGTGTATTCTACTTAGAAAGTTTTCTCGATGTAATCACAAATTCTTTTAACTCTCTTCATTATATAATTGTAATCATATTAATTCTAGATGCTTAATATTAAGATCTCCAAATATAAATTTCTATGAGAAAACATATGTTGGTTCATCATATCAATTTTAGGTTTATAATTTGTTTTTATGATTCCCTATCAATTAAATTTGCCAAGCCTTATTATTTTTTATGAGTGATATTTTAAATAAATCATTTTTTGATATGTTTTAGGTTTTTCATTCTCAGAATAGTATTCTAATTTTTTGATTCTTCATTATGCTTTTATGGTAGATTCTATACCAAATCTTCGTTAATGGTTTCATAATATTAAATTTAAGTAATTAAGAAAAAATTTATGAGCATTGTAACTATTAATTAATAACCTATATCTAACAAATAATTAATCTATTTCATCAAAATAAAGGGAAATATTCACATTGATTATTTTAAAATTTGATTAAATCAAATCTTATCAGCAACTACTCAGTTGAATTACAAGGCTTTATGTATTAAAATTTGATATTGTATTTTAGACTCAACTCTTCAATCAATAAGTAGAATAAAATAGACTTTAATAACAACATTATAAATTATTATAATCTTACTTCTTTTTTATTTCTTACTCTTCTCTTCTACCTTAGGAATCATTTATAATCTTATTAGAGACATAGAAATAATAAGATTTAATAAAGTGAACTCAAATGTTCACTCTATTATTCATCATACTTTCTATATTAAGATATCTTTCAGATATTTTAGGTATGCCAAAATTAAAAATAGTAAAATTTGAAAAAGTAATTCATATTATTCGCTAAAATAATTACTAATAATTTACATTAATCTATTAATTTTTTATTAATAATATTTTAACGAATAATATGAAATCAACTATTTCTACGATCTCAAACATTTCAAATCATTGCAGAGCTATTTGTAAATCTGAATAATCAATCATTCCTTTGAGAGTACCTTATAAGTATAATTGAATTCTAAATTTTAAGCGGTGGTTCTCAGTTAAATTGTCTATCTAAAAAATCTTATCATTATGGAAACATTATTGAATCTATTTTAATTGAATATAAGTAGTTATGTTAATGGGTTATCAATGAAATTACTCAAAAAATAGATTAAAATTCAATTATTACTAAAATTAATACACAATTATTCTAATTTGAAAGATTACTTTCTAAAAAATTAGATAGCTATATATAAGAAATATCAGCTCTGAAAATAATACATTCAGAAAATTAAATTACGATAAATTAATTAAATATTACAAATAAAGATCTTAAAGAAAAATTACAACAAGTTTCAAATAATGAATAATTATCACTAAATACTCCATTTAAAAATAAATTAAATTACTCTATCGAATTAATAACCAAACAACCATTAAGAAATACTAGTTATTCACTCTAAGAACCAGGTCATGATAAAGAAAATATGGATATTTTTTTAAAAAAGAACGTTTCTTCAAAGGCAAAATTTAAAATTTGATTTTATTAATAATATTGATTTCTTATCACATCTAATATATAAGAACTTTTTATCTATATAATATAATTTTCAATATTTATAAATATATTAAAATCTGTAAATTGATTAAAGATTTAAAAATTCAATTAAAGTTATAATACTGAAACATATTATGATGAAATAATTAATTGATTAATATATTTATATATATCAATTAAATGTCTTCCTTACATCTTCAATTTCTTTTAGAAAACCATTCAATGATCTCTCCCAATTACCGAATTTCTTATTAATAATATCTATTTTATCCATTGTCAAAACTCTTGGAACTACATAAGAAATTGTAATTGTTTATTTTACCTAAAAATAATATCAATTAATAATATTACTTAATTAATTCTTCCTTTTACTAAACCCTTACTGATTGTTCTCATTACTAATCTTTCTATATCTCCTAAAGGTAATTCTGATACTTAAGCTAGTTCTTAAAATGTACAAACTCTATCATTTTTCGGTAAAGAAAATGCTAATTCAAGAAAAGCCATAATTCTAATTTTTTCACTTAAAAGCTAAAAATTTGGAATAAGTGCTTTTCTTTCTTCATTCCATTAGAATGTATTCAATTCTTTAACACTTCCTCTATTAAATATATCTAATAATTAGTAAACCCAATTATATTAAGCACTCTCTTTTAAACTAATTAAAACTGGTTATTGTAATAATTCACTAAAATTATATATATTTGGTGAAATCAAAACTGCTAGAGCCATTTCATATGATAATTATACTTTCTATTCTTATAACATATCTTAATCATTTGTATATGCTAGATATTATAAAGCATTCACATAAAATTCTTCATATACATTCTTTATTTTATAAAAATTATATGCTAAATAATATAGCATTGAATATACAAGTGGATCTACATCTTACAATTTTTCACTTGCTTATTTATATTTTTTTAATAATTCATCCACTTCTTATAATTGACCCAATTGTAATTTAAAGAAAGCTATTAAAATATCAATGACTAATTGAGGTTATTCATCTAATTTAAATTATTTAAGAAAATCAATTCTGCTCTAAAAATCTCCATATTAATCTGCAGCCTTAATGAGGAAACGCATTAATTTCATCATATCAATTTCTTGATAAAATTTCTTAACGAATCCCTCATAAAGATCTTTCAAATGTGTTCCTTAATTGACTTATGGATCCTTAATGTAAATTAATAATTAATCACTCAACTATTTCCACAATTTTGATTCCTAATATACTCTCATACTATCAATGATTGTTAAAAGGTGTGGAAATACAATTTAGTGTTAATTCAAAATACTCATTTTTTTAATTTAATTTATTTAATAATATTTGAAAATTAAAAATCAGATTGGGATTGCTAAATTTTTTTAAACTTATTATATATTATGTATAATTGTTGCTTGATGAGAATTCTAATATAATCTTATTACAAATTATAATCCTTCTTTACATTCCTTTAATGTTGCACTTTTAGCAATAGCACCTAACACATCCCATAATTTTAGAACAACATCTGAATTCATAGTATTATGCATTTTAGTTAATAAGTCTATTAATAAATCAATATTTCTTATTTAACATACCTATTTAGTATATAGTATATAAAATTAACCAGGACACTTAAATTATAATAAATTGGTGATTGATTTCAGAACTAATTTAGGATTAAACAAACTAGGAAATAAAATTAAATTTATGCAATCACAATCTAAGATTAATTTTGATAAATAAATATCTACATCTGTTTCACCTTAAATAGATTACATTAACCCAATCAATTCCTCTACATCATTGTAATAAAAACATTACACTATCCTAATTATTAGAGACAATCTCATATTCTGTTTATTGTGTATCTAATTAAGTTATTTCCTTAATATATTATTAATCACTTAATTCTCAATTAAACGATTGTTGTATTCTGATATATATTAATCATGATAAATCTATTGCTAATTCCACAATTTTGATTATGGTATTTGTTTTATACTATATTAATTAATCTAGACAATCTAAGTAATTAAATTTTTAACAAATTAATTTTGTTATTCAGTTAATTGTCTTTTGATTAATCCCCATTCTTTTAATTTATTTATATTGAATACAGTTTTTATCTACAAAATTGAAACAGTTAATTTTAGAAATAATTGCATTACATTAATTAAATATTAATCTTAATCACTAATTTTTAAATTTGGTAATAAGGTGATAATTTCATAATACATTTCTAAAATAATATTATTGTCATTATTCATGCAATTCTAAATAAAATTCGTTATGATATGATTATTATTTTATGATTTAAATATAAAATCATTAAATCCAGGAATTGTTTTAATAATAGGAATGAGTTAAAAATGTTAATATGGCATTTAATTATTTTCTTATGCAGTTAAAATTTAAGCAAACCTATAATCTTCATTTGCACAACCAAGATCCCAAACAGTACATAAATTGCTAATCATCCTTTATAAATATTGATTGCAATCATTAAATGGAGATTGACTTGGACTTTAAATTTTAATAGGAGAAGCTTTTGGTTATGCAATTTTAGTAATATGTGTTTCTTCTTCTATTGATGAATTCATCCATTTTTTAATTAGTTTTTATTCAAGATCTGCAATAATTTAATCTTTCTATTATAATTATTATGTTAAATTTGTAATAACTTATTTATTTTTGGCTTCATGTTAAAAAAGATCAAAATTTTCAGTAGCCTTCTATTTTAATTATTAAATCTATTTTTCTAATTCTTTTTGTTTAATAGTGAATTATTATAACTTTAAATTAACTAATTCATTTATTCTATTCTCTGCTGATGTTGTTAAATCTTAAGCTAATCTTTAAAATTTTGATTATTATTATTATGTAGTAGAGATATCTAATTCATTTGAAATGGATTAATTATGAGGAGTATTATGATTTACTGTAGGAGCATCTTATATATCTCTAAGAGCAGTCAATAACAATCCTAATAATCCTAAATGTCTTGTATGTATTTGAAGCTTATTCAAAGATAATAGTTATCCATCTTCAGAAATCAAATCCTTTATTAGAGTTTTCAATTTAATATTCAATTTCTCATTTAGATGATGATCCTCTATTATTTCAGGATACTCATTAAATAGAGCTTTTATAAAATAACTCACAGGAACTTTATCCCAAGAATCACAAATTAATTTAGTATTTGTATTTGTATTTCTAGAACTATTAGTATGCATATGTTCATGTAAGAAATGCTTCTTCAGGAATTAATTTACTTCTTTGTTTGTTATAATATAATCAATATATTATGCATCTTAAAACATTGATTGAGATCGATGAGTAATTAGCATACTCTCTAAAAAATATATTACAATATTTACTATTAATTGGTGATTATGTAGATTAAGCACTAGGAGATCTCATATCTGATTAATTTGTTTACACTTACAAAGGTTTAGATTCTTTACGACGAAGAACTTCAGGATATTTAAATTTCATATCATTTTCTTTAGTACTCATAGGACTTCTCTGTTGGGTATGATGTTATGTTTTGCCTTTAAGAATACTATTGTCAGAATGCTCTGTTATTGTTATTTATTATTACTTCTTTGAAAAGCTTTATTCATACTAACTGTTAAAATAATTAAAATGTAAATTATATAAAATTATTCATAATACAAATCTATACACTTTCATTCCTCTCTCTTTAATTCTTACTCTAAACAAACATTAATCAATCTTAATCTATTATCAATTAAAATTTAATTGAATCACTCCAAAATTGTAGCCACACAGCTAACGTAAGCTAAAATTAGAAGATTTCTTTGAGTACAATTCAATTATATTTCATATTATTATTAATAATAATAATGCTGAGAAATGTAATTTAATCTGACAGAAGGAATTCAGTAATGGATGATTAGTTTGGAATATAAAAAAAAAATGTTTTAAATAATCCTGACGTTACTCCCATTCGTTAATAATAGCGTAGATAATCTAGAAATAGTCAATTGATACCTTCTTTATAAAAGATTACAAGAAATTCTAATTCTAAATTGTCTATGGTTAGCAGAAATGATAAAAGAAAATCTACTATAAATAGCAACATGTCTAACAAAAAGATGAATAAATTACTATAAGAATATTAAGATTTATTCAAAGATGAATAATTTTCATCAGATAGTGATTCATCTTGTGGGAATTAATCGGAAATTACCAATTAGTAAAAAACATTTATGAATCCAAAAAATTTAGAAAAAGAAATAGATTAAGAGTTGGATTTCATAAACAAAACTTTAAATAAACATATATCAACTATTAGGTATAGAAAATATTTATAATAGCAAAAAATAATAAGAAAATACATAATTGAAAGCAAGTTAAAAAAGTTAACTTAAATAGACAACAAAAAGTTTTAAAAGTATGAAATAAATGTCTTAAAATGTCAATAGTTTATGCCATATAAAACAATCAATGAAATTTAAAAAAGAAAATTCTATTTCATCATCATAATTTCTTGAAGCATCTGAAAATTAAGATATTTAGAGTGTAATTAAGATATTAGATAAAGCAGGAGTTCCAAATTAAGAATAAGTTTAATATACATAAATAATTGAAGAATTAGAGAAATAATGTGTTGATTTGAATCCAAGTGGAGCTATTAAAGTAAAATAAAAAGTTAGAAAAACTTTCATTAACCTTTTTAATTAATATTATTGTAATGAAAATTAAAGAAAACAAGATGGAGATTAAGTTAGTTTGTATTCAATTGGTCATAATGAATCAATATATTTTGGTAATAAAGCTCATGAATCATAAATTGTGTAAAAGAATCAATCTAATATCAATATTACTTCAATCATGGAAAATGTATTCACCAAAAATTCTAATTAAAAACCAATAAGTGATAAAATGAAAAGATTAATGGAGGATTTTTAATTAGAAATAAATGATAATTAAGATTCATTTGAATAGTCTTAACATTCATCATCTGATATAATTGATAATGAAGAAGATGAGGAAATATATGAATAATCATAAGACAATTCTTAGACACTTAAAAATAATACTAATGCATAATAAGATCGTTAAATTATTAAATATTAAATAAAATATAAAAGAGATCCAATATATGATCCCTATCCTTTGATATGGGAGAGTCAACAAGATTATAAGTGGGTATTAAATGATTACAAATAATATTGGGATACTTACCCTTTCACTGAAATTAGAAAAATTATTGTTCTAATTATTAGGATAATAAATATTAGTTTTTTTAAAATCATAAATCATCGTTTATTTAATATTTTTGTACTTGGCTCAATTGTTTTAAATATTCTATTTTTTGTTTAAAGCCAAGACGATACTTTAACTCAAGATGTACAGGATGATCTTAAAAAGAAAAAGAAAAGTAAAATAGATTATTTATTGTAGTTATACTCTATTTATTTATAGGAGAAAACATATTAAAATTAATTGGATTAGGAGTCTTTCAATATATTATGGATTTATAAAATAGTTTTGATGTCATCCTTCTTGTACTATTTATATTACACTATAATTATCCTGAAATTATTGTTGTAGACTTTTCTACAGCAAGATTATTTAGATTGCTAACAGTTATGAGCATTTTTAGTAAAAGATTAAAAATTATTTTAATTGCAATCAAGCATTCAATTAAATTCTTACTAGAAGCTCTTCTTATTGTAATTATATTCTCTTATTTCTTTGCTCTTTTTGGATAACATCTATTTAAAGGATTATTCTAATATCATTGTTATATAGCTGAAGAAGGAATTTAAACAAAAGAAGAATGTGGGTATAATTTATTATGTAAAGAACATGAATTAATTTGTGCAAAATCTTATACTAATCCAAATGTACCTACAAATTTTGATGATATCTTTTATTCTTATGAATAAGTTGTTAGAGTTATGATTTTTAATGAATGGACTGAACCTCTTTATTTATCTATGCTATCTTTTCATGATTTTACAGTTATCTACTATATTTTAATTATTTTTATTGTTGGTATCTTTGGAGCTAATCTTATCATTGCAGTTATTAAGATTTATTATTCATAAACATTAGAAGAGTATGAATTTATAGATATTCAAGATAACACTGAAATTGAACATAATATTTTAAATCTTAGAATTATTAAAAATTATACCATTGATCATGATCTTTAAAATAATCAAAAATAAGTTGATATACAAAAGAAAATAAATGATAATATTGTAACAAACACAAAAACAAATAATTAATTAAAAACATTCAATTATAAACATAAATATTTGTCAGCTCGTTAAACTAGGGAATAAGAAGAAATTAAAAATAAAAAAAGAGGTATCAAAACTAAAATTAATAATATACATAATTTTATTGAAAACTTTACACTAACCAATTTATTAATTTCAGAATAAAATAAGGAATAGTTTATGTAACGCCTTTATGTAAATGAAGGATTGGATAAAGATTATTTCAAATTATTTTACATTCAAAAATTTAAAGAAAATCCTATGTATTCTTGGAGAAGTGTAGTCAATAAGAATTTTACTTTTACAAGCACTTCTGAAATTGATATTTTCTCTGTTTAAAAATAGAAATAATAATTAGAAAAAAAAAGAGAGAGAGAATTTGAATTTATAAGAAAATTTGTATTAAAACATTATTACGTCATTAAAAAGTCAGAATATTCCTTTATTAAACAATAAAACTAAACTAGCAAAACTTAAAAACTCATGAATAATCAAACAAAAGTTTTAAATACAAAAAGTAAATTTCCTTTAAAACAAAAGAGATCCAAAAACTCTCTATAATAAGAACCAAAAAATGAGATTCATTAAATGATATTAAAAGAAAATAATAATTTATAACTAATTTTAAAATAATAATAATAACATGAATCAGATTTAAATAAAAATGCCATAGAAAATATAGAAAAAAAAGAGGTAACAAATAAAATTACATCTACTTGTAGTAAAAATAAATAATCAATAAAAATAAATGATGAAGATTGTGATTACAAAAATATTAAATAAAAAATCAATAGATAGATTCCTGAGTCATAAGAATAGACAATAAATTTTGAAGATGTTTATGTTAAATTTAGAATGGATGAATGTAGACAATAATTAATATATAAACATAATTGGTCTGGAAATGAAGTAATGTTTGCTAAAAATACTGTCTTACTTAAGAAAAAGCTTTTCAAAAATTTAAATAATCAAGATACAGATATTTGGTTAGCAAGTTTGGATGGTTTTTATATTCTAGTTTCAAAGTATTCAAAAATAATATTAAAGAATAAATTTATAAAAATATTCTTTGATTCAGTAGTTCTCATAAATCTAATATTATTAAGTTTAATTGGTTATGTTGAAGAAAAATTAATAAAAAAAATAAATGATTTGTTTATATTGATTTTAATAGCAGAACTATTTTTAAAATTATTTCAATAGGGAATAATCAGATTTTGTTATTTTCCGAATAATATTATCGATACTGTTATTTTAACTTGTGCGTTTATAACATCATTAGATGTCATGTTAAATTTTGAAGAAGAGAATTTATATCTTGATTTATTAAGTTCATTCTAAACCTTTTTAGTGTATAGAATAATAAAATATAATTCATTTGCTGTTAAAATAGCTAAAATTACTAAGAAATCCCTCCCATCATTTTTAAATTTAATATTACTAATGGTAACATTGATGTTTATTTTTGCATTTATAGGAATGAATTTGTATAAGAATAAATTTCCTTTAGATACAGATCTTGGATTATCTTAATCCTTTGATGATATTTAAGCAGCCTTTTTTACTGTTTTCATAAGAGCCTCAAATGATGATTGGATAGGTATGATGATTATGGGATCTCAATATAGTTTTGAAATTCCTACAATGTTTTATGGAGTTATTTCTGTATATGTTTTGAATTTAATGACAATAGGATCTATTTTAGCAATTATTTTAGATGCTTTTTCTACATTTTCTAATCATAATGATGAAGAATAAAATGATTAATATTTATTTGATACTGAAATATCAAATAATATGTTAAAGTAAGATACAAATGAAAACACTTTGAATAATTCTGAATTAGAAAACTAAAAGATCTCAATTAATAGTGAGTAAATTGAAAATATTTAAAATCAAGAGTAAATAACAACTATAAATATAAATAAATTATACGAATTTTAGTATGAAGAGAGAAATGGATAATTTTTTAAATTAATTGATACAATTAAGAAATTAGTTGATAAATAATTCTAAAATTTTTAATTTTTTGAAAATAAAGAAAGCCAATTTTCATTGTTTATTTTTAGTTAATAAAACATTTTTAGGAAATTTTGTTATAGATTTATACATTATTAGATTTATATTCATTTTATTTAACTAATATTTTTTTTATCTTTGGTAAATATGTGTTTTTATACTTATTATGATGATGATCATTAAAATAATGAATATTAAATAATTTCTGATAATATTGAATTAATTATAAATGTTATTTTATTGATTGATTCAATTTTTAAAATTATATCATTAGGATTTACTCAAGATTAAGGAGCTTTTACAAATGAATTTTGGAGATTAATAGACTTTTTATATTAGATAAGTTATTTGGCAAATTGTTTTATTGATTATTCAGCTTTTAAATATGTAAAGTTACTAAAATATACAAGACCATTTAGGTTTTTGTATTTATTTGAGGAATTAAAATATATAAATAGTGCAATATCAAAATCAATAGTAGATTTGATAAATATATTATTTGTTTAATTAATGGTTTGGTTAATTTTTGCAATATTTGGAGTTATAATTTATAAAGATAAAATGGGATATTGTGAACATCCATTAAATTTTGAGATTAATAAAGAAGAATGTATTAAAGAAGGGAATCCTTGGATAATTCATCTTTATAATTTTGATAATTTAGGAAATGCAATGCTTACTTTATATAGAATAACAGCATGTGATGAATGGGTATATATTTGTTAAGTGTGTTTGAATTCAAGAAGTGAAGATTTGGGTCCAATTCTTTATGGAAATAGATGGATAACTTTTATATATTTTATTTTGTTTATCTTAGTTGGAGTATTATTTTTTATGGGTTTTTTTGCAGGAATTTTATTTATCAACTTTTAAACATATAAAAATATTTTACAGAAATAAATTCTAACAACAGATCAATAATTATTTACACATGTATCAAAAATGATTCTGATAGAAGTACCTAATTATAGTGATCCTCCAAATACATTTTTAAGAAAATTAGCATCTGAAATAGTAAAACAATCTGCTTATGAAAGATTAATTTTATTAACAATATTTTTAAATACAGGTATACAATTTAATATAATATAATAAGGCATTCTAACATTTTTCTATGATACAGCTACAATTGAATTGTAATCAAAATTGGAATACATTTACTAATTGTTAACTTGTTTTTTTATTTTTGATACATATTTAAAAATAATGTCTTTTGGATTAAGAAGATATTGGGGATATAGTTGGAGAAAGATAGAATTTTTTTTAAGTTTAATAGCTTTGATAGACTTAATGATGTATTTAATTTTTGATTGGACAAAACATTATTATAATTCAACAATAAATGAGAATTATTTTATATTAGTGCGATTAGCATTTGCACTTAGAAATTTAAGAACTCTATTGATTATATAATAATTTAGAGGATTAACAAGATTACTAAGAATATTAAATTACTCAGCCTTTTTTTTATTTTAAATTCTTTGTTTTTTGATATCAATACTTTTATTTTATGGTTATATAGGGTGTGAATTTTTTGGTAAGATTGAAAAAGGAGAATATTTAAATGAATATATGAACTTTTCAAATATAGGGAAAGCATTAATAGTATTATTTAAAGCATGTACTAAAAACAATTGGGTAAAAGTAATGATAGATGTTTCAGAGAGAAATAAATATTGTAATAAAAAAGATGAAGAGGAATGTGGAGTAAGTTGGATATTTGCAAGTACATACTTTTACACATTTTTGCTGATATCAAGTTTTGTGGCTTTTAATCTATTTATAACTGCATTAGTTGATTAATTTGAAAGTACATATTATTTAGTAATTATAAAGAATTCTTTCATTCTCAAAATAGTGTGTTGTAAACATATATAGAGAATATTGATCCATTTAGAACAGTATGGTGCAAGTATTCTTCTGAAACAAAAGGAATGTAAATGCACTCAAAACATTTGGCAAACTTCTTATTAGAATTAGGTCCTCCTTTAGGATCAGCAATTGGAGACAATATTTGGGATGCAGCAAAAAGTGCTTCTAATTTCAAAATTCGTGCTGATCAAAATGGATATATTCATTTTCAAGAGGTTCTCTATGAAACTATTCGTTTTGTTTATAGAAACTAAATCTTCTAAACTGGAAGTCCTGAAAGTATTTAAACAATTAAATAAATTGATAAAGATATAAGGTTTAGATTGCATTATAAACGAATTGTACATATATTTTATATTCTTAGAATATCCTAGATCGAAGAGAACCCATTTATGATAAAATGCTCATTAAAGGAAATTTCAACATACTCTAAGAATATCTCTTTTTATTAATGATTTATAGAACTCTAAAAGCTTATGCAATCAAAACCATCTAAAAAATATAGAATAACATGCTTTCTCCTGATAGTCTTAAAAGAAAATATTTAGACTATGATACTGAAAAGAGTGAAATGGATGAAGTTCAAAAGAATTAATAAATTGAAGATTGTAGACATTAAGTATCTCTAGAAAAAGAAGATTAACATCTGGAAGCATCTAAATATATTACGATAAGAGGACAAAGAAAATTAAAGTTTTAGGATGATAATGATGACAATTTCGATTATAGTAATGTTGTTTATATTCCATAATCTGTTTGCCATGAATAAAATTTGAAACAATCAATAAAAGGCAAATCTGTCTTTAAAAAATAAACTTAATAAGCTTTTAATTTTATGGATTTTGAAGCAAATGAATAAAAGAATTTACAAAATCCTATGCTTGATTCTTCCAATATAAATGAAAACAGTAAAAGTTAATTAACTGATTCTTTAATCAATTGTGAATAGTAAATCAATGGATTTAATGTTATTCTAAAATAATAGCCTCATCGTTGTAGATTTAGTGTTTCTTCTAATGAGGAAAGTGTTGGTACAGAATCCCATAATTTATACAACTCTAAACTAAAAAGAAATCAAGTAAGAAATTTTTTGGTTTGAAATTTATTTTTATATATATGATAATTAAAACCCATAAAAAGAGAAAATTTAATTTATTATTTAAGTAAATTTATTTCCATTTTAAAATTATTCATCACCGAGCTCAACCTATTACGTGCTAATTTTTCGCCTTTTACTAAAGATTACCGTGGGTTGGGCTCATACCGGTGACTTACATAAATTTTTAGAGGTCGAAAGACCCCCCCACATTTTGTATTTAATTAAACAAACGAAATTTATTAATATTATTTTAATAATCTTTTAATTCATTCTAAAGTTTTAAATCATTTAAACATATTATATTAAAAAACATAAATAAGATTCAAATAATATTTTATATATTTTTTATATATATATATCATAATAATTCCAAATTCATTTCATCTTAAGACGATAAATATATGTAAGAGTCTTATCTAGGCTCTTATTTTTTATACACTAATGTCAATTATAGTGGTGGGAAGTCTTAATTACAATTAGTTTTTATTGCTGTAAACATTGTAGTTGAACTCTTAGAACTCATAAGTGATTAAATTTTAGATTTTGGAATATAATGGCAAGGATTAGTATCCCCTTTAATTTCTAAGATAACATGTAAATTTCTGTTAGTGTGATTTTATATTTGAATCTATTTAACAGTATCAGAAATTCCAGGATTAATAACAGTGGCTTTATCATCACTATCAGCACTCCAAGCTTTAGATTAAATGAAATTTGCAGCTTAACAATTGGGATCAACAGAATAATTACTAATTTAAGTTCCTTTAACATATTATTATGGTAATGCTTCATTAGTATTTCCATTTGGCATATTATCACAAACATGAGTTGTATATATTTTTTCCTACATATTTAAATAATTTAAATTACTTCCATGGTAAGAACTTTGTGTAAATTACCTTCTTCAATTTATTGTTTTGTATCATCATATCCCTCAGATCCTTCATCTATTTGAATTTCTTCTTTAGTACAAGGATTATAGAGGAATAAAGTTTTTCTGACTTTGGTTACCTCAACTGTTTTTCCAATTATGAAATCAAATTGAGGTTAAAATTCATTATGAATTTAAGAAATCTTATTACAATATTAATCTAGATAAATCTTTGTTTCATCAGTTTCTTATTTTCTAGGATATTAGGAATAGAATCTTTTAGTATCAACTATATAAGTTTCAATAAAGGCTTTGAAGATTTCTTCCATATATTTCTATAATAATGAAAATATAAACAATTACATATTGATAATTTACACAAGGGAGTTTGGAGATATAATCAAAACAAGTATCGCACTCGAGACTTATCATTAATAATAATTTGAGGATAAGTAAACATTGATTATCGTTATTTTTAATTGTTCTATGAGTACAGAAATATTCAAAGAGATTATTTTACCATCCTAAAGGACTAGCAAATGTCCAATAATCTTCTTCTAAACTTATTAATCCATATAGACCAAATTACGGATATTCAATAAATTAATTATCATATACTTTAGCAGTTTCTTTCTATTTAGATGAAGGGATTCCTATTAACCATTCTAATCTTTCTATTTATAAATTATCTTTAATTAATAAAAATGGTTTGGCTATTAAAAGGTAATTCTTAAAATCATCAGAATCTCCACTTCCAAGACCTCTCATTATACAACCTGCTATTATTTCAGAAAAATATCGATTGTTATAAGCAAATTTAAGTATTATTGGAATTAATTCTTCTGTTTTAGTACTTTTTAATGCTTTATCATAAAATTTAGGTAAATAAAGTAATTTCTTTTCTTAAATTGTGAGTTAGTGATTTTATTAAAGAAGAGTACTTATTATTTGCATTGGAATTTAACAATTAATTGGAAAGTATGCATTTCCCATTTAAGTTTTCTTTTCATATAATTATAATGGACTACTCTTATCAAGAATAAAATCAATCATATAAAGAATCATATCTTTATCCAAACAGTATTACATTTAAGTTTTACCTTCCTAAATAAAATCAAGCCAAAATTAGAAATATTAATCAAAGCGAGTCCAATTCTTAGGTACTTAATCTTATAACATAAGGAACAAGAAATCTAAACCTTCTTAAATTTTCTAACTAATTTCACCTTGAATCTATATTGTTTGATTGAATAATATTGAAAGCATTTTTCCAAAGTATTTACGAGTTCTAGATTCTGGACAAACTAATAAGAGATCTTAAACCTTAGCTTATTTACCAAAGAATATTAAATCAAGATAATTTGGATTAGGATATTATTAAATTAATTGTATAATCTTGTTGTTAAACTGTTCTAAAATAGAATTCTCATAAGCACGAGCTAATAAATCATAACTGAATCGAATAAGAATTTCTATTGTCACATCTGCAATCTCATGATCAACAAAATCACTTATATCCAATATAAATTTCATGAATTCTTAATTAAAAAGATTCCTTTCTAATAAAAACTATTAATTATCACTATTCACTTTCTTATGATATTTACTTGGAATATATTATTTAAATGAATTATAATCAACTAGTAAGACATTATTAGGTTAAATTGAATAACTTTCAAATTTAGATAATTGCTCTTATAATTCTTCTTAAGAGTTAAATTCTAATTATATTTTATCTTTTTAGACCTTCTCATATATTAACATATAAGCACTTTACGAGTTTTCTCTAAAACCATTTCCCCATACATCATTATCATTGTAATCTATATTTGATTAACCACCAAAACATTCATTCTCCATTTATTTCAATTTAAATTCCTTTATTTTATGATCATTGAATTCCAACCATTAATCTTAACTTTTTATATCAATGTAACTAAAATAATGACCAACATCTGCAGTTCCCAAATGAACAACAATACCAACTAATTTATATTATGTACATTAATCTTAATTTATTGTATATTAAGCTAAATCTAAATTTATAGGAAATTCTAAACGAGAATTAATTTTTTCATTCATAAATGTATCTAAATTGAAAACAATTCTTTATAAATGTAATATCAAGACATTTGGTAATTAAGCTAATAATTATCTCTTACTGACATCTACTTTTTAATTACAACTTTCACATTTGAAATCTGAAATGATCTCACCCTAAACAAACTTATCAAAACATTCCTAGAGGTTTTTAAGATTCTTTATGGGAACTGACAAATTATAAAATATCTCATCCTTATTTTTTATAGCTTTACAATTCTAACATTCAATTTATGTACAGGTTTTACCTCCAAAAACACCATCTAAAATGTTTTTATATACAGTGTTTTTGAGAAGATTCTCCAATTTATCAAATATCATATTTAAAAATTCTTGAGCATCTTATTATATGAAAATATTGACTGGTTCTCCTGCATAATCTTTAAATGCTGCACAAAATTCTTAAGGATTATAATCAATACGATCAGATAACTCTAAATAACTAAACATCTATTATAATTAATGAAGAACATTGTCATCAAATAAAAATCCAGTTTTACTTTATTGTATATCAGATTCTTTACCATCATCAGCTTATAAGATACCATATCTAAATGGAATAGTCATATAAAATTATTGAAGCATAGCATTCATATAACAAATGCATCTAAGATTTCTGATTCCACAATATCCAAAGGAACTTCTCATATCACTTGATGGAATATAATTCCATCTATTTATAAGAGGAATCTTTTGACTCAATTATTAAAGATTTAAAAGAATGTTTTCACAATTAGTAAATTAACGAGATAATTAATAGAGTAATTTGAATGCTGCTTATCTACTTTCATTAGATTTACATTTAATTTCCTTCTCATCCTAGAGACTAAATAAACAATCATTGAATATAATATCATGAATTGGTTATTTAATGAATTTATGTAATTTAGTTAACAAATTCAAAAGGCCAATAAGTATTTTATCAACTGAAGTAGATTTTTATCTTGTTTCAATACTTTTATGATTGATGAGATTGTCTAAAACTTGTTAAGTTAATTATTCATAATCAATGAACTATTAAGAGTCTTCACTTTCAAAGGCACTGTCAATTAATTGACTTAATAATTCATAAAATTATGATGAATTTGCTTATTGATTCTGCATAGATATCAATTATTATAATATGATTTTAGTCGGTTGATTATTTCTCTTTTGACTTTCATGACAGAGGACTAAAATAGCTCTACTGAAAAGATTTCTTAAACTATCAGATTTATCAGTAAATATTCCACTAAAAAAAATATTAATGAATTCTATATTTTCAATGCTATTTGTTAATAATTCTTAATTATGTAATAAGATTACAATTATTACAATAACACTATGTTCAATAATTTATCTATCTTCTTATTCTAATTCATTACTTTTCAGAAGTTCTTAAATCAAATTAACTAAGACAGTGATGAATTTTTCAATTTTTTCAGTGATACTATCACCAAGTCGACTTTCTTTTAATTTTTAAACAAGTAATTTAAATTCTTCTGGATCTTCTGATTATCGAATATCTATAAGTACTTGATCTAAGGGTTTAATAATTTGAATAGCTCTTGAAGCTTTATAGAGATTAGGTACATTTGTAGCACAAGCAGCAATAACATAATTTTAGAATGTTTTTAATAGAAATGATAAGATTTCTTTTTCAATTTATGGTAAAGTACTTACACTTCTACCTTGATATTATTTAAAAAATTATAACAATTTATCAAATCCTCCAAGTTATAGGAACTTACTCATCCATTTATCTTTCAAAATTAAAATTTCTTAATCTTCAATTAAAGCTTATAAATGATTGGAATCTTATTGATTCATAAGAAATTCAATAATATATAGACTATATAATAATCTATAATGACTACTAACAAGAATTTGATCCCAATCAGTAGGCGATTGAATATTTTCAAAAGTAAGCATCTACTTAATCAATTATGGAGATGGAGGTAATCTTCTTAAAAGATACCAAGTTTTTTCCTAAACTTCATTACTTGAATTCTATAATAATTCGAAAAGTAAATCTAAGTATCTTTAATTTTGAACAATCTATCCTCTAGGTAATTATTAGGCATTAACTTGAGGTAAGGGAACTCTGTCTCCTCTAATAAGATCATTTCTATAATGTAAAGTTTGAAGATTGAGCCAAACTGTACTTCTTTTGGTTCTAGCAGAATCAGTATAGAAATCAAGGAAATCATTCAAAGTTAATATAGAATCTTTGTCTTTATCATATTATTCAAATGTTCTTTAAATATTTGCATCATCTATACTACAAGGATTTCCAGTACATCCAGTTACAAATCTAGTACAATCTTCTTTACTCATTTTACCATCAGTAGAATACTCACTAAATATCTCTCCAAAAACTTATTTAGCTGGTTCAGATAAATCTTCTCCATCCAATAAATTAACTTCATGTATATCTTTTACTTATTTTCTGAATACCATTATGATTTCTCCCTTTTTCAATCTTAAGTCTTTAATCATCTTTCCATTCTCAGTAAATTTAATTTCTCCTTTCAAACTATTCAAACCAATTGAATCCCATTATTATTTAATTACTTTACTAATGGCTAATCTTAATTCTATTATTGTTTAATTGTCATAAATCTTTATTGTAAATTTCTTCTAATTTCCATGCTCATGTGATACTTAGATTTACAATTCCTCTCCTTATGATAATGCATTTAAACTTTTTAAATTACCTACTCCATTTATTTCACTTTAATCTATAAATCCTTCCAATACCAACAAACATCTATATAATTTTTAATTATTATTTCTATTCTCTTACAATTTATTAAACAACACTTCCAAAGTACTCTCAAATTATAGATAATATTCTATAGCTAATTAAGATACTTTGTCATTTTCTGTTTCTAAAATCATTTACCATAACACATCAAGACCAAAACTATTATCATCTTATTTATTTATTGCTGTTAAAACTGTCTTAAAACAATTAAATCCTTCTTCTGTCAATTAAATCAAATCATTTGTCATTTTCTCATTGAAAAAGGATTTCAAATCTGAAATAGCCACCATTGATGTTAATTATGATTATCCATCTTAAGTTGATAATGCACTAAACCATTTATAAACTAGATCCTTTTCTTATTGACTTGATGATTAACATACAAGTTATTCCCATATACTTGATATTATTTTAAATGTTAATCTATATTCATATGTATTGATATTCTAATAAAAGAATTAAATAAATTGCATTCTAATCTTAATTTCCTCTAAATAATCTTTCTATTTCTTTAATTCAGGAATAGATTTAATTATCTCATCAACTATTTTAAATTTATTTTCTAATTCTGTCAATGCAACATTTCTTGTGTATTATTCCCAAGCAGCTGGTTGAATATCCAATTTCTCTATCAATTTTATTAACACTCTCAAACCTACATTTACTTATTCTCCATTAATGATACTCTCTCCTATCATACTAATTTATGTCCCTTTATGAGGTCTCATCTCATATTAAGTTACTTGATCTATATAATATGAAATGTATTATTCTAACATTGTCTAATTCAATTATCCACTCTTTAACACTGTCCAATAATAATTACAACATTTCTAGATATACTCATCTTTATATCTATAATTCATCTTTATTATATCAAGCAATAATTCCAAATCATCTTTCGTTACATCTTTTGGATCCTTACTACAAACTGCATCTGTTAAAAAATCTAACCATTCCTTTTCTAATGAGTTTGAAACATCTTTAAATAATTTAAATATTGCTAATTTATGTTCATATTCAGCTTTCTCTAAACTATTCCAAATCTCTTTGAAATTATTAATACTTATCATTTTCTCTTCAATCAAAAACTTAAAAAATTCTGCACTTCTCTAAACTAAATGAGAATTACCAGATCCTACATACAGACTTTCAAAGATCTTTTTCTCATTTAACCATTCCAATATCATTTAAATAGCTTATTACTTTTACTATTCCTACATTCCATATTAATTATATTGATCTTTTGTCTTCTTTATTAACTCTTAAATGGCTTTCAAACCTTAAATCTTTCTTTCTAAAAAATCACTTGTAAAACATTTATATGCTATATCCAAATCCAATCTATCAATCATTTCTTATCTTTTCTATAAAGCAAACACCCTTTTCAATAGATTACTTAAAGCTTATAAAATCTCAATAATCTTCTAGGAGGAAAAGTTTCGAAGATTGTTATCAGCTGATAATAAAATATTATTTTAGACTGCATCAAATAATTTGGGTACATAGGTTAAAACAAATTATCTGTTAAGCATTTCTTAAAAATTATTTAAAACGACCATGTAACTGTGTAAGAAATCAATGGTACATTTATTTATAATTTAATCTAGAATGTATTAAAACAAACCATTTTTGCCAAATTCATTAATCATTTCACAAATGACAGTTGATCTTCTAGCTTATTTAGTTTGAAATCTGGGTACAGCATAATCAGTTTTTGGATAGAGAAAATCATTACAATCATGAACAATCTCTTCTTAACAATGAGGATTAGATGGTTATCCTCTTGAAAATGCATTTTTCTTTTAAATTCTTGGACTTATAGCTTTAATTCTTTCATCATATTATTAATTCCAACCAAAGAATCTTCTATTTTTTGAATCATATTAATTGCCTTTTTCATCATATACTCTAAATCCTACAACATATTCATTATCATCAGGATTTAATGGAGCAATGATTGTTGCATTTTACCATACCCTATTATCAAAACAATCTATAATATCTCCAGCATTAAGAGAATGTCTCCATTCCCATTCGTCATCTGTAACTTAACTTTTAAATGGAGCTAAATCCATAGAATATCTAGCAATTTTTCTTTTCTCTTCATTTTCATACCATTTAACCCAAACATACTTTTCATTAATTTTAACAATATTTGCTCTACACCATCCAATTACATTGCCTTTTTCATCTTCATATAATGCATCCACATCTTAATTTTCTTAAAGATTTGCACAAAATTCTTATTAAGTGAATTCCTAATGCGAAAACTAAAATTTGTTTGCATTCTATTACCTAGTCTTCATCTATTTATACTAACTCATGACACTTATAGAAATGCTTATCTGGGTCTATTGTTAATCTAATTGTCTCCCATGCTTTCAATTGATCACGATTATTTAAACACACCTTTACTATCTCCATCAAGATTTTATTTGCAGACTATCAATTATAAGATGATACTTACTTTCCAATACATTGTGTATTGTCTGAACTCGATCACGTTCTTTGCACATTGATACAATAAATCCAATCCCACAGGATTTTGGATTTATTACAAAACTATCTCTAAATCCTACTAAGATCTATTGTTACTACATTCAACTTACTCCTATTAACATTATCCAATTCTCTTTATGGCTTCCTTTAATTCTTCTACGTTCATTTAATTAAATATCACCTATTATAATACCAAATACACACAAATAAATAGGTGTGTATCATTACAACTCTAATCAAATTCAATGACATTTAAACATACAAAATCATAATCATCAAACCATTATTCTTCATCTTTTATTCTTAATTAATTAACTATTTATAATCTTCATTTCTTACATCTTCTTTATTAATTTAATTTGATATCCAACCACTATCCTATACCCATTCTAATTCAAAGTTCTTATTCACTATTTTTAAATACTATTTATAAATATCCCCTATCATTATTCACTATTATGACTAATTTTTATACAGTAAATTTCTATACATGATTCTTAAATAAACTGATCTCAAAGAACATATATTATTAATTTAAATATGGGAATCTGTTCAGCTAAACGATAACACAATCTAAAAGACAAAGAACATACAGAATAGAATACTAAACAATCTCCTCATAATGAAAAAACTTAAGATATTTAAAGACTCGTTAATTCTGAAAGAACCATTAAAACTATTAAACCTATAGCCAACTCACCAAACCAAGTAAAGTCTAAGTTTGCTGCCACTCCTTCTACTCGTTAACCTAAGCATATGGTTTGGGCAGATCAAATAGTTCAAAATACAGGTTATCGTGGAACACTAAAAACTTGGATTACAATAAAAAATGTTCAATTCTCTAAATACTATACCATGTTAAAAAATGATCAATTTCATTGTAGAATTAAATTAAATGATTAAATTGTTCTAGTCTAACATAATCTTAGTGGAAAAATAATGTTGGCTGAAATGATAAAAAAAACTTAACAAGGAAATTAACTTATCGAATCCATTGTTTAAACATAATTAGTATTACAATATATCATCATATTTTTAGAACCATCCTAATTTAATTAGAATTTTTGAAATATTCTAAGATTGTCACAATTATCAAATAATTCATGATTTTTGTAATGGATCCATACTATCTTCCAATATCCATACTTCAATTTACACGCAAAAATAAGCTGCTCTAATCTTTAAATAAATAATCGATATTGTCAAACATCTTCATCAATACAATGAGAATCATGGGGGATTAACACTGGCTTCTTTTTAAATGTGTAATCAATCAAATTCTAATTTTATTAAATTAGTTGATTTTAAACCTATTTACTTAAAATCCTATATATCAGAAAAAGAAATTTATCATTATATGTCACCTGAAGCAATTAAATTTCCAGAACTTTACACACCTGAAAGGGATGTTTGGAGTATTGGAATTATACTATTTTAAATGCTAACTGGAGAGTATCCATTTAAAGGAAAAAACAAAGAAGAAGTTTTTGAAAATATTAGGAATTATTCTCTCCTAGAAGATTTGAATCATAATTCTTTACCATCTGAATGTATAGATCTTATTAAAAAATTCCTTAAACTTGATCCTAACAAAAGAATTAAATTAAATTAAGCTTTGAATGATCATTGGCTTAAACATAATATTGAAACATAATATGAAGAATAAAAATTAATTGTCAAATAATTAGATGATAATCATGCTTTAAATTTTCTATAATGTTGTTTATTATAATTTATGATTTCCACTTTTTAGGCTGATCAAGAATAATTTTTTTATCAACTTTTTGGCCAATTTGATATTAACCATGATGGGAAGATAAGCAAATAAGATCTTACTATTGCTTACATTAAACATTTCAACAATCTTCAAGAAGTGAAAGAACATGTAGATGCTGTATTTTAAAGAATTGATCTTAATAAAAATGGTGAAATTGATTTCTAAGAGTTCTTGATTGGAGCAATTCATAAAGAAACTATAATAACAGAATAAAATCTTTAAGAAGCTTTCAAAATTCTCTCAGATAGAGAAGGTTATATTACCTTAACGAAAATGTCCTCCTTATACCATAATAAGAGATAACTATTGAAATAATAATTTTCTGTCTATGAAAATAATTAGGTAATAATTATGATCACATATTTTTAGATGAATTTTAAGGAATTTTAACAGTTAATGTTTAATGCACTCTGAATTTTATCTGTACTATCTATATCAATATAGTAATCAATATATTTTTGTTAATATTTATATATATGAATCAATTAAGACTTTTTATCAAAAAAAACCTTGATAAAAGAATTTAAACTTACATTATACGTTAGGCTGTAAATATATACTTAAAAATGTGAAACAAGAATATATTCACGAATTTTAAATTAACAATTTTTAGTTAATGTTTTATCTAGTCTAATATATTTCATAATTTTCTATAATCAATTTATCATTAGATACATTCAAAAAATAAAATAATCAAGAATAAAATTGTGGAACTTTACAAAAAAACTATTTTCTTTTGACATACAATTATTGAAATATAATTTCACAAATATGATTTAAAAACATTAGCTTCAAGTAAAAATTTATAAAAATCATAAAAATAAACCTTTGTAGTTGAAAAATAAGTCTTATTCGAAATTAGAAGTATTACTACAAAATAGTTTTTCTATATTAAGATCAATATTATCTTAAATAATATTGAAATATAAAAAAAGAAATAGTTTTATGAAACTAAAGAGTATTAAATATATTGAAGTTCAATAAAAATGAATGATAATGTGGTATAAAACTGAAATAATCAATTTCTTTTTTTGCTCATCCATCCAGGAGAATTGTTGATATTATAATTATAAGTTATATTGTTATAAACAATGTTTAAATTCCTATCTTAATCTTCTTGAGTATTTCTGCACTCACCAATATTGTAGTTGTATTATTATTACAATTATTGTTTTTATCCTTTTTATATGCTCAAGAGTTCTTTTGATTAATAGACTTCCTATTCATCTCCAGAATATTCATCAGTAGGATAAAAGTTTTACCTGAGTTAAGTAGATTTCTTTTTAACCTAATAGACTGGAATTTGTTATTAATATTATTATTATTCTTTTCGTTTTAATTTTAAGATAGTAGTTTAATCATCTTCATTAATTTCAGGGTTAAATGATTTTTTTTTTGCTCTAGCTCTAAGATTCATAGATTTTTTTTCACCCTCAGTAGAATTATTTAAATCATTTTCTGGTATTTCATAATTATAATTTTAAGCCATTTTGTTTTATAAAAAGTTATCAAATTAGCCTTCCTAATATCCAATGATAACATTTTTTTACAAAAAACCTAATTAGGAATTTACATCTTTTTTAGGCATTGATTTAGATTCTTAAGAAGGCTAATTAATAGGATTATAATCTACTGTATTTTTTTCTCCTGTTTTAATTGGTGCAGGTTTAACAAAATTATTAACCCTTTCGACAGAAACATTATTATTTCCTTTTTATTATATTTTTCTATAAAAAGATTAATAACAATAATATACCTTTCATTAGATTTATCAGGTCTTTTATTACTAGTTTAGATATCTTTTTATTATGAAAATATTTATTATTATTATAAAGATATTTATTGTTATTATTATTAATTGACTTGTTGTGATTATTTTGCTGCTAATTTATTTGCAGATAGAATTCTATCTTTTGGTATTTATTCTTTATCTCTTAATTCTTTTAAGAATTAATAATATTAATCATCTCTCATACCATCAAAATAAGGATGTTCTAATGCTTCAAAAATAGTCATTCTTTTATTGGGATCCATTTTTAATAATCCTTTAATAAATGAAATAGCTTTTAATGAAAGTTTAGATTAAAACTTTTTTTCAATAGTATCTGGTTTAGTAATTTCATGAAATTTCATTCCTACATAACGTGGATTTTTAAGAAAAGCTTCTTTTTATTCACTAGTTAAAGGACCTAACAACTAAGAAATACAGAGTAATTTAAACTTTACAAATCAAATATAATTGATCCATTTCAGTTTAGCCTTAAAATAAAGGTTACCCATCTGTCAATTCAGCCATTATACATCCAATAGCCCAAATATCAACTCCTTTTCCATATTCATCTCCCAATAATAATTCTGGTGCTCTATACCATCTTGTTGCTACATAATCAGTCAATTATCCTTATTTTTATGGAATAAGTCTTGCAAAACCAAAATCACAAACTTTAAGAATCATTTGATCACTCACTAATAAATTTTCAGGTTTAATGTCTCTATGTAAAATTTCAAGTGAATGACAATAAGCAATTGCCAAACATAATTGATATATAAATCTTCTTGCTAATTCAGGCTATAATGGTAATTCAATTTTACATCTAAACCATTTGGTTTTTCTTCAAGTAATTCTAATAAGTTTTTTTCTACATATTCTAATACAACATAAAGTTTGCCTTTTCTAGAAATATATTATAAATAAATACCTTCTAAAAGCCTCTTTTATTTTAACAATATTATCATGATTAAGCATCTTTAAGACTTTAACTTCTCTTAGGATTGTTTTTTTAATGCTTTCATCATCCTCAGAGCCAATATATTATTTGATAGCTACGATCTAAATTATTAATATACTCTACCTCTCCTGTTTCTTTATTCTAACCTTTAAGTACAACACCATAAGAACCTTTGCCTATGATGCCAAGCACTTCATACTTTTACATAATAATAAATTATATATTATTTGAATAATTATTTTTATCAACCGACAAGTGAATCAGTGTGAAATCTATTATTCTAATTCCGTTATCCTTTTTAAGATTGTGCTCTATGAATATTCTTAGTCTTTGATAAGAATCCTGGAATCCATATCTTATTTGAACCTTGAAATTCATCATCTAAAGTAGGATGAAGCATTTTTCTTACTGTTGTTTAACACATCCACTTACTATCAAATTCTTAAATTTCATATTCTTCTTTTTCAATACTATTAGGTGTTTTTGGATTTGAATTTTTTTTTGAATTTAATCTTCTACTATTGTTAGCTGTTGCAATTACACGTTAAAAAGGTAATGGTTTTTTTTTAGCTTCATCCTATATATCTCTCATTTATTAATCATCATCACCTCCAACATTAATTTAACTCTATTATCTTAAAAATAAAGCTTTTTTAATTTAAAATGATTTTCTTCTTGTCACTTTATAATTCTTCTCTTATATATTATTTTGCTATACAAAACTATATTAATAAAGTCATACTCTGGTAATCTATCCTTTTTTACTGAAAATCCAACATGAAAAATCTTATCTCTTTCACTCTCTTATATGGCTGTATTCAATAATTTACGATATTCAAGCATAAAATTCTTTTATTATTTTTTTAATAAATCTTCTGGGTTTAAATTGCTCATCTTCTTTTTTTATTGAAATACAATCTCAATATTATCTAATCCCTTATTTCCTGAAAAGTACTTCTCATTAGTAATACTAATAAGATTATAATTATTATTGAATCTAATCAATTTAACAGCGTAATCAATAAAATTAGATAATATCTTAACAGTATCTTTTTATTTTGGTTCTATTTCAAACATAGTTGCTATAATATTATCACTCTCTATTATTAAGGGTCCTCTTAAATTGTGTTCTGCTAATGAATTAAATTTCTAATTCATTTTTAATAAATACTTTATCTGGGTTTGTAAATGTTATTGCATGAATATCCCATTAATTATATGATGTTATAGCAAATTCCATAGCTACACCTTTAAATAACCAATGATGTAAGAATTGCTTTTTAATTTAGCATATCATTTCACTTTGATTTGCCAACATATTCTATTTTGGCTTATATGTTGGAGATTTAACAATATACTTACCAATTGATTAATACTCCATTGCATCTCTTCTATTATGTAATCCAATATTAGCTTTTGGCAACCATTCATCTGTTACTTTACTATAAAAATAAAGATCTCCAGTTGTGGAATCTAAAAAATATTCATTTGGACCATTTTTCAATGCTTATAATGTATATTTTGGAAAATCTACTAATTTACAACCTTCTCCATGATTATTAGTTATCGAAGCATGCTTTTTAATTTCAATATCATTTATATACCACAGAAAAATTCGTTGAACAAAGATAAGCTATAGCCTATGCTCCAAAAGAAGTAGAGAATAATAATTTTTTAGTCTTCAAACACATTCTAATCAATGTAATTATCTTATTGCTTAAATTTAATTTTATACCTTCCTCATATTTGTATTCCATGGCCTTGAATTTGAAGATGCTAATATGAATACAATATCAATTGAATTAAATTTCTAACCATATTCTGTCCTTATTAAACTTGTCTCTGGTTCATAGAGGAAATCATCTAAAGAATGTCTATCTCTAAAATGATACTCACATTCAGTGTCAGCTACTTCCTTTTATTTAGATATCATCTAAATAAAATATAATTAAATACATTCTAGATGCTATTTCTAAAATAATCAAATAGTTTTGCGCCTGAAGTAGATGCATTGAATCCATTCACAATAAGAAATCTCATATTATTATATTTTATTTATTTACAATATAAATGAGACAACAACAACCCTATTTCATAAGACCTCCTAATCTATCTTCCCGTCATTCTACAAATAAGATAAGCTTTCTCAATAAGGAAGATACCCCTTCAAACAGTTAAGGAGTTAGAAGAAAAACACCCATTATTGCTTAACCATTAAATTCCCCAACTTTATTTAAAGACTTGTATTTCTATTATACTTATAAAGACATCGTATCTATCCAGCTAAACGTATTCCAACACTTAATTCACCATTGCATGATGGATCAATATCAAAATATAAAATTATAAACGATTTATCGGTTTATAAATTACCAACAACCAGAAGAATCAAATCTGATGATTAAACTTCAAAAATTATTCCTACCAAAAAACTTTAGAGTTAACACATCAATAATATTAAACTAAGAACTGATAGAAGAAAAAATTTCACTCCTTTAATTAAAATGAAAACAGAACCTAATGAAATTCCTACGCATTCAATTTCTAAATAAGATGAATCTCAAGATATCTTATTTCGTCTTCATAAATAATCAATCCCAGCTGAACCTAAAGATAAATTTTCTTCTATATTAGGAGATAAAATTGTTTCTAGTATCAAAAAAATTGAAAAGAAAACAGAAAATTTTATAGAATTAGAATAAGATAGCTAATTCTTTTTGGAAACCAAAGAAAATAAGAAAAATAAAGAAACTACTATTCTGAATCAATAAACTAAAGAAAGAATTTTAGATTTATTATGTTTGTCTACATAAGATTTAAAAAAAAAATTTGCTGAACAAAGTAGAGTAGGCAATTCCAAAATTAATGCAAGATAACCTAACAAATTAGTCATTCCTAAAACAGGCAAATCTAAATTTCCTTTAGATTTTTTTAATGCTCTCTTACCTAATTCAATTCTTAACTGATATTTTTATTTAGTATCTTATCTGTTTTATTTGTTATTAGAAAATCGCATTTACCTCCATTTACATATCCATTTCTAATACCAGAAAGATCTTTATGTTATTTTATTAAAACTATTTTTTCATTATTTAATTTAATGTTGATAAATGTTTTATAATTAATCATTAAACTTTATCATCCTCACCCAATATTAACGCATATCCATTTAATATATTTTCTAAAGTTTATCTTTAAGAATTGAATTAAGATTCAAAAGTTAAATAAATGCAAATTTTATCATTAGGTAAAATTTCGAACTAAATAAAATAGATATATATTTATACTTTTATTAAAAATGATATATCTGAGTAAGTACATGAACCTCCTAATTTTATTTCATCTATTCCCAATTCAAAGTCATTTATTTTGTTAATATTTAATATTATTATTTTTGATATCTGTTTCTGAAAATTATAAATATCTTTTATAACTTCCTTGTTTATATTAAGTAAAGAGGTTCTGATTTAATTTTAAATTTATTATTTCCATTTACTTTAAAATTCATTCACTTTTATTTCTTTATAAACTATTTATTAGCAAATGTGATTTGGTATGTAAATTTAGAATGGATGAATATCAGAATAAGATATTTACAATGTCAAAATTTATTAAGGAATCTTATTGGATTCTACTACAATTTCTATTAAATCATTGGAATTTTCATCCAAAGTCTTAGAAAATTCTATAGGATCTGCCCAAAATTGTTAGAATTCTAAAATTACATATATATATAATTTTACCTTCTCTTTCCAAGAACTAAACAGTGAAATTATATTTCATATCTTAAGTACTACTCTTTATATATAGTCCATAAGTAAAATAAGATTTATTCTTTTACACTTAAGTTTAATACATTAATCCAAATTATACTCCATATTCTTCAAATAGAATACCTTAAGTTCCTAAACATCTCTATTTGAAAAAGTTTATATTTTCTTTATTCAAATGAGAGATTTCATCAAAATTTTAAGTTTATATTATTAATCTACCTTTCCTTGTCTTTTATTATTTATTATTAAAGTAATCTTCAGGACATTAATATGGAAAAATTAATTCCAAACTTTCTGGATTAATATTTTTTTATTTTTAAATCACTTATTCAAGAGAGAATTTTTTATTTGCTGGAAAATGTTTAAATTGTGTTATCGGACATTAAAATACCTTTTATTCTTAAAAAAAACTAACTTTAACATCAGAATTTTCTAATTATTTTAATTGTTAAATTGATTCAAGTTCAGACATTTGAGATTTAGAGTTATTTTTAGATGACACTCTAAATTTTTACTAAACTTATTTTTAAATGGCTTCCATAGCTACAACATTATGTTGTTATACTTATTATTGTAATTCAAATAAATCTTTTTATAATTTTTATTTTTCCTAAGTTAGATCCTCTATTCTTTATTTATAATAATCATCCTTTTCTTTAAAAGCAATTTTATGATCTTCTTTTAGTTTATCAATTTCATCAAGTTTTTATTATAATTTTTATTGTAATAAAGTCGAGCTTCTATTATCCATATTATTTGAAATGAATTAATCGATTTATTGTTAAGCAGTTTCGAGATTTTTTTTCAATTATTAATTTTCTTTTAAAGCTGCTTAATAACTTTATTATAGTTATCTATTTTCAGCTTCTTTATCACTAAGTTACAATTAAATTATATTTATTTGTTATTTTGAATTCATACTTTCTTTTCGAGCATCTTATACTTATATTAAAAGTTATTCACTCTATTTTTTTTAATATTCTTAAATGTTCAAATAATCTTATGAGCTTTTTTCTAACTAAGCCTTATAAATATTCAATTACTTATTAAGAGCTTCTGAAAAACTTGATTTTTCATTTAGTAGTAATCTATTTTAATCAACATCTTCTTATAATCGTTATTGTATATTTAATTTCTCTTATTTTAAATATTCAATTTCTCTTCTCAATTAACTTATCAATTATTCATTTTAAGTTGTCTTATCTTGTTAATCTACATTATTTGTTTATTATGTCTACATTTAGTTTAATTATCTTAATAAATCTTATTTTTCTGAAAATAATTGTTATCTCTCAATTTTGAAATTATTCAATTCTAAATCACTTTATTCTCTTTGTTATTATTTCATCCTTTCATTATTTATTTTATAATCATCAAATTATTATTTATTAATAGTTAGTTAATTCTAAATAGAATTTTTTTCTTATTATAATTAATCAAATTTCTTTTATAAATTCTTCAAATCTTCTTATATTCTATTTTCATCTCCATTTAAAGAATACATATTTTCCCATTATTTATTTCTCTCTGATGTTTCTTCTAATTATTTTTGAATTTATTATTTGTCTCTTTACAAATTTTGAACTTATTGCAATAAAATTTCAATTTAGTTTTTTTCAAACTAATTTATTTGCGATTTATTTTCTTTAATCATATCAGGAGCTCCACTAAAATCACCTTTTATTTTTTAATTTTATGGTTAAAGATTCCTTCCTTAACTGGATTAACTGATTGGTTTTCGAATCTTGTTTTGAATTTAAGATCTATCTAATGGATATTCTAATTAAGAATTTTACATTTTAATATTTGATGTTCCAACTAATTCTTAAGCCTTTTATAAATCACTTTATGAAATTTAATTTTGTTAATAACTTCTTTATAAATCAATTATTTTTTATTATTATTATTCTAAATCATTTTTTCTTAATTCTTCTTATTGTTATTTAAATCTTCTTTCTTATTCTTTCTCTTTTAGTTCTTTTTCTTTTAATTCTTACTCATATTTTTATTTTAACAATCTTAATTCTTCTTCTCTTCTTTATTTTTCTAATAAATCTTATTCTTCTTTTTTTTTTTGAATTTCATATTCTTTTTTCTTCTTTTCTTCTTCTTCTTATATTAAAAATTTTTCATTTTATTCTTTTATTAATCTTTATTATTCACGTTCTAATTATTCTAATTTTTCTTATTCTTTTCTTTTTCTTTAATCTTCTTTTTATTATTCAAGTATGTATTATTGGATTTCTCTTTCTCTTTACTCTTGTTATTATTTTGATTTAGCTTCTAACTCTTATAAAATTCTTGCTTATTCTTTAGCATTTTCTTATTCAACTTATTAACGTTTTAATGCTTCTTATCTTTCTATTTCTCTCTATTGAATTGATTATAATTATTAAAATTATTCTTATGCAAAATCTCTTTTATTTTTGATATATTTTTTTCTAAATTCTTAATTAGATAGATCTTTATTAAGATTATTTAAATCTTATAATAATTCTTATAAATAATCCATTTGAATCATAGCTTCTCCTGCTAAATTTTCTTCATCGTGATCTATTAATTCATTAACCAATATATCCATTTCTTCATTTTTTGCGAATGCTTCATCTCTTTATAATTAAAACATCTAAGGTTCGCAAATTAAAGTTTTTGAACATATGTCTCCTACTTCATCTATTAACTTTCTACATCTATCTATTACAAGCTTGGATTTTTGTACGCAATTAATCTTTGTATTTTCTTAATTTCCTGGAGTTTAACTAATTGGAGTTTAAGTTATATTAATATTAGATTATTGTTAAGGATTTACTACTTAAATTGGTTGTATTGGTTTTACAGAATCAAGTAATTGTACTTATTCTGATTTCATTTCTTATTATGATAATAACAAATTAACTTCACGAGTAAACTAATTGTTTTAATTGTTTTTAACGAATTCTTCTTTGTAATAAGTCCAAGAAGGGAATATATATCCTTTCTTTTTAATTTCTAAATATAATTTAATAAAATTAGTTGGACCACCTAATGTAGTTAAAGGAAAGAATTATGCCCATGCATGAATACATTCTGATGCTAATCTTACTAATGACACTCCTATTTATTTGATATCCTTTTCTAAAATAATTATTAATTTATACCCATATTCTCTCCAAATAAATTGGTTCCTCGATTAGTTTCATTTTTTGGATCACCAAATTCTGCATAATATTTCAGAGATTCTAATGTTTATATTTCAAATTTTTAAACAAATCGCATGTTAAATATATCTACTAAGTCTTTACTTAACTAATTTATTTAATTATCAATTTACTCTCATAGCAAATAATTTAGCCATCGGAGAATGTTGATCTGTTATCAATACTTCTTTTATTGTCTCACATATAATATCAAATGTTATTTCTTAATTTTCTTAAACAGCTTATTTAATCCAACGAGTGTTTTTGTAATCATTCATACTTAACAAACAAGATTTTATAAACTCAGGTGTGATTGATTATTACATTAGATTAACTGTCCAAATAATGTTTAAATTTATTTATTAATCATAAATTTAACATCACTATTTTATATATTAATCTACTTTACATTCCTTTAATTATCTTATACTAAACATAATCTATAAAATTAATATATAATAACTATTTCATCAACCATCCGAATTCACTATAACCAACATTCTATTCATATTATTTATATAATACTGCTAAATTGCAAATATACTTTTCAAATTTTACTCAATCTGTAGTCCTAATTTATATATTATAACAAACTAAGAATTCTCCAAAATCTATTGTACCAAATTTATCTACATCAGTTCTTTTAGAATTAAGTTTATTAGAATATAATTTACAAATCTTTTCCTTAGTTAATTAACCATCCTAATATTCATCTAAATTAACAAATTCAATATCAAATTATCCTTCTTTTTGGATTAAAGTTGTTTTTTGCATATTTTTATTTAATTTCATTTTGGATTCAGATTACATGGTCCATTTCATAATTATTTATAGTTTCAGTTTTAGAACAAGATTGAATATTATATAAAAAATACCGTATTGATTGCAAAAATAATAATAAATTTTTATAAAAGCAAATTAATCAACTAAAAATGTCACTAGTAGTATAATAGTGATAATTCTATATAAATGTAACAATAAGATAATTAAATCACTTGATTTATATTTGTAAAAATTCTTATTATTAAATTAGAGTTAAATGTAAATCTATTTTTTAAATCATCAACTTTTAGTTTGAATTATAGATTAATATATTATATAAAATAAATAAATTAAATAATCCTTCTGAAATAAATATTTATACAAATTATCAAAAGGGGTTCAATGCAAAATTGATTTACTCATGGTTTATGAATTTTTTTATAGGTATTTAATTCAGTCTTCATTTCATTGACCACTAAAGCTAATGCTTCTGGATTAACTCCATTTTCTATCATACTAACTAAAACCGCTAATTATTATCTATCTAATCCGCAATTTAAAATTTATGACATCTCATGTATGACTATTTAAAAATATTATGACAAATACTTTCAAGTGTTTCTTGAGCCTCTTCCTTTTCTTATGACAGTGAAACTTTCAATTAACTTTTATAACTTGAACTATTGTTTTGATTAGCTGACATATAAAATTTAAAAAATATTTTTAATTTTAAAACTCATTGTATAAATATTAAATGACCATTTGTGAAAAACAAAAAATAGTATTATTTCCAATACAAATATCTTACATATTCTCACCTGGTAATTTAAGCAATTTCAATCCTTTACCAGATTTAATCTCATAACTATATAATGAACCCTATCCTAATCCATAAACAAAATCTCCTTAAGCTACACAACTTATTAATTCAGTTTCAGATTCAGAATGAAATCTTTTCAATTCTTAAAAATTGCCATTAAGTAAAATTATTTATTTGCCTCTTGGACATATTAAAATTGAACCTTAAATATAAAATATTTTCTCCAAAGCTGTATCAAATTTCAAATTGTAAATCTATTCCCCTGTATGTGTATCCCAAACCTTAAAGTATTAATCCAAGGCACCAGTATATAATCTAGAGCCTTCTTAACTCTAAAACATAGATTATATTAAACCACTATGTCCTCTAAATTATTTTTAGGTAATCCCACTCTTTAAAGCAAATAGTTATATATAATCAGATGCAATAAATACTTATTAAGGATCCTTACCTAATAATACACTTCCAATCTATTTAGGATTTGGACTTTCCACTATTTTTAAACACTTTCCTGTTTTCAATTTCCAAACTTTAAGTTATCCATTATTATCCAAACTAACTAATAATTCATTATTTGCATTTAAATTAATTATGCAATTATTATGCATCATATACTAATCATTAACTTAATATTCTATATCATTTCTGACTTAATATTTAATAGGATCCCAAACTTCAATTATCCCATCTATTGACCCTGTTATTAAATTTTATCCATCAGGAGTAAAAGTAGCACTATTTACTCTCATTTTCTCAGAATACTTAATCACTTTTTCAATCCTACCTATTTATGTTACTTTTTATTCCTAATTTCCCAATCCCATAAATAAATCATATTTGTTATTTATTATAATCTTATTTGCATTCAAATGTCTTAAACTATCACCAATCAATTCTAATAATCTACATTATGGAGCTTCTATGCATTCATTAATTACTTTTTGAGCTACTTTGCTTCTTCTTTATTCTTTACTCAAATTATCAGAATAAATCTCATTCATACTTAATCTATCAGGCTTTCTTATTAAATAATCTAATCTTAATAATCTCTCTTTGAATTCTTGAAGACTTGGAACTATCATTTATAGAAAAAATTAATTTGCTGATTATGTCTCATTTACTTCAACTAACTCTTATACTATTAATTCATATAGATCCAACAAAGTTTCACCTGAAAAATTAAAAAGCTTAATCTAATTTAATATCTAATCCCATTTTCCTAAATCATTCAAAATTTATACCATCTATTAAATCTTTTCTTAAATTTTGTTTCGAATCTACAAAATTTAAATAATTCCACTTTCCTTTTATAACTCTTCTTAAGATTTACTAAATCCATTTTCTTGCAAAAATTACAAAATTAACTTTATCACATCCTTTCTATTTATTTCCATTAAATTTTTTATTATAAATTAACTTTCTATTTCTCAAGTTAAATTTAATATAAAATTTTCATTTTCTTCAACTAATGATCACTTTATCAAACCTAAAATAAAGAAATAATATAAATTATTAATTATATTATTTATATTTAGCTATGAAAAGAAACTTTATATTAATTTAAGCAAAAATTATCTATTAGATTACTATTTTGACTCTAAGAGTAATTTCATAAGTTATTTAAACTATTGCTAAAATGAAATTTCCATGAATATGTTCTGCAATCATTTAATTATTAATGCTATCCTAATCTATATAAAAAAACATCCTATAAGATTTTGATATATTATTTTTTTTTTAACCAACCAATTTTCACATAGAATGCTTATCAATTATGATAAATTTCTTTGAAGCAATAGTTATTTCAAAAGAAGTTGTGCATATATTTGTTTCAGAAATGTTATTTTAAATTTTTTTATAAGTTTAAACAAGATTTTTTTCTTTATTTTTGGAAGAAAATGGAATCACAAAATAGTTCCTTTTGTTATGAAAAAAAGTTCCAACTTCTTTTATATTACTTCTATTGTACCGAATATTTCAGTTACTTACATTCTTGATTTTATTTAAGTTATTTGTTAAAAGATAAATTCTTAATTTAACTTTTCGAATCACTCTTATTTATTTAATATCAGTATTAACAATTAAAACATTGAGATTTTAGATTAGCATATCTATCTTTGTCATATATGTAAATCTTCAGCAAGCTAGATATAATTCATAAAAACAAATTATTTCATGCTAAAAAGAACGTCAAAAAATATACATATAATGAAGATAAAAAAGATATGAATATAGGATGTTCTAAATTAATTAAATTTTTAATAAGATTACATATATATTGATATTAAAAAATAAGATTAAAACATCAAATCATTAACTCTAAGATTTTTGCAAACTGTAATTTATTTAACTAAAATATTTGATAAATAGAATACTGAATTAGAATCATCTGTTAAACGAGATAACTCAAGTTTGATCTCATCGCTATCAGCATTTAGATATTTTTTCAAACCCTTTAATGTGATTTCTGAAGTATTTAGAGAAAGAATCTCAAAAGAAATCTCAATATTTGATGTTGATAATACATCTCTTCTAGATGTTGTCAGAGCTAAAAATAAATTTGAATTAATCTCATCTTCTAATTCAAGCTCTTAAAATAATTTATCTATTTTATCCTCAATATTCTCAATACTTAGATATTTTTAAAATAATTAAATTAATTCTGCCTTACTAATTAATCCATCCATATCAATATCTCCTTCTGAAAATAATTTTTAAATTTGCAAATACTATTCCCAATTAAATTCTTAAACAAGGAAAACAATAATTAATTATTGAAGTAGACAACAAGGTTTCGCCTCTAAGATATTACTTAATAGAAGTTCTTATTCAGATTTTAATTTTTATTAGTATTTAGTTATGAATGTAAAGTTTAACAATTATTCTAAATTAACCCTTTTAATTGAATTCTTATTTAAAGAATGAGAAAGAAATTCTTTAAATGCTTCATCTTTCTTGTTTTCAAATTTAAATACATGATTTTTAACTATAATTCTTAATTTTTCCTAAGTTAATTAATGTGGTAATTAATAAGGAAGAACTCCTTTTTTTAATGTCAAACCAATTAAAGCAATAGCCCAGACATCTCTAGCTACATTCTATTTTGGATGATAAATACATTCAGGTGATGTGTATTTAACTACTTCTAAATCATCCTCTAATTTAATTATTATTCCCTTTAAATTTGATAATTTGACAAAAATTCCATCTTATTTCTTTTAATATGAAAATGAATTAATTGTTATTGCTCCATGAAAAATTTATTGTTAATGCAAATAATGAATTGCTTGCATCATTTGATTTAAGACTTAAGATACTTCAGGTTTAGATAGTTTTGTTCCATCAGCAATTAATTCTGATAAATCGTTATCATCAAAGTGTTCAGAAACAACTTAAAAATATTTATTATCTTAAAATATCTCAGATATTCTTATAATGTTGGGGTGATCCTAAGATTAAAAATAAATAATACAATTTTATTCCTCATAAGCCATTCTATGTAATTTACACATTCTGGATCATCTTTTCGAAAAGTCTCTAATTACATAATTTTTCCTGTGATATTGTTTGAAATTATGGATATAGACTATGAATATAATGAGATTATTACATGATTTCCTTACTTTTTTCTTATCAGTGAATATTTTTTGAAAGCACATCCAGGTAAAAGAATGTGATTTGAACTGCATGTAGAAGCAGTATAATTATTTGAACCTTATTTCTTCAAGGTGATTCTTCTTTTTGCCCTTTAAGTAAGAATTACTCCTTCAGAAAGAGGAGATGTCTTGTTATCACAGCTTTTAGTTGGATCAATTTAAAGATTAAGACGTCTTCTGGGCATATTATCTGACATTTCCGTAACTTCAGTTTTAATTCTGATATGAGTTTATGAAGTCGAAGTATTTAACTTCTTTGAATTTATAGATTTAGTTTGACAAACACCCATTTTAATAATAAATAATAAAACCCAAATTGTTTTGGTACTAAGATTTAAAATCATAAAAAAGAGATTTGAAAATATCATTTATATTTAATTTATCATGTGTATTTTTAATAAAACTTTATCAAATGAAAATTTGAGATTTATTTATTTGATAATAGTAATATAATAATATAAATAAACTTGTATTATTTAATTAAAAAATAAATCAATCAAATAAGCAATTGAAGTAGCTTTTAAAATTGTTTAAGAGTTAACTAAAAATAAGATTAAATAAATACTATCTTTTCTTCATTCGTAATACGAATAAATTCATCAATTAATTCATCAGAATCAGAATTAAAATGTCTTTTTAAGCCTTTAAGAGTAATTTCTTTTTTATTTGCTGATAAAATCTAGAAACCTATTTCAATATTCCTTTAAGTTAATATTATATCTCTACTAGAAGCCAATGATAAAAATTATTAATTATTTATTCCATTTTCTTGATTAATATCATATTGTAAAAATATTTGATCAGCCAAAACTTATGGATTAGGTTCATTAAGATATTACTTGTACAAATTTGATAATTCTTCTTTCCTTAAATATCCATCCATATCTTAATCTCCTTCAGAAAATAACTTTTAAATTTAAATATATTCTTCCCAGTTAAATTCCTATACAAAATAACAAAGTATCATTTCTTAAAGAATACAACATGGTTTAGCTAATTTAGTATTATTCAATAAGACTTCTTATGGTGATTGCAATTTGACTTTATTCTCCTTTAAGAATTGCTCTTATTATAGTTGACTTAAAGTAATTCTTGTTTTTGAATGATGAACTAACATTTTCTTAATAAACTAAGTTATCTATGAATCTGGTTCGTTAAATTGGATTGTAGTCATTCTAATAATTGATAAAGTTTAAGAATAATCACAATTTTATTGGAAAGTATATGGTAAATTTCCATATGTAAGAGCATAGCAAATCATTCCCAAAGCCCAAACATCTCTAGCTGTAGTATAATTATTTGGATGATTTAAGCATTCAGGCGACATAAATTTTAAGACTTCTATAGATTCAAAGTCTTTTATTTTTACTTTTTTTAGATCAATTAATTTTATAAGAATTTCATTTTTGTTTCTTTTAAATTAAAATGAGTCAAGAGTCAGATTTCCATGAGTGAGATTTAAAGAATGTAAATATGAAATAATAGAGATTATCTATTCCATAATCTGGGTTATTTATGTAGTAGAAATTCGTTTATCTTCTGATACAAGATCTGACAATGATTTTCCATCGAAAAATTCATAAATAACTTAATAAGCATTTTAATCTTGATATATTTCAAGGATACGATTGAGATTAGGATGATCCTATGTTATAAATGAAAAGATTATACTAATTAAGCTTTTTATAACCATTTCACATATTATAATGATTCTTCTTATTCTTTTAAAAAAGATTCCATTTCTACAATTATTCCAGTCTTATTATTAGACAATATTTGTTTAGCCTTTAATTATCAATCTATATTTTACATCTTATCCTTTTAGTTTCTTCATTAATGAATATTTTTTAGAAGCACTCATTTCAAGAATAAGAACTTGTCCAGGCTATGGAGAATTTGAGATTTATCCTGCTAATTTCATCAGTCCTGCTTTAGTTTATTGACATCTTGGCACTAGATATCCTGTTGATTTAGGTGAATTGATTTATTTTAAACTATTTGTTTACAAACTTCCAGGAGCTTTATATCTTGTATCTTAAGTAGCACTGAATTCATTCTTTATTTTATCAACTTTATTATTGATCATAAATTTTGGATCTGCTTGATTTTTCTTAACTTACGTTTAACAAATACCCATTTTAATGTTATTTATTTAAATTGTATAATAGTAAATCGAAAATGATTTGAATATTATTGACAATACATTTAATTGATTGAACAATTAAAATTTATGTCACTGTTTTTTTGAAAATAAAAATTATCAGACATTAGTGTTTTTAATAATTATTTCTTAAATGGATTTAAATATTTTTATTCAAAAATAATTAAATTAATCTACAATAAACTTTTTATTATATTTATTAATACTAATAATCATTATTTATCTCGCAAGAGTGGATTTCACTACCTTGATACGAAAAATTGAAATTATTTTTAGAAAAACCTTTAAAAACCATTCTAATAGAAATAATTTAAGAATTAGATGATAATTCAAAAGAAAACAAATAATTAATGTTATTGATAAATATTTCATAAACTCAGAATTTGGTTACATCAAATTTATGTAACTCTTTCCATTCTTTGAATTCAGATGCTGTCATTACATCATGATATAATGTAAATTCATTTTCTTTGTAAAAATCGAATCTCTAATATTTACTAAGAAGATGTCTCAAATAATCAACATCAGGTTCATTTAATAATTTCTTACGCAAAGGTACTAAATCTCTCATGACTGAAGTAACTCCTATTTTTGATGATAAACTAATAATCAATAAAATTATACAATAAAGATGCTGATAAAATAGTTAGATCCACAGAGATCTTTGTAAGTGGAGACAGTACTCCACCACTCAACATTCTACGATAGGCAAACATGATATAAGCGGCAAAACATATTCCAGCACATTGATATGTAAAATAACGCTATTGGATTTTGATTACAAACTCCTTATGTGCAAATAAAATTATTCACTTATCTTGATCATTTTTTGGATTGAATTACCCAATAAAGTATTTGTATTCATAAAATTAAGCTTAGTCATCCTTGGAAATTAGAAAATTAATGGCTGATTTCTTAAAACTCTCAAGCATTTTAATAAATTAAATAAATTTACAAAAAAAAATGTATTATTATTTTTTATCAATAGATTTTTCACTACACACTTACTATTTTGCAGTAATTCATGTTATAAATTCTTCAAATGGTTTCTTTAATATTAAAATCATCTGAAAATAAAATACTTTTGTAAATTTATTATAATAATATATTTATTTTAATGTAAATGAAACGTTGTCAACCAAGCAAAGAAGATTTATTAAAAGAAGAATATGTCAAAACTTTAACATACTTTTTGCGTGATAGTAGTGTTTATGATTGTTTATCTATAAATAATCAAGTGTCTGTTGTTGATATGACCTTGTCTCTTTTTGATACTTTCAAAATATTTATTGATTCTCATGTTGATGAAGTATTATTTTGGAATTAAGAGATTGCTAATTATGATGGTGTATTTACATCAACAGATCTCATTAAAACTGTTTTAAAATGTTATTACAATGTTCTCTATGAAATTCCAAATAGTAATTTAATTAATATATTTTTAGATAGTTTGGACAACAAATAATATAGCAACCATTATTGAAATGGAGAATGAAGATGAATCATATTCACCAATAAAAAGAACCATATATGGTTAATTAACAATAGATTAATTCAATTAATTATTATAAGATTTTAAAAATATTTCAGTCAAAGTTTGGTTTAATAGTATTGGAGAAAACCTTCATTAAAATTGTCTTGTAAAAGCAGAATTAGATGAAAATTTAAATGATGTCTGCTAAAAATTTATTACAGAAAATATTACTCGAATTATTGTCATAGAAAAAGAGTCTAAAATGGTTGCAGGAATTATATAACAAAAAGATATCCTTAGTTTCTTAGTGAAGGGATTTAGTTAATATTTTGCTTTAAAAAAACATTAAAATAAAACAACTACTATTCATTATGAATAACATGAATTATAAATGGAATATTTCAAAGATGAAGCAACCAATTAACAATATATTCTTCCAGGAGATATTCCTGTTTATGAGTATATATTGAATTGTATTATTAGTCTATTTTATAAATTAATTTACATCTACAAAAGAAATACCATTGCCATAGTTGATAAAAAGAAGAAATATTTGGGATTAATTGATAGAAGAGATTTCTTATTTATTCTGAAATATTAGATGTTTGATATAGTAATTTTGAATTCTCATAAATATTAGTTAGCATCTACAGCAGAAAAGTTTTTATCATTGATTAAAACAGAAGATCGCAAATATTTGGCATGTTACATAAGGAATAAATAATAATTTACATTTAATCAGACATTAAAACAAGTAAAGCAAATTCTTATATATAACAAAGGTTGTTGAAAATCTTTTATTATCACCTAGAGGTAGTTTGGTATGTTTAGATAATGAAGAAAGAGTTGTTTCAATATTTTAAATATCAGATTTATTTAAAATATTTGTGACAGATAATTAGAATATAGAAAATTCTGAATGATGAGATTATTTATATTTTTAATTAAAATTGTTTGAGATACGTAAGAATTAATTAGTGACGTGTTTTTTAAGCAAATTATTATCTTATTTTAGATATATTTATTTTTAAATTAAATTATGTAAGGGTAGGTATTATAGATTAAGTCATAAGCAGAATGGAAAAGTCTTGTTCTTGAAAATCCTAAACCTGTTATTGTTGATTTCTATGCCGATTGGTATTAAAAATAATTTAAAAGATTAGGTGTGGTCCTTGCAAAGTGTTGAAACCTAAGCTTCATAGTCTTCATGAATAAAGTTAAGGAAAATGGGAATTAGCAGTAGTCAATGTTGATATAGATGACTTATAAAAGATTTCAGGTCAATATGCTGTAAGAAATTTAAATAACTCTTAGAGCTAAGGAATCCCAGCTGTTTATTTATTTAATAAGGGATAATAAATCAGCACATTCTTAGGTAATAATGAAGCAAAAGCAAAAGAGATGGCTTTAAAAGCAGCAACATTATGAATTATATGATATACATATATTATATATAACAATGTAAACATATATTGATAGGATTATTCAATAAAGGCTGCAACATTTATTATTAGTTTTTTTAGCATTTTTATAGAAATCTAGACTAACACTGCTCATGTCTTTTGATTTTGCCATTAATGATTCTAATGTTTCTCCTCTTTTTAGAAGCTAATTCTTTATTTTAGATTTACATCATCTAGAGATTAATGGACAATCATAGTGACTTCATTTAGAGTATTCTCTATCTTAAGCAATTTATCAACTTCTTTAGGATCTTAATAAATTTTTATGAATTCATCGAATTTTGGTATATTTATATTTTGATCAGCTATAAAATGATGAATATATGATGAATACCGACTATAGTGTCTAAGAACATTGAATTGTATTGACGATAATATTCTTAATACATGTTTTGTATAACCATAAAAGCTACCTTTTCAGGATATTAATCATCAGCTATAACAAGAGCTGCTAGATTATTTTTATCAATGCATATATATGATACAGCATGAGCTTCTTGATTAGCCACAGCACTTTTTGTACCAGGTTTGGCTCGTCTATTAATTTTATTCTATATATATTACGCTGCACATGTTCTAGCACCAAAATTGAGAGTTTCCTTAAAAAAAGGACGCTGAAACCAACTAAAAAATTTAATATTAAGAAAATTGTACTTTATGAAAGAGAGTTCATAATGTTAGGATATAAAAATTGGATTTTCAGGATGATATTTCAAAAGGTACATTGCCATTATTCTCATTTTACACGTATCTATTATTTTAAATATTAAAAATGCAATAAGAACAACCTAAAGAAATGGCTTAAGTAGTTTCAATGGCAGAGAACGCATAATTTTTCAGATTAATTTAGAATTCCAGAAATAAGGTTTTTTAAGGGACTGTAAAACTGGCATAATTTTAAGATTCAAAAACTCATTTCATTACAATAGAGAGATTCTGTCAGAATATTGTTCCTGGAACTCCTTTTGTATATATATAGTCTGAATCTGGATTGACACTTATATTTCCTCATATAGACTAAGGTAAATCGAAAAAACTACAATATGTTTTAGGTTTAAATGGAATCTTTATTCCACAAAGTGACTTATTGAATGTATTCCACACAGCCTTAAACACTGTAGTTTCTATGGTACCATTTGAGTAAGCTATGTAAATACAGCAATTCAAAGACACAATTGAACTTCATTGCAAAGACATTGCTACTAACCCTTTAGATAATCCTAATGATGCTGCCTCGTATATTACAAAAGGAGGAGAGTAAATTGATTAATTTTATTCATTAGCTATCTGAAAAAAGGATTTATGTTCTTGGGAACTATGATGGCATCAGGAATAAATAAAGGAACTTAATATTTGAATGATAAAATATAACCAGGTTAAGAAGTTTAAGTTGATCCTAATACAAAGACTAAATTTTAAACTACAAAAGAGAAAGTTAGTGAAGTTTTTGATGTAACAGGACAGTATCTAGGATAATTGTTTAAACCAGTAGCAGAGAAAACAAAAGAATTAACAAATGAACTTGGATAGAAAATTGATAATTCAGATAGCAAGAGTAAATATGATGTTAATGATATTTTATAGTTTTGAAGTAAAGTAAATAATTAACATCAGCTACTTGGGATGCAGCAGGAACAGCACTTTCAGGATTAGGAACAGCATTATGTTAAGTTGGAAGTTCTATTGGAAATGGAACAAAACAAATAGTTTAAAAGAAATATGGAACAGAAGTTGTTAATACTTATTTAGGTGGTGAACAGTAATAGTAGTAAGTACAACAATAATAACAACAACAATAATAATAGTTGGATCAATATCAACCATTAATTGAAGAATAACCAGCACCATCTTCATGAAAAATATCATATAATTATTATCATAAGTAAAATTTCATTAGTAATTTCTCAATAAATCTTCCCATTAACTAAGATGGAAGCCGAATAGGAACCTAAAATACAACTGTATTTTTTTCTATTAGGCCTAAATATTTCTTTAAATATCGAATCAAATATTAGTGAGCTCTTTATTTAATTTTTTTTGGATATTGTAACGCTTCCATCGTTTTACATAGATTTCCTTTTGACTATGATAAAGATAAGAATCGTTTAACTAAATTAGTGTATGCTAAAAACAATAATTATAATTGAGGATTCAGAAAAGGCATAAAAAATTTTGTAAGCAAAATCTTCTTGTGTACATTTTGTTTATTCTTGATTCCCATTATATAATGACAATTATCAATTATGTTTTAGATTGGATAGAAAATTAAGATAAGAATACAAATAGCTATAAATAAAGCTGCTAGAAAAATGCCAAGAGCTATTTATAGGAATTAAATTGCCTCTGATTATAATTTATTTAACATTTCCTCTGTCGATTTAACTTAATAATTAGTGTAGTCAGTAGTATCATGGAATCTTAGCTAAATTTATTTCAATATTTACATCATAAAGAGATAATTAAATTTCTTTACTTCATGAATTGTGATTACCAAATCCTTATCATAAACACTATTATAACGACAAAGCAAACTTGAGTTTTTAGGATATGATGAACAATTACTTTATTTTGTTTCTTTTATTGAAGTCCAATCATCTGATGTGAATCCTGTTAGAGTAGTATTAAAAATGTAAATTGGTAAAAGAGTTAAACTAACATTGTAACTATGATAAATCAACAAACCTTTAGAATCTGCTAAAAGGATCATGTGAACATTTTAATCTGTTTTAACTACAAATTTATTTAAATCTGTTCCTAAATCTGAAGCCATCACTCCTTTTAAATTTAAGTCTTTATCAAGTAAAGGCATAACTAGTGTTACTTCAATTTTGTCTTTTGTAAATTCTATATAAATATTTAATTAAGATTACGAAGAAATGGGTCAGTAAATTGATAATCATAGTCACTGAAATTTGTTTGATTATATACGCTTACACCTTTTAAAAACCAAGGACGTTTTGGAATATTCAATCCATATATATTTTATTGAAAATTTGTACAAGGATAAGAAAAGTAAACTTAAGGTTCCTCTAAAGTTCCTACATAGAAAAGCGATTAGATGTTTAATTTGGTTGCAGCCAAAATATGTCCTATAGGATACATAGTCTCTTAAATCTTTAAATTTATCAATGTAATCTTATTCATTGGATATGTAATATTAGTTTTGTTCGTATAGCACATAAAGGAATGGGTTTTCTACAATGAACCTGCTGGTTGATCCACAAGTATTTAAGGCATTTTATTTGTACCTGCATAATCCATATGAGCTCGATAATCTAAAGTAATATTATCTTCTTTTTCAAGATTTTGATAAGACTATGTATAAATTTTATGGAGTATCTGTAATTAGTGAATATCTTGATTGATTTAAAATATTACTTATTTGAAATATCCCATTTAGAATACCATCATAGCTTCTCAAATGACTTTGTAATGTATATTTTGCATTATGATTATAGATTTCGAAGGATGATTATTCTAAAAGAGGAACTATTATTGCCATATTGACTAAATAAATTCCTAAAACAACTCCTAGCATGAAAATAAATATTATTGAGAATTGAAGTAATGCTTAATTTCTCATTCGAAGCTTCCAAAACCAGTTATCGGAATAAACAGGTATTTCTTTCAATTCTTTAAGAAAAACATTTTATTAACTTCCTTTCATCACTCTAATTTATTTATTAAATATATAATATAGAGTAAATGTAAAAATCTGATTTATAAATCTTAAATCGGATGAATAACGAGGGAATTTCCATTGATATTTATGTCTTTCTTGGGAGCAATAAAATTTTGTATTATTTCTAATACTAATTGATTTGTATGATTATTGAAGATTTGCTTTAAATAGAGAATATGAAAAAATTGGAAATAATAATATGATTAAAACTAATATGTTGTTTTTATAAAATTTTATGCAAATATATTATACGTCATTCAGTATCTTAAACTGCAATGACTTCAACTTCTACTAAGCCACCTTTTGGTAATTATTTGACAGCTATACAAACTCTTGCTGGATATTCACCATCAAAGAATTTAGCATATGCCTCATTAACTTTTGCAAAGTCAGCCATATCAACTAAATAGACGATGCATTTAACAACATTCTTAAAGCTAGATTTAGATGCTTCTAACAAAATTCCAACATTTTTCATAGCTTAAGTAGCTTATTCTGCAACATCTTCAGAAATTAAATTTCCTGTCTATTGTACATAGATATTTTAATATTTACTTCTGGAACAATTCCTAACTATCCTGATAAATAGACTAGGTGGGCTGTTGGTGCAACTATTTTACCAGCAGAATAGGGACCTATGGCTTTGAATTTATCTGTGTGAACTGTGGTGACTTATTGCTGCATTAATTGGTATTAAATATTTTTCAAAATTTTTATTAAAGATTTGAAATCATGGTAATACATCTAATAATATACTTTAGGGAAAACAACCAACTTAAGGTTAAAAGAAAACAAAGGATTAGATTGCTAAAGCTGCATCACAAAGAAGTAAATAAACAAAAAAGGTATTCCATCTTTTTTGATTATGCATAATAGAAATGGACCAAGGGAAGAGCAAAGGATAAGTTGAACAATGCCGTATTTTTAGATTAAGCATCCTACAAATAAATTGAGACCTAATTACCAAAAATGGGTGCATTGATCACAGTTTCAACAGTGTCAGATAAATTTAAAGTAAATGGGTAAATATTGTTTATATATTTATAATCATAGTTCTTTAGCAAGAAGATGCATTAGACATTTTGCATAAAAAGGTTTATTGGTTCCAGCTGGTGAATAAAACTCTTAATAATATATCTACACTGTTAATGCTTAAGTTGTAGCAGCATAAAAAGCCGCCGCTGCTGCTGCTGCTGCAGAGAAGCCTTAAGCTTAAAAGAAAGCTCCAGCTAAGAAATGAGTTTATAATTTAAGTACATTACAAATAATCATTTATGTATTTATAAAAAGAAATTATTACAAATAAATGCAAACATGTCAACTTTGCTTCAAAAATACAGCGTTGATTTAATTAATTTGCTCTCATCATATTTGCCTCAAATGCACAAATAAAAATAAATAATTGTAATAAAGGTACTTCTTTATCATTTATATATCAAAAAGCTAATTATAAAACAAATATTGGATTCAATGTTCAAAATGTTAAAAGAAAACTTTTAGTTATGACTTCTCCAATCTTTTGATTGAATCTCATGAATTAAGTTTACTTACTGATAGAAGTCAACATCAATTTTAATTGAATGAAGTAAATTTTATTTTAATATCAATCTTTCAACACTTTAGAGTTAACTAAATATTGAACCATAAATATTCTAACGTCGAAGATCCATGAATGCGATTGATTTATTTACTAAAAATAAATCACCAATCAAATAAGAAAAGTCTAAAAAAATAACTTAAAAATTAAAACAATCCATCAANATAGGGACCTATGGCTTTGAATTTATCTGTGTGAACTGTGGTGACTTATTGCTGCATTAATTGGTATTAAATATTTTTCAAAATTTTTATTAAAGATTTGAAATCATGGTAATACATCTAATAATATACTTTAGGGAAAACAACCAACTTAAGGTTAAAAGAAAACAAAGGATTAGATTGCTAAAGCTGCATCACAAAGAAGTAAATAAACAAAAAAGGTATTCCATCTTTTTTGATTATGCATAATAGAAATGGACCAAGGGAAGAGCAAAGGATAAGTTGAACAATGCCGTATTTTTAGATTAAGCATCCTACAAATAAATTGAGACCTAATTACCAAAAATGGGTGCATTGATCACAGTTTCAACAGTGTCAGATAAATTTAAAGTAAATGGGTAAATATTGTTTATATATTTATAATCATAGTTCTTTAGCAAGAAGATGCATTAGACATTTTGCATAAAAAGGTTTATTGGTTCCAGCTGGTGAATAAAACTCTTAATAATATATCTACACTGTTAATGCTTAAGTTGTAGCAGCATAAAAAGCCGCCGCTGCTGCTGCTGCTGCAGAGAAGCCTTAAGCTTAAAAGAAAGCTCCAGCTAAGAAATGAGTTTATAATTTAAGTACATTACAAATAATCATTTATGTATTTATAAAAAGAAATTATTACAAATAAATGCAAACATGTCAACTTTGCTTCAAAAATACAGCGTTGATTTAATTAATTTGCTCTCATCATATTTGCCTCAAATGCACAAATAAAAATAAATAATTGTAATAAAGGTACTTCTTTATCATTTATATATCAAAAAGCTAATTATAAAACAAATATTGGATTCAATGTTCAAAATGTTAAAAGAAAACTTTTAGTTATGACTTCTCCAATCTTTTGATTGAATCTCATGAATTAAGTTTACTTACTGATAGAAGTCAACATCAATTTTAATTGAATGAAGTAAATTTTATTTTAATATCAATCTTTCAACACTTTAGAGTTAACTAAATATTGAACCATAAATATTCTAACGTCGAAGATCCATGAATGCGATTGATTTATTTACTAAAAATAAATCACCAATCAAATAAGAAAAGTCTAAAAAAATAACTTAAAAATTAAAACAATCCATCAATAATGTTAATAAATAGAATGTTCTTAAATCAACTACTCAACTGAAATAAAATTCTGAAAAAAAACCATCCCATAAAAGATGTCAAACTGGAATTTTAGATAATAAATAAGGTTTTTAAAAAATAAAATATCTTAGTCTTAAATACTATGTTAAATTCCTAATAATTAACAAAACAAAAAACTAGTCCTATCTAAAAATGCTCATCTATATTTGACTATTTACTGAGTCTCTCTTACTAGCATACAAAAACATCCGATAGAAAAAAGTTTAATCTCGCTAATTCCTCGAAAGTTGACAGCAAGAAAAATATTAAAAGCAGATGTCATAGTTAAATTTCAATCAAATAAAAAATAAAAAATTGATTTCATATCAATCTAAAAATTAATCTCATATATTATATGTTTTTAATAAATATTTCTCTTTTGAATTATGTTACTCTAAATATTACTAGCTTTTAAGTATTTATCAATTTTAGAATCATTTCCTTATACTTATTTTATTTAAAACCCTTATTATTATAGCAAAGAATAGTCTATATTATAATCATTCTTTGAAAAAATGATTTATGTATTAAATACTTCTCAAAATATATTTGTTAATTAAATCATTACATTCTTTATTTCTAAGAAAAGGCTCGTCTTAAATTTTTTTATTTATCGAAAATTAAGTTTTTATTTTTTAGATTATTTCTATAAAAAGATGCTCATAATTAATAGAATTAGATCTGAATATATAGAAATCCTTATGATTAATAAAACACTAATAAATTTATCTAATAAAATATGATGATGACTTTTCATATTTACACAGAAAGCTAAGACTTACCCTTTATATTTTAAATAAATGATCAATCAGCTAAAGGACAGAGCATGTATGACTATGTGTTTAAATAAATTTAAATTCACAATTTTTCAATTGGATATTAATTTTAGGATAATTAGTAATATTACCTCCATCCTGATGCTGATCTTAAAGAACTTTTTGAAAGATAAGCTCAATTTATTTTAAGTGTTAATTAAAATTCACAAAATAATCAAAGCGGAGCTGAAAATTAAGGTGTTCCTTTTTCAGTTTATTATGGATAAAACTAATAGCCTTTTGTACAGGAATATGTTGATCCAAATATAGTGCTTGGATAGGTAATTAAATGGATTATAATAGTATATCGAATAATTGAAATAATAACACAATATAAAAATTGAAGATTATGATATTTTTGATTAAAATGGAAATAAACTGAATAAAGATGCATCCTAAAAAATTGGAATATTTATGACATATCAATTTTTAACTTTAATAGTATATGACACCATATAATAACCTCCAATTTAAGGTGTTCCTTTTTCAGTTTATTATGGATAAAACTAATAGCCTTTTGTACAGGAATATGTTGATCCAAATATAGTGCTTGGATAGGTAATTAAATGGATTATAATAGTATATCGAATAATTGAAATAATAACACAATATAAAAATTGAAGATTATGATATTTTTGATTAAAATGGAAATAAACTGAATAAAGATGCATCCTAAAAAATTGGAATATTTATGACATATCAATTTTTAACTTTAATAGTATATGACACCATATAATAACCTCCAATTTAAGGTGTTCCTTTTTCAGTTTATTATGGATAAAACTAATAGCCTTTTGTGTAAGAATATGTTGATCCAAATATAGTGCTTGGATAGGTAATTAAATGGATTATAATAGTATATCGAATAATTGAAATAATAACACAACATAAAAATTGAAGATTATGATATTTTAGATTAATATGGAAATAAACTGAATAAAGATGGATACTAAAAAATTGGAATATTTATGACATATCAATGTTTAACTTTAAAAGTATATGACACCATATAAAATAAACCAAATGTATTTAATATATCACAAGATATATCAAATAAAGATAATATATAAAAATAAATAATAAATCAAGAAGCTATATAAAAATAAAAATCAACTAAAGATGAAACCTAAGATTAATTTTACCCTTAAGCAATACAAGTAGTTTCCGTCTAGCCTCAATATTAGAGTATGGGAAGTAAATATTGATTGTAAAAATTTTAGTTGTATAGTAGTAATTGTAAAATTTACATTTTTAAGATTAAAATACAGTTTATGGAAATATGGATCCTTACCCTGTTTAAATTTAACCAAATTTAATTAACTAAAATGATATAAATCAGGTATTAGCTCCGGGAATTGGGATAATTCCAGTTTCAGCTCAAGTTCCAATTCAAATTCCAGTTTCAACTCAAGTTCCAATTCAAGTTCCAGTTTCAGCTCAAATTCCAATTCAA